CACCAATAGAGAATGGTTTAAACTCCTAGGAGAAGTACTGGAAGATAAGTGCATTGATGAGGATTGCATTTACACTGTGGATGAAATAGGCATCTCACCTCAATTGGGAATGCACAAGTATGTCATTGGTGGGCATCAGCCTGGTCCGCAGTATGAACAGCAGACTGGAAGTCGAGAAAATACTGCCATCATTGTGACAATCTGTGCTGATGGAAGATCCCTTGCACCTGCAATCATATTGAAAGGCAATGCCTATCAGGTGAAATGGCAGCAAGATAACCCTGCAAATGCCTTGTAAGTTTTTGCATCGAAATTAAATCATGGTGTTGAAACTTCACACAGCATCGGGTATTCAAAGAAGGGATGGACAGATGGAGAAATCAAAGTGGAGTATATTAATGACTTTGATCAACAAACAAAACCGAAGGCAAATGGACGAGATCAATTAAACATTGTTGATGGCCATAATTCCCATTACACTCTTGGGTTCCTGAAGTATGCTTGGGCCCACAGCATTGTTAAGACCGTGCTCAGGGGTAAAGCGGAGTCTGAGGGGCTTGGCTTCAGCTCATACGCTGCGCCCCTTGCCTGAGTACGTGCCCCTAATTTCAGAATGTAGTCCAACACAAATTCTATGGGTTCCGACAGGACGTCGGAACGGGGGTCCTCTGAAAGAGGATCAATGGACTACTAGGTGAGCATGGGAAAGTTGGGCGGGGGTTGTTCCATCCGACAGGAGGGAAGCAGGAGACTACTGCGGTTGGAACCAACAGTAGAAGTGGAGCGGAAGGAACTGCTTGGATGAAGTCCGAAGCAGAGCGGAATGGAGGGGATGGATGCGAGAGTGTGGGGTCTAGTTCCAATGCATGGGATAGGGATTACCAGTGATCTGAAAAGTGGAACTATGATACTAAACGGGGATAGGACCAGTTGAGTGGTTCCTAGTCTAGGAGTGGACCAGTGAGGCAGTTGGACGAACTAATAGTCGGGTGGGGGAATACAAGCGGAACTGAAGGACCCGCATGGGTCGGAAAAGCGGAGGGAGTAGGAGTAGGATCAGGTGGACCGATAGGGCAGAGGAGCGGAACCCCAGATAGGGTCAGATGGAAGGGGTATAGGGTCAGAGGGCATAGGTGTAGTGTCGGAAGAGCGGAATGGGGTCGGGTGGAGGTAGCAGGGCTAATCCTGCTGAGATGCACTTCATGCATTGTCAGGGAAGGAGGAATGGAGCAGATGAGGAAACAGGGGGTCGGACCAGGGGTGGGGATGTTCACAGGTGGTACTGGGGGTACTCGGATCCGGTATATGACAGGCATCCACATCATCTGTTATCCATCACATTCAATACATGTGTACCAAGGACTTGATGTTATGGTTTTTGCGGTGTTAAAAAAGTGCTGGAGCGAGGAATAGGTCCGGTGGGAGAGAGATAAAGGCGAGGGGATCACAATATATGGACAGGCTCACCTTTGAGCTCTCACTCCAGATTTGATCCGCACTGCCTTTTGCAAAACTGGAGTCTGGCCATTTGATCCCACCATCATTGGCAACAAAATGATGGCACCTAGTAAGGAAACTTCTTGCCAGGGTTTGCTTTCTATTATGTCTTCAACACCTGTGCGAGCCATTGCTGGCTTCCTCAAGCAGCTGTCAAACATAGACAAGCATTTGACGAACTCAGAGGAATCACAAACCATATCAGAATCTCCAACTATAGCAACAATGGTATCAGAAATTGACTCACTGATTGAACAACTCAGCAAAACATCCTTGTCGAGCCTTGTTTCTGGTGTTCCATTGACATCAGAGACACAAGTTAATCATGGCACTTCACGTACCATCTCTCCCACAAAACGAAAACAGACAGGTCTTCTTGAAATCGAACCCCAGACACAAAATGAAGTTGTTTTTCTTGCTGCACTTTGTGAAGCTGAATCTGCAAATACAGCCCTAAAGTGTCAGATAATCGAGCTCCAGGCAGCAAATATCCTCAATGAACTTTATTGTTCAAAATTGAGGGGGCAGCTGGCAAACCAAGAGTCGAAAAAGTGTTCTAAAAAAGAGGTGGGAAGTTGATGGGTGATGGCTTACCACGGCTATTGTCCAGTGATGAATTTTATGAGAGAGTTGTTGAGGCAGAGACCAAACAGAGGAGGGCTGCTGTTGAGAAGAGGACCAGACAACAGGAATGAGAAAAGAGGGCTGAAGCTTTGGCAGCATGAAAGACACTTGAGGAGGAGAGAAAACAGGAGAATATTGAGCAACATGCTTGATATCATGAGGCGCTGGAGATCTGGAAAGACAAGAAAGCAAAGGCAAAGCTGGCAAAGCAGATATTTGTGATGAAGAAGCCAGTTTTGGGCAAACTGCGTGCACCTATTCCTAGGCCCACTTTTAGCACCCATGGACAGGATGACAATGAGAGTGGCAAAGAGGTGATAGCGCTAGATGATGAAGGATCAGAGGATAGTGACAATGAATGATTGATGAATGATAAGGATCAATTATTATTTGATAAAGCCCAATAAGGAAATTATTTGCGTGTTTCAAGCAGTGACAAAGCCCACAAATGACATCCCCCCATTGAAGTCAACCTTGTGGGTGAATCACAGAGCCATTCCTCAAAAAACTGACGTGGATGCATTCATGAGATGTCTATCTATACAGGAAAAATGTGTTTAAATATTGAAATGGTGTTGTGAATGCGTGACACATCAAAAACATGTTTTGCTGTTTCAACCAGTGTACATTAACTGTAATTGTAAGACTTAATGAATTATCCCCCCAGGGTGTTGTGTTGGGGCAAGACCATCAACAAAAAAAATCAAAACCATGCATACCATGTAACAGGCCAGTAACAGCTAGTACAAGGTGTGAAATTGCTACCTTCCACACAAGCACATGACAGATTTGTGTTGAGTTTGTCAGCTATCATGTAAGTCCGTGCATGCAGCGAGGTTTTATGCATACTTCTACCAGCCTTGTTATATTTGTACCACTCAGTAGACCCTTGTTTGGGGGATGTTCGATACATACTGCTACAACTCTTGTGACATTTGTGCTTCCTGGTGGTCCCTTGTGTGGGTAATGAACTTATATACATACTCCTACTGGTCCTGTCGCCCTATTGTAGGCTCTGTTTGATCATGATAATGGGCACATCAAATTGCACTGTAGTAGCTAGAGTACACTTGACTATAGCCAATGAACACAGGAGTAAAGTAAGTAGAGACTCAGATACAAGATACAAATATGCAAGGGGCAAGTACTGAATATGAAAGTGACAAGGCGAAGGTAGTCATGATGCATGATGTGTGAACCGGTGGAGACAAGAGAAAAAGTGAAAGTGAAAGTCACACTATATAGAAACAATGTCATATCCCGTACCTCTGGATCCGGAACTCTGGAACCCCACCACTAAAATCTGGTCCTCCATCCTGTTATTTCATCCGGCACTCTGCCTTCATCTCTGTACTCACCCCTATCCCCTTTTAGAATAGTTATTGCTCCAGCTACCAGTTATGTCCTTTCCACAATGCTTACTGATCCGTCTGTTCTTGTTTCATTTCCGACTTCACTGCTTTGATCTGCTATACACTTACTAATAGACTTTCCACATGCCTCATACATAGCCCTTAACATTGCTGACTGATTTACTTACATGATACCTACAGTATATAAACTCCTGTAATACTCTGGAACTCCTCAGTTCAAATATCACCTTAGTTCCTGCTCATTCCTTTACCTCCAGACTTGAGCTTGTCTCTTGTCAATCTCCGAGTCTTCAGATTGATTCCTTTGACTATACCTCTGACTCTCCATCTTAGTTCTGCTCATTCCTGCATCTCCGGACTTGAGTCTCATCTCTTGTCTACCTCCGAGTCTTAGGGGTTAAACCTTAAGACTAAATCTCCGGCTCTACCTTAGGGTAGTCTAACCTCTGTCTGTTTCTACTCTGGACTTGTCTGTAGTAGCCTTACTCCGTCTCCCTCATAGTCTTCCGGAGTTCCGCCGAACTCCCCCGACGTCTGACCTCCGGACTTCCTGGACTTCCATCGAACTTCTCTTCTGCCCCCGGAAATTAAGCGCACGTACTTGGGTAAGGGGTGCAGCGCACGAGCTGAAGCCAAAGCCCTTTGAGTAACCTCCCCCTTGAGTGCGACCTTAACAGACAATGACAATGTGAAACAATGCTAGGCGGTATGAGAAGGCACAAGAGCATGCGGGGAAAGTGCAAGATGGTGAGAAAGGGCAGAGGAAGGTTTCAGATGATGCAGGGGGATGCATGAAAGTTAGAAGACAAAGAGAAAAAAGAAAACTTACATGCACAAGGTAGTAGCAGGTGCATGAGCCTGAGGGGAGAGAATAAAAAAGGAAGAAACAGAATAAAAAACTTACCATGGAGTTGAGTGTGGGGGATGTTAGCAGATAGATGAGGGCAGAAGATGGCAGGAAAAACTGGCTTTAGTAAGAGAAAGAGGAAAAACTCACTAAAATGATGCAAGAGGGTGCAAGAGGGTGCAGTACTGTGAGGGTAGCAGAATGCAAGAGGTGGCAGCTGCAGGGTTTATGAGGTCACGGTAGGGCGTGGTAGGCAGTGTATTGCAAGGAAGAGTCACTGAGTAGTACTATCAATATCAAGAGGAAAATAAAGAAAAGGACTTACATCAGGAAAAAGGGTTTTTGCCATTTTTGGGCTGTTTATGCAAATAGAGACACTAAGGGCTATATTTAAATATATGTATGCTATATTAACAACTTGAGTGATATAGAGTTAGACTCTTGCTATAAATCACACAAATCATATATAGAGTTAGACCCTTGCTATAAATCACACAAATCATATATATACTAAGTATTGACTACCAAAGTGTCTGATAAGCAAATTTACTTGACCAATTGTTAAGAAGAAAACTGTTGCATAAGTCCAAAACATTAGCAGACTTCCAGCTGGAAGGCCAACTAATGTTAGGACCCAAGTGAGGAATAAGATGACAAGATTAACGTATAGTAGAAAGAGAAACTATGTCACCTGGAACAATGTTGTTGTTCTGCCCAATAGCCTTGGTGACTGAATACATATTATGGTGTCGTCCTGGCTGTTTAGAGAGTGTGAGCCATTCCACATAAGCCAGATGTTCCTTAGGCCAGGCAACTATAGCATCATCCATGAAAGGAATAGAGTCTGGAAGGTGAAAAATGACTTTTAGCCTTCCGACTTTCATACCTGCAAATGTAGTATTGGTCAGTAAAGCTTAACTTGATAGGAAGTACTAGTAGCATTAGGTAGTGCACCATGAAGTCCAGTGGACTCAGCTTCATCTGACTGCGCAACAACTACAACATCAAATCTCCCATCTCCCACGTCCTCAGCTCTGCCTTTCCCTGGCTTAGCCCTGACTGAATCTATCTCCTCCCGACCATCTACATCGTTACCAAGAGTGTCCAATGAAAATTTAAAGGTGTGCCAGACATCCAGTTGATGGAAGGGTAAGTGTGCGTGAGGGAGCTGAATGCATGATATGGCTTCCCCTCTGGGAAGAAAGTGATTAAGATACACCCTCAAATGGTGCAAAAAAGAAGGACATCGGTGTTTTGATATGATGCTGGTGAGCGGCTGAGAAGGTGATGCTGGCTTCTTGGATATGGCTAGCCCTACTCCTGGATGCTTTTCAGACTCTAGTGCATCCTGTTCCTCCTGCTCCCTCTCTACTTCAGTCGGCTGATAGTCCTTCAAGTAGGTTTCAAACATTGTGACCTTTTCCTGACAACTCAACCACTGAGTCATCTGCGGTAGTTCATCCCTGAAATTGGTAGCCCTCCACCCCTCCTTTGCGTAGTCAATGTGGAAACGCTCAAACATTTCTGTGTTGTAATTATCAGTAGTACCAAAATTTCTAATACACTCAGCATAATGCTGCATGGAGTGCAGCTTAGGGATGTTTAAGTGGTCGCGGATGCCTAGATCAATCAAGATGCACTTGTTGGCATGGTACTGCTCTAAGGCCACTTGAAGATATCCCAGGGAGTCCTTGTTGTGTGAAGGATACTGAGAGATATATATAAAATCCAGTAGTGCCCAATAACAGGCCACCATCTATAATTTTTAAACGAGAGTGAGTATATGATTCCCAATGAACTCCAATGAACTCACTTGAGATGGAGCTTTCCCTATTATGCACCCCAGAAGTATCCTTCCCATGTTTTTCCTCTCCTTCCCTGATATCTGAGCCAGGCGAGACCATCCGTTCTTGAAATGTCGCATACCAAAACAAGGAGGAAGCGATCTAATCCTAGCATCCAACTCAGCGTCAGTCATCACACTGCTGCACCAGTGGACGAGGTGCTTTACCACCCCCTGGTACAACTGATGCAGTACATCAGGGGTGATGGACATGTGTATGTCGCAATGTGGGAACCCCTCCCAGAATGGGCGCCTCACCCCTCCTGAAATGTTGTCCTGCTTGCAGCGCTCCTGAAAGTTGCTGATAGACGTAGAGTTGGCCCTGGCAGCTTCTATTATCTTGGAGGTTTTGCGTTGGGTCCTCCATGGACTGGGGTCTTCATCTCCCATCTGGCTATTATCCACCTCACACTTTGGACAGGTACCGTACTTAGCACAAGTTACCAGGCACTGCTCTGGGTTATCTGCCACATAGCATGCTAGTATCAGGTGCACCATACGCACTTTACCGTCTCCTCCAGTCACCTCAACACCGCTTTTTCCTGCTTCTATTAGCGGCTCCAAAACTATCCGCATAGAGTCATGGAAGAGCTGTTGAATGCGGGTAGATTTTTGTTTCTTGCTGAGCTCAACGCCAACCATCTTGCTGACAGAAAGGTATGCGACAAGGATACAGGCATGCTGGGATGGTTTCCGTCTTATGGCTCTGGGAAGGTTCCCCAACGTAAGGTAGACAGGGTAGGCACTCTTGTCGCCAGCAAACTGGGTGAGCTGGGTCTTGTCAGTGGCGATGATGACTGGAGCCACACAAGACCCTGCTGGAAGTCTGTCCTGAGGCAATGAAAAGGGAAGAGTCAGTAAACCAGTATGTAGAAGTCATTGGACACTCACTTGGACAGTGTTCCACCAGTCCCCAGTCCACATCTCATTGTAGATTCTACTATCCCTGGAAGCATTAGTGGAAACCCTCCTGGGTCTATAGACAATATTGTTTGCGTGTGCTGGATTTCCAAGTAATGTCTTGACAGCATCAATCGGATTCCGATGATAGATGGTATGTTTGTGCTCTGGGTCATTCTTGAACCAAAGTTCAGCGAGTCTTCCAGCAAGCACGTGGAGGTACACTGTCGACAATCTTGTGCAATCCCCTAATATTATGGTATGAGAGACCTAGTCTTTCAGAGACCTGTTGTTGGAATGCGTTAAGCAGAAAGACAATCGTGAGGTAAAATAGAACCAATGCTCACCCCAGGTATTGCCATGAGTCAATCAAATGATTTGTGACCTATGCCGTCCTGAATGGCCCAGCAGGCAACTCTCCACTCTAGCTCAGACTCAAAAGGTGCAAACATGTTCGTCGTCATGGATGTCCCCTCTCCCAAATCTTCCATCTCCATGTCTCCGTTGGCATCAGATCCTCCAAATTCTCTCCTCCATCTCTGATGCACTGTTTCATCCATATGTATCACCTTGCCTGCAGTGGGATGCACATCTTCAACTTGCATGTCTGAAGCAGAGGATGGGATGGGGGATCTTGGGTGTTCAGGTGGGTTCCTGATCGGAATGAGATCGAAGAGTCTATCATGGTAGTCTTCCATAACTTGACCTGGTTCCTCCTCCATTTGTCCTTCCAGTCCATCCGGAAGAGGCTCATTTATTTCTCGCATCAGTACATCTTCATCAACTGCGAATTCTCCTGGAAGGGTTAAAGCCCTCAGCTTCCCTTTCTTGTACCATCTACAAGACTTGGCGGTACTAAGATAAGTAGCCAGTCCTTGGGTTGTCCTCAGGCGCTTGTGACAAGCAGGACATACTGTAGGGTCATCGTCCTTAGCTCGAGTGTGTTCAACATTCACATTTGAAGCCTGCAGGGCAGAACGAAAGCCTGTCATCTGGGCAAAGGTAAGATGGTAAGACAATGCGATGGTCTATAAATGTTGAGCTTACAATCAAAAGATAAGAAGCGGATATAGGGTTATCCTAAAGAGAAGGTGTCGGGCATTGTGTCCCACGCCAATACTGCGACAATTTTCACCGACAGTGCGCTCATCATCCCGCCTCACTTGGGAAAGTTCACAACCCAATTATTGCAAAACCGTATATGAAAGCTACAAAATGATTGCTACAAAACCACTTGGGCGAATGTTTGTCGAAGTACATGAATGAAGGTTTAAAAAAACACGATCCTCAGCCCAGCCATTGAATACATGCAAGTGACCTCACCACTAAGTATCTTATCCTCTGGATTTTCTCTGATGCTTCCCTTCCCCAGAGAGATTGGATGAATTGACAGACGTGCCAGCTGTACCAGATGATGGGAAGACTGATGATGAAGTAGTTGCACTGGAACTGTCGCTGTCCTGCAATAAAAGTGCCTTGCGCTTCTTCGATCCCGAGGTGTTCTCTGAGGTCTGCAAGCCCTGGTGCATCTTGTTGGGAGTGTGGATTTCGAATCCGGTGAACCCAGAAGATGCAGAGATACGGGTGCCTGAAGGTGGTAGGGATGCGGGCAGGTATTCTGTTTGGCTAACCATGACCACCTGCTTGGAGGTCAGGTTAGTCAACAAGTTGTGGTATCTCTCCCTCGCTGTCATGATCAATGACCTGTCTGGTGCATCATCCTTGTCCACCAGTACTGCATCGATCATCTCTCGTAGGACGTTGATCAGCTTGGCATGAGTGAGCTTCCAGCACTTCTGTGCAGGAAAAGGCCACAGCAAGTCGTAGATCTTCCTCCATATTGCCATCATGTTGCCGACCTTCCAGTATGGATCAAGGGAACGCTTGAGTTGGTAACACCGAACTTCGCCCATTGAGGCACCGAACAAGAATGCACAAGAAGTTCCGGAGAAGTGGCTGTGTGTGCAGTAGTTCTGGTATGACCGCGGCGTGCCGATGTGAGGGGGGGTGTGTTATTCTCGCCCCAACCTGCATTAGAATGTTTGAACTTCTTTGCGGTGAGGTTGGCTGAATCAACTGTAGTGGAAATCCCCATCTCTATGGGATCGGTATTACGAACAGGGACAGGCCAATCTTGAAGTTGATGGTAAGGACCTGTAATGTTCACCCCGAGCACGAATGCGAGAAAGATAAATGACTCTAAATCATGGCAGATATTGGGGGGATGCTCTCAGTCGACACTACTGTAAGGGAAAGTTCCCTACTTTCATGAGCACTCCAGCAAAAAGCATGAAAAAAGGATGAGCGTACCATTGTAGTCCACTTCTTTTTCTCTTCCAAAGCTTTCTCTGAGTCATCCAAGAAGTCCAGTGCTAAGCTGAAGTCCCCAATCATTCCAGGACGCATGGGAAACCACTCAGATTCTACTGTTTCTCCACAGAATTTGGGCACGCCCTCATCAATGCACCAATTAGGCACAGTGTGATCTTGATCCGCTATGGGCACCCAAAACCATGTATTGCCATCACTGGTATCACTGTGGATTAACCTGCATAACCAAGTGTTGAGATGACCTAGGTTGTGGACTCTAAGCATTCTGAAATTTCGGACTGAGACATGCACTCACCCTTCAAAGCACCTATCAACCCTGAGAAGAATTCCCATCGACAGGAGAACCAGGTACACCTGACTGCGTTGGTCTTGAAGACGGTTCAATAGTGCACAAGGGGATAGATTTCTGCAGACAAGGGCTTCATGATGTTCGCAACACTGTCTGGTACTCGTGCCCCATCACAGTCAATCATCATAACAGGGTGCATGGACATGCGTTGATCACGAATAGGGAGGTGTCTGGGGTAGGAACCTTCTTTGTCCTCATCATCCCACGCAGGTTTGGGCCATCGCTTGAACAAGACTGACTGTGACTTCTTCTCAGCCTCAGTGTCAGGAATAACATCAGGATACAGAATCTTTTCTTGCTCTATTAAACGAAATGAGATGCAGATCAATGAGGCACAGATAGTTCAGAACGCACCTAGTTTTATGCGAGCCTTTTGAAGGCGCTCCTTGTCCTCCAAAAGTTGATGGATCTCTCCATCCAGTGAGAAATGGTCAACCTGCCAAACTTCTTTTATGATCAAAGTCTCTTGATCAACCCCCGGTTGCTGTCTTGGGCCTCTGACCGCCATCACCCAAGTGGTGCGGCCAAATCCGGCAATACCACTATAGATGATTGAAAGCACCGAAGTCAGCACCATGTCTTCTTCTGTGGTACTGTTTGCCTTCATCAACCACAAGGACAAGTTGTTCGTGGAAGTGGGAGCTTGGTAGTAGGGATCGTATCTGAGATAGCGAAGGTCGGTATGCATGAACCAAGATAAGACTTGCATGTATTTGATGGGATCAGTGTAGATATCGATGGGTTCAGAAAAGGCCCCACAATCGCGAGTGAAAAGAGCAATCCTCATTTCTGGTCCAGTCAAGAGAGCTCCTATGAAGAAGCGACGATGCACTTGGTTGGTGAAGACCAGACGGGAAACTTCTACCATGTACTCCTTGGATGCCTTGAGAAGAACCTTGGAGTGGCGATACTTGACATCAATAACGGATTTAACATCGGACCACTTGTGTGAGTCGTTGGTCACAAGGGTGATATCCGGCTTGTGTGCGCCAACCCAGCTTGTCTTGGATGATGCCGCCACCCCTGATCTGGCTTGAAAGAATGTGGTACCTGTGCTTATCCAATGGCGATGAGGATCGTCGGAATTGTGTGGCTGTATGACTCCCAGCTCTGTGAGGTACCGATCCACCCACAAGCATGTCTTCGCGCTGGGAATGAGTTGCAAAATCCGTGTGCAATGGATGCAAACTCACCTTGTTCAAAAACTCAACCAGGCGCACTTCATCGGAAGGACCATACAGCCAAGGACACACATCCTTTGACCAATGACTCACGACGAATCCTTCAGCTTGGTTTAGTGCCTGCAATGAGAGATTGTGAGGGTATGTTGTCTGAAAACAAAATGCACATACCTCTGTGACAAGTGTCTTAGTCACAGCCATTGTGATCGCAGCGTTTGTGTCAAGGTCAGCAACATCCGCAACTTCCATCAAAGCACTGAGAAGTACAGTATTCACTCTCTGGGTTTCTATCTGGGTCTGTACAAGGATATCGGTGGATGATGGCGTCTTCTTGCTGGGCGCTTTATTTGACATCACTTTGCAGCCTACTTCATGTATCTTCTGCGCCATGTCCTGAAGTGTGTCGTCTGTGAGGTTTACAGAATGCAGAAGAAATAGTGTGCGGAGGCGCGTGAACAGATCATAATATCGGCCGTTGTTGATGCAAGTTTGCTTGACAGCCTGCAAATTGGCCTCATTGAGGAAGGATGGCATGGATACGCTGCCATTCAGAAGAGGGAATGTATTCAAGGAGCAACATCTGTTATTGTGGAAGGCGCGGTGTTTTAGGGTCTTCACAGCCCAATATTGAGTATCTGCCCGGAGTGGTCCCTTTGCATCCAGGTTATGGACACAAGAACCCATCTGGTGGCATTTATCAATAAAGTGAGCAAGGCATGATGGTCCAACTGCCATGGTAGTGAACTCTTTTGAACTCTTCTTTGGCGTTTGGAGGAGTAGTGTCAGTTTGGGGGAGAAGTGCAACATTTTCCGTTCCAGTCTGGTGGAGTGTCCACCAAACAAGCAACCCAAATCCCACATAAAAAAGGTTAGTACTAATCAGTTTGTCAACAGATGCGCTCATACATCCATATCAACAAGAGCAACAAAGTAAGTCTTCTATACAACTGCAATGTTCGAGGCGATCAAGATGAGTTGCATTCACAGATTTACCAGACTCCATCAATAACCGTTAGTGAGTCAAGCTGGGCCTTAATGGTAAGGTGCTTCCTTGTGGGAATTTCCCGCCCATCAATCCAGCGTGCATTACTGTGAAATGTTTCACTACCAAATAAGGAGCTGCCCGCACACCATCCAGAACAATGAGCTCTCGAAAGATGACGTCTATTCAAGTTTCCTTTGACGACAAAGAATTTTCTCTGGTTTTGGATGCCCTGCAACTCATGCAAAGCGAGCTAGCTGTGACTCTTGCTAATCGTTTACTTACCCATACCCCACCTTCACCGCATTCAACCGAAGACGATCCAACAGGAGGCAGACAATACGCAGGTGGACGTGCTCTTTCGGGTGGCAAGGGATCTTACCGGGTGCAACCTTACCGTCTTTGCCTGAGGAATTCCAGGAATTTGGCTATGGGAGGAAGGTGGACCATTGGTGAAAAAACGGCCCGTTCTTCCAACATCTCTGCAGAAGCCTTCATTGGGGTGATTGCGGCCATGGACACTGGTCTTCAGTCGGATCTGTCCCAGTGGATGGAGAGTATTCGCTCTGTGGCATCTGAGATTCAGTTGTCAGGTGCTACTGTGACATCTTTGACTTACCGGTGTAAGGATGGGGTGGAAAGGGTGTTGGGTGGAGTTTGATTTCCATGGTGAACTACATCCAGCTAGCAATGAAATGCCAGAGGTGCGTTTCAAACATTCATTCTACTTTCATGATCATTAATCAAATGGGCTTTAGCATGATAGATTCATCTACTAATTACAGCGATTTATACAATACCCTACCAGTGGACAGACCTACTCTTCGCACCTTTCTGTTCTGGATTGCCACCGGTTTCAAGTTCATGCACTTGGCAGCAGGGGGGTCATTCTATTTACTAATTCTAGTGGCCGCCAAAGACCTGCGATGGACTGTAACTAGAATGCAAGCCAATGTGCCCTGGGAAATCGCCAAGATGTTGAGAAGGCCGAATTCCTGCGGTAAGTCCCGCCCAGCCCATATCAGCAGTCGGTTCCTGTACCTGAAAAAACTGGAACAGAAAGCGATTTACAGCTTCTCATAGAAAGGAGAATTATACCGATGATATCTCGTCTGCGTAAAGTGCTACCTTTGAGCATAGCTGGTGCATTTGTAGCCCTGGACCGGGAGGTGGACTGGACATGCATTAGGGACACTGACTGCCTTTTTGATGGGGTGAATACTAAGTAAGGATCATCTTATCGCTGTTCACACAGGTATCTAATTATATCTATTTCAGTAATTACCAGCTCCCTTCTCATCGCAAATCAGCGTGGAGAAGTTGTCTAGACCCTTGCTGGGACGATACATTGAGCCTGGGGTGCATCACCAGGTCATTTGGAGATGTAGGCGCAGCAAGACTACCACACTTACCCAAATTCTTCGATGACTCTACCTCCATCAAGACCTTCCCAAGGTTGATTTCCATAGAGACAGCCTTTAACCGTAACGCTCCAGAGAACCGACGCAATCCGGTTAACGGCGACAAAGTGCAGAACTTGCTGTGGACTATCAAGCAGCGAAAGATCGTTGAGGAGAGTGCAGTAACAATCACAGATACAGAAGATTTAAAGGCAAAGGTGAGCTTTCATGGGTCTGGGAATCGTATGCAACTGACAGGTCTTGTATGGGGCAGCTATCCACGTTCTACCCCTCTGGAATCAAACAACTGGACGCCTACATCAGGATTCCAATGTCTATCCTTCCGGGAGCATTGGAAATTTGCAACTTGGATGGGAGCCTCATGGCGTTCATCTGCAATTTCATGCCTCCTTCAATGCGAGATACGCTTTTCCCATTACTGAAATCTGCTTTTGATTGCCTAGAGGTGTTCATGAATCGCACCGTGTTGTCTATATCTCAAGAGACCCAGGATCCTGAGGCTGTATTACAATCCAAAGCAAACGAACCATTTCGCTGCATTCACTTTAGCCATTGGAATAGATATGGTCTTTCAGTGAGTACATGCTTATGTTCATTGATATGCAGACACTGACGTCTAGTAGGGCAACACGGCACCTGCTGACGCACACCCTCATGATTTGGTGGCTACATCAGGCAGAACTAACCTCACGCAAACGCTGCCTTACATGTCATGCGAAACTTTCGAATACGAGCAACTGTATCTCAACATCCAGAATAACCTAAGGGAGGTTTTTGAGTGGATAGAGCAGACAGTGAGTGATTTTTGCAGACTGTAGTACATTCTCTAATGCATAATGTATTTAGGTTGCTCATTATCTTCCAGACGACTATACTGCTCTCGCTGAGCTTGTTAATATTCTTCCCAACGCTGGTGGATCACCGATAAAACCTTTCTTGTCTCTGGTAGTGAACATCAACGTCTGCACAATAGGTCATCAAGATGGAAAGGACTTTCGACTGTGTTTAGTACTGCCCATTGGTAACTTTGTAGGGGGTGGACTGGTGATGAGGGAGCAGGGAGTTGTTGTTGAGATGCATAACGGTGATTTTGCTTGCTTTAGGTCCAATGAAACAACACATTTCAACTTGGACTACATAGGCGAAAGAGCCTCCTTGGTACTTCATTCAGATGGAGAGTTTCAGAAGTGGAAGGATAATCGCAATGGTTGGAAGGATCATGGGTGCTTCAATTCCACTTAGACTCCTGTAGATCTTACATTGCTGTCCAACAGTCGCTCATCTTTCAACCATGGACCTAACTGTTACCAATGCTCAGAGTCTACTTTCCCCTTATTTTGAGTAAGCAGCTTCTATCCGCATTGCCTCTGAGCTTATCATTCAGAAGGTAATGGAACCGTGTCTCTTTGCTCTGAGCCGAACTTCATTTATGTAATTCTGTGCGTGCTACTAATATTTCCTTTACTTTCCCATTCCTTCTCTCTTATTCTACCCATGTCTAGGCCTAACACTAGAAGTGCCTCAGGGCAAGGCTCATCTGTCCCCATCCGTGGTAATGGAGTCTCCTCAGCAGCTCGTGGAACATCCTCAACACGTGGAACCGGGCGTGGAACTGGGCGTGGAACGGGACGTAGAAATGGACGTGGAACTGCACCAAGAGGTAGAGGCATGGCTCAGAAGGGTGCAGTGGATACCAACAAGAACACCAGCACACCACCGACCTCTACTAGGGATACCTCCTCATCTGCCTCTCGGGCATCTCGGGCATCTCGGGCCAAGTCCAAGTCTGCGACTCCTGGTGGCCTTTCTGCTCAGGAGGAAAACCTGTTAAAGGAGCTCGCTGCTAAGAAGAAAGCAGTGGCTTCTCAGGCAGCTGAAAATGTCAAGAATGGTAAGCATTAGACCACTCTAAGCAAAGTATGCTAATATGTTGTCGATAGCATCACGCAAGAGGGCAGCAGATCTTCTGTCCAATGAGACAGATAAGGAGTCCTCTGGCTCTGCAGATGAAGGAGATGCCCACCATGTGCAGTTACCACCATCAAAAGTTAGGAGGATTCAGCGATCAAGCTCACCTTTCGCAGACTCTCAAGATACCGGTATGGTAAAATCAATTCTTGGTTCGGAGATTGATAGCATGGATGAGTTGGACAAGGAAGACCAGGAGTACCAGGAGGAGGAGCAGGAGGAGGAGCAGGAGGAGGAGGAGGGCGAGGGTGAGGGTGAGGGTGAGGGTGAGGGTGAGGGTGAGGGTGAGGGTGAGGGTGAGGGTGAGGGTGAGGGTGAGGGTGAGGGTGAGGGTGAGGAGGAGGAGGAGGGACAAGGGGAGGAAGACATGGAGGGGGTGGAAGGGGAGCATGCTAAATTTTCTGGTGAAGAGGTAAGTGCTCATTGTGATTTGATACAGATAGCTAACAGACTACTACCACCAGGTGCAAGTAAGCTCGGAGCCATACATTATGACCAGCGTTCCCAGATCAAAGGTATCAAAGGTAGCTATGCTCGGTCATATGGAAAGCCCCCGCACCAAACGCATTGCCATCTCTGGCCACAAGGCCCTACGTTTGCATGTCGCTACAGTAGAAGGCTTTCCTTCCTCCGCTGATAGAGACCAGCTGTGTTGGGACCTCATCCTGGAATCGTCCAAGCAAGACAAGTTGTTGTGGGAGAAGATGAAGGAGATACAAGGTGATGACGCCCTCAAGGCTCAGCTCATTGACTATGCAAGTGACTTTCTCTTTCTTGTATCTGTAAGCTGATTAGTACTCTTGCAGACATGGAAAGGCGCCACTCAGATAAGGGGCGAGCTTGTCGCCAAAGCCAGAATTAGTATTCCCGCCTGTTTTGGAGTTGGGGCAGGCTCCGACTGGACTGATGATGACCTCCAGGAAGCTTTGAAGTGGTTGCTGGATGATATGAGGTTTATGAATGGCGGCATGGATGTGAGGGTGAGTCTTCAACTTGGAAGACCAAAGCAGAGTTGGACTAATACTAATAATTCATATACCCAGAATCTCACCTGTGACGCACAGGCACCACTCAAAAACCCAGCATTCAGAGTACTACTGGAGGCTCAGTGGTGGGGTCCCAAAGGTGAAGGTAGGAGGTGCGGTAGGAAGGGAAATGCCTACACGGATAATCTTCCTATCCTGGCTCTTATCGGTTGTGCAGTAAGTCACCATCCTTCATGCTTGAGTGTGACTGATGATGATTGTAGGTTGAGTGTGTCCTTCTTGGAGTAAAAAGAGGATCACTGGTAGACTTCTCAGAAAGTTACTTCAAAACGCGGTTTGATTTTTTAATTTTAATTTTTTATACATATCTAATGCATTATCACAGGTGGGAGTGCTTTATGGAGTTGCTCACACAATTTTCCAACAAATGTCCGACTTATTTGGAGACTGTCTGGGATGAGCTGAAGGAGGGGCTCTGGTGCGTCCATGATTTTCACGTGTATAGACTCTGCTAACAGTGCCAATACAGGAAAGGCCACACTGCTCTATCAACTGACACTCCTACCCCAATATTTGATTTCTCAGCCCTAGAGACAGCAGCTAAGGTATCCAAGCAGGGGAAGGCGTAGTAGTATATTCCAAATTTTTGTCACTATGATTAACTATAGTTTGAATTGATTTGTCTTTGGTCCTACTTTTTTTGGCGTGAAAAGTGAATATAAATGCAAATATAGCAGACATATAGCAAACATATAGCAAAAATATAGTGAATTAAAGGAAAAAAATTGAGGTGCCTCCAAATTTTGGAAGTTGAATATATATGCATATATATACTCCTAGCTACAATTAATGCCATATGGATCTATAGCTCACTATATGTGACTATATGTCCTCTCTATAGAGGGGGGGATTGCTTTAGATGCTATGACGTCTATAGATGCTATATATTCATATATAGTGCTATATGAGCTAATATAGCAATAACCCTTTTTCCTGATGTACAAGGGTGGCAGCACCTAGAACATAGCAGGAGTTGGAAGAGGTAACGGTGTAGTACTTATGTGAGGAAAGAGAGCCAGACAGATCTTGAAGTCAAGCCCAAGCTTCAAGTTTGGGGTCCTGGGTGAATAACTGCTGTTGGCTGAGTTCATCACAGGTCAAGTCTGGATCCAATCATCAATGCTAATACATATAAGACTTGTAACTTAGTAAGAGCTATACAGTTGCGGACAAGCAAACTCGACAAATTTGGTCTTCAATTTTTAGGCACTCCACAATTGCTCAAATCACACATGTAACATAGGCTACAGACACTGAATATTGTATTTTAGGACATAATGAATGAGCCAATTGTTGAAGTCCGAAGAGTCTGAGGCAGTGAAGATGGCTGAAGCGTAAGATGCGAGCGAAACCAAAAGTGGTCTGAGCAAGCAACGCTTTGATGTTGGCAGCAGCTCGTCCATATTACAATGTGTCGTTTGCTACGATACATATATTTTTCATCTCTATGCTAACCTACTATAAGAAGTTGATTACTTTCGTATGAACATCTCAGCTCCTTCAGAGACTGAGATGTAATCCCCAGTTATTTTTAAAGAGATTATGCGAGCGGGTGCAACAAAGAGGGAGCTGGAAAGACAAATGTATATCTCAGACTCTAGGAAAGATCTCTGGATGACTATAGTACCTGGAAAGACAAATGTATCTAATGGTATGTTAGCTCTATAGGTTAATGTAGAAATGAATAAAAACATACATCTCAGACTCTACGAAAGATCTGAGATGTTCGGTCGATGCTACTCGTTCTTTATAGTATGGTTAGCATAGATAAGTAAATTACTGTAACATAGGAATAGACATCTCAATATTGACAAGCCTCGGCTAACGTCAACGTGTCACCTCGTCATACAGTTATGGATGCCTCATTGAACCACAACATTAAAATTTAACCACTCAAGCCACAACAACTGCATAAATTTGTTTCAAAATAATTTTGCCCCATACATAGACCTCTGGTTGAGGTCTTCATATGTTTTGAAGAAAAAAAAGTGAGCTGTTCAAGCACAGCATCAACAACAGTGAATGGGTGCCTAATTTGCCAAGCATGGCTCAATGAATCAGCCTCAATTAGGTAAGAAAAGCTTGCTGGACTTGGACCCTGGCCTAGTACAAATTCTGACTCGGACCACAAACCTCTCATGATTTGCTTGCTACTCTTGCAAAAATTCACCTATTTCTATGAATTCAAATGGGATGGATACCTGAGGTGTTCTTCATCATATTCCATTTGTTTTTGAAGGCTTTGGGCTCCATGGAGTTGTACATGGCAAAGCAGAAATTTCAATTGGGCCAAATTTGGGCTTGTCACAAATGGTAATCACACAATTTCATTATCTTTTCTCGATCAATTTCAGTCGTGTTTTTTGAGAGTCCAAGAGACATGTATTCAGCAGGGAATCAAGGTGTGTTGAATGTGTAAAAGTGTGTAGTTGTGATGTGATTTGGAAAATGATTCATAGAGCCATCCTGTGTCATTGAGCCATCCTTGACTGTACTTGGACATTGTGCTCATATGGTTTCACTTTCATCTTTCCGGTCCGTTCTCCTCTGACTCTCTCATTTCGACTGACTCCAACAATTTTTCCTGTTACTTTACATTGCTAATGAGCCGTAGATACTTTGTTTATTATCAGGTACTAGGCTCGTTGTGGGGAATTCCCCCACTGTAGGTGTAAAACCCCGTCCTTTCCGCATCATCTCACATCAGTTCCGCGTATTCCGCACATTCCGCATTTCCCGTGCATCGTCCGATGGGTTCCGCATTCCCGCGCATCCTTCAGAACCCGCCCGCACTATCCGATATTCCCACGCATCGTCAGACAACCTTCGCATGTCCTGTCCCCATCCTTCCAGGTCCATTGGTATGCTGTATCCCTCTTCCCGCTGTTCCTAACGTTATCCGGATCAAACTGACACATACCCTTATGGCACGGACCCCTATTCTGGAGTATTGCGCCCATGTGCACTGCCTGCCTTCACTTCCGCTTCCTGAGAGACTTACTACCTGTACCTCAGTGTTCCTTAAAAATAAACTTCCCTTTAAGTAGTGGTACTCAGGGCTTGGGGGTTTTTTATCGAATCCCATCTTTTACCTTCCCACTTTTCCTTCACCTTACTAGAGGACCGCTTTGACTTATGCCCACTATCAATCTAACCTTGTGATATACTTCCTTCGACTTCACCTGTGAGTTCCGACGAATCAGTACGTTCTGCACTTTATCCATTTGAGTTCCGTTTCATTCCTTTCCATTCCACTTGAGTTCCGCTCGGGTTCCACTTGTTCCGTGCGAGTTCCGCTTGTTCCGCTTGTTCCGCATTTTTGCGGATCCTCATCCTACCTGCGGGAGGGTTGATTAGGGTCGTTTAGACAGAGACTAGTACTCCCCAGTAGCAATCCCCTTTAGGGTCGAACGTGCTTGCTCTCAAGTGAGGCAGTAGGCAGCAAAGACCCAACTGTGTAGTAGATCAATTTCTCTCCGCTGCACTTGTTGTACCCACATCGTACAAAGAGCTCCTTCAGAGACTGAGATATACTTTGTTTATTATCAAATCGTCCTGTCCCACTCATTACCATTCACTTTACCAATCTCTCCACATCTAGAGTTGAAACTGTCATTCAAGCATCGTTTTACAAACCCTGTTTAGTATAGTCTTGGACAAGCTGTATTTAGCATGTAACTAGACCAAAAATGTGGTAACAGAGAACAGACTGTTACCTAACAAGCGAGGAAGCGAGGAAGAGCCTATGATCTTGTAATGTTTTAACTTCATCTGATTTACCTTGTAACTTTTACAAGCTTTACATTTGGTACATATCTGCTTTGACTTACATACATGCATGCTACAATATCACGCACTTCTGTTAGTTTATTTGCAAGTTTTGCACACTTCATGTACAAACCTTACATTCTGCACACATCTGCTAAGACTTGTATACAGGCTACAATCTCATGCATACCTCCACACTTCTGTTTGTTACTTTACAAGCTTCACACACTTTCAGTACAAGCTTTGCATTTCACACATATCTGTTGCTACTTGTGTACGTGGTACAATCTCATACATACCATCTACCAGTCTGTTCAGGGTTTGTAAGCCATAAAAGGCAGTAATTGGCCATACACACAGGCGGTTCTTTTGTTGATGACTAACGGCGATCAGGTTGACCATTTTTGGTACCTAGTTTCACACTTTCAACTCTGTCGGTATCTCCTACAAATTTATCCCTTAGTCAGTGCAAACGGCTGTTTGGATCCAGTTTCCAGAGCATCAAGTCCTTGAAGGTGGATGAGGTATCAGGCACGAGCCTGGGTTACTTGTCCGAGGTCATTAGAGGTTGTCTGAGGAACGTTCACCTCAAATGTCTTGTGTTTGATGACACAATGGATGCACTATTCTTGTTTGTGGGCCTCTGAAGACTTCACATTGATGGGTTATGTTTTGACTTGCAAGTTTTGCTTCATCTACCATCATGATTGGAAACATGCACATTCATATTTTCGCAGGCGCTCATGCAGAGCGTGCTGATGCTGCTACTTTCAAATTGGCAACCATCCCTACGTTCACTGAATGTGTATTCATATCAGAGAAGTCCATTGGTTTTCTCGCAGATGATCGTGGCGTCCAACCAGTGCCATGCAGATGACCTGCAAGATGTTTGTGCTGCTTGTGATATCCAGTTAAACTGGATAAGTTTGCTTTCATAAACTGATACCAGTATGTGCGTTGTGGGTGAGGAAAATAGACTCTGTGTGGATCAGAAGTCTAACAAGGGTGCGAGGCTTATACTCGTCCCAAGGGGATTGCTACTGGGTAGTGAGTCCTCAAATAAGTGTGAGGAAACAAAGACTAGACTCTGTCTAGCAACCCGAAGGGTTCCGGTCCTTACTAGGACTGGGAACACAAAGATGTGGAGGGTTCCCGACAAGCGGAACTAATGGAATTAATGTGGACTAAATGGAGGGAAAAGAAACTACAAACCTGCAGGAGGATGATTGGGCAAAGTTGGACCAGGCTTGTGTCTGGTACTTGCTCCAAGTCGTCGGATCTGATGTCAGGGTGTTTCGAGTGGAACTCACAGGGGCGGGAACAATGCAATGTGATCAAGAATAGATTCAGGAAGATATTTTAGACAGTGAGTGGAGTACTGGGAAGTACTCTGTAAGTGGAAGTGGAGTCGAGTCTATCAGAAGGTAAAAAACTAAGATCCCATCTATTGCTACCTATATAGGAAGGGGTTCCAAAATGCGCTATGCTACAACTGGGTGAGGCTGTGAGATAAGGAATTGGTCCCAAGTAGCAGAAGGATCTGTATAAGTACCGTAACACATAGGAAATGAGATAGGAACATGTTAGTAACACGGGGAATGTAACTAGTACTCACCAGTGAGGATGGAAGGACATGGACAGGATGGAGGAGGATGTTCCGAAGGCTAAAGGAATATAATGCGTGTGGTACGTGATTGTTCCGCTGGGTTCCGCTTGGTTCTGTGTAGCGGACGGCTCGGGGAAGATGTGGATGGGTAGCGGAATGCATGGGAAAATGGTGGGAAGGCATGGGAATTATACGGGATACGGGCCTACAGTGGGGATGTTCCCCACAGCGTCCTATAAATCCTATGGCGACGATACTTACACGGATCTAGGCTTTATCTTGAATTTACTTGAATTATTAGATTATTAAAAATTATTGGCTTTGAAGTCAGTATTCCTTGTTCTTTCCTACTGTTCACAATGTGCAGTTATTTTGCTGCGTGTAACACTATGGTCCCGTGTGTAAACGGGCTACAGTCCAAGTGATTGACAAATATGTCTCAAACTTGCCACCAAATATGCAGCTCATATGAACACTGGGCATGTGTGGTACGTGTATCTCTGCATCTTGAACCGGAGGAAGTTCGAAATTCATCTGTACTTTCCGGTGACCCACCGTCCTGGACATGATGTCCTTGCTGATATCATGGACATTGTCAACTTTTTCGCGGAAATTTCGCTCGATCAGATGCCGGTTATATAAGGTCAAATTTACCTAACAAGACGAAATCGGAATGACCGGCAACTCAAGTACTCAAGGCCCGGTGTTCATATGGAGTTGATCATCTCCCGAATTCGAATCTTCAACCGTAACATATGGCATTACAACAGAGTTCGCGAGGCATCATTAATTGAGCACATACATGTAAGTATTTTTTTTTCTAGTTTTCGAGGTCTTTGTGATATTCGCAATGCTGAGGCGTGGGTCCATGATAACAGGGTACATGAAACTCGTTTCAGATAACGGTGATGATCGATTCCAGCAGTGTACGAGTACATGAGATTTAGTGCTCAACAAATACTGCCTAGTACTCTCTTCCTCTTCTCAGAATATCTCTTTGTTCATCCAAGATGGCTAGGTCACATTTTCGGACATCAACGTTTGATCAACTTAGACCCTTTTATAAGGCGAACACCATGTCTGGGTTTCGACTATAATCCCACCACATGCTCTTCGCTCATATTCTCGCTGTAGCGATCCCGTGTATTGTTTCCCTGGTTGCTGCTTTGCATCTGAGTCGCAGACGCATCTACCCTTTGCCTCTGCCGCCTGGCCCTCGTCCATTACCATTCTTGGGTAACGCGCTCCAGTTGGACGCTAAACGACCTTGGCTCACATATACTGCGTGGGGAAAGACATATGGTTGGTGCCCCAATGACTTCGTCGAATGTTTGGATCTGATTTCATACTTGATCATAGGAAAAATTATTCACTCCCGCATCCTTGGGATCGACTTGGTTGTCATCAACTCCGAAAATATTGCACGGGAGTTGTTAGACAAGCGATCTGCAATTTACTCGGATCGCCCCGTCATTCGCACCAATGAATTGTATGTTTTGTCGGTTATGATTCAGCCAGTTCTTGATCAACTAACGAGGCAGAGCTGGACTGGCTTTCAATACTGCGCTCCTTCCATATGGCGAGACTTTGCGACGACATCGCAAGATATTCCATCAAGTTCTCAGGGCCGAAGCCTCTGTTTCATACCACGGGATGTACTCTCGCCACGCGAATGAACTGGTCGTCAATCTTTTGGATGCCACCAGTGACATGCAGAAACACACTGAAGTGTTCGTACCTAATTCAGTCGTTGTGACGTCTGGTCCAGCTGACGATCAAACAACTCTGACAGATACACGGGATCCCTAATCATGGCTGTAACATACGGGCACACTGCTCGCGGACACGATGACCCATTCCTTGCCCGCGCGCATGAACTCGTTGATATCGCCAAACATATTCTTTCCCCCGAGAGGGCCGCCATCTTCGCAGCCTTTCCTTTCCGTAAGTATCTCAATGCTGTCGACGACGTCAATTTTAACATTCAGCGTGTTGGTTGCAGTCGAAAAGTTGCCAATTTGGTGCTTTGGTGGAGCTTATGCCCTGATGGGACGCAGTAGAGAATTATGTCAGCAGCTCTTGAACGAGCCCTTTGATGAGGTGAAGACGCAGATGGTACGTTTGCGCATTGTGCATGCTCGTATTACCTGATCTTCTTGCCTACAGGCAAATGGTATCGCTTCACATTCATTAGTCGCCGACTTCCTCGGTCAATGTGACGACGACGCTGAGGAAGACACGATGAAGGCTGTTGCGTTAATGGCATACATAGGTAAAGGGTTTTTTAAAATACACAACATACGTCATTTGATGCGGATCGGTGTCTTAGGCGGTATAGACACGGTGAGCCATTAATTTTGGGAGTCCTGATCGCTTCTTTCCTTACATTGGATGTCCTGCAGTCTACATCCACATTGCAGATATTCCTGCTGGCTATGGTTCTCTATCCTGACGTCCAAGCCCGAGCCCGTGCAGAGATAAATCAAGTCGTGGGGCATGATAAAATGCCATGTATTGATGATAGAGCGTCACTACCCTACCTTGATGCCGTTCTCCGTGAGGTTCTGAGATGGTGTCCTCCCATACCCCTAGGTCGGTCCGCAGTCATATAACTATAACTTTACATTCGTATATCTGACCCCTTGCACAGGAATGGCACATGCAACATTAAATGATGATGTTTATGGCGGGTACTTTATCCCCAAAGGTTCGAAATCATACGAGTCGAAGTTCCCGTTGACTGATCTGTGGTTCAATCAGGTACGGTCGTAATGGTTAATCAGTGGTATGTTACGACGCAGTTTATACAATTACTTGAGTTGAGCATGCCTCAGGGCGCTGTCCCGGGACGAAGACACGTATCCCGACGCAGCGCGCTTCGATCCTGATCGCCATCTGACAGCTGACGGGCAGCTGAAGGACAATTTTGTCAATCATTTTGCGTTTGGTCATGGCAGGTGAATATCTCATTGGCTACCAATTTAAGTTGTTTACGGACTCGTGCAGGCGCATTTGTCCAGGTAGGCTGATTGATGGTTCATCACATACATCTTGGGGATGACATATGCCCTTGGAAGGTCGTTGGTTTGTAGAGAACAGTCTATGGACTGCAATGGCTGCTATACTCGCTGTCTTGCGCATCGATCATGCCAGGGACTCAAATGGAGACAAGGTTGAGGTGAAACCGGAAGTCACAACCGGCATGGTGATGTGAGTGACTTGGATGTACGTGCGAGAAACCTGCAGCTAACTTTGAGTTCAAAGTCACCCGCAGCCTTTCCTGTGCTCGTTTGAAAGCGTGAATACTACGCGAGAAGGGCAGCTTCGAGAAACAATGAATTTGAAGTAGCATACAGTTGTTTGCACTTGGTGGTATTCCTTGGGGTGTTTTCGGTATGTACATATGTATAATTGACCAGCGGCACAGCGTGAGCTCAGCGCTGGGGTTTTGTGGTCTCTGCGTTCTTGATATTGGAAGAGAATTGTTTTTATTGAGAGATCTGGCCACGATACCTGAGCGTAGATGGAAAAATACTTGGTAAGTTTCATGATCATCTCATCTCCCGACGAATTCGACTGAGTTGACGCCTGTTTTTCATTTGTTCTGAACGTGTTTAGCCTATGAGTGACCAATTGACTGAGTGCGAGACACGGCACCATTCAGCTTCCTTCCAGCTACAGCGAGTGATATGTCGACACAATGACCTTAACTCGCCTTAATAAGATGCAGAGCTTGAGAAGATGGGACTCCGGAGACAATGAATATCCAGAATAGTCCACTCACGGCATAATACACTCCAACTCATAGTACCCTGAGGTTGTATAGGGCAGTTTTTCTTTCTTCGGGAGACCTTTGGATCGTATGTAGCTTCCATTCATGCTGTCGAACATATATACAACATCGATTACGCAGTCGCTATGGCTCAGATCTTAGCATGTTAGTCTGGAACGATGAGGAGGTTGATGTGGGCGAACGCGTTGGTCCGTGCGGTGCCCGCGACATGGAACGACTGAAACGAGTATAACCATCACTGAGTAGGGGGGAAGGGGGGGATACTAGCAGTCGGGTAGGGGTGTTGTACCATTAGCTGAAACGACCCGTAGAAACCCGAACGAGATCGATGGTAAGGATACAGGGAAGCAACCTTTACAGCCAACGTACATAAAGTGATGCTGGATGAAGCAGAACCACGTAAAAAGCGAAGAACGAAAATATATTGCGAGTTCAAAGTCCAGTAGGTTGAAATCAAATGAAAGAAGTTCTTGTGAGTCCCTGCACTGAAGATTCGAAGCACGGACTCACAGAAACCATTGTTTTCTTGCTAGTTAGTGCATAATCTTTGCAGGATTAGAAGACTTAAAGAACGCAATCGTCGTGTTGAAGGAACAACTTTCATTTCAGTTGTCATAGTACCAATCGCAGCACACCGCAGCACCTAAATATGGGGGGTGCTGCGATAGGTGCTGCGGCGTGCTGCGGTACATGGGCGTTTCGTATCATAATGCAGAACTCACTTCGTAATACACGTCATAATGTAAACTCCAAAGCATTAATGGTATATTTTTGTCATCATAGGAGGCCGGAACTACGTAAGTGTGTAGCTAGACATACCGGCAGACATGGTTCACCGCGAGTACTAGTGAGAGTCTGCTCTACGAGTAAATAGTGCCTGCACATTCACGCTTAGTATGTTCACCCAGCCTGTCAGTATCTGGATTTAGAAAGCTGGAAGCTGAGATCTGTTGGTAGTGAAGGCACGAAAAGACAGAACTCAAGTGGGGACCCTTCAGTGCACCAGTTCAAGCTAAGTCCAGAGTGAGTTGATCGTAGTAAAGTCTTGAAGGATGTTGATAAACGACACTGAGAGGCATGTGGTTGGTGATAACATAAAGATAACTTCACTTTGGAACGTCGCGGCAGTTGCCGCAGCATTGTTATACAATGCCCGTTTGCCTGGCTAGTTAAAATGTTTTTCGTCACTTCGGTGTGCATTCATTTTATTGAAGACGCCTAGCCATAGCCAGCTGACTTATCACATACATCCATAGAGTCATTGAATGCTTGGCGTTCAGATCAGTGTCACAACTCTGACGGAATCACCGAACTTCCGGAATCCGAACCCATCATTCAGCATCATGATCAACGCTCATCAACGTATGGATGGATCTGCCCCACCCAAAATTGATCGTCCCTTACCCGTGCCGGTCGCTCTTGATAACCATTGTCAACCCACGCATGCATGCTCTCTGCTCTTCATACCGTCCATCCAGGCTGGGAGCTATCTTAGCGCTTACTCCATAAGCCTCGCAGTTAGTCTTATTGAATACCGTATTCTGCCGCGATGTCACTGGGAACTATACATATGGCCAGATCTGGCCTACTACCTTAGCGCAAGGGCAACGAATTGCCACGGCTTGACCTTATCTCCGCGTACGGCTGTGTACCTGCAACCTTGCCGTCCAGCCTACGTATCACGTTGAGCTTGAATGGCCTCCCACTTAGTATTTGCAGCGTACGGCATCTCCTCGACTCTTGCAGACTGACTAGCGGGTTCACTGGTGCACGACACTTGCTTGAGACACCGGTTCTGGCTCCTATGAATAGTGACTCCTCATATATAAGCACCGGTGCCGCACGGCAGGCACTCCCCTGTTGTTAAAGCCGGTGAACTTCGTACTCATACCGCAGCCTCAGAAGTGACTATAAATCTCCCGCCAGATTCCACATCGAATCCATCACAAGAATGAAGATTTCTACTACTATCTCTATACTACCTGGCTCTCCATCAAGCCTCTGGACAACCATGCGTTCGGTTGGCACATTCAATATCGCTTGTTCATTTGTAGCACTTTGGGCCTTTGTCAAAGTTCTAAGGACCCTCCGCTGGCGATTGAAGACCACTCAACTACGGGGTCCACCTCGTTCCAGCATCGTATATGGCGTTTCGAACGACCTCGTCTCATCTACAGATACTGCTGCAATGTATGAACGTTGGGCGGACGAATATGGGGTAGTATATATGATTCCGAGCGTCCTCGGGCAGACTAAAATCGTGCTATGTGACCCAAAAGCTATAGCACATTTCTATGCCCGAGAGACATGGACCTATGTACAGACGCCCCTTGCGTCAGTGATCCTAGAGACCTCGGTATGTTGATATCTTCTTCTGATTTCGTCTGTCTGATATCTCTCATCAGATCGGCAGAGGGGTACTATGGTCTCACGGTGAAAGCCACAGGAGGTGGTGTTCAAATCTTGTCCTCGCGCCAGTGACTGATTAATACCCCGCGAATTAGGCAGCGGAAGGCCCTCACGCCAGCTTTTAGTAACGCAGCTATTCGGAGACTTACATCAGTGTTTTATGACTCAGCATACAAGGTAAGAATTTACAACCTCGGAAATGCGACATCTCTCAGCTTATTCTACAGGTCAAGGGTGCATGGGATACTGCTATAGAATCGAGCAAGGATGGCAATGCGGTCATTGAAGTCCAGAACTGGTGCGTAGCTTTCCTGGCTTGAAAAGTTGCATTCTAAACAACTTCAAGGATGAATCATACCTCGTACGCGATGGATCCCTTTGCTATTTATTATTTAAGCCTTGAAACTGAGGCGACATCAGTCTAGATACGATTGGCATCGCCGGTTTCTCCCATGATTTTGGCTCGCTCGATGGGAAGCACGCTACCGTGACCGAAGCGTTTGATACGTTCGGGAACAATGCACGGGCCTCAGTGGCGAACAAGGTTTTTATTTTGCTCTCGGAAGTATTTCCTACCATCGCCAAGATTCCCACTAAGCGGACGATTCGGAACAAGAAACTTGGCGTGATCATGGGCGAAATATCCAACAAATTGTTGATTCGCAGTCGCCAGGAGAAGGGCGCGAATATGAACGAGGCAGAAGAGGAGAAGTCCGTTATTGGACTGTTGCGTACGTTCTCTGAATTTATCGTAGTCCCTTCATTTACGTCACGACAACAGTCAAAGCCGAAGGTCAGGATGCCGAGCTTCGCCTGTCCGAGGAGGAAGTAGTGGCTGAGGTCCGTGGAGACTATTCTAGCGACGGATTTCAAGCTAACGTCATGCAGATGAAGGTCTTGCTTCTCGCGGGTTACGAGACGACATCCAGTGAGTCGATTTCTTTTCCACTGCTATCATATTGGCTGATTCTTCGTTGCCAGTCAGTCTTACGGTTAGTCTGCTGTCCGATGATGTCTGTGCACAATATTCATGGAATGATCAGTGGGCACTGATCGAACTATCGCGACACCTCGATGTCCAAACCAGACTCAGAGAGGAACTGCTTGTGTTTGGTGCTGATCCGACATATGACCAATTAAAAGCCAACCTCCCGTTCTTGGATGCTGTTGTCCATGAAATTCTACGACTCCATCCTCCGGTATCCGAATTCGTTCGGCTTGTGAGTGCGCCTGCCTAACTTTGAATATACACCTGATAGTAGATCGCCAGGCCGCCGCAGACGATGTTATTCCTTTGGGTGAACCTGTGCGCACGGCGTCCGGGAAAATGACCGACAATATATCTGTAGCCAAGGGGTCATTGATTACGATCTCAGCCGGAGCAATCAATCGCTCTTTATCCATCTGGGGACCTGACGCAAAGGAATTCAAGCCTGACCGTTGGCTAACTGAAGGGGGCATCAGTGGGAAGGCCAAGGAAGTCCAAGGTCATAGGCATTTGCTGACATTTGTCGACGGCCCGAGGACATGTCTTGGAAAAGACTTTGCACTTGCGGAATTCAAGGTGATTTTTACGCATCCACTTGTTTCGACGTGACTCACTGCGATATAGACGGTTTTATCGGTTCTGGTGAAGAATTTCATGTTTGAGATGCGGGATGGACCAGATACTCAGCTTGAGATTGCGAGGGGGATTTTACCTCGTCCGCGGGTTGTTGGAGAGGATGGTATTGGGGTACCTTTACGCGTTCGTCGGTACGAATGATTGGTTGCTGACAGGTTTAAATATTTTCCTCACTTGTCCGCGGCTGGAGCTCTTGCATTGTATTCAGATCAGAAGTACCTGTAGCTTAATATCGTTACCACTCAATTAATATTGGCTCTCTATGCAATGAAAGGCTTGGGGAGTGGAGCCTGTCGTTCGATGTTCGTCCAGATCTCAGGTTCAAGGGATGGTTCATTCAACGGGACGCAAGCCCGCCTTGCTGAGAAATTTCAATATAATTGAAAAACAAGGATGATGATGATAGGGATGATGGCAATGATAGCGATTAGGACAGAAGACGTGCGCTTCACGAGGAAGCGGCTCTATACATAATATTCAAAAACGGAAGATGCACGCATATCCAAGCATAAGAATTCTTCATATAGCTGTCTTGGATATCAGTCAATCACTCGGGTTGTATAGTCTGCTCATCCACGCGACCACAAGTGTCTGCGTATCGTGATGACGGACATAAGAAGACAAGAAATACCGACATCGAGGCCAATGATCTTGCGATCGATACTAGAAAATACATGTCCTGGTATAAAAGCTTGGAGGTCTGTGAGTCCCAGCATCATGGAATTTGTAGGACACGTATACCGGTATCACTCTAGGTGGTTTACCTGGATACCGCGAGAAGCACAAGCCTTCTGCAGATCAGCGAGAAAAAACGCAGGACCTTCTGGATGGAGATCACTGCCACAGGACAAACATCCAGCGATTGCAGGGAGGGTTGCCAATTCGACTGTAGCAGCGGCAGCACAGTAGGGATGGCGTCGCAGGAGATCGCGAATGTCTCCAACGATGATGGTAGATTAAGAAAGGTTCCGTATCGAAATCCCATCCACCAATGCGAAGCCTTTGCAGGCCCGTGAACCTAGATGGCGCTCTAATAGTCTCAACGTCGCTCTGCGCCATCAACCTCTTGATGTGTAGCTGCTTCACAGAACTTCCAATGACCTCAACCAAGTGACCCATGCTCAGACCAACTTCTTGCACTTCCTGATGTTACGCTCAGCGTCGTCAGACGTCTTAGCAATAATCAAAAGTCGTCAAAAGTTCTAGCTAACACCCTAGTGTTAAAGTCGTGCGAGTAAGAGGATAGATTGCAGGCCCTGGTCTGTGTAGGTCAAGTTAAAGAGTACAAACAGTAGGTACGAGGTTTATATAAAGGTATTGAAGAGGCGAATGAATAATAGAAGCGGTGCTTAAATAGTAATGAGCCAATGAGAAAAAGAGAAAGAGAATTGTACGATAGAATGTTCTAGAAGTACACGTAATAGAAGTGTGATATGTGAAGATGTGAAAGTGTGAAGGGTGTGACATAGTGTGACTGTGACAGGTTTAGGGGAAAAAGGATAACCGTAACATTACCCCTGTTTTAGGTGATAATCTGAGTACTACGAAGAATAATTAAAGATGATGTGCTCGTTTATAAGAGGAAAGGATATCGGAAGCATTACCCATTTGTCTCTCTGTCATCCATTCGTTCTCGGAACTCAGGAATCCCTTCCATTTTACGTTGTAATATCTGCGTGAGGTTGAACCTCGATGTCCCACTGATGGCTTCTATCTCTTGTTCTTCCTCGCCGTCAATTAGGTCAGGTGGTGGTGCGACGAAGTTTGGACCATGAGTATTGTTTTCTTTATAAGGGGATAGAAGGGCGGCGTGGAAGACTGGGTGTATGCTGCCATTGTGTGGGGAGTAAGAGGCAATAGGTAACTGGGGATAGGACGTCGGAGATGGTAAATGGTCCCTCTCGTTTAGGTGCGAGTTTATGGTTGGGATATCCAAGATGAAGGTTTTTGGATTCGAGCCATACTTTATTGCCTTTGTTGAATGGTACGAACTTAGATGTGATTCGTTGTCTCATTGTATTGCGCGCTAATTCATGAGCGGCTAAAGCTTCGTCACGTGCTTTGTTGAGGATGATGAGACGTTGTTCGACGTTTGGGATATCGCTCTTTGGATGGAGGTTGGGAAGGTGTTTGGGGTGGTAGCCCATCATGAGATAGAATGGTGATGTTCCACGAGCGGAATGATGGCGGGAGTTATGGACGAACTCTGCAAGAGGGAGCATGGATGCCCAGCCAGTCACATCGTTTGCGCAGAAGATCCGGAGGTAAACTTCGAGTTCTTGGTTAACTCGTTCGGTTTCTCCATCACTCTGGGGATGGAACACAGTGGAAAGGGAGTTCTTGTATCCGAGGAGTTTTCCGAGTTCGATCTGGAATCTGGATGCAAATTGGGGTCCTCAGTCAGAGATAATCTTATCATAAAGTCCGTATCTAGAGAATACTTTAGAAAAGAAAACATTTGCGACACCTTCAGCGTCTATCGTTTTGTTGCATGGGGTGAGGATTACTCCCTTCGAAAGGCCATGGTCTACCACGACCATAATGCTATCGTAGCCATTGGAAGGTGGGAGGTCGGTTATGAGGTCGGTAGAGCAATGGGCGAAGGGTCGGTTAGATATTGGTGCGGGAATGGGGCACAGGGGTGGAGTTGACGGGTGCGTGTTTACTTTGTTCTGTTGGCAGATGCTACAACCGTCGACGAAAGTTCTTTATGAACGTGGATAGGCCGGGCCACCAGTAGTCTCGTGAGAGGAGTTCCTGGGTTTTGTATTGTCCTGGATGGCCTGCTGTAGGGGAGTCATGATGAAGAGAGGTAATATTGTGATGAAGGTCGCCTGGGGGTACATAAGTAAGTCCTTTGTAAGTAAGAATACCATCGGAAAGTTTCCAGTCAGATAATGATGATCAGAGAGGGGGAGGAATATTAGGGTTCTGAAGTGCATCAAGCGCCAGTTGAACTACTGGGTCGATGGAAGAAGAGATACGTAATTGTTCAGAAAGAGAAGCGGAATTGATGAACATATAATCAGGAAGGAGTTGTATACTAGAGTTGTCCTTTTCGACACTATCGTCTGGAAGGTGATCCGGTCTATGGGAAAGGGCGTCTGGAATAGTTAAGTCTTTTCCTGGTACAAACTTGAAACGGATATCGAATTGAGAGAGGAACGTTTGCCAACGTGCTTGGCGTCTATTGAGATCTTGTACGTCACGGAAGTAAGTGAGGTTCTTATGATCAGTTTGAACTTCTACTGGGAAGGGAGAGCCTAAGAGATAATGGCGCCAAGCTTTGAGCGCTCGAATGATGGCAAGGAGTTCTCGGTCATAGATCTGATAATTTCTTTCGGCGGGGGGCAAAGGATTGGGAAAGATATGAACAGGGGAGCCATTCGCCGTTAGGGTCTTTTTGGAGGAGTACTGCGCCGGTGGCATATAAGGAGGCATCAGTGGCGATGGCGAATGGGGAGTGTCGATTGGGGATTTGGAGGATGGGAGCGGAGGTGAAGATAGATTTCAACTTTTGAAATGCGGAGTTGCGTTCGTTGGTCCACTCGAACGGCATGTCTTTCTTTGTAAGATCTATCGGGGGACGAGCGATGGTTGAGTAGTCAGCGATAAAATGACGATAGAAGTTGGCAAATCCAAGGAAAGATCGGACTTCTTTGACTTTCTTCGGGGTTTCCCATTCAGAGATTCCTTTCAGTTTAGCCGGGTGCATAGCTACCGATCCAGGTTTGATGATCATGCCGAGATATTCTATTTCTTCTACGTTGAACGTGCATTTCTCCGGTTTGAGGTATAAGCGGTGTTCTCGAAGTCTTTCTAATACGCAGTGTGTTCGTTTCTGATGGGTTTTGAAGTCGTCTGAGAAAATCAGTATATCGTCCATGTAAATGATTAGCCATCCTTCCTGGAGCATATCTCCGAACATATCATTCATCATAGATTGGAAGGTGGCGGGAGAATTACACATGCCAAAGAACATTACCGTGGGTTCGAAGAGCCCTCTAGCCGTTGCAAACGCTGCTTTCCATTGATCGGTTTTCTTAAGTCGGACGTTATTATATCCCCATCGGATGTCCATTTTGGTAAAGATCTTTGCGTTCTTTAGCTTATCTATAAGATCAGAGATTAGCGGAAGTGGATAGTTGTTCTTAACTGTATGTTCGTTCAAGTAGCAATAGTCCTGGCAGGGTCGGAGGGAACCATCTTTCTTCCCAACGAAGAAGAATGGAGATGATTGTGGAGATTCGGAGGGGATGATGGTGCCTTTAGCGAGGTTTTCGTCAATGAAATCGTTCATGGCTTTCTCTTCCGCGGGATTAAGTGGATAAATTTTGCATTTACGCGGTTCGAAGGTGTCTTTCAGATCGATTTTGTGGTCAAATTTGCGTTCCGGTGGGAGAGTTCCATTAGCTACTTCTCCGAATACGTCTTTGTATTTTTGGAAGACCTCGGGTACGAGTTCTTCGAACGTCTTCTTCGGTTTGGCGGCATCCTGGGCGAGGGTTTGAGAAATATTGTCGGCTTTCCTGACTAAAGTTCCTCGGGTAGAGAAGTATCGGTGGTCAGCGGGGATGTGTTCATCTGTGAGAGGGGATTAAAAGGTTTCATAGGTTCCAATGACGTGATCGCCTTTGCAGTATGCGATCAAGAATTCGTCAGGTTCCAATTCTTCCTCTGTGTCGTCGGCAGGTTTGGGGTCAAGGAGTTTGGGAATTTCGGAGGAATACGGGATACTTTCCATAGCAGGATCCCATTCATCTTCTAGGGTTTCCTGAGTGTCGAAGAATGTTTGTTCTTCTTTGTCTTCGACTTCTTTGATATACGCGCTTCGTTCGTGTAGTGTTACTTCTTCTTTTGTCCAGTCTATTTGAGGGTTTTCTTCTTTTAGCCAGGAAATTCCCAGGATGATGTCCTCTCCTCCTAGAGAGGTTACAAGGAAACGTCTTTCCATGTGAATTCCTTTGATTCGGAATGATAATTTACAAGCATGTGTGATCTGACCTTGCTTGTTGAGCGTCCCGTCAACATTCCTAACTTTTATTGGTTTTCTTAGTTTTTCTGTGGGGATGGAGTTCCGTCGTACGAACATCCAGTCGATGAACTCCCCTTCTGCTCCACAGTCAATTAGAGCTGCGGCTTCGGCGATGCTAGAGTCAAAGGTTAAAGGCAAACGTATAGAATTAGAGTCGCCGATCAATTGTACTACTAGTCTGATTCCAGGAGATACTGATGCCGGTTCAGTCTCCTCTAGGCAAAATCCTTCTCTTCCGACTTCTTTGCCTGGCGCACTTTGAATGCCTTCCACTCTAAAAACTCTTTGTAGTCTTCATCGTCATCTTTGCTCGCCTTCTTGGCAGCGGTCTGGGTGCGTGGTGTAAACGCCGGATGGTTGGGGCAGTCTTTGATGAGGCCTTTCTTTCCGCATTTGAAGCAGAGGCCGTTCTTGCGTCTACGCTCTCTCTCCTGCGGGGTTAGGTAGGCTTTCTTTACTTGCCGTTCTTCCTCCTCTCCTTCTACTTCCGTCCTATCTATGTCCATAGCGTAGGGGTCTCGGGATTTGTAGTTAGTGGGTGCGGTAAAGTTGCAACGTGATTCTACTTCTAAGGCTTTTTCAAGCCAAGTGTCTATGGTTGTCGGTACATTCTCGAAGTTTAGTATGGTATTTACGATTTCTTTCTTTAGTCTGTTTCTAAAGAACATAATCTTCATGCTTTCTTCCGTGATGCCCATGTCTGCTAGGATGGTGTGGAAGATGGACGTGTAGGCTGGTACACTGCTTGTTTGTTTCAAGGTGGAGATGCGACGGATTGCTGTGTCCACGACGTTCTTTGGGTGAAACGTCTTCTTGAATTGTTCGAGGAAGTTTTCGAAGGTTCCATAGGTTTTGGTAGTGCTGGCATCTTTAAATTGCCCTTCCGCCCATTTAGCGGCTTCTCCTCTGGTCATGAGGGATAGTACACATACGATTTTCTGTTTGTTGATGGTGTATACGGAGTCATTGATATCAAGGTAGGCTTCTACCTGTAGAAGCCATCCTTTGGCGGTGCGGGTGTCACCGTTGAAGGCAGGGGGAACATTGCCTATCAATTTGGGCATATCGTCGTCGTCGTCTGAGGTAGGTTCTAGATCTGATTCGTCTAAGGGTGGTTGTTGAGCTGGGGGAAGTGGTGTGCGGACTGGGGGAAGTGGTACGTGTGCGGGGATAGGAGAGACGAGTGGGGTTTCTGGGTAGTCGTTGTCGACATAAGATTGGGTGTCAAAGTCCCAATGTGTTCCTTTCTTGGCTTTGCTGTTTCTGAAGGTTCTCCACTGGTGGATAGTGAATACATTGTCGTCGGTGTCAGGTGCGGTCCAAGTTCCTAATAGTGCATCCCAGGTGAAGCCGGGGTACTGCTTTCCGTGTGTGGCCGTTTTGACTTATCGGGTAGCAACAGCAGTATAAACCGCGGATGCTAAGTCAAGGGTTCGTGGTGGTCGCCGAAGTCGGGGGACAGGCGGTCTGAAAAGTAACTTGACCTTTTGTTACGCTCAGCGTCGTCAGACGTCTTAGCAATAATCAAAAGTCGTCAAAAGTTCTAGCTAACACCCTAGTGTTAGAGTCGTGCGAGTAAGAGGATAGATTGCAGGCCCTGGTCTGCGTAGGTCAAGTTAAAGAGTACAAACAGTAGGTACGAGGTTTATATAAAGGTATTGAAGAGGCGAATGAATAATAGAAGTGGAGCTTAAATAGTAATGAGCCAATGAGAAAAAGAGAAAGAGAATTGTACGATAGAATGTTCTAGAAGTACACATAATAGAAGTGTGATATGTGAAGATGTGAAAGTGTGAAGGGTGTGACATAGTGTGACTGTGACAGGTTTAGGGGAAAAAGGATAACCGTAACATCCAATGACTCGATGCTTTTGGAACTGGATGCGAATAGCCAGTTACACAGACCAGGAGATAAGTCTGTCTGGTATATCGATGAAACTATGTTCTAGGACATGGGCATCACCGTGAATCTGAAGTATCTCGAAGGACTCGAGGTCCTGCCTAAACACTTGGAACCCCTCCAGATATGGGTACTTATGAAGGGACCATATGGGCACGTACAATGTTGAATTACATATTCCGGATGATGCGAACACGTGTATATGCACTAGTCCACAAATGCTTTGAAGCCTCTGCAGGATGCTCAGCATCTAATGAAGCATCACCCTAGGCTCGTTCGCTCACTGGGGGATTGACAAACCACGCAGTTTCCTACTCGCTCTCTGCCCATCTCCGATCCACAAAACCATCTATTTCCCTTCCAGTATTCCTCGCCATCTCTTCAATCTCTGGAGTGCCTTTTGGGCTGCGGACTAAATTCTCCATTGTGATTCCCCACTCGGTCACTGCAGGCAGACATTTCGGCAGGGTGGATGGTGAAGGTGGAGGTGGAGGCTCGTCATTGCCTGTAAATCCACATAGTCCGTCCTCACCTGTTCATGGGAGGGTGATACTTAACCATGTCTAACTATACACAGTACGTTTTGTAAGTTTGTTTGTAAACCATCAATCCCCTACAATTAAGCTTAATGGCTTCTGATTCCTTTGGTGATTCTCAGGCTTCCAAGAATCGCACTACCACCGGAAAAATCACCAAATTGGAATATTCCAATAATCTCACTATTCCCACATACCTCCCTGGCTCTACTGCTGCACCAGAGCTTTCCCCTTGCTCACTCATGTATATAAGTAGTAGAATGGCATGTACATACATAAAATGATACAATAGACCGCTTTTTTCATTGTCTGAGAGCTTGTACAGCAGTCTACAGTGCTGACTACAATATGTGCATCCCAGGACTAAAACATATTCGATATTTTGCCCCTTTAGCAGGGAAGCAATTCTGACTGTATATATCATATATTATAGTGTTAATGAATATATTACACCGCTTATTTGAGCCTCTGAAGTGTCCTACATCAGTAGATATGTTAAATTCATGAATACCTCTCAAAAAACATAAACCAGTTCGCATTTTTTAGTGTTTAGGTATATAGACTGGTGAATATTATTCCTAACATCTCTTCACTAGTATATACAATATATCAAGAGTATATGTCAGTAGGATCAGTCCCTGGGGTCATATGTATTGTCATCTTCCTGGTGGTTCACCCCCTGAGAAACTTTTTCCTGCAGCTCCGGCTCTCTAGGATGGTATGTAGTCTGTTACTATGAACATATGGAATATATTTATCACATAGGTATAACAGAACAATACCAGGATCCTTGTCTACAATCCAAAGTCACTTCCTGCCTACAATGTAACATATTTTCGCATTTTTGAGGTTTTTCACTCTATTCTCACTACATAGACTATACCAGCTGTTCATATATCCCTTATAGTACATATATAAAGCCCTCCCAAGGCCATGATCAAGTAGAAATATGTCAGAGTAATGATATCAAGCACATATCTCCTATTCTCACTGATAAGAATTCCCAGACATGAATATAGTAAAATATTATAATCAGACTATTATAGAGTACACTATATATACCAAGTAATACAGTTCTCGACTACCAGAAGGATCCATGAATAATTGACAGCAGGGGAATCCTATAGATAAGAAAAAGGTCGTGGGAAAGTCAAAAAGTTCAAACATCGAAAAAGTACTATGCACCAACAGTCTATGCATGGGTGGTCTCACCATAATAATGCAACAAATTGAGACCACAACACTTCCACATTGCCTTTACCTTCACAACATATATTAGTATAGTATATTTAAGTAGTTTACAATGTATTCTATACATGACTGCTGTACAATGAAAAAAGCGGTCTATTGTATCATTTTATGTATGTACATGCCATTCTACTACTTATATACATGAGTGAGCAAGGGGAAAGCTCTGGTGCAGCAGTAGAGCCAGGGAGGTATGTGGGAATAGTGAGATTATTGGAATATCCCAATTTGGTGATTTTTCCGGTGGTAGTGCTATTCTTGGAAGCCTGAGAATCACCAAAGGAATCAGAAGCCATTAAGCTTAATTGTAGGGGATTGATGGTTTACAAATAAACTTACAAAACCATACCATTTCTAATCAGTGAGTATTATGCTAAATTTTAACAGTATAGCCTGCCATCCTACTGAATCTATGTATCAATTTCTGCAGGAATAAGAGCCGGGTGGAAGATAGGAACTTGCGACCAGATAAGAGTGTGTTCAATTTCGATAGGAACAGAGTAAGGCCAGTCATTCTGAATAATACTGATCAGCTCTGAGTCAACAGGGATATCGGTTCTGAAGTATTCAGGTGCGTCTGGGGGCAGCAGTGGGAGTGGCTAGTCAGATTTAGAGTGTGAGATAGACACTTCCTTCGGCCTGGTATCACTATTGAGTACTGAGGGTAAGAGCGAAGAGTATCAGGCTTTCCCCATTGGAGACGGTGGTTGATAAGGTAGTTTATTTGAGGCCATTGAGCGTTCTCGACGTGTTCTTACTCTATGACACACACCCATTGAGCCACACTCTTTTACAATTCCCGGAGACCACATGTTATATCTCTTTTGCAGTACCCTATCACGCTTTAGCAGCCTGAGATCCCTTGATCAATTTTGTAGTGTCAGCATTGTCAGTCTTGTTCACATCGACGATAAAATATACCCAGAATTCACAAAGGTCTTGAGCTGGACCCATGTGAACTTGGCTGGATAGTGTGAGAGCAGTTCTTCTCTTGTCGGAGGACCTGCATGTAGGGGAACTTGTGTGATCTTCTGGGAAACGTCGTCTGATGTATCCAAGGGCGGCTCTATGGTCATCGTCATTAACAAGTAATGTGGATGTAAATGGACCTGCAGTTTGTTTACCAAAAGCTTTAGATCCAAACAAACAATGTGACTCTTCTCCCACCAACTGCCTCAACAACAAACATGAGAAGGTCCAGCCTGGGGCCACATGGAAGGACAACCGCATGGTGGGACATCAGCTGTTCCCATCCTGCCACCATTCGTATGTGAAGCCACCTAGTGAAATTTACACTAGGTCCATCACTAATGAAAAGACCTTGTCAGACATTAATTCACGGGTTTTACTTACCTCTATTACATCGCGAGGTAATGAGCAGAGTTGCCAGAACTTTGAGAGTAGTAGAGTATGTGGGTAGACTCTACCATAGCATCACCAAAAGTCCCAAACCTAGATCTACTTAGATATGGAAAGTGCAGGCAAGTGCTAGTTGCAGCACCAAGGAACAGGTGCATCCGGTTGGTCAGGTACCAACAGCTCAAAATCATCCAGATATTGACATCTCCGAAAGCTCACTTGATGTTCATTGCGCTGTCATACTGCCAAGTATCTTATCACATGCTGGTTGTATCTAAGTCCTGCCAAGCTGTTGTCATCTAGACATTGTAAGATTGTGAGACTGGTTTTAATGCTCAATACGAGTTATCTGCCAGACATCCTGTCATATGCTGGCTGCATCTAAGTCCTGGACTCCTGCCATACTGCCTTCATTCAGATATTGTGACATCATACAAGTAGTTTGCTGCTCAGTGCTCAACTACTACAGTCAGACCACTGAATGTGTGATCATATGCTGATTATGCTCTGATATCCTGCTGACGCATGATCAGACCAATCATAAAATATAAACACATATCATTCTGATAGTACAATTTCTGAGCGTGGATACATGGCAGCTGAAAGTATGAAATAAAGAATCAAGATGGGGGCTGAATGTATGAATGATACAAAAACTTCAAATGAGGAGATCAAAGGCGTATACGGCACTGCCTAGGAAAAAATGGTGCACATGAACCCTACTAAGGAGCGCATCAGTCTAAAGCAGAAATGTTGTTTAATCAGACTCAGAAAACACACCCATGAATGAGAATTACTTTCTGCCCTTCAAGCTGCGAGTCTTCTTGGAGGCAGCAGTAGTCTTACCAACATTCCTGGCATGTTTGGGTGGACTCAGAGTGGGCACCTCTGTCTCATCTTCAGTGAGAGGACTGTCATCTTCAATTCTGTCCAGCCTTCGCTTGCCGGACCCTATTTCTGAGGCTGTAGATGGGAAGTTGGGTGTCATACTAGGAACAGGTGATAGCAGAGACCCAGCAGGTGAGACTGGTGTGCTGGCAGCCTGGGATTGTTGTGTAGTGGGGTCAGTTAGGACCTCAGCAGCAGCTGCAGCCTCAGGCAATATTGTCTGGGTATTGAAGCTAGTTAGTTAAGAATGTTGTAGAGTAATGTATTCAACACACCTTATGATGTGCAGTTGCCATATGCATGTTGTGCTGTTTCCTCATCAAGGCAAGGTTGTCGCCATTGTCAACATCGTCATCACTCAAATCAACAGCAACAAGGCCCCTCTTGTGATCAAAAACCACCCTTGATAGAATTAGCACACCAGATCAATGTAAGACGGAGCAAGGATACTCAACTTGTTCCACCATTCAAGCAGTGACACTGCCCACATTTGATCTGGTGCATCTTGGATTGCTTTGATGAGTCAGGTATATGCCTCAGGATAGCGATACATGCCATCAGTCTCTACCCATTTATCATGCGTGGCAATACTGAAGCGACTTTATAACATCTGTTAGATAGTGGTATAAATAAATTCTATTGCAGAACACACCTGGATGAATGCATATGCAATATGCTCAGCCTCAACCTTCTCCATGCCATGTAATTTGGCATTACCTGAGTGGATCGTGTTCGCATCTCCATCAGGGAGGAGCGCAGATGATGGGGAAGTGAATATGTGACAGAAAACCTAGATACATGAGACTTTACTGACAAGAGAAGAGGAGATACTCACACGCTTCAAATAATAACTTTGTAAAAATCCTTCTTGAACATTGTCTGGGTCAAAATCTGCGCCAGGTGGATCACCTGCATATGAAAATGCAGGCCATGCAGCCATTTGCATCTTGATCACTGCATTCTGTAGTTGGGCTTGTACTCTAAAAGTCACCAATGAGATGGTTGGGTATTTTGAAGAACATGCATGTACTTTTTTGGATCTTCATGAAATGCTTTGACATGCTTGATAGGACACAGCAGCGCTGCAAGTTGGGGGTGATTAACGCCAAGTTTAGCACAAGATTTGTTGTCAGTAAAAATTGTAGGGCTCAGCCCCTCATCTGTAGGCCTTGGGGCGGCATACTGTCCAATGCAAGTTTTCAGGTGACTGGTATCATCTGACTGTACCTGACTCATAATGCCCTGCATCTTCAAGTTCTTGGAGCTCAAATGTAAGGTGAAGTGCATTTATGTAATGGATAACCTTGGTCAGGACATCCAGTAGCTTGAACTGTTGTTTGATGCTTCCGTATGCAAGTATGCGCAGGTATGGTGCTCCTGCTAAGATCTTTGTAAAGTTTTTCATATGCCGTTCTTGGGAATCTTCGCTTCTGTAAAGGCAATGTTATCCAGCAGCTGAAGACAATGAAACAAAATGAAGCACTTACATCAGAGACAAGACTTCCTTCCTCTGTGCCTTGACTGATTCATCCTCTGGTTTATCTGACACCTGGGCAGCCTAGTCCTCTTCCATCAACATGGCAATGCAGAACATATCATTCAGGATGCAGAACATGTCAACAGCCCGAGGAATCCAACATGCAAAATGCAAGCACTGTTCCCATGGAGCAATATTGCCTTTTCTATTGTATAAGGTGAGCTATAATGTGGCATTGCACTATTGAGTATCAAGTTGGTGTACCTTTTATTATTTACTGCCTGTTAAGGTTGTGCTCAAGGGAGAGGTTACTCAAAGGGCTTCAGCTTCAGCTCATGTGCTGCACCCCTTACCCGAGTACATGCCCTTAATTTCTGGGAGGCAGAGGGGAAGTCCGACAGAAGTCCGGGGAATTCTGGAGGACAGAAGTCGGTGGAGTTTGGCAGAACTCCGGAAGACTATGTGGGGATGGAGTAAGGCTACTATGGAAGTCCAGAGTAGAAACAGAACAGAGGTTAGACTACCCTAAGGTAGAGCTGGAGAAGTAGTCCTAATTTTTAACCCCTAAGACTCGGAAGTGGACAAGAGATGAGACTCAAGTCCGGAGATTGTAGGAATGAGCAGAACTAAGATGATATTTGAACTGAGGAGTTCTGGAGTATTACAGGGGTTTACATACTGTAGGTATCATGTAAGTAAATCAGTCAGCAAAGGTAAGGGCTATGTACGAAGCATGTGGAAAGTCTATTACTAAGTATAACAGATCAAAGCAGTGAAGTCGGAAATGAAGTAAGAATGGACAGATCAGTAAGCATAGTGGAATAGGACATAACCAGTAACCGGAGCAATAGCTAATCTAAAAGGAGTTAGGGGTGAGTGCAGAGATGAAGGCGGAGCGCCGGGTGGAATAGTAAGACGGAGGACCGGACTTTAATGAAGTAGATCTGGAATTCTGGATCCAGAGGATGGGATATGACACTGCCACCCTATCAGTTCAATGGATCAGGTCAGTTTTCTCATGTGATTGTAAAGCCTAAGTGTCACAGTATGGTTACTTGATGTGCTTCTTGGTGCCCTTTTTGAACGTAGCCTTAGGGTTTGGAATTGGAGATGATAAGGCGGTTCCATCTGATATACTAGAGGCTGACTGGGATGTGGAATCGCTGTCTGACTTCAATGACATTGCTGGTGATTTGGCTGGCAGGCCAGAAACTTTGTGATGCGGCATGAATGGAAGGGGAAGAAACTCAAACTCAAATGTGTGGCTCACTCATTGCCCAAGGCAAGATTGCCGTTCCTTCAATGGCGTCATATAGCTCAGGAAAGGGATAGCTTGGATTATAGAGCATCCAAGACATACGACCGACTACTGCGGGAGTATAGCCTGACTCAAAGTGCCTGTAAATAGTCATACTTTGGGGGCAACTTGGCCCAGGCCAGTACCTCCAACGGTGTTCCTGAAGCTAGGTTAGAACTAGAGTAATAAAATAATCCGGATCATTATCTTGACATACAAAAGTGTGGAGTAACCAGTCGCTAGTTATAAGTCTGGTCCTGAAGTTTAGTCAACAGGCCCATACAGACAAGGCCTGCAGAGCTTGGTTGATCAGGAGACTTCAGATTTATGAGATCTGCCCAGGGTTCAATGTTATACAATTCAACATCAAGAAGATAAATACCTATAATCCACCACTACTAGTATAGTTGAACTTTGGAGGACCCAAGAAACATGTCATTTGACCATCCCTCTGCTCAGTTCGAGTTTGAGGCTCTTAGCAGTGTCAGCACAAGCCAAGACTCGGAGGACGATGGCTCAAGGAGTGCCACTCCAGAAAGCCACAAAGCCGAGTGTGTTGGATATCAATCACATGGGCAAGGTGCCCCCTCATATTCCTGTGGACATTATAAGTACAGCAGAAGTGAAGGGTTCAAATGCTCCCAACCTTCACAGCCAGACCTAGAGACTTCAGACAAACTACTGGAGCAGGTAAGTCATCTGCTGCTAATTATGCCTAGTTATTCTGATGGTCCAAACTGTAGGAATTGGAAGCCAGTTAGGGCCAGGGCAAAGGCTCTGAAAATGCTGGTAAGTTACCATTTCATCCAAAGTGAAAGAGATCTGACTCAAATGATGTGTGTGAGCCCAGTTTAGTTTTGTCAATGTCAGTCTTTTGAATTTCATGCTCACACTTCATGTAGACACTGAGCAACTTTGGCAAGGACCTGACCAATGTATGGGCAGCATCAATGCCAGCTATAGAAGTACTGTGGAAGCACAGGAAGCTAGGACAAGAATCCAAGTTTGACTGTTGGGAATCACTGGCATTGGCCAAGGTTGCAGGCGATGTAGCAGTCATGCTTGAAGCTGTGAATGTGATTCAAGACGCTGTTGATAAGCAGAGCAGAATTCTTTTGGAGGTCTGCAACACTATTGAGAACCATGGGATGTGAACTTTGTATTGTACTTGATACAACAGTGTAATAGTAACAATAGGTGCCAGCCCTTTCAGATAGTATGTATGCTGAGACAGGGAGATGTGAATGAAATGTATACAAAGGGAGAACAACAATACCTTTGAGACTCTAGTCTGAGTCTGAGTCCCAGTCACTAGAATCCAACTCTGCATCAGTTCCTCTCAAACCTCTGGTGAACTTGAGCGCCAAACCAGGCTCTTTGTTTTCCAAGACTTGGAATGAGGAGTGAGGGAAGAACCAAACATTAGATACTCGTCCTGGTGTAATGCCGTCTTCAGTAATACCAGGGAGTGGCTTCCACAGTCCTATCCCATGGTAGAGGGCTCCGCCCATGAGGATTATAACATCCCCAGGACAGTATCTAGAAAGAATGAGCCCAATAAGCTGTGCAAAGTGAAAGGCTTACTTGAGTTTGAGCTTGAGATCGGTGATGTAACATTCTCCACCTGTAAATTTACCCATGTTGAAGATGATAGATGGACCCGCATCTAAGCCGTCCTGATGGGGCATGACTTGTAGTTTCCACACCAGGACTCTTCCAAGGAGGGGCCCTGGATCAGTTACCATCCAACAGCCAGCGAGAAAGGCAGCTTCATACTTGGTGTAGAATGCTGGAAATGATACCCAGAACATTTCTCCCAACAGAATGGCCAACTCTTGGATGTCCTCAAAATATGCATGGACGTGTAGGGCCCCATGAGCGTTAGAGACCATGTCGGCCGAGGGATGAAGGCTGTGCTAGAAAATGCATAAGTAACGTAGAGGCAGGGTAGATTGTACTCACAATGATAGGATCATGGGCCTGATCTGGCCATGCATGTACTAGGTGTCTGGCACCAGTACGCTCGGATGCAACAGTATGGTCTTCATAGACGTATTCAGTACCTGCATGGATAAAGCTCCTACACGTGCCATCTTCACATGGGTCTTCCAAGTCCTGAATGCCGTCGACCTTAACATATTACAGGAGATGGTCTTCCTGGCCATGGTGTCCATCCTGGGGGCTTTTATGGACATCTATGTGGTGGAGGAGGGTTTGTACAGCCACCATGACCTTGGCAAGCACGCCATCCTATCCTCTGCAGTAAGTTGCCTGTTGTCTGGCGGGATTGCTAGGGGTTCACCTGGATACCATCAAAGTATACCTTTTCACCCTCTTTGGCTGCCCGATCTAAATCATCAGAGGATCTCCCCATAGACAAGGGGGTGTTGGGCCCAGGAACGTAGTAATTGTAAGCAAAGGGGCCCTGTAAGATTGGTGATTAAATCTATAAGTCATACCAATATTTCTTGCTGACGTCAACTTACCAATTTTGGAGCAGGCCCAGCATGCTTTCAGGCAAAATAAGCCACCAAGGGCTGATCATGTTCATCAAGGAACATTCTGCTGATCAACCCTTAATAGACCATATTGCTGACTATGGTATGCTACAGCTGTTGCCCCATGGAATCCTGACTCTCCAATCTACCAGCACTGGCAACTGGACTTACCCTGACAATGTCTTAATTGGAGGCCCCATGTGTCAATCTTGAACCACAAAGGAACTGGAGGGAGGTGGACTGGGAAGCCTTTAATGAGTACCTCTCAGCTCATATCTCCACTAGCCCTGCCTTCCCACTTGCATCTAACAATGAATTCCAAGTGGCCACTTAACATCTTACCCAAGAAATAATAGACACCATTGAAGCTTGTGTTCCCTACTTAAAGCCATGCCCACACTCTAAGTGCTGGTGGACACATTGCCTGACTAACATATGGGACTGAGTGAAGGAGCTCAACAAGCTGGCTTATCAAATGTGGGGCCTACCTCTCCACACTTGCCATAAGAAACTCACAGCTGCTCAGAACTGGTATGCAGAAGGAATGATATCAACAAAGAAGCAACATTGGGTGGACTGGCTCGAAGATATTGAAGGTAATGACCTTTGGACAGCTAACCAATACATTTCATTGGAGCTGTGTGATGGTGTTAGTGTTATGACCCACGTCCAACAATAATGTTGAAGGAGAGTTCACGACCACTAGGACTCGGTCAGAGATGACGATGAGTAACAGGATTGGATTGAGCGTTGAACGTCTAGGTTACTACAACAGTAGAAACGAAGAGGTTAAGTCTAAGGAGCTCTCACGCTAACTACCCTACTTTTATACATAACATTGAATAGGAGTCTGAAAGAAATCAGCCAATAAGAAAAGAGTCGTACGACTACTGCGGATGACTAAAGATGACTCATGATATATAAGCAGATGAGTAAGACGGCAACTAAACAGAAACCCAAGTTCCGACCGGTTCTTCTTTGGGAAGCGAGATTGTTCTAGCCCGTGGAGTAGGGGAACCAATTGGAGAAGTAACGGGTGACCTATGACGCGGAGTCACGTGACCAGCTCGGGTACTGGAAGTAGCCAAAGGAAAACCGAGAAACGAAAAATGGTTTGTATTAGGAATTCGTGACAGTTAGGTACAGTGTTCAGATGGAGAAGTGAAGGGGTTGGGGCTTGGCTTCAGCTCCTACGCTGCACCCTTAGCTGAGTACATGCCCCAAATTTGGAGCAGAATCAATGTTGTCCAACAATAGGACAATGGGACCACTTTGGATCACTTTAAGGGTCAGGAAGTAAAGGCTTCTAGTGGCAGGCCAACTAGGAAGCGGGGTGGATGGAGTGGAGGAAGTGTGTTGGAGTGGAAGGGATCAAGTGGAAGGAGGTAAGGATATATTGGACAGAGGGAGGTAAGTATAATAACTTAGAGCGTGGCTCTGAGTTGGAGCAGAGGAGTAGAGGAGCAGAGGCAATGACGAGATGAGACTTGTGTCTGAAGTGAGCAAAGTCCTATGAAGAGTTCCCACAGTAGAAACTGAGGGAAGACAAGTAATATTAAGACTCAGGAAACTACAAAGGTACAGGATATGTTTATATACTTCTAAGTGAGGAGGCAGTGATCAGTAATGCATATCAGCAAGCTATGTGCTGAGTGTACAGAATGTAAGTAAGTTTACTGAGGGAAACATACATGTCAGAGTGCATATCAATATGTACGAGACAGATCAGTAATCAGATGGCTATAGGGATAACCAGTGATCCAGGAAGTAAGAGTTATGTACCAAAGGGGAAAGTATATACCTAATGGAGAAATTGTTCCAGTTGCTAAAGACTTTGCAATGGCTTATGTTATGTTGGTGGACATGCTGAAGCATCAAGGTGGGGATACAAGTGGTCAAGAGCACACAATTCTTGCATTGAGACCAATAAATTTGCACTAATGGATTTCTCCATGAATAAGCACAAGGACCCTCTTCGCAGGGCTGCACAACATTATCTTGGATCACACCACTCTTCTCTCCATAGACTCACCCATTATTATGACATTGTCCCAGTATGAGGGTCAGTATCTGGCTGGGCTGATATTTAGGGTTTTTACTTAGTTTTCTATACACCACTTTCCTTAGTTTGTCTTTGCATTTTTACTGCTCAGATAAGCAATTAATTCTTCACCAGTTACTAGCATCAATCTGGAGTGACTAACTTTTATGATGATATTCTATTCTGTATGAGTACTATCTAGCTTTAGTCCAGAAACCCTCTAGGGTTGAATGCACCTCCTTGCAGATATAGCAGCAGGCAGAAAGACCCAACAATTGTCCCACCCACTCCAGGACTTATTTTTCCCACAGTGTGTTTTCAATTGCCAGCTCTTTTTTCTTCTGACCACCACCTGTATGTCAACTAACTGTCTTTTAAAACAAAAGGGCAAGGCTGCCATGCCCAAGCCAGCTAGAGAATCAGGGCTCAAACCATCAGGACTTCCAGCTGCTAAACAACTCAACATTGCAGCTGAACAACCTTCCATGTCAGTGTTTAGTTTCAATCCACATGAAAAGAGTCAAGATGACATGTAGGAAGGCAGTCAAGCCTCTTATGAGGACATGTACACATCTGGCCCCAGCAGGGAGCAATATAATGATATGCAGCATGCCTATAACTATACCAGGACTTATTTCACACAGCCCCAATTCATTGGCACTCAATTCATACAACCTCAACCCCCCTACAACAATCATTTTATGCAGCCTGAACTCTTCCCTGATGGCAATAACAATGACAATGACAATGATGGTATATCCATCTATAAGGGCAACACTTATGGTCAGGGCCAATTTAGCTCCATGGGGGATCAGCTGTACACTTTGAGTTCTACCAGGAATTAAATTCCACAGAACATGTTCTCTGATAACAGCTCACTCTTACCTAACTTTGAAATGCATAGGGGCCTGCAGGAGGGCAACACCCATGTGCATTGAATATCATTACTACAATGGGTTGATGAAGCACCTGACAAAGGAGTTGGTATCATAGACTGAGGGAATGATTTTATCCCTCTGGCCATGGATCTAATGCTGATCCAGTGAGGGGAGATCCCTCATGAGGTTGTCCATGTGAATTCCCTCTTTTTCACTCATTCTATCTAACAGTTGCACAGATAGGGGGGGTCAGCACCCACTACAAAGAAATGCAACACTGGGGCTACATTGCCCAGAACACCATACTTTGTGCTGCAAGCCCCTCACAGCATCACAAAACTGCAGACAAACACCACAGGACTGCAGACACCCATCATTGAACATCTGGCAGTGATATCAAAGACCATACATGTGTCCAAAGACAATATCACTTGTGCTGTGAAGGGGGCAAAGGTTCTGATCATGTGGGTGATGTTTACCAAACACACAATGATATAGAAGTAAAAGAACCACATCACTCAATTTGAGGACACAATCAAAGATTCAACCCCTCATTTTTGGAGGCTAATTGTGAGTTTATTCTCATATCCTTCATATCATTCCACTGATATTCATAGCTGTGGTCAAATTTTTTATCAATAATATCCACCTTAGACAGGTCTTGAACACATTATTTAGCACACACAGGAAAATCATTCAATTTTCATGTGATGGCATCATTGTATTATACAAGCTGTTCCCCCTATGAGGGGGCACTGCAACAGCAGAATACCGTCACATAATGATGGTGAACAAACTGATCTGGGGCGCTGACCTTTTACTCTCTATGCACACAACTTCTGTAGATGAGGTATGTTGATCTTACAAGTTTCTAACACTTTATACTGACTATAGGGTTTTTTCAGCATGGGAATATCACTGTAGATGCAAAATTTCAAAATATGTTTATTATGGCCAGTGTCATTTGATTTGTGTGGCACTCAGGATGTGAAGTCTTTCTTGACAACTTATTACTGAAGGCTATGAGATATGTGATGGCCTTGGTTGGCAGTACTATGCACTGTACATTGCAGGAACAACAATCAGCTGTCATCACAGTCAACACTTTTGGTGGTTAACACCATGAAGAAAAATTCAAGGAGATTGTGTCAACTTTTGATAACCTCACCACTGAAGAGATGGTTGAGCTCAATAATTATTTGCAGTATATGTTAGATGTTGGACCATCAGGAAAACCCTAATTTATCTAAATTCAATTTGATCAAGCTTGAATGACTTAATCCATTGAGAGTGTGATCAAGACAAACTAAGTTCAAGGTCATCAAGTATCAAATTTTTAAGGCAAAACAAGCAATTCTATAAGCACTAAACTAGTAGAGTCCAAGAGTGATAAAGCAATTGAGAAAACAAATTAAGGTGGTCTAGTAAAATGGAGTAGAAATGGACAATTAGCATAGCACAAGCTGCAGAAAATTGCAATGGGAAAAATGGCACACAAAAGGCATGTATTAAAAAAAGTAGAGAGAAGGATAGAGAAATGACAAGCCAGCAGATAAGGAGGAAATGCACAAGTTGATGCCAGAAATTCCATGTAGAAAATGATGTTTCTTGTAGGACAAATAAGTCATGGAAATATGGAGTGGGTGCACAGGTCCTTACAAAAATGTTATCGGAATGTGAAGAGGTCTGTATACTCATCTTCTGTGTTGTGGTTGTCAGCCACATCATCCTCTGTACTGTTGTCATCATCATTAGAGTTTGAAGTGCCCCTCTGCTTATGTCCTGAGTTCTTTATGAACTGACATGCTTTAGCAATAATGCCATGACATGTGTCCTCTGGAATGCACTTCATTGCTTTAAGCAGGTGGTTGGCATCATGTCTCTAGTGTTCCTTTGAAAATGCCTCATACACACTAGCCTTTCCATTTTCCTGTGGATCAATGGCTTTCTTCTTACCCTTTTCAGAAGGTTCAACAACCTCAAAGGTGATGCTGTTTTCAGCAAGAAGTGTGAAGGCACATTTGACCTAAATGTCCAGGTTATTTCTCATTAACACAAGGCAAGTCAGCACAATGTACCACAACAGCTGCAAGAGCAAGGGCAACACTGGGACAGAAATTGTTGCTGTCAAGTGCAGGTATTTTAATAGTGTCTAAAATGTAGTGTAAGTGGGCCATGGATTTTTGTAAAATAAATGGAGATTTCCAAATCCCAGTAAAGTCCTGAAACCACCTTAAAAGAGTATTAATGCACTGTAATTTGCTACTCTCTTACAGCCAAAATTCCCCAAGTTGACGACATTCATCCTCTGTTGCATATGCCTTGTCAGAAGTAACAAGACTTGTGATCATTCTGATGCTTGCAGATGTGATTCCACCCTGCCATTCTATCATCCTCTAGTTGGCCTGTATGATTGTTTGTGAACAGGAGGTAAGAATATTTTTAACAAGTTGCCTTTCTTGTCAGTGTCTAATGCATGTGCAGTGTGACTATCTTGATGTGAAGCATTGTGAATAGCATCAATGGCATCATTATGAGGCATTTTATCCCTCTTCTTTGTCTTTGAGGTCTGATTCTGATTCACTGGGGTGTTTTTATCCTGGAGGTTGAGCACTTCCTCTTCAACAACTTTTTCCACCTCCATATTGGTCATGTCAACATTCTAGATAAACTCAGAGTAGCACTAGGCTTCAAGTGACTGCACTGAGGATATGGACAGAGGTATGGTTTAGGAGCTGTTTGTGCCTTCAAGACAGTAAGTGCTTCCTTGTTCTGGATTCCAGCAATCTGCTCAAGGCCTTGCAGTGCTTTTTGTCTCATCCTCTTCTGTTTCTCTTCAGCAATGTGCTTATCAGCCTCAATATGAGCTTTGGTGTGCTGGCACTGCTTGGCATTGAGTATTGGCTTCACAACACATTTTTTGCATTTGAAGGTCTAGTTGTGATGGCCATCAGTGAGAAATATAGAAGGATGATGTGGGATACAATAGAGTTCACTCAAAGTTTGTTTTGGTACTAAATATTTTGTACTACTAGTATATTATGCCATAATTCCTTCTCTGACAACCTGATACAGACCAACCTCAGTTGCAATCTGAATACATCCTTGATACTACCAACCCCACCCCAAAAATGCCCCAAACACAACACCATCAATTCAATGTCCACCTACTACCTTACACTCATCCTGGTTGCTGCTGCCAACCAAAGAATCAGTGTGTGCTCACACAACACTTGCATACAGTACATCAACCCTCTGTCACAGTTGAAGAAGTCCCAGACCAGCCTGAAAATGACCACAGACAAGTGAACTTCATAAGAGACTATCATCTAAGCCTTGATGGTGAGTGAACCAACATTCACTCTTGCTAATATTTGCCTTTTTTTTCTAAGGGCACATTTGTAATAAAGCTGGTCAATTTCTTGACCCCAAAACTTCACCACCAGTCTTCACCACAAAGTCCCCCAATTATTAGACACCATATCACAATTGCCTGGCATTTGAGACAGTGGAATTTCTATTTTAAAAAACACATATTTCTGGCACTGATATTGACAAGCTCCTTCATTTTGGGGGTATCACTCTTGCTGTTCATGGTGATAGCCCACCATTTTCTAATCACAAAGACTTAAATAATGTCCACTTGGAGATGTGCCTTGGGAGTGTTTCAAAATGGAGTATATGAATGACAAGTCAGGCAGAGAAACACCCTGGATGAACAAGGTGTACAAGGTGTTCTATTATGACCCTTACAAGGTTGTGCAGAATGTGTTGCCCAATCCTGACTTCAAGGATGAGGTGGATTTTGCACCATATTGTGAATGAGAGGAGCAGCCTGATGGAAGTCATAACTGTTGGTGGAGAGATTTTATGTCCAGAGACTGGGCTTGGGAAAAAGTAGTAATATTTTTCCTCCTTTCACCACACTATCATTGCTCACCCCAACTGTCAGAATATTATTTCTGCAGATCCTGCAACCCATGGATCAACCTTTGTTCCCATTATTCTTGAAAGTGACAAAACAATGGTTTCAGTTGTCATGGGTCAAAATGATTACTACCCCCTGTATTTATTGATTGGCAATGTTTGCAACAATGCCAGGTGGGCTCATGGAAATGTTGTTGTTCTTGTGGGATCCCTTGCAATTCCAAAAAGTATGTTACTCAAATTAATTGATATGTCTCAGCAACAAAAAAACAGAGCACTGATCCATGCTATCACAAATTCAAGAAGGAACTTTTTCATACTGTGCTCATTCAGATCCTCAAGAGCCTAAGGCCTTCCATGACTACTCCAGAGGTTGCATGATGTGCAGATGGTCACTACCAATGTGTTATATATGGCATTGGACCTTACATTGCAGATAATGAGGAGCAAGTTGTTCTTGCAGGAATAGTCCACAAATGGTGTGGCAAGTAAGTGTATTGTTCAAAAATATTCTTGTGTAGTTCTTATTGTGATTGTGGGTGTACAGTGCAGTCATCAGATCTTGATGGAGATAGAGGACTATGATCATATGAACTCCTGGATGCATTGATTGAAGAAGTTCATTTAGGGACTTTATGGAACAAATGGGGCTTCATCATAGGGCTTTGATTTATTTTTGTTGATGTGTTGGTTTTTAGCCACTCACCAATAAGTTCCCATGTGCAGACATCTACAAGCTAATCACACCAGACTTGCTGCATCAGATTATCAAGGGCATCTTTAAAGATCACCTTGTTGCATGAGTACAACTATATCTTGGATGTATGCATAGTGAGGCATGATCCAAAGAGATTATGGATGACATTGACAGATAGTATGGTGCTCTCTACTAGCTTGTAATCACCACTCAATGCCCATAGGATTGTGACAGTACTGAGCTTTTCTGATCTCTTAACCTTGATATCACCTGCATTCTCACAATCCAACACTTTCGTTATCTCTGAGAAAGACCTCTTATGCTCAAAGCTGGCTCACTTCATCTTGCATGGGAATATGCACACAATCCAGTACATGATTCACACTTTGTCAACATGCTTTATATATCACCTAAGAATTTTCAGGTCATCCTTGGCTTAATTGAAGATCATCCTGTCTTTCATAACAACTTGAACAATGCACAGGCACCGGTCTAGGTGCAGCTTGGAGTCACACTATATCAGATGGGCTGATATGGGAATGGTGCATGTTATGCTTGGCGTCACAAGACGTCTTTGTAAATCAAAAGTCGAAGTCTAGCAGTATCCTTATATCAAGTTGTTCGAGAAAGCTAGTAGATTGCAGGCCCTGGTCTGCATAGGTCAAGTCAGAGATACAAAAGTAGAGACAATAGTTTAAATAAGGTATTTGAAGCGGAGTTTGAATACAATAGCCGATAAGAAATGAGAAGAGGAATCGTACAATAGAATGTCATGGAATGATTAAGAATAGAAGGGAAAAGGGTAGAACTGTAACAGTACATCTATTGAGGATATTGCCTGTTTTGCTGGCATTTCTGAAGGTGCTGTTGAACTCTATTCAAGGCGTTGTTTTGATGCAATTGAATCACTCCACAATGCATTTGTTTGTCATCCGACTGCTCAGGAAAAAGAGTATGAGAAGCAGTGGATAGATGATCATGTTGGATTTAGGGGTTCCTGGAGAAATGGGTGGGTTATGTATGATGGAACCATCATAGTCCTATGTACAAAACCAGGGATTGATGGAGATGCCTATTTTACTGGTAAATCAAATTATGGACTCAATCTTCAGGCAAGATGATTGGTTGTGCACTCACCTTTTCTGATTTTATGTATAGGTTGGCAACCTGCCATCAAATATTTGAATCATTGATTATGCTCATCCCATGATGCAACTGCATTTGAGCACACCACTGCAGTCAAACACTCCAACTGGTTTTTTGAAGGCAGTGAATTTGCTTGGATGGACTCTGCCTATCCAGTCACCCTGCATTCAATTGCAGTACACAAATGACCAGCTTCCCTTCTTCCTGAAAACACTGCCTTTGACCATGTGGTTGCACACCTCTGTGTATATTCAGAACATTGCATGTGTGCCTTAAAAGGGAGATGACAATGCCTATATGGGTTAAGAACCACTATTAACTCAAAGTGACAGCACAAAGAGACTTGTCAATGGATGACAATTGCCATCATCCTGCACAATGTTGTTATTGAGGTTGAGGGGGTTGTGTGAGGTGCACACTCCGCTCCAGTTCATACCCAATTTGAGGAAGAGGCAGATCAGGGACTTGCAGATATAGCACTCGAAGGCATTGATGAGGGTGGAGGAGAGCAGAAATGAAGGTTGTTAGTTGATGAACTGATGGCATTCAAAGAGATGCAACAACAGCAATAGGTAAAATTATAATGTATTATATGGTAAAAGGAATGGAGGGAACACTAAACAAACAAATTATCAAGGAGTGTGAAGGTGATTAAAGAAGTTTAATACAATGTCACTTGATCTCGCCCCAGTCAGGAGAATAGCAGGCCTTCTTCATGGGGGGTGGTTCAACTGAGTCCAAGTCATCCTGGTGATCCGGCTCTACAAGCTTTATACGATATTCCTTGACTGTCCAAATTCCAGCCTTAAACTCATCCAAAAGCAGCTGCCTTTCTTAAGATTAATTTCATCTTGGGCATGGTCATTGATGCTCTTCAAGTTGGCTCTGAGCATTATGTCAGTTACAAGTTGCATCAGAAAAATACCAACTCACTGCTGAAGGTCGGCCAACACATCCTCAAATGAGCGCTTTTTTGGAAGCTTAGAGATCCGCTGTCACATACTACAGTGACCAAACTCCGTCTTAGACAGGCCAGCCCAGGGACATAATACACCATGTTAGATGGGTTAGTGGACCATGGGCCGATGTAATAATATCCTCATCAATGATGGGTAGGCCGAGAGGCATATTATTTCTGATGGAGATGGGTGGGCCCATCTAGGTAATATTGAGAGTAGAATACAGTAGATGAGTGGGCCAAGGTAGATGAGTGGGCCAAGGTAGATGTATATCAGATAGATGGATGGGCTGAGGTAGATATATCCTATAGATAGATGGGCCGAGGTAGGTGTATATCAGATGGATTGGCCAAGGTAGATGGATATCATATAGACCAGTGGGCCGAGGCAGTGGTATATCATGTTGATGGATGGGCCGAGGTAGTGGTGTATCATATAGACAGATGGGCCAAGGTAGTGGTGTATCATATAGACTGGTGGGTCAAGGTAGATGTATATCAAATAGATGGATGGGCCAAGGTAGTGGTATATCATGTTGACAGATGGGCCGAGGTCGTGGTGTATCATATAGACTGATGGGCCAAGGGAGATGGATATCATATGGACCGGTGGGCTGAGGCAGTGATATATCATGTTGATGGGTGGGCCAAAGTAAGACATATATCATGTGGATGGATGGGCTGAGGGAGATGTATATTAGATGAACCGGTGGGACGAGGTGAATGAATGTTGTAAGGACAACTGGGATGAAGTAGTTGTGTATTATGCATATAAGTGGCATCATGTAGGTGCATCAAGGAGTTATCAGGTATTGAGGATCAAGTACCAAGTACTGTCATACTAATGGGTATCGAGCATGGTGAATTGAGTACCAAGGACTGAGGATCAAGAAGCGAGTACCAAGTGCCAAGTACTGAGTAATGAGTATTGTGTCTCGAGCACCAAGGGCCGGGCGCTGAGGGGTGAGGGGTGAGGATAGTGTCTCAAGCACCAAGTGAATACCAAGGGCCAGACACCAAATAGTAAGTATTGTGTCTCAATCTCATATAGCAGATCCAAGCACCTCCAATACCACCTGTGAACATCCCTACTACTAGTCCAACCCCCTGTTTTCCCATCCACTCCATCCCTCCTTCTCCAACAATGCACGAAGTGCATCTCAGGAGGACTAGCCCTGCTACCTCTGCCCGACTCTATTCCACTTCTCCGACACTACCCCTATTTTCTCTGACACTATATCCCATACCTCTGGATCCGGAAGTCCGGATTCTCCCCTATGAAAGTCCGGTTTTCTGTCCTGTTGTCCACCCAGTGCTCCACTTTCATCTCTGGACTCACACCTATCTCCTTTTAGAATACTGCTCTCCAGTTACTGGTTGTACACCTTTCCACTTTGCTTACTGATCCATCTGTTTGCACTTCATTTCTGACCTCATTTCCTTGATTTGTTGTACACTTACTAATAGACCCTCCATATGCTTCGGACATAGCTTTTACTGTGCTGACTGATTACTTACATGATACCTACAGTATATAAACTCCTGTAAAACTCCGGAACTCCTCAGTTCGAATATCACCTTAATTCCTGCTCATTCCTGCATCTCCGGACTTGAGCTTGGTCTCTTGTCAATCTCCAAGTCTTAGGATTGATTCCTTTGACTGTACCTTCGACTATCATCTTAGTTCTGCTCATTCCTGCTTCTCTGGACTTGAGTCTAATCTCTTGTCTACCTCTGAGTCTCAGGGTTAAAACCTTAGGACTAAATCTCCGGCTCTACCTTAGGGTAGTCTAACTCTGTTCCGCTTCTACTCCAGACTTGTCCATAGTAGCCTTGCTCTATCCATTCCTATCCTTCCGAAGTTCCGCCAAACTCCCCCCTATGTCTGACCTCTGGACTTCCCGGACTTCTGTCGGACTTCCCCTCTGCCCCTTGGAAATTAAGGGCACATACTTGGGTAAGGGGCGCAGCGCATGAGCTGAAGCCAAAGCCCTTTGAGTTGTCTTTCCCTTGAGCACAACCTTAATACTTGAGCACCAAGTGAATAGCACTGAGCATTGAGTACCCAGTGCTGAGGGTACTGAATATTGAGGGGCGGGTGGTGAGTACCAAGTCTTGTGGATTGAGGACCAAGTACATAGCATCAATTGTGCAGCAAGTAGTACCAAGGACAGAGTGCCAAGAATTGAGTGCCAAATGCTGAGTTCCAAGCACCTAGACCGAGTATGGAGTACTGACCCGAGTACTGATCACCAAGTACCAAGCATTGAGTGCCGAAGGCTGAGATCTGAGCCACCACACCGAGTACGGAGGACCAAGTATCGAGTGCCAAATGCTGAGATCCGAGCCACTACACCGAGTATGGAGGACTGAGCATCGAGTGCTGAATGCTGAGATCTGAGCCACTACACTGAGTACGGAGGACCAATGTGGGTGCAACAAGTGCAGCAGTGAGAAATCAATCTACTACAAAGTTGGGTCTTTGCTGCCTGCTGCCTCACTTGAGAACAAGCACGTTTGACCCTAAAGGGGATTGCTACTGGGGAGTGCTAATCTCTGTCTAAGCGACCCTAATCAACCCTACTGCAGGTAGGATGAGGATCCACAAAAATGTGGAACAAGCAGAACTCAAGCAGAACAAGTGGAACTCAAGCAGAATGAAGCAGAACGAAGCAGAACTCAAACAGATAAAATGTAGAATGCACAGATCCATCAGAACTTGCTGATCAAGTTGAAGGAAGTATATCACAAGGTTAGATTGATAGTGAGCATAAGTCAAAGTGGTCCTCTAGTAAGGTGAAGGAAAAGTGGGAGAAAAGTGGGAAGGTAAAAGATGGGATTCGATAAAAAAACACCCAAGCCCTAAGTACCACTACTTATAGGGAACATTATTTTCGAGGAACACCGAGGTACAGGTAGTAAGTTCTCAGGAAGTGGAAGTGAAGGCAGGCAGTGCACATGGGCACAATACTCCGCAATAGGGGTCCATGCCATAAGGGCATGTGTCAGTGTGATCTGGATAACGTTAGAAGCAATGGGAAGAGAGATACAGTGTACCAATGGACCTGGAAGGATGGGGATGGGACATGCGAAGGTTGTCCAACAATGCGCAGGAATATCAGATAGTGTGGGTGTGTTCCAAAGGATGTGTGGGAATGCAGAATGCATCGGATGATGTGTGGGAAACACAGAATATGCGGAACTGATGTGAGACAATGCGGAATTGACAGGGTTTTATGCCTACAGTGGGAGTATTCCCCACACCGCTCACCTGCATTTCAGAGATGGATTCAATGGTAATGAAGATCCAGAGGACTTGAATTGTGCAATTCTCGATGATCTCAATGATAATCCACATGAGTTCACTGAGACTCTTGATACCCACCCAAACACCCCTGAACTCACCATCATCCCATTGCCATCCAATGTCAGGCTGGACCGACTCAAACACTGCTTAGCAGAGGATCTGATTCTGTTGGAGATGTCGCTTCATGAAGGACAGGCCAATGATGCCCTTCACAATCTCCAAATTCACTTGTGCAACAAGGCAGTCCTTTTCCGAACCACTGTTAGGCAGGCCAAGTCCCAAGCTCTGAAGACTCGGGCATGGTCCCAGGTGATGTCAGTGGAGCAGGCCATGTCTCAGAATGCCAGTATATACAACAGGACATGGAAGCAAATGATGAAACTTGGTCCGGGGCAACACCATCTTCAGAAATACTAACCTCTGCTCTGGGAACAGCTCAAAATCAGCACTGCAGTTGGTGATCCAAATGCCTGAGGTCAGCGGAATGAGTCCCTGGCCTGGTTATGGTCTCTCGACATTGATCTATCAGGGTTGAGTGAGTTGTGGAATGATGAATGTGAGTTTGGGCATCCTTTCCAAATGCAAGGATGATTTGATCCAACTGATGTGAAGTTTACCGAGTTCATTGGCTTCGAGCGAAGGCCCTGAGGGATTGATGGATTGAAGAACTTATGGTGGTGGAACTGGAGATGGACTGGACATGCAACTTCTTCTCATGCAAAGCAGCCCAATGGGATGCACATATGAGAAAGTCATCAGCAAACTGGCTTCAGGGTCATGCCTGCTATACAGCAAGACAATCCTGAATGTACTCATTACTTGCACAGTGTAATGCTGCGTCTAGTTCGACAGTGGATTGACGGATCTCCAGTTGAAGAGATACGAGTGAGGGGGATGCATTCACTGGGGGTACAGAAGGTAAGGTGCAACTTATATATGTAAATGAGTGGCAGTACAAGTAGTCAGTGGGTTAGTACTTCGGAACAGTAAAGGGGAACTTCGTAGCCGGTAGGTACAAAGGGAAATACGTAGCTAAAGGAATGACATTCCTTACAACAGGATGTGCAGGCTGCTTTTCAGGATCTTACAATGATGCCAATAGATCCCGCAGATGAATGAATATTGACCACCACAGATTTCTGGCATACATCCTGACAATGTGAATCATCATGTGGCCTGGTGTTCAGTTGTGTCATGGGAATGATGGTGGAGTTTGAAAATGTCATCCATCCATCAGCTGCTCATACATGATCAAACCTCGATCCCATCTCTTATGGGACTTCGGTAGATTCAAGAACACTTAGTGACATTGATCAAGGAGCAGCGGGAGGGCATCCGAGATAAGATAGGTGAGATACAAATGTACACTGGTATCCTCACCCGATTGCAGAGAGCCAGGGAGGTGTGCAGCACTGGATTGCAGGACTGATCAGGATCCATAGGAAGATTGTAATGCTTCAGCACACTATCATGTATATACCATAGACATATTCACATTGAGAGAGTCACCAAGTCCCACATGTGTAGTGGGCACTGAGGACCGACCCGTCAGCACTGCTTACTGGGGTACCGAGAGCCAAGGACTCCCGGGTCCTAGGTCCCGGTGCTCAGTACTGATTACTGGCACTGAATGCCTCAAGGATGAATATTTGAGTGCCCAACGCTCAGTGCTTGGTAGTTGGTGCTTGGTGCTCGGCACTTGTTACTGCAGACTCGGGTCTGATGACTCAGTATTCAGTGGTCCATTGTCAGCACTTGGTACTGAAGACTCGGTGAACTCCTCAGTAGTTGGTCCTTACTCGGTATTCGGTCCATGATCCTGGACATCCCAGTCCTCAGTATGGAGCATCAACCATGTGATACTGCATGAAAACACTGAATTTGTCAGTACTTCTTCATCCGGAATCACTGGTACTTGGTGCCTTGACACTCGGTATTCAGCTATCGGTTGAATCACCAGAACTCTGTGCATCTTTGATACTCGATGTTTGATATTCAGTCATTGGTGCTCCATACCAAGATCATGATCATGCATCATGTCACCCTATCTGATCCTCGCAATCTCCACCACACTGGATCTGATATCCCCCTTAAAGCCAAACTGTAGACAGCATATTATACTTGCCATCGTATTTCCCACCATCAAATACATCCCTTCATCATGAATGTGTCCCCAGACTCTGAGATTGAGATATCCTTCTGAATCTCTTGGGCCCTGACCATTGCTCATGAGGTGAGTGAATATACAGAACAGAAATTCAATGCAGACAAGACGGGAGGGGATCCGGTTGTACCTTCTCCTCATCTAGACACCAATCTGGTGATGGCTTGTGATTGATTGGTCGATTGCCTCATAAAAGCATATCACAATCCTAGTGAGTCGGAATGCAGATCTGGATCTTCCATTTGATCATTCAGATTCCTCAATCACAGTTCAGATGCAGATCGATATTGCAAGATACAGCAAATTGATATCCCTGAAGGACACTGGCCATAATGAAGAGAGAGAGAAGAAGCTGCTTGACAGGTCTCCTCCTGGCCATGAGGGTACCAAGTCTGTCGACATTCCTGCCACAGTTCTCGATGTCACCGGTGCCATCATCGTGTGGTATCTCCCAGGTGCACTCACAGGACACCACCCAGGTATTTCAGATCCTTCATCGCCCGATGGATCCAGACCACTGGATATACTACAGGAAGAAATTTGGAAGGCCTCGCAATTGCTGACTCCCACACATGAAAAAAGTGTCAAAGTCGGGGGCAGTTGGAGGACCAATGAAGAGTGGTTTGGCCAAGGCTCCAGGAATGGTGACATCACTGCCGGATGCATCAATATATCCCTGGCTTGGTTTCAGCAGGGGCATGAGGTTAGATGCCATGATATGCCAATGTTCCTTGGTAGTTAAACTCACCAATCCTGTAGACTGTCTCAGACCTGGAGGTATCTGCTTCATTGAAGGGTCCACTTTCTGAGGATATCCTCAAGGCTATTGCGAGGCCAGTGGCTATTGCCTCAGCAGCACTCAGGGTCATGCATCCTTGACAGTACTGGGCAGGCATGTGAGTCTTTTCAAGCCTTGGTAAGTCAGCCAAAACCAAGAATCTTCCAAACATGTCAGAGACCCTCAAGCTCTAGGCCTCCGTTTTCAATACTCTCTCTGTCATTTCTAATCGGCAAACCCCATATCATAGAGACCACTTATCATCTCCCAAGTGGTTTGACATTCTCACAACTGTGGGGAATTATTCTAATGCTTGCATGAGCATGCCAAGCCTTCAGCTGGAGTTCATGTATGATCCTGGGGTCATGATCACATTTTCAGGAAGGATAGTCAGGCATGGGGTTCATGAAGTAGCAGGGGATCAGGTTGCTTGGGCATAGTATATGAGGGATTCTGTCCATATGTATGCAGGTGTTCCTTCATGTGGATGGGCCATGATGGATTCAGTAAAGATTCCATTTGGTGAAACATCGGCCAGGGTGGGTCATTAGTATATTCATAAATTCCATACCTCTGACAAAGCGATCAAGCCCCAACTGAATCTTGAGCATTGAATACTTTGTATTATGTCCTAAGCATCAAGTATCAAGCACCAATCACCAAGCACCACATACCAAGTCAGTCCTGGGTCCTGACCACCCATAACCAACCATTCAGGCCTGAGTACCAAGCACCAAGTAACATATTCTAATGTCCAGTGTCACCGAGTCAATATCTGCCTTCCTAGCCCATTGGTCTATACAATCAATAGTTCTATTGGCCCATCCATCTATACAATTGACATTCCATTGGCCCATCCATCTATATGATGTAAAGTCCCATTGGCCCATCCATCTATACAATCTACAGGTCGATTGGCCCATCTGTCTATACAACCTACAGGTCGATCAGCCCATCCATCTATACAATATACAGGTCAATTGGCCCATCCATCTATGTAATATACAGTCCCATTGGCCCATCTGTCTATACAATCTATAGGTCAATTGGCCCATCCATCTATACAATCTACAGGTCGACCAGCCCATCCATCTATGTAATGTACAGTCCCATCGGCCCATCCATCTATTCAATTTACAGTTTCATTGGCCCATCCGTTTATATAATCGACAGTTCCATCGGCCCACTAGTCTACATCATTCAAATCCCCATCTATCTATGTAATGTATAGTCCTGTCAGCCCATCCATCTATAAAATCAACAGTTTCATTGGCCCATCCATCTACAGTGGCTCAAAAAACTGTCCGCATGTTTTCACATTTTTCACTATCTATGATATTATGTGAGAATATACAAACACATCAAGGACATGCTGGTACCACATTGTAGTACTACTTCAGGGCTTCCAATTGAGCCCTATGGAGTGGGAATCAGTCGAGATATGGTGGAGATATAAGGCTTACAAAATGATGACTCATGTGGACAGTTTTTTGACTCAAGTATTTTACAGTGATAATCAGGTATTCCAGTACATTGTGTGACCTCCCTTGGCTTTAATTACTACCTCTATCCTTCTAGGCATACTCTTAAAACTATATCTAACTATATAAACCAGAATGTGTCATGTGTCATGGTCATAATCACCATGAAAGCCATCTCCTCTGCTCAAAGGGATAATATCCTCTCTTTGTCCTGTGCTGGCCTCTCTGCTCATTAAATTTCCTCTAGAACTGAAGTATGCAAGTCTACTGTGGCCATGTGTATCAAAGAAAGCCACCTGGACAAGGAAAACTCTTGTGGAGGACATCCACCTCTGCTAATAAGAGGGCTATCATTCAACATATCACTACAGGAAAGGCTAATAATGCTGTCCAAGCCACCCATTATATCAATTCCACCATCACCACCACTGTCTTTTCACAAACTGTGAGGAGTGTTCTCAAGGCAGCTCATCTCAAGGCAGTAACAAAGAAAAAATGCCTCTTCTCTCTATCAAACATAGGCAGAGAAGACTACCTTTGGCTTGGCCCATCAAAACTGGACTGTAGAGGATTGGAAGCATGTTATATGGTCAGATGAGACGAAAAGCAATAGGATTGGGTCAGATGGGAAGGTATATGTATGGAAAAAGAAGAGGGATTTTCTAACAGACAGAGAGATTAGTGAGACTGTCAAATTTGGAGGAGTGTCACATACTGGATCCGAGCACTTCCAATACCACCTGTGAACATCCCCACCCCTGGTCCAACCCCCTGTTTCCCCGTCCGCTCCATTCCTCCTTCCCTGACAATGCATGAAGTGCATCTCAGCAGGATTAGCCCTGCTACCTCTGCCCGACCCCGTTCCACTTTTCCGACACTACCCCTATGTCCCCCGACCCCATACCCCTTCCATCCGACCCTATCTGGGGTTCCACTCCTCCGCCCTATTGGTCCGCCTGATCCTACTCCTACTCCCTCCACTTTTCCGACCCACGGGGGTCCTTCAGTTCCGCTCATATTCCCCCACCTGACTGTTAGTCCGTCCGACTGCCTCACCGGTCCACTCCTAGACTAGGAACCACTCAACTGGTCCTATCCCCGTTTAGTATCATAGTTCCACTTTTCAGATCACCGGTAATCCCTATACCCTAGCGATTCTGATCTGTCGTGTACATACTGTTCCCCAAGCCTTATTCTTGTATGTCTCAGTCATCCTATTGTAATCCTGTACACTCAGCACATAGCCCTCTGCTATGCTATGCTCATCACTTAGAGTATATAAACATATATACATTTGTCTGTAGATACTCAGTCTGAATATTACCTTTTCTAAGCCCTGCTCTTCTGTTCTCTGACTTGGGCCTGATCCTAGTCAACTCCTGTTTAAGCCGGCCTAGGGGATTGACTCCCTAGGTTGGCCATCCTCCAATCCTCCAATCCCCCGATCCTCCAATCCCCCATTCACCCATTCCCCTGTTCCCCCGTTCCCCCGTTCCACCGTTCCCCCGTTCCCCCGTTCCCCCATTCCCCCGTGCCTCTGTCCCTCTGCTCCTCCAACTTCCCGTGCGTCAGAACTAGACCCCGCACTCTCGCATCCATCCCTTCCATTCTGCTCTGCTTTGGACTTCATCCAAGCAGTTCCTTCCGCTCCGCTTCTACTGTTGGTTCCGACCGCAGTAGCCTCCCTCCTGTCGAGCGGAACAACCCCCACCCGACTTTCCCACACTCACCTAGTAAATTTGTGTCGGACTACATTCCAAAATTAGGGGCACATACTCAGGTAAGGGGCACAGCATACGAGCTGAAGCCAAGCCCCTCAGACTCTGCTTTACCCCTGAGCACGGTCTTAACAAGGAGGTCCTCTAATGGTATGGGGCTGTATGGGATGGAATGGTGTGGGTATGCTTGCTGAAGTTGAGGGGAGGATGGATGCTGAGCAGTATGTGGACATTCTAAACAACCACTTGCTGCCTAGCATAGCTGAATCAGGGATTGATGAAAAAGACATTATTTCCCAACAGGATAATGATCCCAAGCACATATCTAGGAGAGCCAGACAATGGTTTAAAGAACATATTATCAATGTTCTTGACTGGCCAGCACAGTCCCCTGATGTCAATGTCATTGAACATCTCTGGGGAACACTTAAGAAGAAGCTTCAAGCCTATGAAACCCCCTCTAAAGGAGTATAGGAGCTATGGGAGAGTGTAGCAGTGGAATGGGCAAGGATTACAGCAGAATATTGCCAGAAATTGATTGAGAGTATGCCTAGAAGGATAGAGGTAGTAATTAAAGCCAAGGGAGGTCACACAATGTACTGGAATACCTGATTATCACTGTAAAATACTTGAGTCAAAAAACTGTCCACATGAGTCATCATTTTGTAAGCCTTATATCTCCACCATATCTCAACCGATTCCCACGCCATAGGGCTCAATTGGAAGCCCTGAAGTAGTACTACAATGTGGTACCAGCATGTCCTTGATGTGTTTGTATATTCTCACATAATATCATAGATAGTGAAAAATGTGAAAACATGCGGACAGTTTTTTGAGCCACCATATACAATCTACAGGTCGATTGGCCCATCTGTCTATACAATCTACAGGTTGATCGGCCCATCTGTCTATAAAATTGACAGTTCCATCGGCTGATCTGTCTATATGATGTACAGTCCCATTGGCCCATCCACCTATGCAATCAACAGTTCCATCGGCCCACTAGTCTACATCATTCAAATATCTCGGCCCTCCCATCTCTATCAAATCCCTTACACATAGTAGCAACATTGGCCCATCTATTACCATTGAGTATTATATACATATCAGCCCACCCATCAACATCGAGGATATTATGACATCAGCCCATGGTCTGCTGGCCTGTTTAATATGGGATATTATGTACCTCGGTTGGCCTGTCTAACACAAAGTTGTACACTGAATGGGCACCAATTTTGTATGCACCCATCAGCATATCAGACTGAACTCCAGTAAGCTCAGCCCACCTGTCAAGCAGACATCAGATAGATGTAACCTTGTCATCCAGACTCTGGAGCCCTACTTCTGGGCTCAACAGATGCATCAGCAAAAGGGAGAAACACAGATCATGGAAAGCATGCACTTGTACTTGACAGCTACCCAACCTGGTGGTGTGACTATATGTGCTATAAATGAGCAATTCTGATCAAAAGAGCAGTGTTACTGGTTAGTACTACATACCCATGAATAAAACAATAATCCAAATTTCAACCTTGATAGCTTCAGGCTTCAAAGTGCCTTTCCTTGAATCAAAAATGCACTTGCATGCAGCTAGGTTGGTCATCAAGGCCAAAGAACCCATTGAAGAAGTTGGGACCATGACTTGTGCCAGAGGGCTTACGGCCACTGAGAAATGTGCAACCAGTTTAGTGATGTGGAGGTTCGGTTCTGAACCACAGTTCAAAGCAGACTTTTCATGAACCGGACCACGGTCCAGTTCAACATTCAGAGTATAGGCTGAACTGAACCGATGGTCTGGTTCAGCGTTCAGGCATTTCTTGAATGCATTGAACACATCCAAACACATCCAAACCTTTTTGAATGCTGATATGTATTGATTTTACAGCTTCGTAACTTCGTCTCTATTATTAGATTCGCTTGGCTACTTCCGTCCTTTGTTTAATCTTGTCACGCATCGCACATCACACCTCAGGCCTCTTGTTCATGACACTGAGATGTGTATATTGTACATTGTTCTCTCCTGTCTTTTCTCATGATTCTTCAGCATGTTTCTTTAGTTCATTTGTAACTCGAATAAACCACTTAAACTTCCATTTTAGGCCACTCACACCAGTGATATGAGATGAGATGAGCAACTTTTTCACTTGGTATCCGATATTCTCGCCCCCAGGTACTGTAGGGGCGCCCTGTTGCAAGGACCTTGTCACTGCCAAGGTCTGTGAAGATTTATTCAGCTACCATCAACTAGAATGTCACAAAGCAAGCACCTGAAAAGGTATGGAGACTTTGGTTAATTTGGTTTAGTGCTAATATGTTTGTTAACAGGTTGTTTTTTTTCTAGGGTAACTAAATGACATCTTCAGCACTCATGAACTTGGTGCAAGTTAAAATAGATCAAACAAATCAACTTTGAGGTAAGCTCAACTCTCTTCAAGTTTGTCCCCTCACAACATGGCTGACCAGTGTGGCCTGGGTGCAGATGGAACTCTCCTTGACGCCAGTCAGATCCAATGGTATAATGATCCCAACGATGATACTCCACTGCTTCCTGCTGCATGGCGCTCCACTTGTATCCCACACCCTGCACCCAAGCTTGTTGACCCCAACAACGCTATCTTGCACAAATGCAAGGCTAGTAGGCCAGTGGTCATGAGTAAGGGCTCTGAGGAGGAGACCGAAGGAGACCAGGATAACGGGGTGATTACGGATGCAGCCACTGACATGGATCATGAGATGGATATTGATGGCATCACCCCCTCCAAGTCTGAGTCAACATATCAACAAACCAAAGAAATGGGTAATGCCAACCACCAGGTAAGCTAAAGCCTAAGTGTCATCTTTCTTATGTTAAGCTAATTATTTCTGCAGGGTGCAAAGCAGTGCAAAGCGATTTGATGGCAGACATTTGGACCGTGTTCACTCGTGAGGCCAAGGCCATGAACCCTGATACTGGCAAGGAAGAGACTGGCCACTGGTGTGAGGTTTGCAAAGCAAAAGGAGTAACACGCAAATTCTGTTTTTTAAAGGGGAGTGTTACTTCACTGTGTGCTCATATATGCAGGTAAGTAATATTTTGTCTGCCTGTTTTCGTAGCTTGACTCATACTATCTTCAATTCAGACACAAGGACCATGTAAGGATTTACAAAGAACGCTGCAGCAAGTGTGGTGTCAAGCCGCACAACCAAGCCCTCCCTTCAGATGATCTAGTATGGTATGTCTTTTAATATATTTTGCATTACATGCCATTCAGCCAACCCCCTAGCTCAAATCAGACAACCTTAGACCATACCATTGTATGAGAGCAGCATGCACCAACATTCACAACTGCCGGTGTGGGTACAACAAGTGCAGCAGCGAGAAATCCGATCTACTACACAGTTGGGTCTTTGCTGCCTGCTGCCTCGCTTGGAAACAAGCGTGTTCAACCCTTAAGGGGATTGCTACTGGGGAAATACTAGTCTCTGTCTAAAGCGACCCTATAGGATGAAGGATCTGCAAAAGCGGATGACACTTGCGGATCAGATGGGATGCGAATCAAAATCGAAGGAAGTTCATTAAAGGTTGGATGGATAGTGGGTATAAGTCAAAGCAATCTTCTGGTCAGGTGCAGGAAAAGTGGGAGGAAGTTACATGAAGTAAGTATTTTTCGAAAACTTCTGTGCTTATAGGGTACAGTATTTTCAAGGAACAGTTGGTATAGGTAGCGAGTCTAGACTGTGCCATGAGCTATCTGGAAAATAGTGGAGTGTGAGAGGATATGTCTGTGTTCAGTCAGTAACAAGGAAATGCGTGTGAGTACGTACCAATGAGGTAGAATGGATGTGGACAGGACGGATGTGGCGGATGCGCGAGCTATAGGGGGAGATCCGAAGGTATCCGCTTGTCATCCGCAAAGTGGATGGGTATCGGATGGAATGGATAGGTGTCAGATGGACATCGGATGGATGCCTGATGCATTGGAAAAGCGGTGGATACAAGCCTAGCGTAGGGATACTCCCTACACTGGGCTTCTAGACTACATTGTTGAACTTATTGTCGCTGAAGATGAAGCCTTCTTACTGGTGGACAAGGGTACATTCTGGCATCTTCTCACTTATGCTCACCCAGGCCTGTCTGACAAAGATATTCCCCATTGTGATAAAGTGCAGGAGGAGATTCTTAGGCATGCTAAGATGATGGAGTCACATATTCATGAACACTTTAAAGACATCAATGGGCACCTTTACTTTACTTTTGACACGTGGACGTCAGAAGCCAGTGACCCATACTTGTCAGTCACTGGACACTACATCTCAGCACCAGCCAATGCCCTGCATGAGTGGGAGCTTCAGAGCGAGCAGCTTGCATTTACTGCCATTGAAGGGAATCATTCTGGGCAAAATATTGGCAACATACTTACTCAAGTTGTGGACCGTTATGATTTACGCAACAAGGTAAGCAAATACTACAGCCTGCTCTGCCTCACACTCACCCAATTTGGACTTAGATTGGGTGGTTCACAGCTGATAATGCAACAAACAATAATACAGCCATTGAATTGCTCGCAAAAGCCATTCCTGAAGCAGAGATCAATGACTATCATGAGTGTAGGGTCCGGTAAGTTGTATTTTCTATGGAAAAAATATTTTTACTTAACTTTACTATGCAGGTGCATGGAACACGCTACTAATTTGGCAGCAGCCCATTTCGCAAAGGCTATTACCTCAACAACAAGCTCACAAGTTGATGAAGACTTGGAAGATGACATTGCCAACACATCAGATGCACTCAGTAAGGCCCTGGCACTCATTGCACAGGTATTTAAGCTTGTAGTAATATGTGCTATATCCAAGCACTGAAGCTGACATTCATTTATTAGATTTGAAAATCACCTCAAGCCTGGGCCTTTTTTCGTAGATCATGCGCAGAGACCAATGTACCAGTCCTTGAACTGGTTCAGTGGGTCCGCACCCGCTGGGCATCACTCTTTACATGCCTTGATCGCCTGCTTCTGTTACAAAAGGTGAGTATAATCTAGTGTGTGGTTATGATTCTGCAAGTTGCTGATGATGAGCAGGGAGTCAACTGCTTTGTCCGCCTTGCTGATGACAGTGACAAAGTGCCCAAGCTGCAAAAGCAGCAGTATGCAGACTTCAAGCTGACTAACAGTGACTGGCTACAGTTGTTGCTTTTACATGAAGCTCTTCAGGTGTGTAGGAGCTACCCATTCTACTTACTTCCATCTCATGGCAACTTGTAGGAACCTGTGGATGCGACTCAAAGTTTTTCAAGCTCAATGCACCCAACAGTATGGCGAGTGATTCCAGTCTTGGAGTTCCTGCAGCAAAGCTGGAAAAATATGGTTGCCGACAAGAAGTTCTTGAGCATAACTGATGCATTGGAAGCAGGCCTACAGAATTTAGATAAGTGGACACAGAAAACAGATGACACAGACGCATATTTCATTTGCTTGGGTATGTGACTCCTACTACGTCTTAATTTTTCTCTTTTCTAATTTTGCTTGCCATCAGTCCTCGACCCCAATTACAAACTCAAGTATGCACAATCACAATGGAATGCTGATGCCTTCAATGAAGGTGTCAGAGAACTTGAAGCTGTTGTAAGTTTGTGTCACCTAGGCCTGCATGCATCATGATTGCTGCTAACACTAGTTTAGTTCAACAAATATTACATTCCTGTTGCAGCTGCATGTCAGCCAACACCTGTTACATCATCCTCCAAGTCCGGGCCTATATAATATGGCCACTTATGGATGTGCTCAACAATTCTCACTCATCAATCATCCGAACAATGCATTGCAAATCCTCGTCAAGAACTTACCATGTATTTGACGGCTCCATTGGAAGATGTGGGAGATGTTGTTCATTGGTGGGGGGTAAGTTATATCCATTGCATTGACTGGTAGTTATTTGCTGATGCACCTGCCAGCATCATTCTGTGGCATACCCCACACTTTCCCGTATGGCAAGAGATTACCTTGCAATTCAAGGTTCTGCCACTCCGTCAGAATGGGCCTTTTCAAGTGGCAGCATCACAGATCAGAGTCAATGCAACCGGCTTGCACCTGATATCTTTGAGGCACTCCAATTGTTGAAGAGTGCTTATCGCAACAGGCATATCCAGGCTGCAGCTGAGGCTGCTGCTCATGTTGAGTCTCTCACCCATGTGACTGAAGATGACCTTTGCGTTGATCTTACTGATCTTTAGTCTTGCTTCAGCTTACTTACACTTGGTCGTGCTTCATGGTAGTATCTTGATGTACCAGTACTCCTTAGTACTATCATATGATGAGATTATTTAGCTTCACTGGCAATAGCGTAGATTTACAATGCGTTCAGTGTTTGAACACTGAACCAGACGTGAACCAGACACTTTGAACGCGTTCATGGTGTCTGATTCAGCGTTCAGCAAAATGATTGAACCGAACATGAGGTCCAGTTCAGTGTTCACAAAATTTCCTGTTGAACTGGACCAAACTGGACTTCTGCAACACTAAACCAGTTAGCTAAAGGTAGCTGGGACATGTGGGCAGCAGGATAAGCAGTGTGCTGCTGCAATGAGGTTGCATGATGGTTCTGGTCAAAGGGACTTGGCAGGAAAAAAACAAACAAAGGAACTCACTTCATATAAACTTGAGGGTCGGGTTGTGAAAATATTGTCTTTCCAGAGGGCGGATATTGTTGGGTTATGAGTGTTAACAGGGTGGAGAGAAAGGCAAAAACTCAAGTCTGCATTGGGTTGAGTTAGGACATTTTACTTTTGAACCAAGGTCTGATTTGCATCTGTTTATGTGGTATTGCAACTCCTAGACACTTGAATTTCATCCACATCAAGTTTGGGTCTGGAATAGGTCTTGCATCTGTACCACATTGGGTTATACACCTAAACACCCTCGGATTACGGTGGAGCTAAAATATCATTTCTGCAGTGAAGGTTCTTGTTTATTTGTTGACATATGTTGTCCTTTTTAATAATTTCGCAAAGTCCCACACATTTGTACTTAGATTCATTGTCCATCTGGATGCTACTGCTACTACCCATCTGTCCATATTGTTCTTTCCAACAGTTTATGTTCTTCTTCACCTTGACACTTGTACACATTGAATAGTTTACACCATTCCCATCTGATTCTGACCAAAACGATGGATTTTATTCTAGTTGAACTCATACACAAAAAAACATATATTTCAATGTTCAGATAATTCTCACTAATTTTCGCGTGTTTTGAAATAATTGCATCTCGCAGCAATATTATGATCAACTTTGTTCCTAAATACAAGTGATTATATAGAATTATACAAATTTTGTGAAATTGTGTGAATTTAGCACAGGAGGGTTTTCCTGATGATCTCGTTCAGTTTTATATGGGTTGTTTCAGCTAATGGTACAACACCCCTACCTGACTACTAGTATTCCCTCCCCCCCCCTACTCAGTGATGGTTATACTAGTTTCAGTCGTTCCATGTCAGCTCACGGACCAATGTGTTTGCCCACATCAACCTCCTCAATGTTCCAGACTAACATGCCAAGATCTGAGCCATAGCGACTGCATAATCGATGTTGTATATATGTTCGACAGCATGAATGGAAGCTACATACGATCCAAAGGTCTCCCGAAGAAAGAAAAACTGCCCTATACAACCTCAGGGTACTATGAGTTGGAGTATATTATGCCGTGAGTGGTCATTCTGGATATTCTATATCTCCAGAGTCCCATCTTCTCAAGCTCTGCATCTTATTAAGGCAAGTTAAGCTCATTGTGTCGACATATTACTCGCTGTAACTGGAAGGAAGCTGAACAGTGCCGTGTCTCGCACTCAGTCAATTGGTCACTCATAGGCTAATGTCATGAATGTTACCAATTGCATCTAAATTTCGATTATCGAACCCTAAGTCACCTATCCGATAAGATTAGATTAGATAAGATCCCTGATAAGATAAGATGGATAACTGATTAACGATCACTATCTTTACATCACATCTATACTACATCGATGTCATCCATCTATATCCGTAACCCTAGACATCCGAAGTCATCATATCCTTAGAAAGTCCTACGATTAGGCAACCAGCTACATCATAAGCATTTACACGCCTCTATGATCGAACCATAACCGAGAGTCCTTTACAAGCCATCTCTCGAAGAGTCATCATCCCTTCACACTGCAGACCTTTCACTTCCCACACATGACATGTTAAGAGTTACCTCTGTCATTCACCGAATCCCTTACATAAGAACCTGTTGCACAGTCACAGCTGAACCCCTGAATCCCTATCACAGAAGCGCCACTCATAGAGAAGCATGCTCATTACCGAAGACCCTGGAGAAACCCTAGATCCGATCGTACCCGATACATCTCCAGATCCTATCTCTATCAAGATCCTTAATCACCGCTCGAGACTTCTTGTCACAGAACTCTCTCACTCTTCTTCATATCCATCCACCCTGAATAGAAGCAGTACCCTGAGACCCTGCTTAATCTCCGATACCCTTTTCCCTTCTTGTAGTTGATTGGTTGATAAGACGCCCTATACCCTAGGCGCAATGTTATGATCGTATATAGATATATCACTACCTTTCATACTCAAATATCTCCGCTCCAAGAGTAGTATATAGTTTAGGTCGTAGTCAGTAGTACTCCTTAGACTTAACCTCTTCGTTCCTACCCAGTGTAGACTCAGACGTTCACTCTCAATAACATCTATTTCTCTTATCCTTGACGAGTCCTAGTGGTTGTGTTAGGCCTTTACCATTTGGTGAACGCTGATCATAACAGCTAAACACATTCAGAATGAATGCATCAACTCAGTCAAATTCGTCAAGAGATGAGATAATCATGAGACTCACCAAGTATTTTGCCCTCTATGCTCAGGTATCGTGGCCAGATCTCAATAAAAATAATTCTCTTCCACTACCAAGAAAGCAGAGACCACAAACCTCAGTGCTCAGCTCATGCTGCGCCACTGGTCAATTATACATATGTACATACCGAGAACACCCCAAGGAATGCTACCAAGTGCAAACAACTGTAGGCTACTTCAAATTCATTGTTTCTTGAAGCTGCCCTTCTCGTGTTGTATTCACGCTTTCAAACAAGCACAGGAAAGGCTGCAGGTGACTTTGAACTCAAAGTTAGCTGCAGGTTTCTTGCACGTACATCCAAGTCACTCACATCACCATGCCGGTTGTGACTTCTGGTTTCACCTCAATCTTGTCTCCATTTGAGTCCCTGGCATGATCGATGCGCAAGACAACGAGTATAGCAGCCATTGCAGTCCACAGACCGTTCTCTACAAACCAACGACCTATCAAGGGCATATGTCATCCCCAAGATGTATGTGATGAACCATCAATCAGCCTACCTGGACAAATGTGCCTGCACGAGTCCATAAACAACTTAAATTGGTAGCCAATGAGATATTCACCTGCCATGACCAAACACAAAATGATTGACAAAATTGTCCTTTACCTTCCCATCAGCTGTCAGATGGTGATCAGGATTGAAGTGTGCTCACAGAGATACACGTACCCCACATGCCCAGTGTTCATATGAGCTGTATATTTGGTGGCAAGTTTGAGACATATTTGTCAATCACTTGGACTGTAGCCCATTTATGCACGGGACCATAGTGTTACACGCAGCAAAATAACTGCACATTGTGAAAGGTAGGAAAGAACAAGGAATACTGACTTCAAAGCCGATAATTTTTAATTATCTAATAATTCAAGTAAATTCAAGATAAAGCCTAGATCCATGTAAGTATTGTCGCCATAGGATTGATAGGACATGCATACTGGTATCGGTTTATGAAAGCAAACTTGTCCAGTTTAACTGGATATCGCGAGCAGCACAAGTGTCTTGCAGGTCATCCACATGGCACTGGTTGGATGCCATGATCATCTGCAAGAAAACCAATGGACTTCTCTGATATGAATACACATCCAGCGAGCATAGGAACGGTTGCCAATTCGAAAGTAGCAGCATCAGCACGCTCTGCGTGAGCACCTGCGAGAACATGAATGTGAATGTTTCCAATGATGATGGTAGATGAAACGAAACTTGCAAGTCGAAACATAAGCCATCTATACGAAGTCTTTGGAGGCCCACAAACAAGAATAGTGCATCCATTGTGTCATAAAACACAAGATGTTTGAGGCGGACATTCCTCAGACAACCTCTAATGACCTTGCACAAGTAACCCAGGCTCGCGCCTGATACCTCATCCACCTTCAAGGACTCAATGCTCTGGAAACTGGATCCAAACAGCCATTTGCACTGACCAAGGGATAAACTTGTAGGAGCTATCGACAGAGTCGAAAGGGTGAAACTAGGCACCAAACAATGGTCCAGCTGATCGCCATTAGTCTTGCCCCAAAGCAGTTTGAAGGACTCGAGATTGTGCAGACAAGGTAAAGGAGACAGAGGTGTTGCCTGTATACTTTCAGCATCTTCAAATATGAGTACTCTGGAAGGGATGTGTCGCTGGTGAAGTGCAAGGGGTTGTGATGGCCTGCAAGGTGCCTAAGTTCTGGACAGCAGGCAACAATCTCTCCTGCAAGCGTCGGATATTCATTCCTCTCCACTTTGTCACCCAAAGGCGACAAAAATTGCATGAAATAACATGTGAAATGGAGGGCATGAGCAGGGCCATGTCCGCCAAAGCTCTTGTGTACAGTGCGAAGGAGTAGGCGAAGGGATTTGATTCGAGAATGTTCAATATCCTTGTACATCACTGCTCTAGCAGCTTCGTACCAGGCTCTTGATATGAGACTGGAGCTGAGCAGGACATTCGTCACCTCCCTCCAGGCGTTGGTATTCTCGTATGAGTCACATCACTCTAAGATCAAGGCCAAAATTTCTGCATGCCCCGGGATCAGTCTCTGGCCATTCAAAGAAGCCTTACACATGGGCATTGTTGGAGCTCATATGCAACTTTACTGTCATGCTGTTGTCTCTTGGTAATGTTGGTTTCTTTAGCCATGTCCTTCATATTGGCCCTTTAGTTGATTTCACTCTCAGCTCGCAATCTGATTTCCTCTTGTCTTGTCTTGATCACTGTTTCATGTGCAGGATGGACTCACTCTCTTCTGCAAAACTTTACCAACAAAAACATGAAAACATGAAAACGTGAAAATTAAAAATTATGTGGCAGACCAAGAGCAAAATGCCCATGTGGCAGCCAGTGGGTCATGATGTCTGTTTCTCATATATGAAGGACTAATTCCAAGGAATACTCTGGACTGCTGGGTTGGTTTGTACCATCTGTTCTCAATGGCAGGATGATAAGCATGAGGCAGTACAAGTCTTAGCCAGTCAACTAGTCATCATGTACCAAAATATAATGTGGAGAAGGCACCAGTCAGGGATTGGCGCCTCTGCACCACTATAATTATGTGTGTCAGATTATGTAAGCCATTGCCATCAGAAGTTCTTGTGAGTCCCTGCACTGAAGATTCAAAGCACGGACTCACAAAAACCATTATTTCTTGCTAGTTAGTGCATAATCTTTGCAGGATTACACTGTGGGTAGTAGTTTCAATGAAAATCACTGGAAAATGTGCTGGTGCTGAATGTTTCAGAGTAACTTCCTCTGAAACTGCATGCAGTTAATTTCATTGGAGTGCTGATTCTGAATTTCAGCTGACCACCCTCAATTCAGCACCATCCTTTCAGTAGAAAATTTACTGAATCAGATTCAACTCCATACGAGTCGGGATGCTAATTTGTTTGGTGTTCAGGACTTATGGAATTTTCGCATTTTTGTCATGTGACATTACTTTGGTATATATTGCTATTATTGTAAGGATATACCAATGGTCTTGTGGGTTAGCGGTAATGATGCTGTACCTATCCTTGCGTGAGCTCTTGCGTTCAATTCTTGCGAACTGCAAAATTTAATATGTGAATTTGATCATGTGATGTGACATGTAGGGAAACAATTATTTTAGCGTGATACCAGCATTTTTTCAGAGTATGCTTTCAGAGTACAGATTCAGAGTAAAAAACGGCAATTTCAGCACCTCGATTTCAGTACCTAATGCTCTGAATTTCAGACAATTATGACATGGTTTCACCCAATGAATTTCACTGGAACCACTATCCAGTGATTAGAAGAGTTAAAGAACGCAATCATCGTGTTGAAGGAACAACTTTGCCACTCAAGCCATCAATAATTGAAAATAAGTCACAAACTACTGACACCTGTACGTCTACGTACAGGCACAGTGAGCTCGCTCAAGAGTCAAAATGAGGGGATTGAAACAAGCATCACACCATGCAATGATTCAAGTTGGAGTGCATTTTAGTGACTGCAACTTGTCATAGTACCAATCGCAGCACACCGCAGCACCTGAATATGTACATATATGGGGGGTGCTGCGGTGTGCTGCGACATGACATATACTTGACATATGGTCTTGTGGCTTATATTATAATGTACATACTCTTCTGCAGGGCGTTTCGTATCATAATGCAGAACTCATCTCGTAATACATAAGTGTGTAGCTAAACATATGTATTTCATCGGCAGACATGGTTCACCGCGAGTACTAGTGAGAGTCTGCGCTACGAGTAAATGGTGCCTGCACATTCACGCTTAGTATGTTCACCCAGCCTGCCAGTATCAGGATTTAGAAAGCTGGAAGCTGAGATCTGCTGGCAATGAAGGCACTCAAGTGGGGACCCTTCAGTGTACCAGTTCAAACTGAGTCCAGAGTGAGTCGATCGTGGTAAAGTCTTGAAGGATGGTGTTGATAAACGCATTAGAAACGACACTGAGAAGCATGTGGCTAGTACTAGTGGCGGCATAAAGGTAACTTCACGTTTGGAACGCCGCGGCAGTTGCCGCAGCATTTTCACAATGCCCATTTGCCTGGCTAGCTAAAATGTTTTTCGTCACTTCGGTAGGCATTCATTTGATTGAAAACGCCTAACCACATGCATCTATAGAGTCATTGAATGCTTAGCGCTCAGATGCGTCACAACTCTGACGGCTTCGGAATCACCGAACTTCCGGACCCATCATTAATCATTCAGCATCAGATTCATGATCAACGCTCATCAACGCATGGATGGATCTACCCCACCCAAAATTGATCGTCCCTTACCCGTGCCAGCCGCTCTTGATGAACATTGTCAGCCCAGGCATACTCTCTGCTCTTCATAGCGCCCATCCAGGCTGGGAGCCATCTTAGTGCTTACTCCAAACGCCTCGCAGTTAGTCTTATTGAACCGTATTGTCCCGCGATGTCTCTGGGAACTAAACATATGGCCTACACCTTAGCGCAAGGGCAACGGATTGCCGCGGCTTGACCTTATCTCCACGTAAGGCTGTGTACCTGCAACCTTGCCGTCCAGCCTACGTATCACGTCTGAGCTTGAATGGCCTCCCACTTAGTATTTGCAGTGTACGGCATCTTCTTTACTCTTGCAGAGTGACTAGCGGATTCACTGATACGCGACACTTACTTTTCGGTTCTATTGAATAGTGACTCTTGATGTATAAGCAACGGTGCCGCACGGCAAGCACTCCACTGTTGCTAAAGCCGGTGGACTTTGTACTCGCTCCGCAGCCTCAGAAGTGACTATAAATCTCCCGCCAGATTCCACGTCGAATCCGTCACAAGAATGAATATCTCTACTACTCTCTCTATACTACCTGGCTCTCCATCAAGTCTCTGGACAACCATGCGTTCAGTTGGCACATTCAATATCGCTTGTTCATTTGCAGCACTTTGGGCCTTTGTCAAAGTTCTAAGGGCACTCCGCTGGCGATTGAAGACCACTCAACTGCGGGGTCCACCTCGTTCCAGCATCGTATATGGTGTTTCAAACGACCTCGTCTCATCTACAGATACTGCTGCAATGTATGAACGTTGGGCGGATGAATATGGGGTAGTATATATGATTCCGAGCGTCCTCGGGCAGACTAAAATCGTGCTATGCGACCCAAAAGCTATAGCACACTTTTATGCCCGAGAGACATGGACCTATGTGCAGACGCCCCTTGCGTCAGTGCTCCTAGAGACCTCGGTATGTTGATATCCTCTTCTGATTTCGTCTGTCTGATATCTCTCATCAGATCGGCAGAGGGTTACTATGGGCTCACGGTGAAAGCCACAGGAGGTAGTGTTCAAATCTTGTCCTCGCGCCAGTGACTAATCAACACCCTGGGAATTAGGCAGCGGAAGGCCCTCACGCCAGCTTTTAGCAACGCAGCTATTCGGAGACTTACATCAGTGTTTTATGACTCAGCATACAAGGTAAGGATTTACAATCTCGGAAATGCGACATCTCTGAGCTTATTCTACAGGTCAAGGGTGCATGGGATACTGCTATAGAATCCAGCAAGGATGGCAATGCGGTCATTGAAGTCCAGAACTGGTGCGTAGCTTTCCTGGCTTGAAAAGTTGCATTCTAAACAACTTCAAGGATGAATCATACCTCGTACGCGATGGATCCCTTTGCTATTTAAGCCTTGAAACTGAGGCGACATCAGTCTAGATACGATTGGCATCGCCGGTTTCTCCCATGATTTTGGCTCGCTCGATGGGAAGCACGCTACCGTGACCGAAGCGTTTGATACGTTCGGGAACAATGCACGGACCTCAGTGGCGAACAAGGTTTTTATTTTGCTCTCGGAAGTATTTCCTACCATCGCCAAGATTCCCACTAAGCGGACGATTCTGAACAAGAAACTTGGCGTGACCATGGGCGAAATATCCAACAAATTGTTGATTCGCAGTCGCCAGGAGAAGGGCGCGAACATGAACGAGGCAGAAGAGGAGAAGTCCGTTATTGGACTGTTGCGTACGTTCTCTGAAACATTTATCGTAGTCCCTTCATTTACGTCACGACGACAGTCAAAGCCGAAGGTCAGGATGCCGAGCTTCGCCTGTCGGAGGCAGAAGTAGTGGCTGAGGTCCGTGGAGACTATTCTAGCGACGAATTTCAAGCTAACGTCATGCAGATGAAGGTCTTGCTTGTCGCGGGTTACGAGACGACATCCAGTGAGTCGATTTATTTTCCGCTGCTATCATATTGGCTGACTCTTCGTTGGCAGTCAGTCTTACGGTAAGTCTACTTGTCCGATGACGTCTGCACAATATTCATGAAATGATCAGTGGGCACTGATCGAACTATCGCGACACCCCGATGTTCAAACCAGACTCAGAGAGGAACTGCTTGCGTTTGGTGCTGATCCGACATATGACCAATTAAAAGCCAACCTCCCGTTCTTGGATGCTGTTGTCCATGAAATTCTACGACTCCATCCCCCGATATCCGAATTCGTTCGGCTTGTGAGTGCGCCTGCCTAACTTTGAATATACACCTGACAGTAGATCTACAGGCAGCCGCAGACGATGTTATTCCTTTGGGTGAACCTGTGCGCACGGCGTCCGGGAAAATGACCGACAGTATATCTGTAGCCAAGGGGTCATTGATTACGATCTCAGCCGGGGCAATCAACCGCTCTTTCTCCATCTGGGGACCTGACGCAAAGGAATTCAAGCCCGACCGTTGGCTTGCTGAAGGGGGCATCAGTGGGAAGGCCAAGGAAGTTCAAGGTCATAGGCATTTGCTGACATTTGTCGACGGCCCGAGGACATGTCTTGGAAAAGACTTTGCACTTGCGGAATTCAAGGTGATTTTTACGCATCCACTTGTTTCGACGTGACTCACTGCGATATAGACGGTTTTATCGGTTCTGGTGAAGAATTTCATGTTTGAGATGCGGGATGGACCAGATACTCAGCTTGAGATTGCGAGGGGGCTTTTGCCTCGTCCGCGGGTTGTTGGAGAGGATGGTATTGGGGTACCTTTACGCGTCCGTCGGTACGAATGATTGATTGCTGACAGGTTTAAATATTTTCCTCACTTGTCCGTGGCTGGAGCTTTTGCATTGTATTCAGATCAGAAGTATATGTAGCTTGACATTGTTAGCACTCAATTCATATTGACTCTCTATGCAATGAAAGGCTTGGGAGTGGAGCCTGTCGTTCAATCTTCGTCCAGATCTCAGGTTCGAGGGATGGTTCATTCACTGGGACGCAAGCCCGCCTTGCTTCAACATAATTGAAAAACAAAGATGACAATGACAGGGATGATGGCAATGATAGCGAATAGGATAGAAGACGTGCCCTTCACGAGGAAGCAGCTCTACACCTAAGATTCAAAAACGGGGGATGTACACATATACAAGCATGAGAATTCTTCATATAGCTGTCTTGGGTCAATCACTTAGGTTGTATAGTCTGCTCATCCACGCGACTGCGTATCGTGATGACGGACATAAGAAGACAAGCAATACCGATATCGAGGCCAACGATCTTGTGATCGATACTAGAAAATACATGTCCTGGTATAAAAGCTTGAAGGTGTATGAGTGCCAGCATCATGGAATTTGTAGGACACGCATACCGTTATCACTCTAGGTGGTTTACCTGGATACCGCGAGAAGCACAAGCCTTCTGCAGATCAGCGAGAAAAAACGCAGGACTTTCTGGATGGAGATCACTGCCGCAGGACAAACATCCAGCGATTGCAGGGAGAGTTGCCAATTCGACTGTAGTAGCGGCAGCACAGTAGGGATGGCGTCGCAGGAGATCGCGAATCTCTCCAATGATGATGGTGGCGCAGTATCGTGACGATAGTGTTGGACCCAACGAAACTCATTCGCAAGGACCACGACTGATAAAGTTGTATGAGCATTCTATATCTAATATTGATCTGTCACCTATAAGCGTTTCTTCTTTGCGAACACGTGTATATGCGCTAGTCCACGAATGCTTTGGAGCCTCTGCAGGATGCTCAGCATCTAATGAAGCATCACCGTAGGCTCGTTCACTCACTGGGGGATTGACAAACCACGCAGTTTCCCACTCACTCTCTGCCCATCTCCGATTCACACAACCGTCTATTTCCCTTCCAGCATTCCTCACCATCTCCTTCAATCTCTGGAGTGCCCTTTGGGCTGCGGACGAGATTCTCCACTGTGATTCCCCACTCGGTCAACGCAGGCGATTTCTGCAGGAATAAAAGCCGGGTGAAAGATAGGAACTCGCGACCAGATAAGAGTGTGTTCGATTTCGATGGGGACGGAGTAAGGCCAGTCGTTCTGAATAATACTGATCAGCTCTGAGTCGACAGGGATATCGGCTCTGAAGTATTCAGGTGCGTCTGGGGGGAGCGGTGGGAGTGGCTGGTCGGATTTACAGTGTGAGATAGACACTTCCTTCGGCCTGGTACCACTATCAGTGCTGAGGGTAAGAGCGGAAGGGTATCTGGCTTGCCCCATTGGAGACGGTGGTTGATAAGGTAGTTTACTTGAGGCCGTTGAGCGTTCTCCACGTGTTCTTACTCTACGACACACACCCATTGAGCCATACTCTTTTACAATTCCCGGAGACCATGCGTTATATCTCTTTTGCAGTGCCCTATCACGCTTCAACAGCCCGAGATCCCTTGATCAATTTTGCAGTGTCAGCATCGTCAGTCTCATTCACATCGACTATAAAATATACCAGGAATTTACAAAGGTCTTGAGCTAGTCCCATGTGAACTTGGCTGGATAGTGTGAGAGCAGCTCTTCTCTTGTTGGAGGACCTGCACGTAGGGGAACTTGTGTGATCTTCTGGGAAACGTTGTCTGATGTATCCAAGGGTGGCTCTATGGTCATCATCGTTGACAAGTAATGCGGATGTGAATGCACCTGCAGTTTGTTTACCAAAAGCTTTAGATCCAAACAAACAATGTGACAACTTCTCCCACCAACTGCCTCAACAACAAACACGAGTTCCAGCCTGGGGCCACACGCGAGGATAACCGCATGGTGGGACATCAACTATTCTCACCCCGCCACCATTCGTATGCCAAGCTACCTAGTGAAATTTAAACTAGGTCCATCACTGTTAATCAATACTGTCGGCGGCAACAAAGAAAATGATAAGTGTTACAGTTTTTGCTGGGTTCGGTTACTGTGCAGCATCTACTAAGATCACGAATCTCGTCTTTGGATCATCACCTCCTCTGGAGTGATCGAGATTGATGGCGAGCCGATCTTCAAGATTGCTCATACCTACGTCCGTTCCTTCCCCTCACTCCGTGACGTTCATCACGTCCACTTAACATCGACCATCAACAACTCTCCCCTACCCATACACTTTCCCGTAGACCTTTCATCATCTCATATTCGCTTTATCAATCCCCATACCCTCAAAGAGCTCGATCTATCTTTCGTAATCCACAACTTCGTCAATATTTATTTTAATTTATCTTCGAATATCTTATAGTTTCGCTCGGACATGATCTGCTATTCGACGCTGGTCTCCAGTTTCGTCCCACCTCTAGTCGACGGAAACGCGATCTTTCTGACAAATATTGGCGCGCCGTTGCACAAGAACTCGAAACAGGCTGCATCTGCGTTTCCTTTGACCTTCAATGTGTTCACATCAAACACCGCTATCTTCCAGGGAGAGAAAAGACATGCAGAATCTGTCGAGCACCACGAGATCACTCCTGTTCTAGAGTGGGACGGATGCTTTTGCGCTCCCAGACGACCTAAGGACCCATCATCTGAAAGAGCTTGAGCGCCCGCATCTTTACAGAGATTTATATCACTTCTTTTCAGGCAGGCAGGTAGGGAAGACGGAAATTCTGTCATTTCTGTCATAATTTGATCATACATTATAGCTTATCTCTGTATCAACGATCTTATAACTCAGAGTCGCTTGTCGTGTACTTGAATTTTGTACTTTATTGCACGAACAATTGAACGGTTGAGAATTGGTGCATCTTCGGGGTTCGAGTGTCCAGGGAAATAGACGCCGTTTGTAACTGTTATGACGCGAGTCATAGGAGCCCTTGCTTCGTGTTCGTTCGCTGTTGTACCTCGCTGCGATCTCGTTCCGTGTCACTCCCCACTACTTGCACGACCACTTCCGCTCTCAGGACGCACATCAAGCACTCCAGATGGCACCCAAAATCGACCCTCAGAACCTCAGAGAGACATTTGGGCGCTTCCGAGTTCTGATCGTAGGAAGAGCGAACGCAGGCAAAACTACAATTCTTCAGAAGGTCTGCAACACCACGGAAAAGCCAGAGATTTACGATGCCAAAGGACGCAAGGTGTGGTATGTTCGATAGCATGCGTGCATCGACCGCTGATCACTTGTGAGTGAGTAGATCGATGCTGTCGTCGTAGAAGGCTCGAGATCGGTGTGTGCACTATCTGCCCTATGAGCATGCATGCGCTGATAGATGCTCAGCGTGGAAATCATGAGATCACAAACGAAATGGTGTTCAAAAGCAATTCTGGTTTTGTCTTTCACGACTCGTGCGGTTTCGAAGCGGGCTCTGTAGAAGAATTCGAGGAGATGAAGAGATTTATCTCAGAACGTGCAAATGCAACGAAATTGGAGGAGCGACTGCATGCTATTTGGTAAGTGACCCCCTCCTGCATTCTGTGCTTGTTCATTGCTGTCATACAGGTATTGTATTCCGATGGATGACCATTGTCGAACATTCCAGCGGTCAGAGGAGAAGTTCTTCTCCGAGTGCAATACTGGGAATGGTGAGCTTGTGACTCCAGTGTCCCTTGTCGTGCTCGGACTACATCACAATTCTTCAGTTCCCATAATTGCAGTATTCACAAAATTTGAAGCTCTCTGTCCAGTGGCATTTGGAGAACTGGAGGACGAGTTCATTGGGCTATCAAGTGAAGAGTGCCTGAAGAGGATTGCCCATCGTGTCGAAGAATTGTTCAAGAATACACAGGTCTTGGATCGGTTATGTGACATTAATAACCTTGCCCATCCTAAGGGCTATGTACGGTTGGAGAGTGAGTGGTTCTGATTGATTTATCTAGTGAAAGTCAAAATGAGTCACCGACCCAGATATGAACCAGCCAAACACAAACTGTGACACATTGGTAGAATGCACGACTTTTGCATTGGATGACAAAGAATTACGGTTGTACCTGGTTTCAACACAACAGTCAAACCTGGAACTTTGTATCAAGTGTGCTGTTGGGTGAGTCACAAAGTTTCAAGTCCATGTGCATGTGTTTCAACATCATCTAGGGTGCTTGTTAATCATGCACATTGGCAATTGTTACCACGTCCAACAGATCATGAAGCATACCAGTTGGACCTTGCTAAGTGGTTTTTGCATCTTTATGTAAGATTACTATTAGTTCAACATCATGGTGGCTTTGTGATGGTGCTAATAAATGGTGAACATGAGACTACCAAGACTGTAAACATACTGATATCATATCTTTCACTGTAGTTGTCTTATGATGATAGTTGGTAAGTGGCTGGTTTCTGCAACTAATCCCATGCTGATGATGCCAATCCTTGCTGCTCCTGGCCTGTTGACAGACTGTAAGTGCCTTGATGGTTTCTGCTCCTCATCCCATGCTGATGATCCTGATCCCTTGCTGCTCCTGGCCTGTTGATAGGAAGTATGTGCCTTGATGGTTTCTGCTCCTCATCATATGCTGATGATCTTGATCCCTTGCTGCTCCTGGCCTGTTGACAGCGAGTAAGTGCCTTGATGGTTTCTGCTCCTCTTCCCATGCTGACAATCCTGATACCTTACTGCTCCTGGCCTGTTGACAGTCTGTAACTGCCTTGGTGGTTCCTGTAAGTGCCTTGATGGTCCTGCTTCTCATCCCATGCTGATGGTCCTGATCCCTTGCTTCTCCTGGCCTGTTGACAGCGAGTAAGTGCCTTGATGGTTTCTGCTCCTCATCTCATGTTGATGATCCCAATCCCTTGCTGCTCCTGGCCTGTTGACAGCAAGCAAGTGCCTTACTGGTTTCTGCTCCCCATCCCATGCTGATGATTCCAATCCCTTGCTGCTCCTGCTCTGTTGACAGCAAGTAAGTTCCTTGATGATCTCTCTTCTGGAACCTACACTGACCATCCTGATATCATGCTGCTGCTCATTCATTCATAGATGGTAGGTATCTTTCATGATCATGTCTTGTATTGATACACGGCACTGAAGATTGTGATCTTTGATGTCTGTAATAGCCTAATGTAAGTGTCCTCAGATATTCCAACCCTTCATCACTCACATGATGCATAGTTTGTTGAGTATCCTTTTGTTCTAATTTGTTTTCCATGTTCACTTATCCTGCTCATCTGCTGTACAGAATGTGAGTGCTGTGTCACAGCTCATTGATTATTCATTTTTCTGATTGACTCTTTCTTTCTAGCATGTCAGTCCTTTTTTAATTGCTACAGATTCCAGTTGTGTAGTTTCTATTCTTCTACTCATTATATGTTCACAGGGTGTATGTTATTCCCTTCTTGTTATGCACCATTGGTACACTGACACACCCAATTTCATTGATTTTATACAGCTTGTATGTCCAACCCACTGGCATTGGCTGTGCCACATACTGATAATCATCTGGTTTTAACTTCTGGATAGTTTGTAAGTCTCATTTAGACAGTGTCATTATCTCGTGGTTGATCAATTACAATTGTTGAACAAACAGAATGTAAGTCTCGGCATTAATAATTCCAGCCACCTCATACTTCCGACATTACTGTGTAACAGACTACAAGTGTTCTGTTTGAAATGGTTCTGATGCTAATGCTATCTCAATGACTAGACTCTCACCTGGAGAGGAGAGTTTTTGTCTATTCTTCAGCCTTTGGTAAGTTTGTTTCTCCACAATGATCCTTACCATTGTTGAGAGTGCTCAATAGGCTCGCAATGGAACATGGTTCACCACTGCGAACGGAATCCTTCGGATTGGCATTGGTTAGTTTCTGACCGCACAGCCAGCTACACTTTAATAACGCATAGCAGCTACCATTTTGGTCCTCGAATATTCCGCCTTCCTCCGGCATGACTCGGACGATGAACTGGGGTTCATGAAGTCTGCCGTGGACCATTACGTGAAATCTCCTACGGCTATCGCTGTGGAGAAAGTCGCGAGGGAAATTACTGATCGAGGCTATAAGAAAGAGGAGCTGAAGACGAAGATTCTCGAGTTCATCCTTGAAAATCGCATGTGTACGTCTCTCGCCTTGATTTGAACCCGGAACTCGAAGCTTACTAGCAGCGCAGCGAAGGAACTGCTCACAAAGAAGTAGACGGCGCTCGGGCCAAGTGTCCTGCTTTTGATGCTTCTCCCATGCTATGTGCTCATGTTGTGTACGATACCGAGCACGCCAGCTTCAACTGCTGAGTACTGTTTCCTGCTTTCAAATTTTCAATGCTCCTTCCCATACTGTTATGTACTATACCGACCACTTCAGCTGCAACTGCTAAGTGCTGCAGGCTGTATCGGGTTTCAATACCCTTCTTTTGGATTTCATTATATCGTGTTCTGTTTTGTACAATGTAGACCCGGGCTCGTCAAGTGATCACCGTTTATTCTTACTTCTAGGGGCGACTAGACCGCGAACTTCAGCATAGGTTCAGTATTCTTCGACGCTAAGACGGACCGGCATGACGACGGACGCGACTAACGCTGTCAATACCCGCCACGTGGGGGAATCAAGTCATGAACATGAAGGTTTGGGGAGGCACGGTGAACTTAGAACAGATAAATCAGAGGCAATCACAGGATCGAATTATGGTCTCGTAGTTGAACACAATTTCGGTGGATCGACAAGAAGAGATGGGGGAGGAGATAATGAATAGTAAACCAAAATGACAAGAAATGAAGTGGACGTATATATCAGTATCGTGAAGCATACATGTGGCGCGGTCATGACATAGGTAGCGCCTAAGTAAGTTGGATGAGGAAAACACAGACAGTAGAGGCGCGATGAGTATGACGATCAATTGTGCTAATGACGAAGGACGTACCATAAACATACTCTCTGCGTTCAGCTCCCTCCTATCGAATCCATTCTTCCGTGCATCATAGAGGGCGAGGTGCTCTAGATCATAGCTACGGGCCCGGGAAACCCGTGATGATCTGTGTTCAGGCTCGGTGACTGTGCCAGGGCAGACGGTTTATCGCCAGTGGAAAACAACAGAGATAAATACACCTTTTTCAATATGCTGCCAGGCTGAGTAGGTGCCTCGGCGGTTAGAGTTGCATCGCAAGTGTGGTCGACTTTATGTCGCTCGGTCAAGTACAGACCACTATTGGTGCAGTTACTGCCCCAGGGTGGTCAAGTAACAGACGTTCAAGTTCGTGAGCAACTTTGTGGACCTACATAATAGCCCAATCAGCAGTGGTGACAGCCAACGACAGACCTACTTATACAAATAGTTTTGGCTTTGCTGAACGCTATGTAGAACGTGCGAAAGTGGTTGAGATTGACGCGTATGAAATTCCGAATACGGTTACTTGCGCTCATAACCAGATTCAAAATGCTCATAAGCGACTTTGCAACAAAGTCGCATTTTTAGATGCAGGCTGCGTACCTGCAACCTTGTCGTCCAGCCTACGTATCACGTTTGAGCTTGAATGGCCTCCCACTCAGTATTTGCAGCGTACGGCATCTCCTTGACTCTTGCAGAATGACTAGCGAGTTCACTGGTGCACGACACTTGCTTGAGACACCGGTTCCGACTCCTATGAATAGTGACTCCTGATGTATGGGCAACGGTGTCACACGGCAAGCACTGCCCTGTTGCTAAAGCCGGTGAACTTCATACCGCAGCCTCAGAAGTGGCTATAAATCTTCCGCCAGATTCCATGCCGAATACATCACAAGAATGAAGATTTCTACTACTATCTCCATACCGCCTGGCTCTCCATCGAGCCTCTGGACAACCATGCGTTCAGTTGGCACATTCAATATCGCTTGTTCATTTGCAGCACTTTGGGCCTTTGTCAAAGTTCTAAGGGCCCTCCGCTGGCGATTGAAGACGACTCAACTGCGGGGTCCACCTCGTTCCAGCATCGTATATGGTGTTTCAAACGACCTCACTTCATCTACAGACACTGCTGCAATGTATGAACGTTGGGCGGACGAATATGGGGTAGTATATATGATTCCGAGCGTCCTCGGGCAGACTAGAATCGTGCTATGTGACCCAAAAGCTATAGCACATTTTTATGCCCGAGAGACATGGACCTATGTGCGGACGCCCCTTGCGTCAGTGCTCTTAGAGGCCTTGGTATGTTGATATCCTCTTCTGATTTCGTCTGTTTGATATCTCTCATCAGATTGGCAGAGGGGTACTATGGTCTAACGGTGAAAGCCACAGGAGGTGGTGTTCAAATCTTGTCCTCGCGCCAGTGACTAATCAATACCCTGCGAATTAGGCAGCGGAAGGCCATCACGCCAGCTTTTAGTAACGCAGCTATTCGGAAACTTACATCAGTGTTCTATGACTCAGCATACAAGGTAAGGATTTACAATCTCGGAAATGCGACATCTCTGAGCTTATTCTACAGGTCAAGGGTGCATGGGATACTGCTATAGAATCCAGCAAGGATGGAAATGCGGTCATTGAAGTCCAGAACTGGTGCGTAGCTTTCCTGGCATGAAAAGTTGCATTCTAAACAACTGCAAGGATGAATCATACCTCGTACGCGATGGATCCCTTTGCTATTTAAGCCTTGAAACTGAGGCAGCATCAGTCTAGATACGATTGGCATCGCCGGTTTCTCCCATGATTTTGGCTCGCTCGATGGGAAGCACGCTACCGTGACCGAAGTGTTTGATACGTTCGGGAACAATGCACGGGCCTCAGCGAGGAACAAGGTTTTTATGTTGCTCGCGCAAGTATTTCCTACCATCGCCAAGATTCCCACTAAGCGGACGATTCTGACCAAGAAACTTGGCGCAACCATGGGCGAAATATCCAACAAATTGTTGATCCGCAGTCGCCAGGAGAAGGACGCGAACATGAACGAGGCAGAAGAGGAGAAGTCCGTTATTGGACTGTTGCGTACGTTCTCTAAAACATTTATCGTAGTCCCTTCATTCACGTCACGACGACAGTCAAAGCCGAAGGTCAGGATGCCGAGCTTCGTCTGTCCGAGGAGGAAGTAGTGGCTGAGGTCCGTGAAGACTATTCTAGCGACGAATTTCAAGCTAACGTCATGCAGATGAAGGTCTTGCTTGTCGCAGGTTACGAGACTACATCCGGTGAGTCGATTTCTTTTCTGCTGCTATCATGTTGGCTGACTCTTCGTTGGCAGTCAGTCTTACGGTGAGTCTACTGTCCGATGACGTCTGTGCACAGTATTCATGGAATGATCAGTGGGCACTAATCGAACTATCGCGACACCTCGATGTCCAAATCAGACTCAGAGAGGAACTGCTTGCGTTTGGTGCTGATCCGACATATGACCAATTAAAAGCCAACCTCCCGTTCTTGGATGCTGTTGTCCATGAAATTCTACGACTCCATCCCCCGATACCCGAATTCGTTCGGCTTGTGAGTGCGCCTGCCTAACTTTGAATATACACCTGACAGTAGATCTACAGGCAACCGCAGACGATGTTATTCCTTTGGGTGAACCTGTGCGCACGGCGTCCGGGAAAATGACCGACAGTATATCTGTAGCCAAGGGGTCATTGATTAGGATCTCAGTCAGGGCCATCAATCGCTCTTTCTCCATCTGGGGACCTGACGCAAAGGAATTCAAGCCCGACCGTTGGCTAACTGAAGAGGGCATCAGTGGGAAGGCCAAGGAAGTCCAAGGTCATAGGCATTTGCTGACATTTTCTGACGGCCCGAGGACATGTCTTGGAAAAGAATTTGCACTTGCGGAATTCAAGGTGATTTTTACGCATCAACTTGTTTCGACGTGACTCACTGCGACATAGACGGTTTTATCGGTTCTGGTGAAGAATTTCATGTTTGAGATGCGGGATGGACCAGATACTCAGCTTGAGATTGCGAGGGGACTTTTGCCTCGTCCGCGGGTTGTTGGAGAGGATGGTATTGGAGTACCTTTACGCGTTCGTCGGTACGAATGATTGGTTGCTGGCAGGTTTAAATATTGTTTTCCTCACTTGTCCGCGGCTGGAGCTCTTGGATTGTATTCAGATCAGAAGTATCTGTAGCTTGACATCGTTAGCACTCAATTAATATTGGCTCTCTATGCAACGAAAGGCTTAGGGAGTGGAGCATGTCGTTCGATGTTTGTCCAGATCTCAGGTTCAAGAGATGGTTCATTCACCGGGACGCAAGCCCGCCTCGCTGAGATGTTTCAATATAATTGAAAAACAAAGATGATGACAGGGATGATGGCAATGGTAGCGAATAGATAGAGGACGTGCGCTTCACGAGGAAGCGACTCTACGCATAAGATTCAAAAACGGAGGATGTACGCATATACAAGCATGAGAATTCTTCATATAGCTGTCTTGGATATCAGTCAATCACTTGGGTTGTATAGTCTGCTCATCCACGCGACCACAAGTGTCTGCGTATCGTGAGGACGGACATATGAAGACAAGAAATACCGATATCAAGGCCAATGATCTTGTGATCAATGCTAGAAAATACTTGTCCTGATATAAAAGCTTGGAGGTATGAGTACCAGCATCGTGGAATTTGTAGGACACGCATACCGGCATCACTCTAGGTGGTTTACCTGGATACCACGAGCAGCACAAGCCTTCTGCAGATCCGCGAGAAAAAAACGCAAGACCTTCTGGATGGAGATCACTGCCGCAGGATACCCATCCAGCGATTGCAGGGAGGGTTACTAATTCGACTGTAGCAGCGGCAGCACAGTAGGGACTCCATGGCGTCGGAGGAGATCGCGAATTTCTCCAATGATGATAGTAGATTAAGCAAAGGTTCCGTATCGAAATCCCATCCACCAATGCGAAGCCTTTGCAGGCCCGTGAACCTAGATAGTACTTTAATAGTCTCAACGTCGCTCTGCGCCATCAATCTCTTGATGTGTGGCTGCTTCACAGAACTTCAAATGACCTCAACCAAGTGACCCATGCTCAGACCAACTTCTTGCACTTCCAATGTCTCGATGCTTTTGGAACTGGATGCGAATAGCCAGTTACACAGGCCAGGAGATAAGTCTGTCTAGGACATCGGCATCACCGAGACTCTGAAGTATCTTGAAGGACTCGAGGTTGCATAGACAAGGTAGAAGAGGGGCAAGGAGTGAGAGGTCCTGCCCAGATACTTGAAGCCCCTCCAGATATGGGTACTTATGAAGGGACATGGGCACTTACGACGCTGACTTACATATTCCTGACGATGAATACGCTAGCATCTGCTCACGGCAGAATATTTGAGCGTTATCCGAGGGAATGTGAGTTACCAAGTCGTCAGGCCAATTAGAAAGAATCGCGCTTACGGGGACACTGGATATGCAACTCTGACAAGTTGTATGAGCATTCTAAATCTAATATTGATCTGTCACCTATAAGTGTTTCTTCTTTGCGAACACGTGTATATGCGCTAGTCCACGAATGCTTTGGAGCCTCTGCAGGATGCTCAGCATCTAATGAAGCATCACCGTAGGCTCGTTCACTCACTGGGGGATTGACAAACCACGCAGTTTCCCACTCGCTCTCTGCCCATCTCCGATTCACAAAACCGTCTATTTCCCTCCCAGCATTCCTCACCATCTCTTCAATCTCTGGAGTGCCTTTTGGGCTGCGGACTAGATTATCCATTGTGATTCCCCACTCGGTCAATGCAGGCAGACATTTCGGCAGGGTGGACGGTGAAGGTGGAGGCTCGTTGTTGCCTGTAAATCCACATAGTCCGTCCTGCTGAATTCGTGTATCGATTTCTGCAGGAATAAGAGCCGGGTGAAAGATAGGAACTCGCGACCAGATAAGAGTGTGTTCAATTTCAATGGGGACGGAGTAAGGCCAGTCGTTCTGAATAATACTGATCAGCTCTGAGTCGACAGGGATATCGGCTCTGAAGTATTCAGGTGCGTCTGGGGGGAGCGGTGGGAGTGGCTGGTCGGATTTACAGTGTGAGATACACACTTCCTTCGGCCTGGTATCACTATCGAGTGCTGAGGGTAAGAGCGAAAGGGTATCTGGCTTGCCCCATTGGAGACGGTGGTTGATAAGGTAGTTTACTTGAGGCCGTTGAGCGTTCTCCACGTGTTCTTACTCTACGACACACACCCATTGAGCCATACTCTTTTACAATTCCCGGAGACCATGCGTTATATCTCTTTTGCAGTGCCCTATCACGCTTCAGCAGCCCAAGATCCCTTGATCAATTTTGCAGTGTCAGCATCATCAGTCTCGTTCACATCGACGATAAAATATACCCGGAATTCACAAAGGTCTTGAGCTGGTCCCATGTGAACTTGGCTGGATAGTGTGAGAGCAGCTCTTCTCTTGTTGGAGGACCTGCACGTAGAGGAACTTGTGCGATCTTCTGGGAAACGTTGTCTGATGTATCCAAGGGCGGCTCTATGGTCATCGTCGTTGACAAGTAATGCAGATGTAAATGAACCTGCAGTTTGTTTACCAAAAGCCTTAGATCCAAACAAACGGTGTGACTCTTCTCCCACCAACTGCCTCAACAACAAACACGAGAAGCTCCAGCCTGGGGCCACACGCGGGGACAACCGCATGGTGGGACATCAGCTGTTCCCACCCCGCCACCATTCGTATGCGAAGCCATCTAGTGAAATTTAAACTAGGTCCATCACTAATGAAAAGACCTTGTCGGACATTAATTCGCGGGTTTTACTTACGTCTGTTAAATAGCGAGGTAATGAGCAGAGTTGCGGTGGTGAGGCTGAGGGCTGTACCCGGTTGTCTTACATAGATCGTTTGGTTCAGCTGCCTTCCTTCTATTGTCCGTAATAGACGTATCCGTCGCTTTATCCACGATATAGTATCATTCAAGTTTGCAACTCCGAGTCTTTCTGAATGGGAACCCCGGGACATGAGGGGAACTGACCGAGCCTACACTGGGACGGGCTTGTTTGAACGGCGTCGCCAACTTTCGGCTCATGACAAACAAGCGCCTGATGAAAAATGCTGTACAGGACTAGTTTGTCATCCATCATGAATAACCTCATCGTCCCCAACGTTCCACCATCATTAGGCAATCGTTGCCAATAGTTCCTCATAATCAGTCAGCCTGGGCATATGTATGGCTTCCCGGAGTGTGTGCTGCCTTTTGCTGAGTAAACCCGGTTGCATTTCCTAATTGCCGACTGCCTTTCCCTAACCTTACAAATATATCATCGATGTCTATTTAGTTTGGGCGAAACTGCCTATATATAAAGTGTACTGTGTGCTGAACGCTTTGCCACCAGACAATCGATATCCATTCCACGCATTTCATACCTAGTTTGATAATCCTTGATCCAATAGAGCACCATGTCCTCCTCAACGTCCACCCTCTTCTCCCCCATCCGCGTTGGCAATATGAACTTGCAGCACCGCGTCGTTCTTGCCCCACTTACCCGTAACCGCGCACACGCAGATCACGTCCCAGGTCCACAAGCACCAGCATACTACTCTCAGCGAGGGTCCATCCCTGGCACTCTTCTTGTCACAGAGGGCACATTCATATCTCAAAACGCTGGCGGTTATGACCATGTTCCTGGAATATACACCGAGGCTCATGTGGAGGGGTGGAAGAAGGTGGGTTATATCTTATCTTATGAATCAATACACAAGAGCTAACCTGCGCCCCTGACGACAGGTGACAGATGCAGTCCACGAGAAGGGCTCTTTCATTTTCCTACAACTCTGGGCACTTGGCCGCACCGCAGAAACCGCCGTTCTCGCCAAGGAGAACAACAGTCCCCACGTGGGAGCCTCACCCATTCCCCTCCCGGAAGCCCAGAAACAGAAGTGCCACGCGCTCTCACCACAGATGAAATCAAGGCGTACGTTGCCGCGTACGTGCACCGCCGCGAAAAACTGCCATTCGAGCGGGATTCGATGGTGTTGAGATTCATGGCGCGAACGGCTACTTGATCGACCAGTTCATTCAAGACGTCACCAACCACCGTACGGATGAATATGGCGGGAGCATCGAGCATCGCGCCAGGTTCGCACTCGAGGTTGCAGATGCTGTTGTAGAGGCTGTTGGTGCCGAGAGGACAGGGTTCCGAATCAGTCCGTGGGGCATATTCAATGGTGCGTTTAGCATTAAATACCACAGATATCTATTTAGGCTGATTTTTGGCGCAGGAATGGGCATGGCAGATCCAAAACCCCAGTTCTCCTACGTCGCCGAGCCAGTTGCGCAAGCGCAAACTCGCATACATCCACGTCGTAGAGCCGCAAACTTCTGAACACAACAGCGATTTCCTCCGTGATATCTGGAATGGGGATGAGGGAAGCACGTTCATCAGCGCAAACGGACATAACCGCAAGAGCGCTATTGAGACGACAGACAACAAGGGCGGACTTGTTGCGTTCGGGAGGTCGTTTATGCCAAACGTGAGTCGTCTATTATTTGTTCTTGGACTTAGCAGATGCTGACCTGTCTTCTTTCTTTAGCCCGACCTTCCATTCCGCCTGCTAAAGGATATCCCGCTCGAGCGTGGCGACCAGAAAACGTGGTACATGGTCGGTAATCTAACACCAACGGGCTACTCTGACTGGCCCTTTGCGTCAGAGTATAGTCAGCAACAGACAAGTAAATTCTGAACACTAGAATAGACGGCTGTGACACTAGAGATGCAGATACCCTCCATACGCATCATAATCTTTATTTAAGCCTATCTGTACAACTTGATCAATTGGCAGCGTGTTTTGTTATCTTAAGCCTGTTCCACATGAAAGGCGAGCTTATCTCAGATTATTAGATTGATTATATCGGTACATTCCCTGACAGAGCCCGACAGTGCGACAGAGTGATGGCGCACTCTGCGCCCTCCTGACGTGAAGATCGTTTGAAGGCGTATTTATGTCAGCTAGACCGCCACGGTCGTCTCGTGTTCCCCGAGGGAGAGGGTTTTGTCAGACGGGATCGTACAAGAGCTCTCTGTACGAAGACTCGTAACCAGTCTGGACATGAAGGTCTGAATAATTTATTGGAGCAGGTCACCTACGAGTTGATCCCAAACACTCAAATCTCCTCATGAAAGGACACAAGGACAAAAAAGCTTCTCATGCGACTTGTTTAGACTTCGTCAGTGCGTCCCAGCATATCCTTCTGGCGGCTGTGGGATACAAGGGCCTTGCTGGGAATCGAACCCAGGCCACTTGCAATTGTGAAACACCCAAAGCAAGTATCGTACCTCTAGACTACAAGGCCTTGGAGAAAGACCACCTTCATGTACACTCGGCCAGTCTCGCTCATTCACTTTCTACTTTCCGGAAAATCTGCAGGTCTGTCTTACAATCATCATGCGTACATTTCAGATGGTTTGCGAGTCAGAATATGTGTAACATGCGTAATCCCAGCCGCACATCGTCGAAGTCGAAGACTTTGAGGTGACGGCACAAGCATACGAATAAAGAATCAGTATCAACAGAACAAAGTCTCGGTGGATTGGGAGAATGCTAAGGGATCTGTAGAGTGAATAGCGGATTTATACAGTTAGTAATTGTAAGAGCCCGTGATAAAGAAAACTCAAATACTTCGGAAACACATCTAGTCACATCTAAGCCAAGACTCGTAACTTCAGGTCCGTCAACGATGGTGATCGGTTCCTTTGCCACTTGATCAAGGCAACTGTCACACACATATTCAGGTGGAACTTTGGTGGCCAGAGTTAACCTATGACATCTCGCCTTCGACCTCCACTTAATCCGTCAAGCCCGAACAGCATCTGATTGACCTTGAGACGCGGATTAGACCCCCATGCCGATAAGACAGGGTAACGGGCGTACGATGTGGACCAACTCGAACCAAATACGAGGTACATGCGCTTAATCGTCCAACTTGCCTTGAGAGACGACTTCCAATGTGACACGAGTGACTTCAGCCGCTAATGCACGAAGTTGGATGACCATTCCGTTTACAGTGTTCTTCAAATCAAGGATTTCGCCACGAGCATCGATATTGATCTGTTTTGTTAAATCTCCCAGCGCGACATTTTTAGTGACCTCGGCGATACTTCGGACTTGATCAATCAAGTTGGCAGCTGATTTATTGACGACGCTAGTCAATTTCCGCCAAGTACCTCCAATACGACAGGCTGTCCACCGAGTTTACTGCAGAGGACTAAGTGAAACGTATAAGATCCAGATTACCAGTCACCTTACCCTTCTGTACCAATTTCTTGACTGACGCGAGTGATTTCTTTGGCGAACTGTCCCAAGTTATGGACCTGACAATGATGATGAGCGTCGAGTGAGCCCTCAGGACGAGATTTTGAATACAGTATTTATAACATTCTTTAGTTGAATCATGACCACACTCTGGACGGAACCGTAATCTTCTGGGACGAGTCACCTCTAGCTACGGCATTGCACACACGAGAGACGTCGTGGACCTGATCCTTGAGCCGGGGCAGAACTCATCCTAATAATCACTGATCAGAAAGAGATATTAGGAAGCGAACACAAGGAAGAAACTGCAGGGACTAGTGTGATGAAGAAGCGCATCAAAGCGAATGGTATGTCTGCAAAGGCCTCGGCTGCACGGCGTAAACCCTCTGGTTACCCAGTACCCTAGGTGCTCAAGGAGTCATGGTTTGTGCTTGTTTACCAAAAGCCTTAGATCCAAACAAATAACGCATTTCTCCCACCAACTACAACAACAAATCATGAAAACAGCTCGTGGAGGTACCAGGGGCCGCGCGCGGGGGCAATCGCATGGTCGTGGAAGGGTGAACCCTTCTCTCCAAGTTAAAGTTTCAAAAACAGGTGCCTCGCCTCATACACAGATGGAACACATCGCATTCAGTTAGCCGGAGCAGTGGGCTCGAGAAGGGGGGGACGCGTGAGTTCAAATTCCTCGGTTCATTCGCGGAGCTTAAATTTCTTAGGTTCTAGCTTGAAGGATTTCAAGGTGCAAGAACAGTACAGGGTGTTCGTGGGCGAGAAGGTGTGCGTGCTTGATGGCATTTGGACTGAGTATTCATCGAGATTGCAGCTGCGTAAGTTTGGGGCGGAGAAACAGACGAAGGACGGGCAGGAGAACATATTGATCCTGTTTCGTGAGTACCTATGTTTCTCTCGGCCAGGAATTTGTTTTTCAGACTTGCTGGACAGGAAAGCTTAGAGAAGGAATCTTCGCGTCTAAGCGGAAGTGATGCCTTTGCGATCGAAGGCACGTTGATATGTATGATATTCCATTGATCCTGTTCATCATCTGGATAATTTGCAGTATATGAAACCTCTCTTTGTCTCTCCTCAATATTCGACTCCCAAGTCCAGACATCTTCTATTCTCTCGCACCTCCTTCCCGAACTCTACATCTCCGCATCAATCCAGCCTCCAATCAGCTCCGTGCTCATATCGCTCCTCCATCACCTGATCGCAGGATATCCATCGCAAAAAAGCTACTTCGAACATCTTTCGCGCCTCTCGCCCTAACGTGTTGGATAGGACATCAGAAGCACACGCATGGATATCAAATTTAGCAACGAGTCTCCGTACCCTCAATCACATCAGGTTTGAAGCACTTTCGCGGCACGATGTATACAGACATCTCCTTCCTGCATCCACCATCTGACGAGAAATACGATGCGTTGGATCGTCTAGTCGCACGATGCGGTGCACGCGCTTGTGGAACGGCTGAGAAATAAAGCGAGGGATAGAGCGTGGGCGGTGCTGCGTAGTACATATCGGGAGCTATCGGCGTCAGAAGAGACAAGGGCCTGGATGGTCAAGTGCCTACTGCTCCAAACCTGAGCAGGCATCTACATCGAGTCTTTCGTTGGAGGAGTGGATGGATGGGCGGTGCCGAGACGGTCACCTTCGGCCAAAGGAAGGGACGGTAGGAAGATGGATAGTATGCAAGGTCAGATAACTGCTGTTAGGTCTATTGTAAGATATAATGGTATACATGATCCTCAGAAGCCTAGCTAGTGCGCACGAAGGTCATTAATATTGAAGTAATATCTTGTCCAGTAATTTTAACTTCATGAACGCTACATTCCGGTGGCAGTGCGCAATATATTGCACATAGAAACTGCAGGTGACAGATCCTGCCACTACTTAGCACTGCTTGTTGGACAGCCTCGTGATCTTTTCTCGCTGTCCTGCTACCACCACCTCGAGCTTTTCTGCATTGATACCCTTTACTATTCCTGCGTCTGACGCCAGGCGCAGCACTTAATGATCAAGTTTGTGAACAACCTGAATCTGACGCCTCGTTCAGTTTCACATGTCACGGCCTCACCCTTTACTCTCCTTTGAGGTAGACACCTCAGGACAGGATACTTCCAGCAAAGACGACAGTTTTGATTCGGATGTCCGGAAATCTTGGTATCATTACCTACCACTATGCTGTATGTCCTCGCATCGTGTAACTTCAAGTTCGATCGTTGACGCACTCAACTTTTCCAGTACTACTTTTCCTCATGGTGGCTCCTCATCCTTCATTGCTCATTGTCCTCGTAAATCACTATCTTTTTACATTGAACAAGCCCATAGTTTGCGTTATTCATACGCTGATCATTTATACCCTCGAATTCCTTGCCTTTTGTTCTTTGATGGTTTGCGTAGCTCGTGATCCCGGTCCAGTACACTTTGATGCTTCCGACCACGATTCTACCGACCAGCGTGAAGATATGGGCCTCGCGGAAGCTTTGATGACCATGGGGAACACAGATGACGATTGTAGTCCTGAAAAGTTTTGTCGGAAATGTTGGGTACCTAAACCGGAGCGTGCGCATCATTGCAGCATCTGTGGTCGTTGCGTTTTGAAGATGGGTGAGTTTATACACTTCAGGCAACTACGCTGGAGGCTTAACATACTAGATCATCATTGTCCTTGGCTTGGAGCTAAATGCGTCGTAAGTAGCAGATCAAGTATGTGGTGTGCATTTCTAACGTTGCGCTTGCAGGGATATAGAACATACCCAGCATTTGTTCATTTCTTGACTTGCATCACCGCTTTCTCCGCATATACCACTATTATATCTATTTCTGCATTCTGGTGGTCTTTCAATAATCCACTTCTGGTTTTGGTGAGAAGTTTGGAACGCGCTTGCTCAATTTCTGATACTTATGGTTGTTTAGGACCAGTCTACCCCCGTTCATGAATTATTACTCGCCGCTGCCGGCGTGATTTTTACTCTGGTTGTTGGTTCCTTCTGGGTGTACCATGTTTACCTCATTACGTATGTCAAACACAGCTTTTGTTCTCATTATTCCGAGCGCTAATCGCAAAATAGTACTAACCAGACTACTGTCGAAGCCATCTCACCATTCTTGTTATTGAGATATATCCCTCCATTACCGGCGTCCATGAAGTTGTCTGATCCCCCAATGGAGGACGAGTTGTCATACAATCAACGCAGAGTGGTTCGTGACGCACATAACTCCGTGCGTATGTACGATGTCGGGTGGCGGAGGAACTGGGCGCAAGTTTTTGGATGGAGTAAGCCGCGAGGATGGATTTATCTTCTCCTCATCGGCGGCGAGGGGTGAGTCGTTTGCTTTTACGTATCACCTTCCCTGCCATACTCAACGAGTGGATCTGTACAGGAACAGTGATGGGCGGTCATTCCCGCGCAACCCACGCTCGCAGGTGATGTTATCCCAACTCGCGGCGCGCCTCGAGAAGGAGGCTTGAAATGGAACTGTTGGGTGCCTTGGTGTACATGCTCCTTAAAGTATTACAACCTGATGTACTTCTGTGAGAATGGACAACAAACGGACAGGTAAGCCCGTCCAGCGTTTCTGTGATCGATAGATGCTGAAGTGTGACAGTGTGCATGGACGGTATTTAATGCTGGGTTAAAGCGCTGCAGAACAGGTCAACTTTGGCCAAAATCTACTTTATTTTTTGATCTGTCCACAATACGTTAACCGAATCTGCAGGTGATATGCTATTTACACATTTCTATTGGGAAGTTAAGGTCCTTTTTCACGCCTTTAGCTCAGGTGCTCATCACATCTACGTAGGCAGAATTTCTAGCTCGTGTCGCTGTTATATAATTCCGTTACTCACCCATCCCTTTGGGGTGGTATTGTTTCTGTGTGATAAGTTGTACCTTCAAAGGCGTGGAGATAAGCGCTGCCGCGTACTTGGGGCCCGGGTGACATGTAAAGGAGTCACTGTCAGTCGAGTGTGGTTGCCCGCCGAGAATAAACTCACTTCGATCGCTTGTGACCTTACAGGGTTTCAAATATTTGCGAATTTTAGGTCGGCTATTTGACAAGCGAAATGATGGAGAGCCAGGTATGGATGGCTACATCCTAAAGGCTCGCAACCGCCGAATCCGAATTAGGGAGATCAGAAGACACGAAGGTGTATGGTTGCCGTCTTCTGTCACCCCGTTAGCTCATGAGGTTCATGCAGTTACTTGTGGTGGGGCGTGCAATACCTGGCGCAATCCCCAAGACGATGATTATATAATAATCTCTCAAAACAATTTGCTGGAAGGAACCCCTGTATAGCCGACTTATAAGGGGATGGCTCCTCCAGATCCCCCAACGGTCACTTTCCAAGGTATACTTTCTGCTCACATTATCCTACTATGAGCACTCTTCAGATCGTGGATGTCCGATTCCATGACAAGCCGTCTCCGGATTCCACTGGTTCCGATGCTAGCATCCAGGCGCAGATCATCAGAGGACTAATGGCTCCCGCGGATGAGAAGACCTTGCCCACCGTGATTCTCTATGATGAGCGCGGATTGAGGTTATACGACAATATCACCACTAAAGCTCCGGAATATTATCTGTTTGGCGCAGAGGAGCAAATTCTCCAAGACCACGCGGGCCAAATCGTGGATGTTATGCACCAGCATACTGGAGGCGTTATTTCAGGGGAGGTCATACTTGAGCTCGGCGCTGGGTGAGTATTTTACCAGGCGATTTTGTCTGCTGCTTCGTCCCGCCGTCCTTTCGGCTGCGATGTCATAACGTACGCCCCATGAAGTAGCGCTCTAGCCATAATACGCGCGGGCCTCGTACACATGACACCTTGAATGCTCTATTACGTTGAGCGGCTGACAGAATTTCCCCCGTATAGCGCACTACGGAAGACTTCCCATATCCTACACGCGCTTGCCAATCTCGTTCCTATCGCCCCACCTGTTGCCCCCATAACATACTACGCTCTTGATCTTGAAGAACGTGAACTCAACCGTACTTTGATGGGGCTCCGCGAGTCTGCAGTTGGTTCCATGCTTGTCGGAAAGGTCGAGGCGAAGGGGATGCTTGGAACATACGATACCGGGATCAAATTCATTGAGGAAGGTGGTCTTCAAGAATCTGCCGTTGCGGATGGCGCGTTGCCACTCTCCTTGGAGTGTTACAAACTCGATAGTACTCGCAGGGACTCCTCTCCAACCTCGACGCGCTCTTCTTTTCCCGATTCGTCAGACACTGAGATGACATCTCCGTCTACACCAGGCGGTTTTCAACTTCCCTTACACTTGCTCTTCCTTGGCTCCTCGCTAGGCAATTTCAAGCGCGGAGAAGACGCTGAGTTTCTGCGTGCGTTGCCATTGGAGCCCGGCAAGGATACCCTTCTTCTCGGCTTAGATCATGATAATGGTCGCGATGAGATTGAACTGGCGTACAATGATCCTCAGGGTCATACTCGAGATTTCATATTAAACGGTTTGAAAGTCGCCGGGAGGGCACTCGGAGATGAATCCATGTTCGCGGAAGAGAATTGGGAATATGTGAATACCTACAACGAAGCCAAACGTAAGTTCTTTTATCAGTGCGACTAAAGGCCAATCTGAACAGTCTGTTGGACTAGGTCGTCATGAAGCGTACTATAGATGCATTCAGACGCATGATATCAACCCCCCGATGGCGTCCAAGCCAATCCAATTTTTGAAGGGTGAACTTGTCAACATGGAAATCTCGCACAAAGTACGTTGCATATATTGGATATGGGATAACTCACGAACGACGAGCTTAGTTCTCGGAAAGTGATGCATACACGCTATTCACTGAGGCCAATCTGCGGCCTATCCAGCGATGGACGGATAACACGGGACGCTATTCGCTTTGGCTCTTAGAACGTCCGGCATTCGTATTTCCGTTGCTTGACTCGCCCTCGGTGGTGTCTGGCCACACTACCAAGTTCGGCATTCCCTCAATAGAAGACTGGAGCAAATTGTGGACTGTTTGGGACTTCATCACGTTGCGGATGATACCTCCTGCGATGCTTCTTCAGAAGCCAATTGATTTGAGACATATATGTCTGTTCTATCTTGGTCACATCCCAACCTTTCTTGACATCCATTTATCTCGTCTACTTGACGAACCTCATACCGATCCTCAGGAATTCATGGTCAGTTCACATTTGCAAGAGATGATCGGAAACTCATCTCACATCTGCAGCACATCTTTGAGGTACGACGCAATAATTTTTCGAGAATAGGTATAGCTAAACTTCATTGCAGAGAGGCATTGACCCAAAAGTTGATGACCCGACCCAATGCCATGTATGCTTATCTTTCCTATTCATTCGACCAGCCTAATTGCATCTCTAGCCTCATTCAGTGGTTCCCACGAAAGACGAGGATTGGCCCTCACTTCACAGCATTTTGAACTTCCAAAGTTGTGTCAGGGAGCGCGTTAGGAAGCTTTACAGCGATATTGCTGAAGGCAAGATTCCCTTGACTAGGAAGGTGGCTCGTGTCTTGTTCATGACGTTCGAGCATGAAGGTTTGCATGCCGAGGTAACGTCGCTCTTGGAAAATTGGTGCGGTATGCTGAGGTCACTTCAAGACGCTCTTGTATATGCTACTCCAGCGCGCAGGGACAGGAACGATTCCCCCACTCGATTTTTCTCCCCCTCACTGGGAGTCTCTCACAGCGCAGTGGCAAGCAGCACCCAAGCCAGTCGCACCAGCCGTTGAGATAGGCCCTTCAACTGTTACGCTTGGAATTGACGACATTGAAGAAGAAGATACCGACCCTGCGAAACGCTATGACGTCGCTGGTCATACCTTTGGGTGGGATAATGAGAGCCCAAGTAGACTGGTCGAAGTCAAAGCGTTCCGCATTGAATGGCGGCCGGTGACCAATGGGGAATTTTACGAGTTTTACAAGGGGGCTGGGCAAGGTAAAGTCAAATTCCCCGCGAGTTGGGAAGATCATAATGGAGACATCCGTGTACGTCATATTCACACCAGCTTCCTCATTTGATCCCAACATTCTGCAGGTGCGGACACTATACGGTCCAATTCCCATCAAGATCGCCTGGGATTGGCCGGTCCTTACTTGCTACGATAATCTTTCAGTGTATGCGAGTGTCAAAGGCGGACGCATCCCGACTGAACCGGAACTGAGAGTCTTCCTCGACGAATTCTCTTCTGGGTACGCAGGGGGCACTAACGTCGGATTTAGGAACTGGTATCCCGTTCCGTACGTATACCCTCGCGTGAAGGATTGGCGTAATGACCGTTTGAAATTAGTGCCACTACCGGCGGATCCAAGCATGGTGGGAAGGGACACAATGGAGGGGTGTGGGAGTGGACTTCTACTGTCCTTGACAGATATGATGGCTACGTACCATCGACGTTGTATCCGGGGTAAGTGCGAACGGTCATTACGCAACTAGCTTACCAACGTACCTCACCTAGGTATTCTTCTGATTTCTTCGACCAGTCTCATCAAGTGGTGGTATGTGTTTGCATGAGTATTTCCATTTTCCTCTTACATTTTCTCAGATCGGGGGATCATACGCGACCATTCCCCGTATTGCCGAAAGGAGGAGCGTACGCAATTGGTACCAACGCAACTACCCCTACTCTTGGACGGGCGCAAGAGTTGCTTACGACGTGTGAGGCAAACACCGCATGAAACCACAGTCGGGACTCTTGTAAAGTACATTGGACTCTTGTTGGACTCGAATCCATATCGACGCTTGTAATACCAGTTATGTACACTATCTGAACCTAAACAAGGCATTCCTTCATGAGAGGGTTCTCGGATTAAATGCCTCCAAGAACGAAGCTGGCTCCGTCTCTTGGTTAACCTTCACTATAGTAGTTGCTACTTGAATACGCTCTCCTTCCTTGGTGCGTTTCTCATGAAGGTAATTTTGAGCGTACTGCAGCGCGAGTTTCCGTCGGGGCTCTGGTACATTCTTCCCCAGCCATGTATAAACCGCAGGGAATGTCGGGCATGCATGATCGTCCAGGATATAAACACCGTCAGGTTGAAGAGAAGAACTCTGTGCAGCGACGGTGGCGAGCTGCCAGCCGTTGATATCTCCGAGCAGTTGGTGCAATACTGGAGGATCAATCGGAGTCCCCTTGTCAGGCGGTAACGGTACGTCCATTACAGGAGCAGTGATTCCTGCCGCTTGCAGGAAATCGTCTTGGTCCGCAGTCCCCTCGTCTGCACAGTCATCATTAATGCAAATAGGAATCGCTACTTGATCCAGTAATACACTCACCAAACACTTGAAATGCTGATTGAGGAACTCTCCACTGTCCCAAATACATCATATATTCAGCTGATTTATATCTCGTCCAAGCAGTACTCTTCTTCGTGTTGAACTGCCAGTAAAGGGGACCTTTATCAAGCACGTATACAACTCCCTGGCGCATAACCAACCCCTCCATAGGTACTTCGCGCACGATAAGCTGTTTCCCGTCCTCCGATAGTGTTGGCAAGCACCTTGCCACGCGTCGTGCCCATCGTGTACATCTTCTTGGCGTCTTCAGGTAACAGAGCAAGGAGACTATGAAATCCCTGTCGATGCACCGCCATGCAAGGTCATGAAGAGAGGGAAGTATGATTTCAATCGAGGTGATTCGTGGTATTGGATTTCGCGGTATTGGGTTGCTTTGCCTCCGAGGTCTGGTTGGATAGTCTGATGAGCGTTATTGGTGCTTGGACTGGGGTAAGATAACCTACGATCACCGAGCTCGGCGGTCTTATAAGCAGCCGTGGCTGCATCATCCCGAGTTGTATGCTCCCCTAGCCAAAAATGCAGATCGTAGCGGAGCGTCGGGGCTTTGGCATCAGGCTTGTACGTCTGTACGAAACCATCAGAACGTCTCGCACATTGAAACGCCAGTATTACTCACATGCAAGACAATATATGAATGGCCATCATAGAATGTCCCATATTTCTTGGGAAACGCCATCAAGTCGCTGTAATCGACGACACTAAACTTCTCTATTCTCCAGATCTGAAGACCAGGCTCGACACCAGCTTTCGCCCAGGCTGATTCCTTGGCCTCAGCATGTTCGCGGACGCGCCTTTCAAGCTGTACATTACAAGTTACAATCAAGATCCAAAGCATCAACAAAGCGTTCCCAAAACTCACATCGGAGCCTGAAAGCGCGATATTAGAATCCTCGACGTCATACTTTAACGACGCAGACATCACTATACGCAGATATTCACGATGGTAGTAGGGTTAGACGATGAAGCCAGATAACGCAGCACGTGTCTACAATAAAGCTGTTCTGGCGCTTTAACCTTGATTGCGGAATGGAAATAAGCTGTGACAGAACCAGGGTCCTATGGGCGCTTATCAACACTGCCATCATCGACCGAGTCCAGAATTATTGGGAGCTATCAGATAGAGAGGTATCGAAGACATCGATAATCGTTTCATCTTCTGAGTCTGAGTCTGAGTCTGAATCTTCTTCTCCCCAACGTCTCACTGTAAACACGTCTGCTTCGCCCTCTTCTCTCAAAATACTATTCATGTCCAAACGCATAAGAAACAGAAACCACCCATGTCGAGGTGAACAGAGAACTCACTGATCAAAAAGCGAAATCGTCTCATTCTCTCCTTCATCCCCCTCATTCAATGTCGGATGCGGCCCAAAAAGCGCTCTCAAGAACGTTCTCTCCGCCGCTAGATCTTGTGGTTGAAGCGTTCTCACAGTCGGTGGAGTAGGTAGAAGATCCTGAACCGCAGGCGACGAAGGCGTAGGGCTATGAAGTATAACTTGGCGTTCGACGCCTGAGGTGACGATAGTGTAATAACGACGGATGGATCGCGACAGAATTCACGATTGATTTATGCCCTGCGATCCATCATCAGCCATAAAGCCCCTCAAGCCGAGGACGATGTGCAAATACCATTCAATCTCGCCAACGGCGTCTGTATTTCAAACGGCACATATCTGCTCTCCCACTTGCCTTCCGCAAACGCTATTACTCGTCAGGCACCTGCCCTAGACATACGACTGTAATGACCTCACCGACTGTATCTGGCCATTCACGCTGTATACCACTCACGAGCGGTGATCTCCTTCCTAAGCCCCTGCAAAGTGCTCAAAGGAAGGGATCTTCCATACATAAGCCCTGAAATCATCAGATCCAGCACCGTACATATCGTCTTCATCCATACCGGGGCCGCCAAACGCGCCCGACTATATGTAGTGAGCTAACGTGCAATCTTGACACAAGAACGAGGCGGCACACTTTCATCGTACATGAATTAGTGTATGTTCGCTCGGATGGAGAAACGGGTATCCCATCGGGGGCGTTGCGGCCTGTGCATATAGCGAGAGGGTGTGGATCTGACAAGGCGTATATCGTCGGGAAATAGTGCTAGAACATGATGAACAGAAAACTATGATCGCAGGGAGGATCGCTTACAAGAACGTCACGGCCAGTTTACTTCCTAGAGCAAGAATGAAGCACCATGAAGCAACCCTATGAAACTAGACTCACCATCACGATCAAAAGTCAAGCTACTGCTCTCTGGATTGCTAAGATAACTCGCTGACTTTCTTGATAACTTTGTGTTATACTAGCATCCGTCTCGTGAACCAATCCAGATTCCATAGTCACGAAGAAAGAACATACCACTCTCACGATCCCATTATTCGATCGTCTCGACAAAGGCCCAAACGCCATACGAGTATCCCGAAGACAGACCTGACCATGCACGTCGCACGTCGCAAAAACATGTTCCATAACAGGATGGTGCTGTACCCCTGTGAATTCAGCTGTATGTTGAAGTATTCCCTGAGCCGCGCTCGTTCTGTCGCCAGCACGGCCATCGTGCAGTACCAGCTTCCCATCTTCGCTGTGAGCATCCCAATTCAGATGACCGTAAATCAAGGATGGTGAGTTGGAACATAACGCACCTGGCACTGAGGAACACCTCATCCTCGTAAGGATGGCACGTAAGCGCACGAACGCTATCCTACTCCTCGACATTATTCCAAATCCTATATATATAAAAGACACGAGAGGAAAACTTACGTCGTGATCCCGGTACTCCTCGACAAAAGACGAACCCCTCCCACTCCCAACTCCCCGCAACGTCGAAACATCATACTTCAATATAACACTATCAGCTCCCCCACTACCATAAGTTAGTCCAACACTTCCTTACAGCCAAGACAAAATCCTCACCTATACAAATACTGGTTCGTAGCGCTAAAATCAAGCGCCAATACATTCCCCTGTCCACCCAAACCCCCCACATCAAGATCGAACCACAAAACACAACACGCACAAAAACTCAAAAAAAACTCACGACAGGCCCCTGAAACCCACCCACAGGAAACTTAAGATCAACCTCCCCAAAATCCCACATCAACACGCGAAAATCATCTCCAGCACTAGCGAGCCATCTTCCGTCGCGTTTTGAGAAGGCGAGGTAGTTGACGCATGATTTGTGCGCGATTAGGTTTCTGGGGGGCGGGGTTAGTTACGTCGTTGGGCGTGGTTAAGGAGATGGGCGTGGGTTATGTGGTTATGTGGAGCGTTAAGGAGATGGGCGTGGGTTATGTTATGTGGTATGTGGAGCGGGGTGGGCATGTGTGGTGGAGTGGGGTGGATGCGCATGCGCGTGATGGCCGTGCGTTCAACACATACGACAGCACACGCGCACGACACCAACACGACACATATGATACGCGCATAAAATGGGCGGTAGGCACGCACACGACACAGCCGGCACGCACGACACATAGGCTATGCACAAGGTGGCAGTACGCATAACTCAACTTACCTAGAATATGGAAACCCACGCTTATACAACCTCCCAAGAACATCTTTCCTCGCTTTATAAATAAGACGAGCGGTCAATGATTCTGTTGGACAAAAGTGAGTGTGGGTAGGAGGCATGATCATCATGCGTGTTTTGTAGGTTTCATCAATGGAGCGCTGTGGTGTAAACTTAAGGTTAAGTTGGAATCGGGTGACTTCCCGGGACACAGCGTTTAGAACGTCTAAACCTATGTTCTAAAGTCCTTCAAACATCAGAAGGACACCTAGTTCTAGATTCAAATCGCCTTCTAAACATAAACTCCGCGTTGATGCTGTACCCGACACTTGCCTGCCAACATTAGAATTGGTCTGCGGTTGTGGCAAAGTGCACTCCGACTGTCAAGGTTTAGATCAAGATCTAGGATTCTAAACGCTACGAGAAGTCAACCAGTACAAGCGTAAAGACAAAGACCAAGTCACGCAATTGTAAAGACACATCGTACAACAACATTGCATCAATCAACGGAGCATACACCATATGACAACAACAACGACTGTAACAAAAAGACTATTATAAAACAGTGCATTACGCACGACATAGATAGATAACAAGCAAACCGAGGGATGAACCTCGACCGAAAGGAGAACCTCGACCGAACGGGGGGAGGGGGGATGCGAACCGAACAGAGGGTGTGAACCGAACCGAAACCGAAAAGGGGGGGAAGAAAGAAAGAGAAGAAAAATTAGCCAACAACATAATACACTATACTTCCTAAGAGTCAAGATACCTGATCAGATCCCTATATGTACTTGCGCATCTATGCAACGATTTCTAAGTGGTGAGCGTGGTTGTGTTTTTGAAGTGGGAATGGGGGGATGAGGGGGGAATAAGGTATTAAGATGTGTGGGTAGATTGTTTGTTTTGACGAACCAACGAAGAATGGAAGAATGAACGAAAAAAGAAGGCAAGAGAGAGGGAGGGAGTGGTCACCGACCAGACCGCGTAGCAGCCTCAAACTCCTTGAACCCAGGTAACTCAACTTTTCTCCCCCCAACACCAACACCAGTGCCCTTCCCACCCATATAAGTCCCCTCATCATCACTACTACTTTCATCCTCATCCATCGGAGACACCATCTCCCCCGCACCAGCACCCCCACTTGCAGCACCAGCGCTCAAGTTCAGAGGCGGAAGCGTAATAGGCGGTGAATTACTCCTTGAAGCCGGTACCGAAACCGACGAGAACACATTCGGATTAGTCTTCAAATGCGGATTAGGCCAGCTCGTGTTCCGAGGCGGATGGCCAGGGTTGATAGGCGTCATCCCAAACGCCATGCGCACGCTATATGCCAAGTGATGATGCGGCCCCGCGGCATGCGCATGTGGCGGTGAATTTGGCCGCGAATTCGACGGACTCAACGTAACTCCGCTCTCAAACACAGGTTTGGAAGCATAAACGCCCCCGCCCAGCGGGTATGTTGAACTCCCGGGGCTACTACCGCTACTACTCGGCCCGCTTGAAAGCTGAGGTGTGGGGAGGTTGTGTGCTGCTTGAGAGAGCTGACCGGGGTATGTACGTACGTGGGGTATGGGGTCTTTCTTTCGGGATGCCGGGAAAAAGGCACCGCGGTTTGGGGGGCTGTTCACGATGCTGTTACGCCTTGAGCGGCGTGCTGTGTGGGGTTCATCGATAGGGCTGATGGGTATGTCGTTATGGGCGCTGTTTATGGAAGCTGGGAGGGAGATGGGAGATGGGGCCCTGGATGGATTTGTGGAATGAAGGTTCAAGGTACGAAGCGGTCCGAGGAATGGACTTGTTGAAGGGGTGAAGGTGAACTCCGTGGCTTTAATTACCGAATACTCGGATGAAGGAGGATATGATGGGCGAGTATAGGGCTGTTGTGGATGTTGTGCGGGGTTGTGTGCAGGGATGGAGTCAGAATCTGAGCTCAAAGGGGACGGAGAATCTTCGTGAGTTACGAGATGACGATAAGCTGGGGGATGAAGTGGAGCTGAAGTCAGGGTACGGGGCTTTGGTTGTTCTGAAGAGAAGGCGGGAACGGAGCGGGTGTCTTGTGACATAGGAGTCATTTGCCAAGCAGGGCCACTTATTCTTCTCTTTGCTCTGATGAATTTGTCAGATGAAGGGTCGTCTTCATAATCACGAGTGCTTGATACTCCGAAATAGCCATCGGGACCTTTGAGAGATATTGTAGAGTGAAAGGGAGTTGATACTGGAGATGTGGAAGCGCTTTTTGAAGGACGACCGCGGAAGTATATAGCCTCGGCGTTGCGGGCTTCGTACTCTGCGCGGCGAAGTGCCTCTGCGTGACGAGCTTCGTATTCTGCTCTTCGGAGTGCCTCTTCTCGTTCGAGAGCGTAAAGTTCATCCATTGCTAGACTTGATAAGGTGGAAAAGGCTGAAGGGTTTGACGCAATGGGGATGTGAGTTTGTGAACGTCGTGAGTGAGAAGGTTCATAAGATGATAGTGAGGTGGGACGAGCGTAAGATTCGGCCTAGGAAGAATTAGTGTTGATTATGTAAAAATAGAGATAGAATGTACCTCGTCGTCACTATTGGCTCTACTTCTAGCCTTCTTCTTTACTCTGATGGAAGTTGCTTGGGGGTCTGAGCGAGGCAAGGAGTGTAGGTTGATACCTGGACCAGCGGTGTCATCTAAGATATCACCCTTTGCCTTTGCTTTACCTTTGGCATTTGAAGCGCCATTCAAAGAGTTATCGTTATTGTGAATTCGGGAATGACGAGTGAGTTCGTCTGAGCGAGAGAAACGTTTCTCGCAAGAAGGGAAAGTGCAGACAAAAGGTTTTTCGCCAGTGTGAGTGCGAATGTGACGGGTCTATAATCAATTGTCGATCATGGATCAGCACGTTGTTCTGAATAATGAAAAAAAGAGAGCAGTTTACCTGGTGTTCTAGTCTACTAAAAGCACGACCGCATAGAGGATAAGGACATTTGTAAGGACGAGGAGCTACCTTATCGTGAGACGGAGCTGGTGTATCCATTGTGGGAAGAGGTAAAGAAAAAAGAGAGAGGTGATGAAGTATAAGTAGGGCGCTAGCTGACTTTGCGAGGAGTCCGGGGTTGTGAGCGTGGTATAAACGTGCAGTAGCTTTTATAAACACAATAAGATGAAAAAATAAATTCGATTGACCCGTTATCTGGATCTACCTAGATTTCGATTTATTACGTAATTATTGCTGTATATTGCTATGTACATAGCACACCCTCCCTAGTAGTACCCCGCATCGAATACCCCTTTTCACACAAACACCTTATCTTGAATTTCTTATCTAGATTACCCCACTTCGTAGCCGAAACTACCCTAACTTGTGCTATCCTCGTGTTCAGCCTTGTCATGATATTAGTAGTACTTTTCAACCTCGACCTTGCCACGATACAAACCTCCTATACCTACTCTGCTCGCCACGTAGCCACGGTCTAGTCACTCAATTCAAATTTACCATTCCCCGCTGTCTCATAGTGATGACTCTATAACAACAAGCCCCACATCCTTTGATGTCGTGAGTACTGGCAACCCCGTCCTCCGTTCAATATTCCGCTCCAACCCCACCCTCTAAAATTAAAATAAAACAAAGACGTGTCAAAAATATCAACTTACGTTAATTATATCCCGACCACCATCCACCAAACTCCTCGTTCACCGACCCTCGCACTACACTATCCCACGTGCGCTGCTTGTGGCAGTACTCCGCTCCAATTTCATTACCCCGAGCCGCCACCTCGTTTTAGTTCCATGACGTTTCCGTTGCCTGTCACCGGTCTTTTACTCTCCCAAGTCCTAGCAAACACCTCCACGTAGCTCACACTAGTCCGCCATTCCCAGGACCACTATGACATTCATTTACGCGAGGATATTTCGAACCCCTTCTAAAGGACTCAGACTCCGTCGACAAGCCAACAAGATAGAGCTGCCGATAGACACCGCGATGAAGCTCATCCACCCTCAAAGAGACCACCCACCACCAGGGAAATGAAGTCTCTCGAATGTCGGATCCCCTAAAAGAGCCTCAGACTCCGTCGACAAGCCAACAAGATAGAAGTGACGATAGACACCGCGATAGTCGAATTACATCCAAATTTCTACATACACGTGACTCAGTCGTGCAACGTATACTAAGTCCGCGCCGAAAGAGTACAATGTGCCACTGGCGCGTCACTCCCAGGCCGATATCAAATTAGTTTCCGCAACGAAGAAATCATTCCTAGTCTCCAGTTGCTGACCGTCGACATGTCTGGTTACAAGCTCTCGGAACACCCCAAAAACAGACTCGAGCTCCACGACGAACTGTGGGCCCGCAGTGAGGGAAATGAAGTCTCGAGTCTCGAATCCCCCAAAAGAGGCTCGGACTCCAGCAAGCGATAGACACCGCGCATATGCAGTAAATATTCGTGCATATTGATCAGCGCTCTATCCAAGACGTACACGTGACTCCGCGCAACGGAGACGCATCTACACGGCCCGCTTCGGGAGAGCATAATGTATGGAGACGCATCCGCACGGCCCGCGTCGGGAGACCATAATGTGCTGCGGCGTCATTCCCAGGACCCGTAGGTATGACGTCCATCACCCACACGAGCATGGAAATGAAGCGTCTCGGACCCCTTAAAGGAGCTTCACACAATTCATGACGTGAAAGTTTATTAAAGGGACGCTCATACCCTTTGACACGCCACGGAAACGCTTCGAGCCCCTTGAAGAAACTATGACTCGATCGACACGCCAACACGCCGCGGAGGTCACTATAGCATTATCCATGTATGCTCAAATCCATCCCATCCAAGACGTCCACGCCACATGCCAAGAGGTGCGCGCGACGGAGATGTATGTTGTATTATACGCATAATCCATTTTTTTCTTCTAAATTCTGCGTCAAAAACTCGTTTGACGATCCACGAGAAAATGAGCGTTTCGGCCCTTACCCCTTACAGGACACTCAAACTCTATTGACACACCAATACGCCGCGGAGGTCACTATAGCATTATGTATGCATGCTCAAATGCACCCCATCCAAGACGTCCACGCCACCCATGCCAAGAGGCGCATGCAATGGAGAAATATGCTATACGTAATTCCCCCCAGCAAAGACTCACGCCGAGAGGTGCGCGCAACGGAGATGTACACTACACTATACGCGTAATGCATGCTACATTTCCTTCCAGCAAAGGTATCCACGCTGTCGCGCATAGAGAACAAAGTGCTACAGGCGCGTCATTCCAAGGACCGGTAGGTATGCCATCGAAAGGGAAATGAAGCATCTCGAAAGGAGACTTGCACTCCATGCACAAGATCGAATGGGCCAGACGCGTCGCGACGCCATACTCAAATCACTCCCTTTCAAGACATCCACGCGAACTATGCCCATACCAAGAAGTGCGCACAACGGACAGGTATGCTATATTCATGATGTATGCTTAATTCCTCCTAGCATGACGTCGGCCGAGAGAGAACAAAGTGCTATAGGCGCGTCATTCCGGTAGGTATGACATGATATTGATCGTCTGTGAGGAGGGAAATGAAGTCTCGGGTCTTTTGTCGGCATCCTCTTGACTCAAGACCTAGGCTCCATCTTTATTGACAGCTGCGGCGAGGGAAATGAAAAGTCTCGAACCCCTTAAAGGAGCTCAAGACTCGACACGCCATGATGAGTGCAACGAAGCGTCTCGGACTCCCGTAAAGGAGCCTCTGACTCGATCGACAGGCTAACAAGACAGAATACTCCGCGGAGGTCAGTATATACATTATGTTCCCTCCTCCAAGATGTCCACGCTACCGATGCGTTATTCCCAGGACCTTGTAGGTATGAGATCGAAAAAGAAATTCAAAGGAAGCGTTCTCAGACCCCCCCAAAAGAGACTCGCAGTCCATCGATAATCCACGATGATGGAAATAAAATGAAGCGTCTCGGGCCCCCTGAAGGAAACTTGTACAAGATCGAATGGGCCAGACGCATCGTGACAGGTACACGGCATGTTCAAATGGCGCCCTTTCAAGACGTCCACGCAATCTATGCCAAGAGATGCGCGCAACGGAAGCGTATTATACTTATACCCACTATAGACGTTCACACGACCCTCGCCGAGAGAGTACAATGTCCTACAAGCCCGTCGTTCTCAGGACCGGCATGACGTCAATTTCTTTTTCTTTTTCGCGCGAGGGAAATGAAGTGTCGCGGACACAAAGAAACTCGCACTGTATTGACTACCCACGGTGGGAAATGATTAATGACGTTTCGGGTGCTTTAACGGATGCTTGGACTTCATCGACAAGTTGGAGGGCGACAGGCATCGTGACGAAGCTATACACCATGCTCAAATGCCTCTCATCCAAGACGTCCACGCGATACATGCCAAGAGCACAATACGCAACATGGACCGGTAGGTATGTTGTTGATCATCCGCACAATGGAGATGAAGCGTCTCGGACTACTTCAAGGAGACTCATACTCCATGAACACGCCAAGCAGACAGAATAGTCGAGAGGCATCGCGACGGGGGTGTTCGAATGCTCAAATGCCTCCCATCCAAGCAGAGAGCACAATGTGCTACTGGTGCATCATTTCCAGGACTCGGACTCGAATTGTATTGAATGATACGTCATTATAGGACGGAAGTGAAGCGTCTCGAACGACTCAAAGGAGACTCAGACTCTATAGACAACCCAACATAGCATTGCCGACTGCGCATCCGGGAAAGTACGGGTAACGGAACGCAACTACCTAACATGCCGAAGGCTCATCGACATCCCGCATATGCATCCGTTCCGTTGCACTGACGTCTCTGTGACCCTCAACCACTCCGGGAAAGGACGGGTAACGGAACGCAACTACCCAACATGCCGAAGGCTCATCGACATCCCGCATATGCATCCGTTCCGTCGCGCTGACGTCTCTGTGACCCTTAACCGCTCCGTGCATCCGAATACATTCGGGTTTGTGTAGTAAACGACAAACGTAAGTATGAACGACTCGTATCATACTCGTTGCGATTCCAACTAATTTCAAAAGTGTCCATTGATATTATAGAACGGATTCTCTTGGGATGTGTATATCTTTGATGCGTGCGGTCTCCTTTGATTTGCTTTGTCCGACGTTTTGGCTTTATGTATTGTTGTAGCCATAACAGCCAAGTATATATCACATGTAGCAATTGACACTGGAGTATGGGATGGGACGGGATCCGACGTGCTGTAACTTCTAAGCGTTTTTGTGTTTGTGGAGCCGGCGGTACGGTATCAAAGAGAGGGGTGCGACGTGCGACGGCCCTCATGAGGCTGCTATTAAAGTATACCTTTAATTGCTTGGAAACGTCGACGAATACCAGTCACGTCTGCCCACATGAACTCGAAGGTCCGAGGATGATAAACCCTTTTTTAACGGAGACAAACTCCAAGGCCCAGGCAAGGGTTGTAAGAAACTCAGCGCACGTCACGCCTCATTCCCGTGCCATGGGGGTATTTGCCCCTTGTATACGATCGATCGAGAATGAAAGAGTCTGGCAGCTCAGTACTCCGACTCACTGATCATGATCAAAAAAAATCAAGCGCCTGACTCAAAGTCCAGAACTCCAAACACCCGCCGGCGCGCCATTACCGTTCCAAGAAACTCCGCAATCAGTTGCACCGTCCCAGATCCCCGGTCGTTCCATTCCAACTTCCAAAAATGCGCTTTAATCAATAGTGATAATGTGATAGCATTAGTAGATACACGAAGATCCCGATTCCCCCAATTCCGGGCTATCGATATGAAATCAGCTGTCAATTTGATGTTTTGGCAATGGAAACATGCGATTCCGAAAGCCACCGGGACCACGGTCCATAACGGGCCACGCTTTGCGCCGGACCGATGCTGCTGAATGGATTCCAAGGTTCTTTGGGCACGATATTATTGCGCACTCGTTTGGACACGCGGCAGCGGCTGTTGTCCAAGAGATGGTAAACGCAGTACTTGCTTTCAGTACACAACCCCCATCAGCCGCATGTATTGTGTATTTGTCGTGGAGCGTAGAAATGAAGATCGACCAGGATCTTGGTGCGTGGCCTTATCAATGTCATATTCGTGTCAAAAAGAGAAAGCAGAATCGGGGGTCTAGAACAGTCTGGAACTGGCAGCGACCGCCGGCCCTTGGATGCAAAAGGCGATAAGAAGTTGGTCGACCGATGACGGGGATTAAGGATTTGTTCAGGTGATTATGATCGTAACATCGCCAGTCCCCAACACCCATGGGCAGCGTAATCTCATAGCGGCGCCTGTGCGAAATCAACAGCTGGGCTGATCGCCCTTTACCAGGGGACTGTGATTATAGCGAAATATAAGGGAAATAAACGGTGACACGTATCCTAAATTCTACTCAGCCGAAGCGCCATGTTTATACGCCTTGGCCAACTGACGATACCGCACGCTGCTCCTGTTTTGTTGGCAGTCACGAGCGTACAAGGTAGTGAATGCGCATACCATTGGCAACGATATATATGGTCTCACTTTCTTCTGAGCTTATGCATTTCGGGCTCGTAGAAAACATAAACTGCGTCCGGGCGCCACTCATCGCACCAAATGCCTAGCTTGAGCATATAGCGCTAAGGTTCCAACTCATCATGTTCACAGCTGACGACCTCTTTCCACTTGTCATCAGGCTCATCAGGGAAACGAAGGACACATCGTCCGAAATCGACGAGGAGCGCACGTCTAGAACCGTTGTTGGGAAACGAGGATATTGTCGCATTTGGGCATATGTAACGCCACATGATCCGATGTTATCCATATGATCCGAGGGAGCTTACGGCCTCGACTACCTCATAGTACGCAGAACCAGGAACAGAATGAAGATCCGGAGTGTTTTTCAAGCGTCTCGCTTAGAATGTGCTCCATGAGAAGCACTCCGGGAGATATGGGCGCGACCTTTACCGTGGCCAGGAACGACCCGACCCGAAGCGTAGAGCAGGGGGATGCCGGAACCCTGAAGGGTGGCAAGGCGTCTGTACCCCTCAACTTCGTCTCTGAACGACTCTTCATACTCGCGGTACTTCCCATAAGGTGAGATTAAAGGAATTTCTCTGGTCTAGGACATAGTCATCTTCCTGCTCGCCGCACGCGATAGCAGTACGGTGGCCGGCGGCAGCTTTCTCATTGGGACCGTCGGACATCGGGGTCTTTGGAATGGCTCTGTCCGCCAGTAGTCGAAACGAGGATCATGGAGTTTCGCTATGACATAATGAGGAAGGCCGGCGGGGGCGTCCTCGATGTCAACAAGTAAGACCTAGGATTTGGTGAAAGGGGTAAAGGCCTTGCGGATGAGAGCGGTGAAGATGAACGAGGGTTTATCGTCATTGGAGGCGACCTCCTAGTGCGTAAGGCTTCTTACAAGTTGAAGCAAGTCACCATAATCGACGGAAATGCTAAGGGTTCTATGACGGCGGGAAGTGGACAGCACAGCATGACATCAGACAATTCGAGTGACTACGAACGCTTACATGACGTCAACTCGTCTCGTGCTTTTCGTTTAGACTATCTGGAAAAAAATCTCGCCCAAGTGTATATAGTAAAGCTTGCTATATACCCTTGGGCGAGCTTTTTTTCTACCTTGCCCTCGAAATGTCTCACTCAAAAATCACCGACGTTGATGTGCGTTTTTCTTATGTAGATTTCTCTGTTCTTGCATAAGAAATTTGCGTCAAGTGGCTGACAGTACTAGTGTTGATCGGCGTGCCGACATGGACGCTTTGCAAGACTTACGAGCAGCTGAAAAAGGGCGGTAAAGGACCCTTCCCAATCGCTCGCAAGCACTTCTACCTACCACCCTTTTTCAGCATCACGCTGGACCCGCTTCCAAGCAGTACCAGACTCGGAGAGTCAAAGGAGCCAGGAAGTGCGGAGCTCTTAGCAACTCTCCGTCCATCATGCGGTGTTGGTCGTAATATCCTATTATCCACTGCCGTCACGGAAACTGCTGACATGTTAAAACGCAGAGAAGGCTGGCTTGACATACTCTGGCCTACGTATTCTCTTCTTTTCGAACTATGGTCAAGTTTCCAAAGGTACAACTAGATTCCCTAATGCTCCCTAATGTTACAGTATATGCTAGCGTAGTATACCACGGACTAGACAATCATGCAAGTAGCCAGGACATACACTACCTCAGGCCTCAGCATCAGGCAAAGTACTTAGCACATATAATATGGCAAGTGTATCCAAGTTCAAATAATGGTTTCGCCTCCTGTATTCACGATAGTACATGTGCATTATCCGTATGCGAGTTCTCCTGAAGTTGTGAACCTAACCACATAGTACCGTTGAACACTAGTACTTGAATGCCGGAGTTTTTCGATTCCCAAACTCACGAATTATACCCTTTGTCAATGAGTTACTGGAATCAATATCAACATTCGATGTCTTTTCTCGCTCTCTCACTTCATGAACAAGCCAGTTGTCCGTTGCGCCGTCAATGCCAGTCAGCGCGACCAGGGGGTGGATGTATGCCCCGCCAAGCCATCCGGGACCGTGCACAGACCACTAACATTTATAATTTTCTCAGAACACTCACTGAGAACAAGGGCAAGCCCTCGCCTGACCTCAGGCTCATCTGTCAAGGACGCACGCGTGAGTGTTGTTAATTCGTGCACGGTGCTGTACGGCTCATGCATCAGTATGATGCATCCGTGATGCATTCAATGCATCAAGGCACGGAAACTGTATCCAATAAACTGTACAGTCACGTCAAGAATCTTCTCGCGCATGAATTGACAGACAGCATGACATTTAAACCGGACAGAACCCTCTCACTAAAGTAGGTGTGGTGGATTATGCATCCAGATCATCGTCGTCTGGTTCTTGTAGTTTGGAACTTGGATGTTTCGCGACGTAACCGCCTGAGGTGTATGTTAGTATGTTTGGATAAATAGAGTATCTTGAGAATGGGGGCGTCAACGTACCTGCTCGCCCTCTCTTTTTCGACTTCTCTCCTCTCTACTTCTTCTGCGGTGAGGACCTCGAATCTTGTTCTAAACTCTTCTGCTTCCGTCCATTCCCTCCATACGCTCTGTAAGACCTTTGGTCCCTTCGTGCGCCCCCAACCCATACCGAGCCCCGTCTTGTCCTTCATCCCCTCAGCCTCCTTGTCCCCACCAATGACGCCCCATTCAATAGCGTCCTTCTTATGCTTTATAAGCTCTTCATGGATCGCATGTGATATAAGTGGCACCGCCTCCCCTGATAAACCCAGCTCATTACAAAGTTGGGAAGCGAATGCTTCAGGTGTCAGTGGCGAGAGCAAGTCCCACTCTATATGGTCCAGTAGATGATGTGCTGCTATTTGCACGTCGATCTGGAAAAAAAGCGTCAGTAAAGCAACTAAATTCGTTATCGATAAGAAAACTCGACGCACGCTTAAGATAACACGACATTCAGGAACCTCATCGCCACCTTCAACATGCGGATCCAAATCCATGGCACGGTCTACGCCGATATCCATCGATGCCACGCCTTCGTGATCTTCGAGCTGCGCACGAATTTGATTGGCGACTGTCTCCACCCATGGAACGGTAGGCAGATCGAGGTCTGCGCAAAATACTTTTGCGAATGATTCTGGTTTGATGAGGGTCTCGTTCAAGTTCCAAACGAAGCAGTCTCGTATTCGCAGAGTGTCTGTTTCAAATTCGACCCGAATAGGTACTAGAGAGGCGCGTATTTGTGCTTGTGCGTGAAGCATATCCGGCGGACTAAGATGTACGTGCACTTTGTTATTTGTTAGATGATCCAATAGTGGCAGAAGTACGCACGGATATTCATGTGCAGTTGGAGCGACGGGCTTTCCTTTGATAAATCGACTTGGGGGGATCATGCCTAAATAACTCTGATCCAACTCTCCCTTGTCATTGTGCATCGGTGTTGAACGCCGCGCTGGTGGTTGTGGCTGAGGCGTGGACATCCCACTCCCCGAGTGAAAAACCGACATGCCAGTTCCCATTCTCCGTGTCCTCAAAGTCGTTCTCATACCACCACTAGCCACAAAGTCTGAATCGTCAGATTCAATAGCACCGGCATCAGGGAACTCGTCGCCAGAGGCTGGTTCGGCGTAGTTAATCATGCCTCCACGACGGGTGGAGGCTCTTGTGTTTCCTGCTGCTGCAGAGGGCTGCGTGAGTATTGGCTGGACGAGGAGGGTCGTCCCTGTGCGTAGGCGGGAGGCGTATGTGGAGTGGAGAGCTTGGGGGACTACTGGAAGTGGATGACGGGGTGGGTTAGGCGGAAGAGGAGGTGCGACTGGTACGGGTGCGACTGGCGGTGGGGGCGGTTGGTATACGGGCGTCACGACGGTCGGTGGTGGTGGTGGTGGGGCGGTGTTCTTTGCGGTGCGATGACGGGCGCGGGTAGCCTTGTTCGGATTTGTTGTTGACCAGGTGTGGACATTTTTAAGGTAAGCTGGCTCGAGTAATTAGTGAGGAGGAATGAACGAGACGACGAAACAAACCTTTGGAAGTTGATTGTTGGGGTGCGGGGGAGACGTAGTGCTGAAACTGGTTTGTAGGGTTGTTGGCTGCATTGGAGAGCTGCGTGATGGTTTGTCGCAGCTGTAAATCTGTAAGGTTCGTCATGTTTGTCGGGTAAGTCGTCGAGGAGGTCGCTTTGGATGCTTCAGCCATCCTTTGACTGGTTAACGATTGCAATTGTCTGGCTTTAATTGCAAAAATTTGGTCAACCGATATAACAGAAAGTTCGAACCTAGTAGAGTTGAGAAACCGAATGGAGTTCGTATACACCAAGCCTGTGGCGTATCAGTCTAAGAAAAGTCGCGTTTCTTACATAATCATGAACTTTGGATCGAGGATCATGATGTCATTTCACTGCCAGATCTATAAAGTATCCCGTCCAATTCCAACTCGCTGACCCCCACCATACCGTCAATATGTCTTCCCCACATCACGATGAGAAATCACCCAAAGATGATGCACCCCGGTCTCCTTCCAAGGTAGCCAGAGTCAACACTGCACCCCAGCAAGGTACCTTTATTCCATGATCCTCGCTTGTACCTAAATCTCTTCTAGCTTCCACTTCACCTGGTGATGGCGGACGTATTCCCGCGGACCAGATTCGTCTCCCATCCGAGGTTGACCGCAATGATCCCAACATCAACGTAGTTGAGCTTCCAGCGGAGAAAAAGCAGCCGCTTTCCTTCAAAGAACAAGTGTTTGGTGAGTACAGTTCATGTAACTCAGGCATATAAATTGACCCGCCGGTAGGTTATTCCCAGGTATGATACCGTGGTCCGTGTAACTTGTATTATTAATCACCTTTCACGCAACGCACTCAGGTCATCCGCGGAACAGTCAGTGACTTAGTTATCTTCTAATATGTTTGATTGATTTGTCTCTACAGACTCTTGGTAAACCAGACGTCAAGGAGCACGGGGAGCAAGTCCTGCGAGGTGAAGAAAGCCTGCCGAAACGCCGAGGTTCGACTTCGGACTGATAATACCCTCGTCGTGTTCATATGTCAATGAACTTGGCCTTTACTCACGCTCCATTCCTGTTACTTGTACTTTTTACTCCGTTCCTATCACTCGTATTCCTAGTCACTCGTCACCTATGTACAGTAGGACTTTCAGGGGAACATAAATTACGTATTGAGTCCATCAAATTGCCATCTTCGCAATTGCCGAACTTCCTTCGTCCATACAAAGTTCAATTGTGGCGCTGTTGTCACAAAGGCTAATTCAAATAGCCAAAAACCCCTTTCAATTGCAACAGACAAGGACCAGACAGGACCGTACTCTTCCGTTGCATTCAGTAGGCGGAAACGCACGGAATCTATAGCCCTTTGATTGGAGTACTCTTAACTCCACTGCACACTGGACAACCGTACCATCATGTTCACCAGTAACACATCACCCGTCGAAACTCCTAGTTCGCCCGTCTTCAATGAAAAACATATCGAAGAATCTCCACCGTCTTCCCCGGTGCACATCGCCAACCCAGTCATCTCAAGTGCGGAGTTTGTCCTCGAAGTAAGTTTTCGTGACCAGCGGCCGTTCGCCCAGAAGCTCTTTTGATTGACGATGACCACACCAGCAAACAAATGTCGTCAAAATTAATAACGACGCGGTCAAAAAAGCCGCCCAATACGTCAGTCCAAATCTTGATGTAACCTGAGGGCTTCAGGTATCTGACCGAGTCGCGCAGATTTTGCGAAAACTCTCCTCCGAGTCTTATACTCCTCGCACATGGCGCACGCATCCCTTGCACATATTCCCTCCGGAGCCATATGACCCTGACGATATAGTCACGGGTGCATGTCTGAACTGGATATTTCTCATATCCTCTCTGAATTTCAGTTTTTGGTCTGAAAAAGAAGGCCAGCCAGACCGCTACGGCGTCGAATGGCGAACTAGCTGGGGAAGCGAAACGACAACAGTCCACACCGGGTACTGGAGTCTAGTAGCTGCTCTGAATCGAGGTGAGCAATCTGTCAACTTTTTTCTTTCTTTTTTTCCTTGTTTTTTTTTTTCCGAGTCCGAATGTATGCTGACCCGTGATTGTCAGCACTGGAGGAGGGTATACCCATCATCGATCCCAGATTTTATTCCTCAGAAACACTGTGCCCAGACTCGCTGATAGCTCACATATTCCGTGCTGCACCTCAATCCACTGAACCAGTGCCCCTTTTCAATGAGCGCTTAGCGATCATGCGCGAAGTGGGCACCAAACTATGTAACGTAAGCTTTTCCCTATATGTATGCATTCTGGTGTTTATAGCCGCACAGGAATTCGGGGGATCGTACCTAGGGTTTCTTGATGCCTTCCAAAGAAGACACAGCAATCAAGGCACGGCCCTTGACCTCGTCCAATTCGTCACGGACTCCTTCCCGAGTTTTAGAGACGAACAACTGTTCAACGGACGGCGAGGCAAGTCAATATCCTAGTGTCCACTGGCATCAAGTCAGCAAGACTGACGTCCTTGCTCTCCAGTATGTTTCTGGAAGCGGCCCCAAATTCTAGTCGCAGAAACCTGGGCAGCTTTCTACCCTGAAAATGCACACACCCCACACCCCATTTTCCCCGGACTCTCCGGACCCCTCATAAGCGACCTAACGATGTTCGCAGACTACCGCGTTCCTCAAATCCTACACCACCTCCGCATCCTCACCTATCCTGCATCTCTGATCCGCAAACTGCGCAACGGCACGGAACTCGGTCTCGGATCGAAAGAAGAAATGAGCTTGCGTGCTGCGAGCATCATCGCTGTGGAGCAGATCCGAAATGAGATAATCTCTTGTGAATCAAACTGGGAAGCGAGCAGTGTGCTGATCGATTTCTATCTTTGGGATCTTGCCAAAAAACTGGAAAGAGGAGAAGAGCGTATTGATGGGATTGATACGGATGATATCGAGCCTGCGCACAGAACGAGGAGTATATGGTACTAAGCCTTTGGTTTTATCAATAGACATAGACATAGATATAAACTTCACTTATCTTCGGGTTTCTTTTCCCCCTTTCCCCGGTGGAATCGGTCGTTACTCTAGATGCGGTTAGATCCTTGGCTCGCCTATCTCACATTTAAAAATTCGCAATGACGACGCTTTGACTGATTACACATGAAATCAGCTTGCTCCACAGCCGAGGCTCGATCTTCTTGATGGCACGCCGTCGAAGTTTTGATCTAAACCACGCCGACGTACCATTCTGATGAACCCAAATGGCGCGGGTTTCTGTACTTCGTGAGCTATTTCGCAATGTCGGAGTGAAGTAGCTTATTCGAGTGGAAATGGGGAAGGAACACCGACAGTTTGAACCCTACCTTGGTTGTCACGTACGCGTGGAATTATGGACATTTCCGCCAGTCCGTCAACACCGTACGTATGGAGTGTATGACGCAAGAAATAGACTCAGCTAGCGATATCGTTAGTGCTCTACGATACGTAAATGGAACTGATGCGATTCTAGCGCGATCGTGATAAACCAAAGTTCTCCATGACATCATGAGTCGTAGCCGAGTTGTGGAGCATCCCCGAGTTCATCCGAGGAAGATATCGATGGAGGACCATATCGTCTGCTATATACGGCCAAGCCCGATCCTGAGCAGGGGTCCGTTGCAAGCCGGATAGGAACCGCGAGTCGCAGTTCCTTGAAAGCTGATTTGGAATGTTCAGGCGGAGTCATGGTCAGGACTATACAATCCTTCATGAATAGGTTTTAGCTGAGGCTATAAACAGAAAGCAAGCGCCTACCTTGATAGAAAAGCCGCCAGCCTTGAAACCCCCGATCTTGATGTCAGGACTGATGTAAATCTCTCCTGAGAAGGCGACCCAGAGTGGACCATCACCCTGATTGGAATCACGTCAATCGTCAAGTGATCTTTGGCAGATGCACTATATGACATACTGCGTGTCTGAAGGCACCTTCGCCAATACAATCAATTCTCCATATGTCAGTGCGTGTGCCAAGTTCGAACGTGTTGCTGTCGAGCAGCTGTATTAAGCATGTAATCAAACAGAGATGGTTGAAAGAACCAACCGGACATCAACAGTCGTCTGCCTCAGCAACTGTATTCTTGTGCGCTGCTTTTTCGGAGACGTGGCTACCATCGGTCCCAAAGGCATAAATGCAGCAAGAGACATTGCTGAAGACGAGAACATGATGTGGAAAGGAATGGACTGATTCATACAGAATGTTCGACTGGCTGGGATAAATAACTAATGCCCGAGCACAATCAGGGTTGGGGTGTGCATACAACGCATTCGCAGCATCGACGAACCTTAACCATGATGTCATGTCCTCCCCGATTTGCGTGAATCAAAGTCGGGAAAACCTTCCATTGCGGAGTCTCGATTATTCCCCATTGACCGGGTACCAGAGGTGGTGGTATCGGGGTGGATGGACGAGTGCGAGGAAGGTACTCAAACGGAGTCGATATAGCCCTGTAAACTGTGAAAAGTAAGATCAAGGCGATCGCACCTGGAAACACACCAATCTCCGCCCCACAACAAGGACGACTTGACTGCATGCGGTATGATGTTCGGTTTCACAGCAATGACGCTAATGCTATAATCTACCCTCGCCCGAAATCCAGGTAGGCCCGATAGGTGTGACTCGTGAGTTGGTGGGAGAGGCTACTCGTAATCATTAGGACGCCGTTCAAACTTTGCACCATTCACATACATAGGTTTTTCCGCCGTCTGAGAAAGTAGTTGGGAGAGGAAGACAGAATGAAAGAGAACGAGGGCATGGCGCTTCGTAAATCCTGTCCTTGACCCAAAGAATACTCTTATTGAGACATAGTTTGCAATTCGTCGTCCCGCCTTCAGCTGATTCTTCCAGCATGAGGGTACCTTCGATCTAGCGAGACTGTGTCAGAATAAACCCCTATTCATTCGGCTAATCCACCCACTTGAACTTCGACGCTCGTGATACCATCTCGCTTGTGGATGTCGAGAGTGCCCTCCACGGACGCGCCGTAACCGTAGACGGGAAGCGCTGTTTGATCATCTTGGCCTGCAAGCCGAAGACTCACACCACCATTTCTGGTTTGCTTCACAAATTCTCTCGGCGACCGGTTGGGACTTAGACGCGCATCATGAGCTAACCGGTATTCATGAGCCTGGGGAGCGGCGGTATACGTTGGCGAATGAGCCTGTGACGAGGGAGTAGGGTACCCGGGGAGGGTTACAGTTGCGGAGAACATGGTAGTGAATTAGCAACGTCCGGAACCACCATTTTCTTCTCGAGGATCGAGTCCTATGAGTAACGGTCCTGCAGGTCAAAATGACCATGCGGGTCACTGGCTATACTTAACCCAAGCTTCCCACTCCGTTCGGCGTTCACAGCTAAATTACTGTTAGATTCGGTGAAGGTCGCCCGACCATCTTCGATTCTGTCAACATCTACCCTATGTTCTCAATGCTGGTTTCTCGAGCTTTGAAGCAACCACACCTGGCGAACCCAGGACGACAAGTTTTCATGAAATTTGGATGACGAGAAGCGAGAAAGAACGTTTTCATTCTGTGTCTGTAATTGTGGCTGACTTACTCATCCCCACATGGGCATCGGCCGACTCGGCTTAAAATATCCTCCGTGTGCATGGGTTAATATTATTGCCTTTAACTTTAAGTAGCTGTAGCAGCCTCTACCAGCCTGCAGCTTTGTGTACATATATGTATAAGTCGTACACTGTCGTCCACACCCGAGTTTTCACTAGAGAAGTGCCTAAAACCCACCCTTTCCACGAACCCGCGCGATACTCCCCTGGATTCCTTTGACCGTCCCTCTGAATCCAGATCCGACACCAGTAGAGTCCGTAAGTGGGTTACCGTCCTTATCGCGATATATGCCATCTTTCTGTAGTTCGTGCAAATGCGTGTTCTGATTTCCCCGGATGCCATCAAGCCATTCCTGGCAGACTGTAGGATTGTCGATCATAACGTTCACCTCTTGGCTATGATACCACGACTGCGTATCTGAAATTGATAACTTATCAGTGAGTGGCCCGTGGGTTAGAACCAGATATACCCTGGTTTCCGTTGCCTACGATCCCAACCGAATCATCGATGATCATTAGTTTCACCTGGAAGCAGATGAGGGCTCTGCCCAGGAGTTTCATAAAGATAAGACGAACATGGCAGTTTCGTTTCTGTGCGGACGCATTAATGGGCTTGATTTGATCCTTGCCTGTCATAAATGTAAGTAAGTATTTGAAAGACCCCATCGCAGGAGAAGCACATACCAGTATACCAATAGAGCCTGAGTTTCTCTTTCTCCTCGCCCGTTAACTGTGCGAACATTGTTTTGGATACCTCTTCATTCGTGCCTCCTTGTCCAGGAAGTGCCTCTCCACCATCATTAAAGCCCACATCTATATACAAAGTGCACTCAATGCCGCGCCTGACTGCATTCAAGATACCATCAACAACAGGGGCTGCGTTGAAGGTTGGGCTTTGAATGAAAACTTTCCTCTGGGCATATTTCAGCCCTGCAAGCCAGGCTGCATCCTGCGCGTTGTGTAAAGCGCTGTTTTGATTCCCAGGCTTCCCATTCGGTGCACGGTTCACCAACACCATGGGACATTCTCCGTGAGGTGCGTGGAGAATATGTGGGGTGTATTCGTCTGCGGACGATGTAGGCGGCTCATACTGGATACTGGCACGTGTTTCTGGCTGATCTCCGGCATCTGCATAGTGTCAGACTGGGAAGTGGACAAAAATGATGGCTTACTGAGGTGCTCTGTAATCGTCTGATAGGCGCCTGATATGAATGGAATTCTTGCATTTAGAGCCCCCGAAGAGGTAGACTTTTCCTTCCCTTCTTCTCCGTCGTGTAAGCCGCCGGCATCCTGCCCCACGTTATTAAAAAGTTCCGCCCCTTTGCTGCCATCCAGATTCCACGTAGTGGCATATTCATTGTCTATTCCAAACTTGTAGCCTCCCTCAGGCGGCCGATACCGGGTATCGAGCAACGGAAGGGGTGGGTGCATCGGCCTGAACCAGCTAATGAGAGCAGTATCATATAAACTGTCAACGATTGGGCCCTCTAAATGGACCATCATCTCCACGTTAGGACGGTCTTGAATATTGTTCGAATTGAGGAGCGCCATTTTGCGGTCCACGATCAAGAACTTGCAATGGAACGTCCCAAAAACGGGTCTATGATTTGCCAGGATATAGCAATTCGCGTATGAGAGATAACCGGAAGTGCTCACTGATGAAAATTCACTAATTCGAAATCAAGTCCTGGCATATCGCTTCTCTTGGGCAGCTTTATTTCATCACTAGCCATTTCTGCGTCATCGACGAGAAGGTGGCTTTCCCTGAGCATCTTTAAATTTGCACGGTCGTACATCATCTTCACCACGACCTTCTTACCCCTTGTCATCGCTCTGCGCGATAGTTCGACCAAGGCATCGCATATTTTGCTAGCGGACTTGGACGCCTGCCAAAAGTTAGTTGCTAAAAACACTTCCGACTCAGCGCGGACGATGCAATCATAATGATGCTGTATGATATCTGGAATGCTGCTCAAAGCATGAGCGCAAAACGAACAAGGAATAAATGACCATATAATTACACGGAGATGATGCTCAGGTTTACGACACCTCTAGAACCCAGCAACGGGGGCGATACTACGCCAGCCCAAGAATTTGTCTCGAGTACAGCAAGCACGTCACAGTAAATCTTTTTCAAATAATGTGTCAAGGTTACGTGTCGGCACCGCTCCACTCACCTTCAAGAACAAATCGCTTGGCCTACTGCCAAATTTTCCGCACTCGGCGGCACAGTCGAGATCCGCTTGCGTAGGTTCAAGTGACGGCATTGGCTGCGTGTCATTCGCATTGCTACGATCCAGGACGCCCATCAATGTCTCCAGGTATCCTCCGGAGGCTATGGGCTTCTTGTGATGATCTTCATAGAGCGTCTTTACAAGATGCCCTGGCGATGATGTCGGGGAGGCTGCGAGCGCTGTGGTGAGCGTCTCCTGGGAGTGAGTTAGCGAGTATATTTTGTCTGAGATGGTCATTGTGGTATGGGGAAGAGTGTGGAACTGAGCGCAGCATCATGACGAGTCGACAAGGGAATTGGGCGTTAGAACTTGCTCCGATCAAGTAGTAGTAGCCTTTAGTAGCCACTACGCCATGAACCTATTACATCATTTCACGGATGCAATTTGCAGCACTAGCAAAATGATGAAATAATAACTATTTCATGGACTAGTCATGAACAGCTATATTATGTATAAAGATAAAGGTCGCATATATGATACAGCATGAGTACAGATATCTGGAAACTATAATATAAAAACTATAAGTCAGCTTGATAGCACAAAGTAGTAGGTATGTATAAGGAGCGATAAAGATATAGTGGACAGTATGGATGTGGATAAATATACAGTGCAGTAGTCCAAACACATTGTGATTCGTGAAATTCATGAACGATCAATCCATGGTTCTGTAGCAAGTCGTATAGGGATGATCCGTTGAAGTGACTGGTCGGGTCTCAATGGACCAGGGGGAAGTAGTAAAGACAGTACGATGTAGTCCTGAAATCTCAGTATAAGTTGGGTTCTGGACAGTTAGAAAAGAGATGCCAGCTCACCGTGGTGCTAATTTGACTGGTGGTGAAACCAGTGCTCAAGACGGGGACTTCACACCGAAGTTCGCCGTTCCAGCTCCACGTCACGGGCTCTTCCGATTCTGACAATACGACTTTGGAAGTGGATGATGATTGCAGCATCATTCGTCCGCGGCCAAGAACATCTTCATGACTGAATGAAGTGCCTTGAACGTTGACGGTGGTCTGCCGTAGTATATAAACGTGCAAGACTTCCTCTATTGCCGAGGGATCTTGGTGAGGAAGAAAAAGCTTCGCAAGACTGCGCAAGAAGAGTGGCGAGGTCTCTAGTCGCAGATGGAAAGGTATCTTTTCCGAAGCAGTGAATACACGGACAGAAGGGAAGAAGAACTTGAATAGGAGAAATAAACTAGCATGAGCTATTGAATGACATTCGCGAGAAAGTTGGCTCACGTGACAGCGTGCTAAGAATGCGTCATTTCCTGCATCAACGGATGGCTTCGTGATCCAAACGTCCTCCATCCAATCCTCGGGGCATTGTTTCAACTCGCTAAAGCAATCTGGGACCGGCCTTGATGGCCGTACTCGAGGGCGATATCTGAGGTGAATGCTCATGTGTACCTCCCTGAAGATGATGGTGTCAGTTTCGAGATGCACTGGGTCTGCTGCACACTCGCCTCGAAAGCCTGCTGCCAATCATTGGGACGTTTCTCGACCTTGTCACAATGATCTGCAATGTGTAAACTATAGCCACACGTCGCGGTTTTGGTAATTCAAAGGACGGCGGTAAACGGAAAGGACGATCCTGGCCACGCTCTCGGTAGGAAGTTGGAAAGGACATTGATAATGGCATGATGCTAGGGCAAGTTTCTCCATTAAGAGTGGAACGCTCCCATAGTGTGCGCTCCTTTGAAACAATATTAACAACTTTGGATGGTTGCCCTGGAAGGTGAACACGGCCTTCAAGCTGAGGGGTAACATTAACGATGACATCAGTTGAATGCCAACAGATCCACACACCTTCGCTGTAACAGCTGTAACTCTCCGGCGATGGTCAAGTGCAACTTCTCCTCGGATAGTACTCCCTAGACCAAAGGTTGGATGACGATCCTCTTCACGACAGTCCTTCAATGTCAGGATCATCCCCCTTTCCCGGTAAGTAAATGATACATTGTCCGCATGCGGTTGGGTGAGGCGAGGTGACTTTTGTATGCACTTCTCACCAGGAAGTAGTTTGGGGGAATAATCGGGTGCAGGGGTAGATGGTGTATACTCTGGCAACATCTGGATGGATAGTGTTTCCATGATATGCGGAAGAGAGAGGAGATACTAGATACTCGTTGTTCGAGGGCTCTGGGGAGCAGAGCCTGACTCTTTATATCCATGATTGAGCCGGTGGTGTTGACAGTTGCATCACTTCCGGATAAAACGTGGATCCGCGCCATTCAGCGGCTATGAGTGATGCGAAAGACGGTTAAGTGCATGACGGCATCAAGATCAAGTTGAAAAGATGCTAAACCGGTGGGCCGTGAGAGCGCTTTAACAGCGATATCCTGTATTTCTTGCTATGCTCGGTCAACGGAAGTGAACGCGTGAAGTCGCGTGAATCAAATGCAGCGATGATGATGTAAACCTTGGCGGAACGTGACCTATCTTAGGCACTGCCGGCGGACGCTCACGACAGTACTTAGATCTACAGGGCTTGGAGTCAGCCACTGGCAGGGCCAGCCTTTGTTATGTTCACCCGTGACGGTTTCCCCACACTGAAGCAAGAGCCCCCATTGGTGGTGAGGACCCTGCTGACACCATGTTCCTGTGGAGAAGGATCGCTGTCAATTAGACGATTTCTAATGACGGGGCACGAGGCTGTTAGTGTGTTGTAATCTCATCAGGGACAGCGCCTCACCTGCGCTGTTGTCGCTTGGCAAACGCAAGGATACGTCCCATCATGCCTTGATTCATCCTGCAGTGGTTCAGTGATGGCAGAGCAATGCAGCTAGATTTCCTATTTTTGGATGTCTAACCGTCTAGTGGCGTAGGGCAGTGACTGTAGTTAGCTACACTTTCAATGCAGTTCCGACGGTGCTATCTCCATCATACAACTTGAAAAGGGAGTCTCATTCGGTTGGTGACAAAGAATGTGCATATTCCAGCAAGTATAGTAAGAAAATCCCCAAGCGGGCCCCGCATACTACAGTTCTACTTAGTGAAGGTCCGCCAATCATCTGACTAGGAAATATAATCTGGTAGTCATTAATAGAAAGATTAGTAAACGGTCAAGTAATATGTGAACTTAAGTTACTATCTATACATTTCCCGACCAAAATAGCCGAATATAATAGAGTGGAGTGGAAACCGTGCGGAGTACGTCGATCCTTTCTACCAAGCCACTGCTTGATCCGACCACGGGTCAGTCACCAGACGAATCGGATGACTCTGTTTTAATGCAAGAAGCGGACACTTCATTGGTTGCAGAGGATCGAGAGATAGCACAATAAAATCCTGAAAACATATCGTCAGAAGGGATGTGATAGGAACCACAGTTCAAGTCTCACTCTAACTGAGACCGTGTTTGTAACGAAGCTTGCGACTGTCACATCTTCGGTACATCGCAGTTCGCCATCCCAGTCCAGACAATCAATGCCCTCGCCAAGGGGGCGGTTGCGATACGAGTGATGATTCTCGGGTAGAGGAGCAGAGTATGTCAATTTAGCTTCCCCTAATATTCGACTGGATGTCGTTTTTTGGTCTTCGAAGACTTTGAGAACTACTTGGCGAAGTATGTAGACGCGGATGGAGATTCCCCCTGAGGAGGGCATAGGAAGGCTGCAATCAGGTGGAGATTTTTCAAGGAAGGGGGCTAATGAGCTCGGTGGGGCACGCAATTGGAGGTGGAACGGTATGGTCTCAGACAGTGGATAAATTTGTACTGAAGGAATAAATAGCTACCAAAGTAGTCAGGACTAATGAGCACAGGGTTGGTTTGAGATGCTTACAAGACATTGTACTGGCGTGAGCTTAGATCGGTTTGTTGCGTTCATGGTGCAGAGCACTTGATGCCATTCTTCCGGGGAAGTTTTTACCGTAGTCATGAACGGTGCGTCGCTCGGAAGTATGGGGGTGTGCGGGCGAGAACGTGGATTGTAGCATACGGGTACCACAAGGCTGCGATCGTGGCGTCAGGAAATGTGAGTGTTTAAAATTACTATTCATGCTCACGAATCACTAGAGCGCAATGAAGATATGAATCGTCGAGGTTTTGAAACTACGACACGAAGGGTGTAGGAACACGTGTCCTCGAATGAGGGGGGTAAAGGTCGCGTTTGACTCCCGTCCTTGAAAGTAGAAGGGAAGAATATTGTAAAGGGGAGGGTCTTAGGACAAGGCTCAGTAGATGAAGAACTCCACAAAGAATACGAATCGGATGCAACCGATGTGGTGAGGGCTGCCCCTGATATCTCAACACGAATGTAGCCATCAAGCTATTGCAGACAATAAGATAAAAGCTATCGGCAAGAAAGACGTAACCCATACCTTCAAGGTGACCTCCGTGAGGCCCTCTGAACTTCGCAGAGATATGTGACCTCGAACGAGTGCATTTCTACCATAAACGGGCTTTATGCTCCCTGGCTGTTGATCTCTTAAAACAAGCGTGATGTTGTCTGTTATCCTACGAAAGACTCCGGTGTTCTGAGTTTGCAGACCAGCCCGGCGTCGAGTCTCCTCAACAGTTTTTTCTCCCGGGAGAAGCTCTGTCGAGTATGACGGGGAAGGTGGGGAAGGAGTATATAAAGGGGGAACTGACTCCATTTTGATCTGCGAGGTACGAGGTGTCAAACCCTCATCACATCTCGGTCCAGATGTTTATAGCAAGGCGTTAGACAATGTTGGCGCTCGCATAAGCAGAAATGATCTGACTGAGTCATTTCCATGCTGTACTGCGGTGCCCAGTTCGGAACCGCAGTTCTGTGAAGATAGCGTCGAGAGTGGACTCCAGTCATCATGATCAATGATTTGATAGACACTGCACCAGCAACTACTGCCGCTCAGCTCCCACGTACATGGCGGACTTCGAAAATAAGTCATGATTCTCCTCCAATTCCAGGGTTCAGCTAGCTCATTGCGACTCCTTAGCCTACACCGGCATTCAAAGATTCGACGACCTTCGGGGGGTATCAGATTTTAAGTTGCCACAACACAGCAAAAGCATCATCCACACGACGTGCGGACAAAAAGGCGTACGTATGCGTGGCAATGCGGTGATAAAGGCGCACATACTGGCATTAGATATCCGGATCCACCTTCTCTTCCCTAGGTAGAATGGAACCAATATCGACGACAGTATAGAAAGTGAATGTCTTCACTTCGGGTGTCTTGGCGACTGTGCGGGAGGGCGTCCCCGCACCATCCTCCGAAGGTAGTGGATCATCAGATCGATACGTGTAGGATACAAGCATATTGAACTACAAACCGAAGGAGGTTGAGTATGAGTAAAGGGTCCACAGGCGCTTTTGTAAGTGCGTACCTTGACTTGTCCCCGGGCTTCTTTCCCGATGACAACCTCACCGCCCACAACTGTAACATTGGCCCTCTTTTCCAAGACTCCTACAGTCTTGACCTTCCCTTTGCCGTCTTTGTCTCGGCTTCGACCCAGTTCCAAACCAAGTTCATCGTCCTCGAGCCCAAACATGTCGTCGTCGTCATCGTATTCCCATGCTTCGGCGAATGCAGCGACAGGGAATGAAGAGGTTGGCAGGGAAACTGCAAAGGGTGTCCTGCGAGCCTTTTCTGGCGCAATGCCGTCAGTTGCCGCGGTGACATGCATTCGCTGAACCGAAAGTCGGACTTGAATCGGATCATAGAGGGGATTTGTCAGAGCGAGATGAAAGGGGTACGATTTTCCAGCCATCATAGCGCCAGCGTTCCTGTCATCTGAGGCATTTGGTACCTTAGCCGGTGGACGCCTAGTAGCGTCAGCCCCTTGAATGTGGGGAAGGGTTACAGTGATGGCTGGCAAATAGTTGGCCGCTACGAGCTTGATTTTGTATCGCACAGACTGTGCTTTCTGCTCTGGTTTTATAAGGATGTGCCTGCAGGACGGACACCGCTTCGAGACTTTGGAATGAAGTGGAATCCGGAGAGGTCTTAGATCGCTGATCAGTGCACACCACAAGTTTAGTACCTTATCCAACACGTGGCAAACAGACACGCACTTTGTTCTGAGCGAGGTGGTCCAGCTGTTTCCCCATCTTTGCTCAAGCGACGCAATTTCCTCCACGTCTTCCATGCGCCGAAGTGCCTCAACATCCGAACCATCTCCTTCAGACCCCAGCTGACCAAGGACACCAATCTCCATTCTACTTTTGTACTCTGGCATCTCGTCCTTGTTTGCAGTTCTGTCGCGGCCCACACGACTACGAGCGAGAGGATTGTACTTCCCGACACCAGGAACATCGCGCGCAAGGGCGGCGGAAGCAGCGGCTGTAGCAGATGAAGTAGGCAGATGGTGAGAAGATGTACTCGGAATATGAGACACGGAAGAAAGAGATGATGTACGGAGGAACGGTTCAAAATGCTCTTTCAGTCGCTCAAACTCCAGGGATTCGGGCGCAGAGTCTTCAAATTTTTGCAGCTGTGCTATCAGATAGATATTAGATGTAAACTGGTGTGCAAGGGTGGAGCAGCGCACCAGCTAGTCCTGTTGGTTTCTCAAATGTTATCCCGACTTCAGCAGAGTCCCATCTGCAGTGATTGCAATAAAGAAAGAAGGGAGGCTCTCCAACGTTGCTGAGAGACACGGAAGGACGACCATCGCCGCCATCAGGAGGGTCAGACGCGACTACTTGCAAAGTTGACCGGCATATAGGGCATGAAAAGCAATTTCGAGCACATCTATCAATTATGAGCAACAGTCATAACAAGAGAATATGAGCAGTTTACCTGTTCTTTTCCGCGCGAACGCTTGCGCTGGGGACTTCGAAAAGGCAATTTGGACAGTAGTAGCCACTGACTTCGACGGAAACGCAGCGATTGCACCGAACAGCATCACATTCCTCGCAGAAGAACAAGCTATGCAAAGGGTGGAAACTAGCAGAGGAAGACGCCATATGCGGAGGCGGAGGCGTCTGAACTGACTCTCCAGACTGGCATGGACAATAGTAATGGATTGTCGGCGCCATGCTTGTCTACGTTCTCGGTAACAGCGTAGGGAGGTTGATCGTTTGTATAGTACTAGTAAGATCCACGTTGTTTGGAATTTAAACAATCGGACTCGTAGTCACCAGCTCACCACAAAGCTATTGAAATAACAAATGCTGACTGCACGGATGATAGGTAGAAAGGGTGTGTAGCCGGGTGAGCTCTTTCGTGCCTCATTCTGGCTGCTCTCTCAACAATAGATGAAATCATGAATGTCAATTTACATAAGTAGGGTAGACGAGTCGTCTGTTGTGATTTTTGCTGCGCAGCAGTAAGTACAATGTCCAAAGCAAGTCCAGAGTGGAAAGTGTGGAGAGTGCAGGAACCAACGTGGTATCACAAGAAAACAGGGTAGTACGACAAGACGGGCATTCAATCAGTAGTGTGCATCCCAAGCACTTTTGTATCCAACAGCGTCACTCGGGTTCGCGTTAGACGCCATATGCATATCATCCGCTCCTTGCGGCGAGGGATCGTAGAGCGGACGGTAGTGCTGGGGTCCGTAGGGAACCCATGCGGCCTGCGTAGGAGCAGCAGCGCGCTGCGAGCGGATGCGACGGCAACAGTACATGCAAGCGACCAGAAGGAAGAGAAACAAGATAACGCTGGCGAAGATAACACCAATCGCCCATACTGGCAGGCTGGACTTTGTTGTTGTGGTCGTTGTCGTGGTTGTTGTCGTGGTCGAGGAATGATAGGAGAGGTCATCGACATTGGCTGAGCCGTTGGCCAAGCGCACTTGCGCAAAGTCCACAGAGGCTAGACTAGCATTAGTGATTGGCAGCAATTGGATGTACGGGGAATTGGTGCCAGGAGGTGCCTCGTCGACAAAGGAGCCGAAATTGATCAGGAGGTATGCGTTGCGCACTGTTAAGCTTTTAGGACCTGAACGTCCTAGAATAGTAGGTGTCCACACTCACAGAAGGCCATGCCGAGGACCATATCGTACGTTATTACGCCATCCACCGCATTATCGTACGAGAATGGTTGGAACTTATTAACGGGAATTATAAAAGCTGGCAAAAACTAAATGGTTGCAGACTCACAGCTCCGACGCACTGGTTGTCGCCCATGTCAAAGTTGAGATCAAGCGGGTGGATAGGGAACTGGATTCCTGCGAACAAGAATGTCGCGTTAAGTTCTTGATCACAGGGTAGTGTCCAAATTTCTCCTCCCGAGAGGGTCGTCAAGGAAGCACCAGGAACGTTGGCGTAAAGGGCTTCAGCAACGTACCTGCCATGAGATATCAGAAAAGATTATAGTCTCCCGCAAGACACTTACGAAGGAACTTGTGGGAGCGTGAAACCTGTATCAAAGACGACAGTTGCGTTCTTAGGATAGGATGTATTCGTCACTTGGGTCGTAATGGTAATAGGTTGACCGTCTGGACCAATAATCCCATTCTCATCAAGTAATGTCATCCAATGCTGGTTCCCGGGTACCATGACCGATGTGACAGGGAGTTGAGGCTGGGTGTAAACATCCTCATAGTTAGTCACGACTTCCCCGATGGTTAGGTCGCCTGGATAAGGTTCGTCGGGGTCATCAGAGCGGTCGAGAAGAACAGCGAGGAAGTTCGATATGCTGTCGTTAGAGTGAAAGATTCGGTCAAGAGGTGGGTCTGCGGCCGCTGTCCCACCAATCATTCTAATTACAGAGCCGGAGTATGGCCCCAGACCGATGAGACCATCACCAGATTGACCCGACGAATTTGCAAATACTGTGTATCGATCAATATATATGACGGCAGAAAGGGCACTATACACACTGAAATATTGGGCTTCGATCTGATACCCAGCGAATTCCATTGTAGCTGAGAAGACGTCCCCTTGAGGCGAGCGGAAATGAGGTATGACTTCCTATTGTCCAGAAGTATTACACAGCTTACCGTAAGCGGCTCCAGAAGCATATTCAACCGCAGCTTGGAAGTTCTGGTCAACTGCCCCAGGAACCTGAGAGGTTACAAAGAGATCAGAGCTGAAGGTAATATTATTGTCAGGATGTTGGGTTTCAAAATCATCACTAGAAATGGGTAAACTTTCCTGCCAGTGTCGATCAAAACATCGAACAGCTGCCCGTTCAAGGTGATGTTTGTCATGTACTGGATATTCTGGGAATCTTGTACATTTGTTTGGAGGCCGCTCATGCTTGCCCTTCTCTGAAGGTTGGAACTAGAAATTCCAGTCTTTCCACGGAGTTCGAGGTGAACGCCATTTACGATGTCCAAGGCGGCCAAAAAACCAAGGGAGAAAAGGAGCGGAGACAACCTCATAACACTAGAAGTAAGAAGAAAGGACAGATAGAATGGGGTGTTGAGTTCTACGTACAGCTGTTACATAAGTTTATATGAGGGAGCTGCATGGTTTACGTTGACAAGCACTGCCTGGGTATATTATGAGTTGATCGGGCGCTCGTTTCACCTAAGTAGCTAGGGCTCACCATTTTCGAACACGTCCTACCGCATTGCATGCATCATGCATCACGTTTGGTCGTCTGTTTCATATCACAACCTGAAGCACAACCTGCAGTTGAGTCTTCCGTCTATTTGGTCTGCCTAGGATCAAAATTTGTACGTACACGTACTGGTATACTGTCTGCGATTGTCTGGCAATGTCACTCAGCACTGAAAATCAGAATCGCTCCTAGCCACTCACGTAGTCACTTGAGCCCCCTTCATTCCACTATGTATCAATGGTTACTATAACGCTGGGTTTGCGGTGGGAAGAGAAGACACTTGGAAGTCGTTGACATGAGAGCCCTGTAATGCTGTGCACGGGCTTGTCCCACCAAATATTGCTCTCAACTCTTTACGTTCTCATTTCTATCCTGTTCCCTAACATATTATTTAACGCTTTGGCAGCGTTATGATGCGCTCGTTCATTACACTCTCCTTTATTTCTTCTCTGTGTTCGCTTTCGGTCATTGCTCTCCGAATCCCTTTCGATGTCCGTGTTGAAACACCTACTAGCAACCCGAATGTCCATTTCCCTCGTCAGTCGTCTTCCAATGGCATAGTGCCCGTCGGAAACACGCAAAACTCTTTCTACTACACCAATATCACGCTCGGTGGTCAGAATATATCTGTGATGTTAGACACCGGAAGGTAATCCTCTCGAAACCTCACTTAAGCTGCAGGTATTTGATCATGCGCCTGTTTTTAGCTCTGATCTATGGGTGAATGGCTCAGTATCCGGAGCCAAAGACACCGGCAACTCTCTGACACTTTCATACGCCGTTGGAACAGCTGCTGGTCAGTCGCACAACGTTACACCTTTTACGGATTCATGACCTCCATAGCCAGGCAACATATATACCGCACCCTTTGAACTTGCTGGGCAGTCTGTCAGCGACCAGGCATTCCGTCTGTGTCTTTTCTTACATTACTGATCATCTACTGACACCCAGTGCAGTACTTGTCACAAACACTTCATCGTTCTCTGCAAATATTCATGCTGAAGGGTACGATGGTCTCATTGGCCTTGGCCCAAATTCTGGTTCTTCGATATACAAGAAACTCGGCGCCAGCTCGGGGAACAACCCACTCAACAGAATTTTCCAACAGACCTCGTCCTCCAGCAACTACATGACTATGATGCTCAATCGCAACGGAGACCCAGGGAGTAATATCACTGGTCAATTTACCATCGGAGAAGTCGTTCCAGGATTCGAGAACATCACGAGCATGACAAAGTTATCGATAGAGAAGGTTTATCAAGTCACTGACGAGGATCAGCATTGGCAAATTCTAACAGACAAGAACAATGGCATCATTGGACCTGATGGACAGGTGATACAATATTCATCAATCGTCCCTAAAGCTCCTAGCGGTCAAATAGTGGGAGTTTTAGACTCTGGTTTCACCTTGCCTCAAGTGCCTCGATCGGTGTCGGACGCCATTTATGGGCGTGTACAAGGGGCCGAATGGTCGACATCAAGCCAGGCTTGGCTGGTCCCTTGCGGGCAGCTCATTAATGTTACCTTCAATTTTGGGGGTGTTGCATATCCTATTCACCCACTCGACGTGTCGTCGAGCGACTTTGGAGTGACCTTCTCGAACGGGAACACCGCTTGCTTGGGAATGGTATGTAACACAGTTGCTGCGCATCATGCGCTTAGTTCTAAATCTGGACCACAAAGTTTCAACCAGTCACATCTGCATTCAGTCTTCTCGGAGAGTATGATATGATCTTGGGAATGGCTTTCTGTAGGTTGTTGATCTGTTTTGACAACGCTTATTTGACACCCTCTCAGTGCGAAACACTTATACCCTGATAAACTATGGAAATTTTGTCAATGGCGGCTCAAATTCCGATAATCCCTACGTCCAATTGTTCCCCCTCACGAACGTCGAATCTGCTGTCAATGACTTTATCCAGGTCCGACTAAACGGGCAAAACCTAATCAACTCCTCCCAATACGCCCTGCTTCCTGCATCGCAGGAACAGCACTCGCCCGAGAGCGCCACGGAAAAAAAGCAACAGTACGAAGAACTGGTTCTAAGTCGTTGGCCTTATATCCTTGCCGGATGCCTGGTGTTTGTGATTTTGCTAGTCAGCTATTGCGTATGGCGTTGTTGCTGTCGACGCAAGCGGCTGGCAAAGAAAGCTGCCAAGAATGCTGCGCAGCAGAAGGGTGGGACCGCTCCTGGGAGCGATTTCAAGAACGGTTCCTATGCGCAGTTGCAGGACTCCCAGAGTACGGCGAGTCTCGTTATGCAACCGATGCATCGGGCGTCGACTGTAGATTTTGAGGAGGAATACGGAAAGGATGCATTCGCAAGAAGCCGGTGATCTCTGCGAGGCGAACTATATATGTAGTCTATTAGATGCTGTCCAACTTATCCCACCGCAGGACATTAATAGTAGCTGGCTACTTCCGTTCATTGTGTTTATTCGGAACTACGGTGAAACATAAGATGACCATTTCATGAAACTAGGGTACACGCAATCCTGTCTTCTGTACAATGTGTATGCTACAACGAGGTTTAGAATGTCCTTTCCAATCCGTAGGAAATAAAATGCGTCTCAGAATCATTATGCCGCGGACAGAAAACTTCGTAACCAATACTCCACCCCCCTGAGTGCGCAATTACCACTCATGCTGCCAGTGCCCACGAGGACGAAATGAGCCAGGCCCACTGTCATTGCCACTGAAAGGAGGCCACCAAAGGAAACCAGTATTGGCTCATACAGCGCCTTAGACTGTTTCGGCTCCGAAACAGCTGGCTGCTGTGGTTGGTCGACTCGGCTCTCCGGACCCCCTAGTAGCTCAAAGATGCTAGCATTGAGCTTGAAGGCATCATTGGCCTCTTCCAGTATTGCCGCTGGTAAACCAAGGTTTAGCAAACGCGGAATATCCTGAAGATGATAAGCGGACCTTTCAACGTGACGTCATCACCGATGCCAGAGTTCATTCCATCTCTGTACCATTCCTTGATCTTCTTGAGATCTCCCATGTTCGCAGATTCACTACTGTCCAATTTCTTAAAATCATAGAATTGAATTCCAGATCCTCGGTCGAGATCTAGGTTGTATGCCTTGGCGATACGCCTTCGTATGAACTGGCCACCGCTCATATCGCCGAGATAGCGCACGTAAGCATGTGCGAGTAATCGCGATGGGTCTGAACATCCGGAGAGCTCTCGGAGGCGCGTGGTATAATCCACAAAGGATTTGGGAGGGGACGCCATCAATGAGCTATGTGATGGGTGCATCTGCCATTCTCCTTCTGGGACTCCAAGTAAATACGATATGTCTTGGGAGAGGCTCGGAGTGCGAGCAAGCAATGTAGGATTGTAGGTCGGTTGTAGCGTCGGGTATGACGCATGCGTCTCTAGACCCCGCTCGAGTTCGCTACGTCATGTCAATATACATACACAGGGTGACTCTGGATGAGGCTTACTCGTATACATGCCACAGCATCATTAAGAAATACACATATTCTTCCTTGTCCAGCTCACCCTTTACGAGCCGGACGCCACCTTGACTGTTCTCTGCGGCTTCGTGGGCCTGAGATGTGCCTACACGAAGCAATGATGCCACTGGGAGCGAGAAATCGTAGTTATTGTTGACCTCCATCGATATTGAGGTAATGGGATAGTGGGGATGGTTCAGGCGGTGGAGGTTGCAGGAACGTCAACGATGCAGTATAAATACGTATGGAGAAATGCGGGGTGGCTCAGGAGCAGTGCGGGACAAAAGCATCATTTGATGACTCGGATTCATATCAATGGATGCTGTAGTGACGTACGGTTCTATTGCAAGGGAGCACGTTATGCGCTTCGTCCGCCTATGTAGCACTAGTGTAATTACGGTGGATGCCGTACGGTTCGATTGTAGGAGAGCCAAAGGAACCTGAGAGCGAGTTATGCCCTTTGTGAATCGTCTGGGCCGGTGGACGTGCAAATGCACGTTACAGTCCCGTGACTAGCCTGGGTCCGACGTGGAGATATGATCAAATATAGCTTATCGCGGGTACTGCGAGGTTCAATGGGACGTGAGAGGTAGCGCCAGGGCAGGAGGTCGCAGTTGAGGCTGTAGCCTAGTATCACGGTGGATGGCAGCTATTGGCAGATGCGGCGGGCATTCAAAGGAGGCATACCAAAACAGTCGTTCGTTCGGTCCGGCGTAAATATCGTACCCGGTCGTCCCAGAACGGCTGGTTCAACAACCCTAGCCAGACCTTTACCCAGACCTCTAGTAGGAGGAAAATACATAAGTCGTCCCCTCTGATAAAGCGAAGAGAAGTATTATCAATCTCGAACTACACGTTCTAAGAAGCGGAAGAACCCGAAGGAGGTCCCAGAATTCGAAACTGCTCACTTTAAGCACTGAAGGAAATGTGGCCATAATCGCGTCCGGGTCAAGGCTAGTGATTGGACGAGTTTCCTGAGAGGTGAGTTCATAGTGTACGAGTACAAACTTCGATGAGTCATTATTAATGATACATAAGTACATGCTACCGTAAGCCCATAGTTATTGTTGTTGTATCGGTAGACCCTCAAAATACAAGCGACTAGTTCCATCCATGAGTCTTCCTCAGGCACATTAAGCCATGTCAGCGCAATGTTCGTCCTTTCAAAGATCCGCAGTCACGACTCCGCAAAAATCTGGCATAGTCAGATGATGACGTTATCAAGCGTGCAGAGAGAACTCACGTGAGAAGCTCTGAGGACTGACGGTGAACTCGGCATGGACATTGATCTGGTACGTCGATGTTGAGAGGATATAGCAAATTTTCCAGTGGATGAGTTTGCATCCGATGGGGGTTCCTCTGCATCTATCGCGCTGCCAGACGTGGATCCGGGGGCGTCTTGGATAACACGAGATGAACCAGAGCAGTCGGTGGATACTGTCCTGCGCTTTGAATCAGCACTTGAATCTACCGATGTTTTTGCAAAGGGTGATGCTGCCAAGGGCGGCGCTGATGATCGTGTCTTTAGGTGCACAATACCCTTCGCTGATCGAGTTGACTCAGTTGAGCAATTCAGGCGAATCTTACCAGATCAGGAACTTACTAGATGTCTCGAGTTCTGTCTCATGAGCCAGCTTGCAATCTGTGCCGTTGGGACAGTAGCCCGCTGCGAAGGCCTTGCAAGGTAGTCCTGTGGAACATGGGTTAACAAAATAACTCCTACTCACTGCGGAGCACGCACTATACCCACCCATCATTACGCCGCCACCAATCACTCGCCAGGTAATAGGATAATAATCGCGCGCCTTGAACTCTTCCAGAAGTGAGCGTGGTTTCGGAGGCAAGTGAGGCGGTCCTGTCCCACGGTTTTTATTACCGGCTTTCTTTGCCTGTTTACATTTTTCTATGTCGTGGATACTGAGAAGAGTTGAGTGGAAAATAGATAAATCATAGAGACAAGGTACATACAACCTGCATTTGTCTCCTTCAGCACATGTTTTACGTGCCGAGAAAAATTTGCAAGGTTTAGCTGAGATATGTAGTGATGAGTAACCAACGGGAGCAAAAGTGAATGACGGTCAGAAAACTCACTTTTGTGTAGGACTTGTCTGTTCATTGCTTCTTCTGCTTTCCTGCGAGTAGAGGCTCGAGTCTTCGAACCAGCTTGAGTATGTCCTCGATAGTGACTAGGGGGTGTCACATCGCCAAAGCCGGTAGCCGTGTTGTTGGGGTATTGTAAACTTGGCGACGATTGTGAGAATGCCGATTCGTAGAATAATGTAGAAGGGAATGATTCTAAAGAGGGGGGCTCCTTAAAGGTCATAGCTTCAAATGCGGTGTTTAAACTCTGATCAGAGGTGGCGGAGTCATTCGAGGAAGAAAAGTCGCTGAAATTGTCCCAAATCTCTCTTGACGCGTCGAAGTCCTGTACTCTCGCATATGGGACAACCGTGTACATAGGGTACGTTGCGTAGCCACGACTATGACCGTTGTTTTGATACCACCCCTCACGCGGTGTTCTCGCCTGGACTTCATCATATCCGTTAGCGTAAGGGTACTCTGACGGAAATTTGCGTGAGCCTGTGGGAGACGACGCAAGACGCGGAGCCGCCATACCTTGTTGCACACTCGCCGGTTGCGCATGCACAAAACGACACGATGACCCACGTCGACAATCTCCGATGGCATAGTAGCGGCAAATCGTGAATGATTGTGGATTAATCGTCATTTTATTAGCTGGGATGTAAAGAGATTGCTCCTCTGCTGGCAAACAGCCAAAAGAACCTGGTCATTAGCGATGCCAATGTGGTCAATCATACCGGCGTCAATAACTGAAATATTCTCACTGAAGTTATAGGAGGTGCTGTGAGCCTTAGCCATCTAGATAGCACAAACACTACGATCGTCGATGAAAATAAGAGGCAACGGCTGTTGTGGCCTGTTATAAGAGTGTGCTGAATGGTCCACAATCCCGCCCACACCCACAAAGACAAGTGGCAGGCAAGTGAGACAAAGACGCAATTCATGAGATGCGACTCTTCATCTGTAGACAACCTGGTGCTTGAACCGCTCGCTAGTAGACAATGGCTAAATCCGAAACCGGCTTAGCACCGGTCTGGCAGAAATAAAGACGGCCATCGGTGAAAAACTCACCATCGCTGCAATTAAGTTTCTAGCCATGTGCTCATTCTCAAGAGATTATTGACTCTCTTGACCCATCAGAAAGACTTACAAGGGAATTGGACGAACACGTTGAAGTGCAAATATAACAACAATAAGATAAAGGCCCACACCGAGGTTATAGCTGCGGAGCTTGAGTTACATACGTTCCTGTTTACCAATTATACAGCCTTGAAATATAACAAAGTGCGTCCATACGTACCTTATCTTTCCTTTTGTCCCCGGGCGCAAATGAGATTGGTATTGAAACCACAAGCCACACAACTTTAAACTTACAAGCTTGATTTGGTAAGAGGTTTTGGGATCGACCTCATCGCTTACGTTACTTACTTATCGCAAGTTTGCAAAATAGTTCATGGTCCATTTCATGTAAGATATAGACTTGTAGGTGCCACGGAGCAACTAAGCATCGGTATTATCGACAAGCACATGGTCCTACAACTGAAAAACACGGTACACCGTAGTACGCAAAGCGAACTAGAAGAGAAACCGAAAAGGCCACCTTACATATGTATCATACAAAATAATTCTACAAATTCATGTCACAAACCTGTACTCCCAGTACGGTCATGAAGCAGGGGTGTTAGCTCAGTAACAGGAGATATAACGATGGGCGAGGATATTGCATCAGGATCGGGGATCTGTTCATTAGTAGGCGCAGCACGTGGCTTATTTGCTTGGGAAAAATGCCAGGGCTGGGTGACATCTGCTTTGCAAACAGGACACTGCAAAGAAGTAAGAATCGCTATGGAACTGAGACATAATAACCTACCAATTTCTTTCGGTTGATCAACCAGGAATCAACTTCCTCCAGATGGAAGATGTGGTGACATGGCAGCTCCCGAACGCGATCTCCTTTGGCAAATTCCGATAAACAGATGGCACATTCCGCCTGCGACTCGCACCAGGGTATTGGCGTATGGCCTGCTTGTTCGTGCGATGTGGAGGGCAACGGCGTACTATGATCTGATGGACCCGACTCCAGATCACTGTCGTGTGCCGCAGTTGGATGGTCTGCATGTGTCGTGGTTCCCTCATGCTTCTCCCATCCAGTACCATTCCAAACCCGCCAAGGAAGACTTTTGACGATAGTTTCCGGAGCACGATCACGTTGTGCTGCACGAGCCATGCGAATACGATGAATGAGAAGTGTGACGAATGTGAGACAGGAAGGAAGTATTAGGATGACGATAAATGTTAATATTGGGCTGAATGACCGACTTTGAGCACCGAACCGCGTGCGGGACATTGAGACTCACGAATACCATTCCCAAGCTGAGTATTGAGTCGTGATCAAAAGTGAAAGCGTTTGTAAGCCGGCATGAGAGGTCGTAGACGAGTTGATTAATAGAGACAATTCCTTATAATCCGAGTATTTGATGTAGGTGGAAGCAATTTTGACGTCAGAAGCGTCACCTGGAACACCTCAGGTGCGATTCGATATTGACTGAGGAGAAGAGCGAACCTTTACTATACATATTAATGAGAACGTCTGGCAGACCGCTGATGTCAGGGTCTTCGCCTCCTACGACAACAGCCCTGGCACCCAGCCTCTGAGCTTCCCTGACCTGATGAAATGTTAGAGAATCAGGCCTCGCATTCCAGATGATCAAACTCACTTTGTCAACAAAGGTGCAATGGCCTCTCTGCACTAGGGCGATCCAAGATTCGCTTGGATCCGGTTGGTGGGGACCACTTATGCATAGCTTTGGGCACCCTGGATTCGAATGATGGTCTACCAGTGTGGTATCGTCGCTTGGGCATAGTGTCGTGAATGAAGACATTGGAATGACATAACCTAGGAGTGGTTCCTCCAGTTGCAGGCCAAAAGCCGCAGGTCTTGAATGGAAGGTGAGAGGCGGTGATCGGTCCACCACAGAGACGGAACTTTCAGCCCCCCAGACCCAGCCCCACAACCAACCACCCTCTTGGGAGGTCGCGGACAATTTGCGGAGGAAGCTCAATGGGTGCGCATAGACCTGAATTACAAAGAAAAGTAGCAGTAAGACGGACACACGGGCCATCCTGCAAGCCCCCTAAGAATGAGAGAAAAGACGATGATAGGCGATAAGTTGGGTCTTGAGTTAACGGAACTAGGTATATGGCAATGACATCCTTGCAGAAGCAGCGTGTTCGGCTGTAGCACTTTGCTCGGCAAGTTCCGGACATCAGCCATGTTTCGAGTCTGACGAGCAACTTTTCTGTGGGCGCCATAACAAGCTCGCTGCTGTTGTCTAGTTCAAGCTTCAAAAGTTGAACACGTCTGAATTTTTGCTGTGCCTTGAACGATCCGTCTCAGTGCCTACACGTGTACAACACTTCGTGACCCCTAAATCGCCATTGGATGGGGAACTCGATTCAACCGATGCGCAGCTCCTTCGCGGATCCTGATCTTGTATCATGTGTTTTGACGTCTCTCCCCGACTTTGGTTGTCTTGAATCAGCAATCCTGACTTCAAAATCGATCTACAACGTCTTTCAACAGCATCCGCACTCCATTGTTAGCTCTGTAGCTTACAACTTGGTTAGGCCAGTGTTCCCACAAGCGTCGCGTGTAGTCCAGTGCCATAATGCGAAACTATTGCCCAATCACGTAGGTGAACTCCTGGGCGAGGATGATATTCAGAAAAGCCCAGTACTCTCCAATGAAAACATCACAAGCCTTGTGTCCTTCTCCAATTCCGTTTAAGAGCTCGAATGCCTGTACAGTTGGAAGTATTTTCGCCATCTTTTTACACCCCCGGATCAGTCTCATTTGTTTCGTTAGAATGAAAGGCCGAAGATTCAACATAAGTTGGCGGAGTCGACACGATTCTAGAAAGCAATGTACGGATTGTCCTTATATTCAGCTGTCTACGGTATCTCCAGCCTGAGGTTGGTCTCCTTCGCTGACCAGAACATGATAGAAATCGAGACGCAAGTCCAAAAAGCCAAAAACTACGAAAGGGATTCCTTGGTAGTTTTTCCACTCCTGAGCTGAGAGAAACTCAAAGGGTTGACACGTTTGTGCGAAAAATGTTGGCTCCTACTATTGCTGCTGATGAGTTCCCACCATTTATGCTCTACTGACTCATCGTGAGTTCATATAGTCGGCGAGTGGGTATCCTATGCGCTACACTACGATCCTCGCAAAATACTTGATATGTATAAAGGGAGGGCAGGCTCCATCGGTGGCTCATACAATCGGGACTTCTACGAAGTATTTTTTAAAGATTTCTTGTCGGGGCCTTTAGCTTCTGTCCTGGCTAATAGGAAAGAACCTTATCTCCTTCCCCTTGACCACGAACAGCCTATAATTGACAATGTCGTTGGAGAGGATGATCGATGTCTGTACCCTTCATTTTCAGTTGATGATTGCTTATGTGGTGATGTGATGACAGATTCACAATGTCAGTCTGATAGTTTTAAGGGGCCAGAGTTATGGGGACCAAGAGGTAAGTTAAAAAGCACAACCGTACATACTCAATCTCTATCGAAGACTGGGACTACCTTAGGGACCATCCACCTGTCCATTCCATCACGGAATTACTAAAAGGCCACCTTGACTACAATTGTGCAAACGATTTCACAGATTGTTTGCCATGCGACCAGCTGATTAAGAGGCTGTTCAACTGCAAAACATCAGCTTATGACGCCTGGAAGAAAGAGGATTGGTTATGCGATCGATGCTCGGAGAAGTCCATGCGCGACAATCTCCACATTTGGTACTTGGGGGAGAAGGTTAAACGTAAGTATCTGCCTTCAATTACTCTCCGTGTTTGCTCACCTGATACTTCCTAGGAGGACGCAAGATTCGAGAAGACTGCTGGTATGGATACAACTGCCGTGCCAAAACACACGACAAGAGACACGCTCGGAGACCGAATGTGAGTTCCTGCAAGTTGCTCTGGTGTTGGGAGTTGAACTTGTCCTGGTTGAAGCATTGGTGCGAACCTATCAAGGGAGATGTCCCTTCGACATGACCTTTGAGCAACATGTCTATGTCCAAATCATTATGTCTCGTTTCGAAGGCTTTGTATTTTCAATTCCGGTCATTTATCATTGGAGCGTATGGCGATTTGGTCACCGGTGGCGATACCCGTACTGGTGTCAAATGTGTTGCAGGGGACCAGGTATTACGTAGCCTTCAATTTAAGGTGTGTTCAAGCAGTTTGCATCTAGAATTAGATGCACTATGTAGTGATCCGTTGGCGAAAATCATTACAGAAAAGCCCTAAGCACGACTCCGATGGACCGATATCTTCCTCAATTGAAGTTTGCCCCCTCAGCCAAAACTAAGGTACCTGGACTGATGGCTTGGCGATCCTTCTGATCTTTATTCCTGGACACGATATTAGAAGGAACGATTATCTTCGTCTATAAGAGACTACTTACTTTCTGATGCCCAGACCCGCATCGGCAAGTTCCGAACATGAGCCGGCTGTAATGTTTCGAGTCATTCGACTTGACGAGCCACTCATCTCTGGACATCATAACAAGCCTGCTGTTGTCGTGCAGCATAGGTCTTCAAAAGCTTGACCGTCTGCCTTTTTGTTGTGCCTTTGAACGAAACGCCACCTCAGTGCCTACAACGCTTCGCGACCCCTAAATCGTCAGATGGGGAAGTCGGTTCAACCGATGCGCACTGGCAGCTCCTTTGGGGACACTGATGTTGTAGCGTGTGTTCCGACGTCACTCCCCGACTTTGGTTGTCTTGGATCAGCAACCTGAACTTCTGGAGGAGGATATTGACATCGGCTTTGCTGATCGTCCTGGGAGAAGGAACAGATTGGACCTAGTCAATTCAAATCAGTTTTTCCAGTTTAAGTACGAGAAGGAATGTGTGAAGTTCCTCGCCGGGTAGCAAATGAAATTTATCAGCTGAGGAAATATGTAGCAGTAGGAGTCAGAGCGGCCAGGCGGGACTGGGCGTCACACTGCCCTTAGTAGGCAAGGAGGAGATGGGAACAGCGTTCATGTCGGTGGAAGAGAGAACTCCCTGTCCGATACAGACGACTCCGATGCTCTGGAGCTCAGTTTGTCTATCTACTTATTCAGACCCAGAGGACAACCGCAGGGCGGACCGCTGTGTCCCATTTTTCAGGGGAAAGGCTGGGATCCCGCCAGAAAAAGAGCTGAAATCTAACGTAGGGTCACCATGAGCTGAATCATAGATTGGCCATGCTACATACCATCTGATCAGCAACCACCAATATATTTACTGCCGGTAGAGGACGGTATGCGCGTACTTCCTCAAGGTTTGGCCCGAGGAGCTGCATAGTTGGATATTCGAAATGCTCCAATCGTCCATAGGCGAGGACTCTAGATATGGAAGGATACCCTTACAGACGCAGTAGAATATTTCGCTCGTAATTAAAGTGGGAAATATGTGCGTACCAAGAGTCTTGGGTTTGAATTTCCCTGCATGCCATCTGGATTCTGGACCGTCGTTACCTTAGGTTTTAGGAGAGAGGGGTCTTCCCTTTCGGGAATAGCTTACATCAGCCTGTGCTGGTACTCATCATCTCTGAGCTCTGCATGTGCTGTGCTGGAGGGGGCCGCGGGCACTGAAGAACTCGGTTTGACATGTTTGAAATGGGTGAGAATAGACGGGTGCTTGTAAGCGCTGTATGCTGGATCCAGGAGGACTGGAGACAGGAAGCAGAGGAGGACGGGAGCTGCCGTGTTTGGATGACGGCTACAAGGTGAGAGCATAAGTACCACGGATGCCTCAAGAATGACCGCGAGTCTACTCTATCATGTTGACATCCGAGTCAAACATTCGGGATTGAACAAGTTATAGGTAGCAAGTGTGCCTCAGGCTGAACCGTGGACCTTCTTGAAAATTTACACATGGAACCTTGTTCGGTTCTTGCCCATGCGGACGTATGGCATTGTACATTCAGTACTGGCAAAACGGCGTCTGCAGCTTTTTACAAACCAACTTTCCCCAGGTCGTTATGTGGCGCACCCTAGTTTCTGCGCTCGGGCTTTGCGCGTCAGCATTTGCCCAGTCAAGCACGGTGGACTCGTATATCAGTACCGAGTCCCCCATTGCCAAGGCTGGTGTACTTGCGAACATCGGTGCCAATGGTGCCAAGTCAGCCGGAGCTTATGCGAGTTGCCGATACACTACATACTACTGAAACTGCTAATCAGGACCCATATAGCCCGGCGTGGTCGTCGCCAGTCCCAGCAGCACAGACCCAGACTACCTATACACATGGGTCCGGGACTCTTCACTCGTTTTCCAAACACTCATTGATCAGTACGCCTTCGGGCAAGACACCACTTTGCGATCTCACATCGACAACTTCATTTCCGCCGAAGCAAACATGCAGCAGGTCACCAACCCAAGCGGAACTGTCTCCACTGGTGGCTTAGGCGAGCCTAAATTCAACATCGATGAGACTGCATTCACTGGAGCATGGGGTCGTCCTCAGCGTGGTATGTACGAAAAATAATCGTGGTGTCATGCTACATCTGACAGGAAAACAGATGGACCAGCGTTACGCTCAACTGCAATGATCACCTATGCAAATTGGCTTATTTCCAACAACAATGAGTCATACGTCACCGATTACCTCTGGCCCATTATCAAGCTCGACCTGGACTACGTCATGAACACCTGGAACGAGACGACGTGAGCTTTGCATAATGAGCTCCCTTACCCCAAGGCTCATGCATGGATCAAGTTTTGACCTTTGGGAGGAGGTTGAGTCCTCCTCATTCTTCACTAGCGCTGTTCAGCATCGTGCACTCCGGCAGGGCTCCACTCTTGCCACTATGATTGGCCAAACCTCAGTCGTCAGTGGATACAATACCCAAGCTAACAACATTCTCTGCTTCCTCCAAGTACGTAAAATGAATCTTTTATTTAGTGACTTTCCAAAGCGAACGTCTCGATAGTCATACTGGAATCCCTCACCTGGCTTTATGACCGCCAACACTGGAGGCGGTCGCTCTGGCAGGGACGCTAACACTGTGTTGGCATCCATTCACGTCTTTGACGTCGAAGCTGGCTGCGATGGTGTTACTTTCCAGCCCTGCTCCGATGTTGCTTTGTCCAACCTCAAGGTCTATGTAGACTCTTTTCGTGAGATCTACAACATCAACACTGGCATACCTGCTCACGAGGCTGTTGCAACTGGACGATACCCTGAGGATGTGTACCAGGGTGGTAACGTAAGGTCTTTATTTCTCTACTGATGCCGCTTCTCAACTGTCTGTAGCCATGGTACTTGACGACCTTTGCAGTTGCTGAGCAGCTCTACGACGCCCTAATCGTGTGGAGCAACGAAGGCTCGCTGACAGTTACAGATGTCTCTTTCCCCTTCTTCCAGCAGTTCGACTCGAGCATTATGCCAGGGACCTACAGCTGCTCGACTCCGACTTACAGCACCCTCACAACTGCGATCAAGAAATTTGCAGACGGTTTCGTCTCTACGGCTGCGAAGTACACCCCCTCAGGTGGAGGACTGGCTGAGCAATACAGCAGGAGCAACGGAACGCCGACCAGCGCCGTGGACTTGACGTGGAGCTATGCATCTGCATTGACTATGTTTAATGCAAGGGCTGGTTTAACATCTGCGAGTTGGGGTGCCGCGGGCCTCATGGTTTCCCCGACATGCTCTACTAGCAAGGCAGCAACTGTCCCTGTTGTTTTCAATGTCAACGCTACTACCGTCTTGGGACGTGAGTTGAATGTTGCAGCGAACGTGGCCAAGATTGTTCAATTATTTTCCCTCTAGAGAACATATACTTGACTGGCTCCGTCGGTGCTCTGAGTGACTGGAACACCGCAGATGCTATTCTCATGTCCTCTGCTGACTACCCAGTCTGGAGCAGTGCGTCTGGTCTCTGTTCAAATGCAACATTTACTGACATCACTTCCTAGCGGCCGTTGATCTCCCAGCGAACACGCAAATCCAGTACAAATACATCATCATTGACAGTGGCGATGTCACCTGGGAGTCTGATCCCAACAACGAGTTCACGACGCCCAGGTCTGGCATTACAACCCTAAACGACGTATGGCGGTGATCTTATTCCTGAGCTATTCTGGACACTTTTTTCTTAATGATAGCACAATGATACCTATCGCAATACATTGTTGTTTCCATGACTTGGTGCAAGTTACCGATATTATAAAACAAAGTCGATTAATTTGGCTGACTACGCTATACCGGTAAAATGCTGTACATATTTGTTACGTAAAAGGGGACTAAACAACGTAGCACTATGGCCAAGCCACTGCCAGTGAACGCAGCTCACGACATACTCATTACCTGATCTTCTTCAAGTCCTCAAATCATGTCCATGCTAGACAAATTCAGAAGAGGCGCGCAGAAGGCGGGCATGCAAGCCACGGCTCTCGTCAAAGAGGGCTCATCGCGCGTGGCGACTGGCTCGAGAGACTTCGTACAAGGATTCACGCTGCCAGGGGAAGCTGAGAAGGCAGCAAAGATCCTTGAGAGCTTCCTTGGTGCGTACACACCTTCCATGGCCTCGACAGCATCATTTTCTGAATCCTATGCTGCACACAGCTAACCCCAATAACCCCGAGTCTGCACTCAACTCAATACCCACAGCCGTTCTCCAGCACGCAAGAGGTGACGTCCATCCTGTCTTAGCTTCCATCTCGTCTCTCGCTGACTAACGCACACAGGTCTCGCCGTCTTCCAAGTGCTCAAGGCTGGGTTCATGTTCAGCGGCAAAGCTGGCTCCGGCCTCGTCATCGCCCGGCTCCCAGACGGATCATGGTCCGCGCCCTCCTGCATCGCAACCGGCGGGCTCGGGTGGGGCCTCCAGATCGGTGCGGACATCACAGACTTTGTGATTGTCCTGAACAGCGAGGACGCAGTCAAGGCATTCAGCATAGGCGGCAACGTCACCATCGGTGGAAACATCAGCGCTGCGGCGGGCCCCATTGGCACCGGCGGGAGCGTACAGGCTACCTTGGCGCACCCCGCACCCATGTTTTCATACTCGAAATCGAAGGGTAAGATTGTCCATTTCATCTTGGTTATTTTCCATTTTGATTTCATTTGACTCTAATGTATTTATAACGTGATGTGCTGATGCATGCCACAGGTCTTTTCGCTGGTCTCTCGCTCGAGGGCACCGTTCTTATAGAGCGGAAAGACGCTAACCGCGAATTTTACGGATCGCCTGTGCCTGCACGCGACATCCTCGGTGGACGCGTGCCTCCGCCTGAAGTTGCATCGCGTCTGTACGAGATCATTGAGGCCGCGGAAGGACTAGATGAGACGGGTGTTCCGGAGTCTGCGTACGTGCCCAGTGCTACAGGCCAGCATATGAGTATCGGAAACAACCATATGGTGTTTGACGCGGAAGCACATTGATGGGTGGTGCTCGCTTTCAGTAGGGATGGTGGATATGAGTTCAATGCCTTTGCTTTCTGTTCTTTCTTTTCTTTCCTTTGTTCAGTTCTTTATAACGTATATACCTGATGCAATCTTATGTGGTACTTACTCGGATGTCAACATTGCGGAGGAAAAACTGTCTACAAAAGGATCCAAGAGGAGGTTATAGGACCGGCGCTCATTCAAGTTAACTGAGGCGGCCCAAGGTCTCACAGACCCCCAAGAGAACTAAACGTGTAATTAAACAGACTTAGTTACTGGAGAATAGCAAATATGATGTATGGACAAGACATCTAAGAAGTTATATCCTACGATACTCTAGGCATGAGTAATAATAGCTCTCAAGCATGCAAAGCACCCCAGACTTCAAAAACGTATGAAGTTCACGCATCTGGTAACACAAACGGATCCCAGAATCCAACAGTCCCATTTGTTATGGCTGCGTCTGTAGCGTCGAGGCCCAGTAATCGCATCACGAGGTTGTAAATCTCGACATTCTGGAACCCTGGCATCACGTAGTCTCCATTGCTCTGGCACTCTCCTCGCGCGCTGACAGCAGCCTTCGCACCCTGCGAGAAAGGTCCGTGTGCGACGAAGATGGCATGCATCGAGGGGTCCTCGTTGTCGTAGCCGTGGTTCTGGAGGTGCGATGCGTTAGCTCGGTGGTGTACAGCGCATGAAGCAGCAAGGGATGTGGCAACGTGAACTCACCCCAGTCGACATTCCGTCCTCGCCGTCTGCGCGGTCAGTCAGCGCATAGCCTATGCGAGGGACAATCCACACAGGGGCAATGCGGTAGTTGGCGGAGAAATGGTATCGCTCGGGCATAGGCTCCACTTTGCCTGCAGACATCTTACCGTAGTTGAATGCGTTGAGGTCCACCAAGGAAGTGCCAGGGTCGGTGGGGAAGCTCTCAGACGTAAATACATCGAACTGATCAGGGTGGGCAAGCGTATACTCGCACAGACGCTCAAGGGCCTCGGTCACGTTCGTGCCCGGAGCGAAGCGTAGGCCCATAGATGGCCAACCTGAAAAGCACAGCTTAAGCAATTTGCCACAATGGAAAAGTTTCCGGGAAGCAGCCGACTATATACTGAAATCACTTACCATCCACCTTGGTAACACCTTTCCATGGCTGACCAATAATCTCGTCGACATACACCCAAGTTGGGTGACTTGTGTCTGTCATCCCGTGGTCGCTGACGAAGATGATATCAACGATATGCGTGAGGTTGCGCTCGCCTAGCGCTTGGGTGAGGTTCCGAGCGAAAAGATCGACAGCTGCGAGACTCATCTGTCATGAGTGGCAAGTTTGGAAAGTGAAAATTAGCACATCAAGAAATGGGAGTAGCACAACACTTACATTGACGGCCCCGGACATTGGCCCTGTTGCATGACCAGCTTGGTCTAGCGATGGTTCGTACCCTATAAAACCACAAGGTCAGCGATAAGGACCCCAGTATCACGAGGGAAGATAATGTAAATGAAATGAGAAGAAAGAAATGAGGAGCGAAGCCACCCCGTTAGAACAAAAGAAGATTTCCAGATATATTCGTAGCCAAACAAACACAAGTGGTGTAAAACATACCAAGGATAAGCTGTGGCCGCTCTTCCAGCGGGAGATCAATCCACTCTAGGAGTTTGGAGAGTTTCGTCTCGAGTGGGTAGTCATTCTGAGTCCCAGTTCAAGTCCCATGCCATCATTTTAAGATCACGCTCTTACCTCCCAAGGTAAGAAATATGTAGAATTCGCGCCCGAGGACGTAGACCAAGGACCAGGCCTGTTCTAGTGAATACAAAGTTAAGTATGAGGCAGAGAAAGACTTACCACATGAGATTTCCGGTGATGATCCCTGCACGCTCAGCAGTTTCCCACATCTAAGTTGTAGAAAACGCAAAGAGACAGGAGGGACAATGCGTGTGTCAGTCAAAGAACGAGACGGACAAGCAAAATTAAAAGGATGCGCGAGATGAAAAAAGCACACAATGAGCGGTTATAGGAATTAAAATTTGGTGGGCACCCACAGGTTCACCGAGCCACCAGCTCGGGTTCTGCGCGGATTCAACACGAGAGTAATGGAACGTATCTTGGAAAACGGGGTCCCAGAAATTCTATGTGGTCAATGTGAGAAAGTCAGACAGTCGACGAGGGTGATGAAGGACGAACATTTGCAATGATGCCGTGCGACTCGGCGTAGAGGCCAGTCCTGCAGGCAGCGTGAGCAGGTGACGAGGGAGATAAAAGGTCGTACTTGCATCAGTGACCAGTGATTTCTCGAATCACCATCAATCAAATGTATTTAATAATTTACTGTAGCACGACTCACGGGAACGTCAGAGTCTATAGAGAAGGAAATGTTGAGTGCAGTAACAAAAGAATCGAAAGGGAATGCGTACAGGGAAAACAGGCTTCATGTACTTTGCTCTCACACCTTCCCGACTGATATCCAACAAATGCGGCGTGAGTCCACGATCCAAGTAATCTGCACGAAGACCATCGATGGACACCATAAGTACTGTCTTCTTGAACTCATGTGTTCCATTCGAGTACAATGTGTCCCTCCCTGTTCTGGTGTCATGCCGAGGGCGAGGCCATAATTCAAAGAGGGTGCCAGCGAGGACGAGCGAGAGTAGAACACTGAATCCTGTCAAGAGCTTGCGTTTGCGCAAGGGTGCAGGAGCAGTGGGTTGCTCCTCGAGGTTAAGTTGCACGGCGTCTATGTCGTCGACACTCGAGAGTAAACCGCGTCGCTCGTCGGGCGTAGCTGATGCATCGATAGCATGTGTGTTCGTCATCGCGCAAGACGACGACTAAAAGAAAAGAGGAATTGAAGCAAAACACAGAGCAGAGTCTGAGTGAGTACGCGTAGACCAACTAGATAGGAAATTGGAAATGAATTGACACCGTGAACAAGTTTAGCACTATCAAAGTGGCTGTGCTTATTTCCTTCTGCATGGCAGCCACGTTCGCAATGACATGGATTCTGGGCTGGCCATTGTCTTTCCTCGCATTCGTCAAGACCCAACTCGTACTTTTACTCCTTCGTGTTCTATCTGCGGGCCCTATTCCACGCCATGTGGCCTTTGAAATGGACGGTAACCGCCGCTTTGCACGTCTCACCGGCCGACGTGCGGTCGAGGGTCATTCAGACGGGTTTCATACACTTCAGCAGGTATGCCCTTGATCCTGCCCCGGTCGCGGATATTTCTGACATGAGCTGCAGATCTTAGAGATATGCATGCGCCTTAACATACGCTGTGTCACGGTCTACGCCTTTGCGATCGAAAACTTCAATAGACCACCCGACGAAGTCGGCGCGCTTATGAAACTGGCAGAGGAGAGACTCGTGGAGATTGCACAGAATGGGTGAGCCTTCATCTTTACGCTGATACTTTGGGGTCCAAAGTGCTCGCTCGCATAACTTTACTGCCTGCTGATTACTGTTCAGTGCTCTCTTAAGCCAGTATGGCGTACGCCTCAATGTGCTTGGTCATCGCGAGCTGCTGCCTGCGCATGTTCAAGTCGCAATTGAAAAAGCCGAGGGAATGACGCGTCAGAATAACAGGTGTGTTCCCTCTAACCCTCATCTTCTATCCTGAATTCACTCGGATAGAGCAATATTAAATGTCTGCGCACCATATGCTTCGCGGCATGAGATAACATCAGCGGTACAATCTGTCGTGCAGCAGGCTCTCGATAAAGAGAATTTTGATTCTTCGTAAGTGCTCTTTGCCGTTGTTTTAATCTGCGACTTCTCCTCCTATCGCGCATTTCATGCTGACCAATACACTCAGAACGATCACAGAACAATCCATTGAGGAAAACCTGATGACTACGCTTGGGGGCAGCCCACCACTCGACATTTTCATTCGCACAAGTGGCGTGAAGCGATTAAGTGGTTTTCTGCAGTGGCAGGTGCGTTTCCATCCCATTCCCATACCATCGTTTTCATTCCCCCATCACAAATCTCTCTCCACTCGGCCTCCGTTTACAATTTCAAAGAAGTGGACATTTATATTCCCGAGTGCGCGAAAGCTGTACTCATATACTCATCCAAAACGTTCTCTTCACAAAACTCATACATCTCACAGTGCTGCGAAAACACTCAGATTCACATGGTAGATACCTACTGGCCGGACTTTCGGCCTCCGTGATTTTGTGCCCATTTTACTAGCTTACCAACGGAAGGTATGGGCGCGATCGAGTAGCTGAAGGTTCAGGCGCAAGACTTTTCGGTTATCAAGGCTGGTGTGACTCCCCCTACCTAGTGTAATGATCTTGTAATGCCTTTTCACTACAGAAAATGGACATCATGTAGTGCCTGTGAAATCGATGTACTTTGTTGATCATCTCGCCCAGTCAAATTTCTTGTGTTTTTGTAGCTTCGTCAGGTCTCCTGATGATTGACTCTGTTTCAACTTCTGTGACAAGTCCTGCAGCTTGGGGATATGCAGATTCCTATCAGCCAGTTAGCTGTTGATGCGCGGTTTGACAGGGGTTAACCGCTGCATGCCTAACCCAGTGTCAGGAAAGTAAAGGAGTGATCGTGACAATTATGACATACGCTCCATATCTTCATGGCGCATATGAGCGCTCAGGTGTAGTACTTCGACATATAATCGTCCTCCGCTTCGATCTGAGATCTCGCCCATCTGGCTTTCGCCCCCGCGACATGTCTCCTGGACGCCTTATTCTCCTCCAACAACTGATACCCTTCGTTCTCGTCAAAAGCATCGTCTCCCGTGTGCGTAAGTGCATTTGGCCCGCCAACAGTGAACTGACGCTCCTGCCAACTCTTGACCCATTGCCTATCGCGTAGGTGTAGGGAGAAGAACGTCACGATATGAAATTTTTCGGGGGCATGTTCTTCTACCACCGCCCCCTTTATGTAGTGTTTGTTGTGGGCCAGTGTGGCGCCTGGGTAGTAGTCTTGAAACCAGCCTAGTATAATCCCGTAGGTATTACGTGGTGACGTGGAATCGCCATGCTCCTCCTCGCTGACGATCTCCCAGGCCTTTCCATTCATCGATGTAACTAATCTGCGATCCGAGTTCGTGATCTGGACAGGGCTCAGCATTATATCTCTGCCTAAATAGCTGAATACCTAGCTCACCTCATCTGCGCGCTCATCTCTGTTTCCTATTCTGGGAACCAAATGAACTGCCCTGGCTGAGAATGTGAAATAACCAGCATCATCCATGCTCCCGCCTGGTAACGGAGCGCCAAGCCCTAGTTCGTTAGGGTACTCTCCATCAACGAACTCAGCAACTTCACGCAAACCCCTCTTTGTGCGCACAAGCGCCTTCCCCGACACGCTCGTCCCCGCGAACATCGGAAACGTACATAGCGTGCTGCACGGAGGCAGGCGGAAAGACATGCCAAGCCAACTAGCCCTACCGCCTGTGCGTAGTATCTCCTTCGCGAGTGCAATCGTGGCACCAAGGCGATCGTCCTTGTGGAACATACTGGGGTCGAGGATGACCCCGAAGAGGCCCATAATGCTGAACACCATGTCTACGGGACGCGACGACGTCCGCATCAGTGCACTCTGCCAGATCGCGTGGTCGCGCGCGTCCGGGTCGGATGCCAGTTCCTCGGACATAGCGACTGTCGTCGCGGACAGGTTCGGCGAGGCGGCGCCGAATACGCAGCTTCGAATGAGGAACGGAGAGGGAGAGTGGGTGGAGGTGAAGCTGAGATAGCCTGCAACGCAGGCATTTAGAACGTCGGTCGCTGACATCACGGCAGATTCCTGTGGCGTAACCTCACTCACGGAGCCAGACGCATCGTCGGCCATCATGGAGCCTGCGGAGCGCGTTAAGTGACTACTTAGACCTCGCTGGTGATCTGGTGATCGCTGGCGATGATGCTTACCTTCTCCAAGTTTCCATGCGAGTAGCACAATGACACGTTCTGGCATCAGCAGTTCCTGCAGTGTCCACCCCCGGTGAATCCAAGCAGTCTCTTCATCGATCCGCACAAGTTTCTGCACGCCCCCAGGAAGAACAACACATATATTGCACCTCTTATACATTTTACTCATCTGTTTGATCTGCCAGTTCTTGTCTTCGCGATTGGTCTGCATGATACACAGCCGATCGAGCCAGATGTAGCGGACCCCATGTTTAACAGCAACCAAGCAGGCGTGTTTCAGAACATGGATGCTGATTGGATCCCCATCTAGCGCGCCTGCCACGGAAAAACTATGGTGGCTTTTCGCGTCGGAAGGATCGACAGGGTTACCTTTCCAGACGTATGATAAAGCGGCGTATTGAACCGATGGAAAATCCACGAACTCGTCGATGCAAAGCATTTCGTTCTGCATAAACTGATCACAATCTATGAGACGGTACCTCTGAGGGGTGGCAAAAGGCGTTATATCCAGCGCGCATTCCTGGGAAAGTGACTTTAGTGACACCTGAAGTATATTTTGAGGCTGGGCGAGCATTGGGCTTGATCGAGTAGAAAAGAGGTTTTAAGCTAGATGAGTGCTCAGTCTTACAGGTTCGCATCGATTGAGTAATGGCATAACTAGTTTACAGTTCGCGATGATCCGATAATTTCCAAATCCAGCATCATGGCGAGCGTTATTTTGGTCTCCAAGTGGCCGACCTAATCATAGGTTGTGTTGTATAATCGTATCAGGCAAGGAGAGCATGGGCTAGAGCACGTCCCAATTTTTGGGACATGGTCAAAGTGACTGTGGTCGCAATGGTCAGAAAGCCCAACTACAGGAGATTCAGTGCGAGGCATACCTTCTCTGTAATTTCAATCTCAGTAGGACTGGAAATGACCGATTGTCGGGCCCCATTCTTTTGGGCATGGCCTAACGCATCTGATTGTGCGTACTCTGCCTTCTTCGCATCCACCCATGCCGTTTCATCGGCCCTCAAACCACCCGGAAAAAACACTGGAATCAGCGACAGTGCAACTCCGCGTTCAAGCCCTTCAGCCTCTACTAGAGCATTGAAAACCTTGTCATGGTGCACCTCGCGGAGGCGCTCGAGGTGAAACCCAAGTGCGGCTGCGCTGCGTGTAGCGCCAGCGGCGATCAGGTTCTGAATCATGCCGAGACCACCGATTGCGAGTAAGAACCACGCATCATTGACTAAGGCCTGCACAGTGAGCAGGTAAACAATCCATAGGGTGGCAAGGATGAAAGTCATGACAGTGGTTGAGCGGAATCGCTCAAGTCGCGCGGTAGCAAGGTCCTCCAGCCTAATACCCGTCTTGTCGCTAACGATGACAATGACACTGTTGCTACCATTTCCACGTGTGAGGCAGATAATCTCACGCTTGTCCACCCCCCGTGCTGCCCATTTCTCTGCACGCCACTGGGGAAGAGCGCCGCCAATGAGGGCCAGTAAAGTGCCGCTGACGGTGACGATGAAAATCACCCAGTCTTGATTGAGGATTGCAGGAAGGATAGAAAGAAGAATTTGTGCGATGATAGTGGTGATACCGCTATAGTATACCCAGTCTTTATCAGGAATACCAGCGGGTTTGGATTTGGAAGCGAAGTATATTGATACGGTGAGGCCGTTGGGATTCTGATAATGAGGGGACCAGTGATCGCGCAGGAGTCGGCCAAGAGGCCAAGACATATTGGTGCGAACGTATCCGTTTTTTGCGTTTACAACAATGGACGGACAGTCAGATGGAGGCATAAGGCGGCCCTCCCCAACAGCAGAGAGTAGGGCGCTGAAGGAGTAGGCAACCCAGCCGAAGGAGAAGGCGACGGGGGTAAAGTGAGATGGACCGCTGCCTGCGAGCTGCGCAATGGCGCGCTGTACGACGTCACCGCCGATGATACTGAGAACAGAGAGTACACCATTGGGATTTTGCCATTGTGAATTGAGAGTGTCAAAAGACGACTGCTGTCGGGACCAGAGTTTTGATGATGAAGGAGACATACGTTTAGTCGTGGGTCCAAACCACGCGTGTCCAAAACTCGCAGAATCTTTAGCGCCTAAAAACCTTCCTCCCACCTGGGGAACACCATCTGACTTCGCACCGCTAAGCAACTGGTGTAGCGATAAGGCTCAGCTTAACTATGGCATTAGCTGCATCGTGATGATCGTGGTGCGTGACTATTGTTCTCATACTATGATCTTAACTTTTGGATATAGTGTTTCGGCAGTTTTGGGCGGTTCGGATTGCTCCGAGGGTACTGTCTGCTGGCAGCACGCCATTATCTGGTGCATTCGCTAATTATTCACAGTTATGTAACAAGGAGGGGACAGGTGATTCCGCGGCCCCGGCAATTGACAACAATCCAGGCCTGGATCACCATGGAAGAATCAGGGTTTCAGGCTGTACTCTAGAGAACGACGAGGAACTTATTTATCTGCGAATTTGCTCGCACTCAAAGGTAGCTAAAATTAAATACATCGTAAGTCTCGTGCTGTTTGACTTTTATTGCGAGGCTCCTCGAAACTAACACTTGCGGACTCATCTGATCCGAGGATGCTCGTGGCAGACTTCTGTTTTAGGGGTTATGGGTTTCTATCACACTGGCAGGGTGTCATTCGACAAACGTTCTTCTTAGCCCCATCGGGACTTCACTGCCCAGTGCCCATCATGCGTTATGCATAGCCCTCGGAGGCAAACATGAATCAATTGAAAGAGTTAAAAAAGAATTCCTCATCTTGGCCTCGTCTCATGAATGTCTTCGACTCCGTTGCTCGGAAGTATCGTGTCTAGAGTCCTCTCACCCTCCCAATATGTCCCAGTCGACTGCGGTATATTCCACACCGCTTCATTCACTTAGAGATACCGTTCTAGACATCTCCCCATCTGCCACCCCACGCCGAATTCGGCTTCTCGACTGCTTGCAATTTTTAGATCATGACATCCTCGCAATCCACGAGTATCCCGACATCCCTTCCTTCCCATACACAGCCATATCGTACGTCTGGAAGGGCTTAGATGTTGATCCCAACCACACCGACGACAAGTACGGCACATTCGCTGTCAAGGGCGCTGAAAATGGTGACCCGATCAGTATCGATGTCCTCAAGCATGCATGCACTGCTGCTGTGCAAAATGGAACGGGGTACATCTGGCTCGACAGACTCTGCATCCTGCAGAATGATAGCGATGACAAGGCCTGGCAAATCCGCCAGATGTACATGATCTACAAATCTTGTGCAGTGTGCATTGTTTTACCTGGTGGAGTGCGCAGACTCGCACAGTTTGATGAAGAAACGACGTGGATCCAGCGTTCATGGACCCTCCAAGAAGTTATGGCTCAATCAAATGTAATGATCTTATATGCTTGGAAATACGGAAAGGCCTTGTCCGGCATCAAAAGTGTCAGCGCATTGTTTGCTTATACCGAAGTCATCCAAGGCCAGTCAGCCATATGTTCCCTTGATCATGCCCTTCAGGCCAGCGTCGGGAAGGTTAACACGTTCCCGACAGAAGGGAAGAAGTTTACCTCTTTCTCGATCAAGTTCTTTGGTCGTGCAAAAGATCCCAATGTCAGCGCACTCCTGGCTGTTCTGGATAATGGCGGCACGCAGTCAGAAGCTGGTGCGCAAGCAGTATGGCGATGCTCGCTCATGCGCACTTCCTCATTTCCCGTGGATACCGTGCTCAGTATCATGGGCTTGTTTGGAGTCACACTTGATCCCCGTGACTTCCAGAAAGGAGACAGACGAGGCGCAACCATTGCCCTTGCCAAAGAGATACTACGGAAAGGAGGAAGGGCCAGTTGGCTCGCTCCTTCCCTCAGTCTTCCCCCAGCAAAAGGGCTCTCTGCATTCCCAGAGTTTCCGCATGTGTCTGTGGCAGGACAAGCGACCCTGACGACCGAGGAGGGGGACCGACCAGTTACAGAGTTGCTACCACGGGTTGGAGAGGGATGGCTGGAAGGTGTCCCAACAGGGGTGATGGACGACACCGGATACTTCACTTTTTCCGGCCCTGCTGCGCTTTTGGTTCCAACAGGTCTCCGAAAGAAAGATCACACCTTGTACGACAACAAGTCTCCATTAGATGCCAATGGGCAGCTGCAGGTTGTTGCAATGGACGGCGCCATCTGGAGGATACATCTTGATGGTGAAGAAACCTATCGGCCTGCACGCCGCGCTTTCATAGTCTTCATAGGCGCTCTGGTGCACTATACTTCCCCTGCCTTTGGCGCATGCTACGTCGATCCATATCGCTATAGGGCACTGCTGTTGGAGGAGGACGAGCCTGGGAAGTTCCACAGGACGTCCTATTTCGCTTTGCACGAAGCATACGTACCTTACATCAAGCGCTGCAAAACATATACATTCTGACCAGTTTGACGTATAGCTGTTTATCATTTTCTCCGCTCTGTTATTTGGCAGGGAGATTGCAATGCAATTGGCTCGTATTATGTATACAATTCAACAGTATCACAATGTACAACTGATAGAATTTTAAGTAGGAAAAAACGCATGGATGTTATCCTTCCAGATTCTTTCGAAGAACTGTCTAACATGGTAAGCGACGGTAGAGCACGTGAGATCATGTTTAAACGTTAAACTGCCATTGAAGGACTGTCAAATATTGCCTACAAACCTACAACGCTTTCTCAAATTTTATCATTTTCGCGTCGGTTCCCTGATAACTTGATCATTCTGAGGGCTATATGCAAGCTTATAGACATGCACTGGCCAATCAATTGAAAAGCTTGAATGCTGGGTGTTTCAGACTCTCGCAGTGAAGTTCTTCAAGCTGTGTTTGATCCGAGGAACTTCCTCTTGTTGTGTTGACTCCCGTCCTCCCATCATGTCCCAGTCAACTGTGGTATATTCTACATCGCTTCATTCACTTGGAGATACCGTTCTACTAGACATCTCCCTATCTGCCACCCCATGCAGAATTCGACTTCTCGACTGCGGACAATTTCTAGATCATGACGTCCTCGCAATTCACGAGTATCCTGACATCCCTTCCTTCCCATACACAGCTATATCATACATCTGGAAGGGCTTAGGTGTTGGCCCTAGCCACACCGACGACAAGTACGGAACATTCGCTATCAAGGGCGCCGAAGATGGCGACCCGATCAGTATTGATGTCCTTAAGCATGCGTGCACTGCTGCTATACAAAATGGATCGGGGTACATCTGGCTTGACAGACTCTGCATCCTGCAGAACGACAGCGATGACAAGGCATGGCAGATCCGCCAAATGTACAAGATCTACAAGTCTTGTGCAATGTGCATTGTTCTGCCCGGTGGAGGGCGCAGACTCGCGCGGATTGATGAAGAAACGACGTGGATCCAGCGTTCGTGGACCCTCCCAGAAGTCATTGCGCAATCAAATGTGATGATTTTGTATGCTTGGACATACGGAAAGGCGCTGTCTAGCTCAAGTGCCAGCGCAGTGTTTACTTATACCGAAGTCATCCAAGGCCAGTCGGCCATATGTTCCCTTGATCACGCCCTCCAAGTCAGTGTCGGGAACCTCTATGAACTCACGACAGAGCGCAAAAACTTTAACTCTTTCTCGATCAAGCTCGTTGGTTGTGCGGGAGATCCTAATACCGGCGCACTCCTGGCTGCTCTGAATGGTGGGGGTATACAGTCAGAAGCTGGTGTGCAAGCGGTATGGCGATGCTCGCTCATGCGCACTTCCTCATTTCCTGTGGATGCCGTGCTCAGTATCATGGGCTTGTTTGGAGTCACGCTCGATCCCCGTGCCTTCCAGAAAGGAGACAGGCGAGGTGCAACTATTGCCCTTGCTAAAGAGATACTACAGAAAGGAGGAAGGGCAAGTTGGCTTGCTCCTTCCCTCAGTCTTCCCCCCGCAAAAGGGCTCTCTGCATTCCCAGAGTTCCCGCATGTGTCTGTGGCAGGGCAAGCGACCCTGACGACCGAGGAGGGGGACCGACCAGTTGCAGAGTTGCTACCATGGGTTGGAGAGGGATGGCTGGATGGCATTCCGACTGGGATGATGGATGATGCCGGATACTTCACTTTCTCCAGCTCTGCTGCACTTTTGATTCCAACAGGTCTCCAAAAGGACGATCCTACCTTGTACGATAACGAGTCTCCATTAGATGCTACTGGACAGCTGCAGATTATCGCAATGGACGGCGCCATCTGGAGGTTACACCTTGACGGTGAAGAAACCTATCAGCCGGAACGCCGTGCTTTCATGGTCTTCGTAGGCGCTCTGGTGCACTATACTTCTGCTGCCTTTGGATGCTACGTGGATACATATCGTTATAGGGCAATGCTTGTGGAGGAGCACGAAGCTGGAAAGTTTCATCGGACGTCCTATTTCGCTTTGGGCGAAGCATACATGTCCTACATTGAACGCTGCAAATCGTATACATTCTGCCTTGGAGGTCCCTTTGACGAATAGTACCATTCTCCTCGAAACCCTCTGTTATTGGGCAAGGCAACTTAAGTCAACTCGTACGCGTGCATTCTAGCACAATTTTTTATACCAAACAGTGTATGTACATCTATAAACAATTCAAAGTAGCAAAAAATGCATGCATTCTACTCTTCCGAGATCCTTTCGAAGAACTGTCTAAGGGTATCTGACAGTACTTCAGGCAGCGCCTCGACGCTTCGTAACACCACGTAGTAATCGAACGGGAAAGAATCCAGGTACCTCTCCATCTGAAGCTCCATCCGCCCGTTAACCATCGTGTAGGCGACTTGATTCATCGAGACGATCGAGTTTTGTACAGCAGAAGGGTCTTGAGTTTGCCCCTGCCCAGAAGTGGAGGTCGAGTGCAATGAGTCGATGATGATGAACACAATCATGACGCGCTGACTTGCTGCCTTTCTGAGTACCTGCCGCAAACGCTCGTGGTCTTGACAGATACCGTCCGAAATGATGATCTCGAGCTGCCACAGTTCACCTGCGCTTGCCGACCCGGTGGCCCTCCTCTCTCTCGCACTCTCTAGCACCCCGAGGCTCGTGTCCACCAGGTCCAAAACATTCGTCGCACGCTGCTCAAATCTGAAGGCCCCGAGCGTCTTTGCGCCAGCAGCATCCGTGAATGGTCCCTCATCAAAGCCATGAAGTAACTCCATGCCTTCGCCGAACCTAGCAATTGCGATATCGCCGACTTCAAGTTTCCCCATAGCGTTGCTCACGAGAGCAAGTGTTTGGTAAGCGAGATGGACGCTACGGGAGCTTGCCATGCTGCGGCTGTCGTCGAGTGCAAGAAGGACCTGGTACTCGCGCTGGCTGGGGCGCGTGCGTCGAAGCCAGATCTTGTCTTTGGTGTAATCAGAAGCGATGTAGGGGATAATCTTCTTCATGTTGAGCCTTTTGCCTGTGCGGTAGTCACCTTTCAGACGCGTGGCCAGGGTGGGTGCAAGGATAAGTCGCAGTTGTTCGCAAAGAGCGTACGAGAGGTCGTGTGTGAGGGATGTGTAGAGACGCCAAAGAGACTCAGCGGCTTCGCAGGTATAGCCTGAATCCTGCCAGGTCCGGAGGGCCGCCTCTATGTTTTCAAAGGAGCTGTCTGAACTGGACTGTTCCATGTCTTCATCGACATCCACTTGTGCAGACGAATGATCACGGCGTGAGGAATCATGTTCGAAGTCTGCACCAGAGCGGGTATCCACCTGAGATATAGCGCCTTCGACGTCTGGACGTGCACCCTCAGTCGCTGGCTCTGTATGCAATGACGCCAATGGCTGTGGTGGTACGAGTTCATCTGGGTGGGGAGTATCGATGTCCATAGGTAGCGCAACTGCCTCTGTCTGCTCATCAACAAGCCTTAGCTCACTGAGCCTCGCGACCTGCTCCTCGTCTGCCGCACCCAGAGCCTGCATCTCGTCGTCCGCATCAGCATACTCCACCTGCTCAGCCGCGTTGTCTGCGACAGCTGGAGAAGACTCTCCACCGCTCAAGATCTCTTCGAAGCGCTGTTGTACCTCTTTGAGTGCATCACCGAGGTTGCGGATAGGGTTTGTAGCGAGTTCGGTGTGGTGGCGGGCAGATGCACCGTCATGCTGCGTGCCCTCCGCTGATGTACCTGGTTTCGGGGCAGTGTCGGTAGAAGACCATGGCTTCTGGGATTCAGCATCATCTCTTGGCCTGGTCACAAATCAGACACAGGTTACTGCATGGATAAATAGACGTACCTGGATTCTTCAGAGGTCTCGTTCGTGCTCTGTTCCGCTGCTGCGGCGTCGTCCTTCATTTCACCAGAAGCATCACCTGCTTGCCCTTTTTGCGCACTATCACTATCACTGGCCTGTGGCTCGTTGTCCTTGTTCCCAGCGTCTCCACTCCCAGGAGAAACATCTGGCTGAGCAACAGCGCCTTCCTCGACGTCTTCCTCTGCATCCTCTGCATCCTCTGCAGCATGAGGAGGCTGATCCGATGGCTGGTTTTCTGGCGATTGGGGTTCTGGTCCATCCTCTTGGGGCTCGTCATGTCCGAGTTGGTCGATTTCCTCCATTTCATCGGCGAGTTGTTCATCTTCGTCCAGCTCCTTGTCCATCTCATCCCCCATATCGAGTCCTCCTTGATCCTCCCTTTCGTCGGGTTCCAGATTCATGTCGTCGGGCAGATCCAGGGTATTGGCATCTGGAATATACTCGTCCATAGGCGCGCCGTTGGCATTTGGGGCCTCCAAGTCTTCTTCGCCCTCATGTTCATCACCTTCTTCTTGGACCTCCTCACTTTTCTCATCCATCGTGCCACCTTTTTTGTCCTCTTTCTCCTTCCCACTTTCTTTCTTTGATTGGTTGCGCTCCTTGGCTACGACCTCTGACTCCTTCTCCTGCATTTCCGAGCGATCTTGAGGCACCTGGTCCTGATCCGCAGAATCTGAATCTGCCGATTCGTCGCCCCACAGTTTTTCATCGACTGCGTTTGGATCGCCCGCATCAAGTTTCCCCAGCTGCTCGTCCGGTCCCTCCTGCTCGTCATCATCCTCTTCCTGATCTCCGTCCTGATCCCCGTCGTCGGGTACATCTTCCATACTCCCACCTATATCCTCGCTCATCTCAATGGTGTTATCATCGGCGCCGTGCTCCTGCTCATCTGGTGCTTCACCTTCGTCCCCTTTCAGGCCTTCAACCTGACTTTCATCTTCAATCTCCTTGCTCACGTTCTCCGTTCCCATTCCCTCGCCTAGGCCCACTCCTCCGGCAGTTTCGGTACCACCTTCGCCGTCACCAGAATCAGTCGTCTCTTGGGGTAAACAAAAGCCTTGCTTAGCGATGGTATGCATGACAGAGCAAACGACGAAGTCAAGCTTGAAGAGGGCCTTCGTCCATTGACTGTGCGCTGTGAGGTGTTCACCTACGAAAGCGATGTAGCACTGGAGGAAGGGGAGAAGGCGCCGAAGGCTTCCTTGGATGTCAGACTGTGGAAGGGAGGAAAGATGTGCCGTCATGACACTCAGCCGTTCCGACAGCACCTTAAGGTCCAAGGACTGAGTGAAGCCTGAAACTGTACGCGAGTCCTCGCGGATGAAGTTATCCTGGGTTTCATCATCAGCATGCTCGTCGGCAGACCCTTCCGAACACCTTTTCAAGAGGGACTGCACTGTAACCAAAAGCGTCTCGATAACAACGTCCGCACCCAATGGCTCTACAGCTTGGGGTGTTGCATCTGCATCTGTAGAAACGTATTGATCACGCAGCCAGTGCTGTATAGGAGACAAGATGTAGCTGAGTCGTGATTCCGTCGCTTTCATATTTTGGAGGTATTCAGGGATAGCACGGAAATGTTCATCAGCTTCTTTAACAGTGGCGTGTTCGGCTATTGCGGAAGAATCAGCGTGTGACGGTGTCTATGAGGAAACTACACACTATCGGATAGCACCGTAGGCATCGTGTACTGGCTTCCCCGGAAAACCTCCAAAACACAGTCACGAAGAAATCGTGTCTTATCACAAACTGATTGGACTTCAACCATAACTGAGGTTGCGGCGCCCTGGTCCTCCTGAATCTCGATGAAGAGGCGAATTCCTTGAAGAAGTTCTTCGAAAGCATGCACAGCGTAGCTGAGTGCGCTACATAGATGCGTCAGATGAGTGGGCGAACATCCTTTGACAAGTAGAGGTGCTTCGACAAGCTTTTGGAGGCGCTCCGCGCACCGTTTGATGTCAATGAAACACTGGACAGCTGTTGAAAGCCTGGAGACTCGCGGTGAGAAAGGATGTCATTAGAAATTTGACCACTTACGAAGACCTCGCCTTAAGAGCTAACGAATAACCAGACTCTACAAAGGTAATACCTCGAAGAAGGTCGCGTGTGCTTATGTCCGAGTGGTGATCGGACAGCAAGACTCTGACTGCTGGAAGAGCACCACGAAGGCGGTCAAAGTAATACTCCCCCTTTTCGACAGGTATTGAACTTTCTGGAGTCATCCCCGGTTGCTCTCGTATCCAGCATTCATCTCTGAGCTCGGCGAGCACTTCTGGTTTGACATTGGCAGCGAGACCAGCACGTTTGAGCTCCTTCAAGAGATCACTCAAAGCCTTCCTCTTGCGAACCAGTAGACCCTTCGCGTATTTTTCTCGCTTCTCCTTGGAAAGACCTGGGGGCACACCTTCTGCTGCTAGGTCTCGTGCGGTCACGATGATTTCGACCGCAAGTTGGTCAACATGATGAGGAAGACGGTGGCGCAGGAAAACCCGAATGCGATTGTTCATCAGTCCATGGAATCTCGCGAGTGTCTGGTTTAAATTGGCCAGGTGAGAAGGAGTGAAAGACTGGGATGTGTTAGGCTGTAGAGAGTCGCCGCGCTCCGGAGTGCGTACTACAAGGACCAGATCTCCCGAGTAACCCAATGCATCTATTGACTGGGTACATTCTGCATCATCAGCGAATGTCGGCAACATGCGCTCAGCGATGGGCTGACGCAAAATCTCACGGAATTTGCGGATCAGCTTGTAGAGTTGATGATGCGTTCGTTGAGCACTTTGCTTCAGGGCTTGAACATTGATGTCTTTCCAGCTAGCGAGCTTTATGAATGCCTGAACATCTTTCTCGAGTCCTCCTCTTTGGTTTGCAAGAGAGCCGGCTAGCTGGGCTGCGAACAATCGATAGTATCTCCAAGTGGACGTCAAGATAAGTCCGACGCGTCGGAGGGCATTGCACTGCCATCCGTCCGATGTAGACGCGATATGACGGACGATGACCCCAAAAGTCTTGAGGAGATCCAACCTAACCTGGAATTGACCTAGAGCGCTGGAACGCAAGAAGTCGTCTAGGAGCGATGGCAGTTGCCTGAGGTATTGTTGGAGAGCTCCACTACCAGCTCCTTCGTCCTCATTAGCTGCAGTAAGCGTGCCGCGCACTGTGAGGTCATACAGCCGGAACCAAAATTCCGAAACTCCTTTGACGAACGAGTCGAACTGAGATTGCAACAACACTTTCCAGCAGGACAGTTCCAAGCGTCTCCATTCTACGACGAGCGTTGTCAATGCTTGCTGATGTGTCCTGAGGCTATTTCCACGGTGTGCGTACATCTCCCAGTCCTCTGTCTGCAGTATAATTTGCTCCAGGGCGGACAACAATTTAGCAACGGGGCTGTTTGCATCCAGGGCCAAGTATGCATCGCAGCGGTCTTTCAGGTGTTGTAAAACCATCTGATCCGGCCAGTCTTCAACAAGCGCGATCAACCGCCTTTTGAGGGAGTCCACCGCTGCGAGGGCCTTTTTCGCTTCCATAATGTTCGCATCAGTGTAGAAGTTGAACGCCTGGTTAGTAGGGTGCTCCTGAGACGTGAGCGCGAGGAGATGGTGGTGAACCAAAGAAAACTGTTCGTGCAAAGAATCATCGTCAAGGGTATCTGGAAGGGTGGGGTATCGACTGTCGAGGAGCATCTTCAAAACCGACTGACGAGATGATTTGAACATCCTATCGGGACCTTCGACACTGATGCCGATGCTAGCAACTCCGGTGAGTTCGAAGTGCATCCCCAGCAACGCTTCGGCTGCAGAGACACCGAAGAACTCAGAGTGCTTCTCGTGAATCCTGTTGGGCACACCGTCAGGACTAGCGAGTGCGTCCTCAAATGTCGGGAATAGCTCCAAAAACTCTTTCTGCTCCGCTTCGACTTCCGTGGAGGCATTGTGATCCAGGGCACTACGTTTGTATAGCGAGGAGCCATCGTGTTCCTTCTCATCTTGGCGGGTGCGGTCCATAGTCCAAAGCCTGAATGCCTGTTCATATGCTGCATGGACAGCAGTAGCATGGGGAGCAAGGCCCGACATGGCAGCTTGAAGGACTATGGCTGAAACATGGAGGAGGACCTGGTCAGAGGGAGATGCTCCAGATGCAGCTCCTTGTTCAAGTTGCGTCTGCAGCAACTGCGCGCTGTGAATAGATGGATATGCCACCAGGGAAGCAGCAATCATGTTCTGTTGAGTGTGCTGAGCGTAGGACATTTGCTGTGTAGAACAGCGAACGAGTCGAATTCCGAGACGGAGGAGGAGGAGCGCCAGGAGGATAATCTTTGCAATATCTTCATAGTCATGGTAAAGATTGTCTATCCGTTGACAAAAACCAGATATTGATTCCTGCATCACGGATTCGCGTGTAAAAGCAGAGGGATCACCGGTTTCAAGAAGGGCAATCAGGCCATCGACCTTGCTAGGTTGAATGACTTGGCTTTGAAGCTGCGAAACCTCGGACCAAAAAGCGTGAATGCGATTACCATCAGGACGTCGGGGAAGGTTTGAGGAACCCTGGGGCAGATTTTTGCTTTCTCCTTCGGATAAAACATCGAGATACTGTATAACGCTGTTGGACAGGTTACCAGCGGTTCGATGCTCCCACACTCTATGCAGAGACGACTGCTTCGACAAAAATTCACTTTCTTCCTGCGAATACTCCGCTAAACGATGGATCACGGCTGCAGGGTCTACCGGAAGATCAGGAATCGAGAGGTTAAGGATCGCTCTGCTGAGGGAAACGTAGCAATGTCCCAAGCGAGCCACCTTCATGTCTCGAGGCTGGTGGTGCGCTGCGAACTGTGTAACGGTGGGGCGCATAAACAATTGGATAGCTGCTCGGAAAGGCTCATGCTTGGAATTTTCGAGGAGAGACAACATTGTCAAGGGGAAGGCGCTGCTATTGACGGAAGATCCCAGCACTGCTTGCCAGCTGATATCATCAAAGGATGAAGCAAAGCAAGATGCAATCTGACAACTCATTAGAGGAGAATTACAATGGTGACCGCCGCTTCACTCACAGATAACATGCATTGGTACATGAATGCTGACAACTGTTGTACCCGCGATTCGTGAACAACAGTTTGCATAGAGAGCAGTTGTAGGTGACGGCGAATGGATGCTTCGTGTTCTTCGAGGGACGATAGTGAAACATTCCGCGCTTGGCTACGTGGCGGATGAGCACACGATGAAAAGAAAAGCAAAGTTATTATACTTCAGTTCTGTGGAGACTCGAAGCAGAGTTGGGGAAAGGAGGACGTCTGGCCCATCAAGTATTTCCTATGCAGGATCTCGTAAGCTAAAGAAAAACACAGATGCCATGGTATAGTCACTCACGGCCTGGGTAAAGCGTGAATGCCAGAGACTTGCGAGCCACCGGGTTTGCAAAGCAGTCAATAGGTGCGTAGGAACTAATCGAAAACTCAGTTGCGTGTGAGGGACATAGTGGTGACCTTACCTTTCTCTCCCGCGTCATGTGCCCATATGAAATGCTGATATGATGCAAAGCGTGCCAAATCCTCGCGTGGCTCCTCGCATGCCACGTCAATCAAGCGTTTCATGGCAGACGGAACGGACTATAACATGCTATTATGGATATCCTGCAAAGGCGACACAAAACCGTAACTCACCGATGATGACGATGACGATGTTGATGCCTCGCGAATGTTACACAACCAGGGCAATTCGCAGATAAGGAGAGATGGGTCGACATATCGTTTGAAAGAAACACCGCCCCCATCAAAGTTCAAGGTAATCTAAGATTTTCACTTCAGCAGTGTGCGCTAGAACAATGATCAGACTGAACCTTTTTCACCGTGTGTGCCAATCCCGTCTCTAAGCTAGTAGATACTGTACTCATGCACGGAAGGGTACTAAGGGATAAGACTTCTAGAATTTGCCTGCGGCGAGCTATTGGAGATTGATAAGAATATGCTGAGCGCGAATATAAATTCCATACTGTGCTGATTCAAGCCTTCATATGGTTTCCCAGCGGCGTACTCGAGACTTCTAATTTCTGGAACTGAGACTTCGATAGCCTTTGGTGCGAACAAGTGTGTCCACATGTTTGTTAAGCCTAGTCCAGAGGTGGGGGAAACTGCCTCATCTAGCACAGCAGAGATACTTGCGAGACGATCAAAGGCTGGGCTCCGCGATTGCAGTGCGGCGATGATTGACGTAGAGCATGCCTGTATCGACGAATAATCGACATACGTGCCCGCTCCTGCTCGTCGAAGTTGCCTGGATATGCTAAGAAGTTTGAGGGCGCGTTCAAGGTCTACCAGCTGATGGTAGTTCAATACGAAGATGAGGAGCGATGGTCAACTGAAATCTAACCTGAACTTGAGATCTTCCAACGACTTGGTTGAAAATCTCCTCAGCTGCTCTACGCACCTCTCCCAGAAGTTCATGAACAGTATCCAACAGTCGTAAGTATGTCGGTTGTTGCTGACGTGTTGGTAAAGTCATCTTGCTCGCTCCTGTGCCACGCAATTCTTGCGGCATCCCCGCGCGTTCGGTGTCTTCGATGAAAATTGCAGCTATCAGGTTCAAAATTTGAAGGAGCATCAAGTGTGTTGGATGATGACCGTTTTCATGACTGCAGAATTTGCATGGTGGACAGACCATGAAAATATCCATTGGCTATATTTCAATAGACGTATTGAGTACAAGCAAATAGTGCGACGTGCGCTAGATCCAGTGCGGATGTAGCAAACACTAACCAGAACTGTGGTAGCGTCGTTCGTTACTCGGGAAGCGAGGAGATCTTTTCGCCACTCAGCAAACAGTTTGAAAGCTTCCGAAGAAAGGGTATCGTCCAAAATAGACTGTGATAAGCATGGAGGTCTTGCCAGCTTCATGTAGCGCCGCAACGAAAGAGTAACATCCGAAGGGATGGTCCTTAGGGTGAAATGAATCATAGCACGAAGGTCCGGTTTGGTAGGTCGAAGGAACGGTGCCAGAGTGATCAACGAAGACGTGGAAGACTCTTCTTCAATTAACCCAGACGGCCAGGAATCGCTACCTTCTCCGCAGTGACTGCAATAGATTCCTCTACGCACAAGCTCGTGTATTAAGGCGAGAGGATGACCCGTGCCTAAGACCGTTCTAGGAAGCCGATGATGAAGCCGGAGGCGAAGTTCGTCTTCTGAAGAGAAAGATGTGGCCAATGACACTTCGATACCACGATTTCGCATCGCTCGCGACAACTCGCCATATCGAGGATCAGATGTCATAAACAGGCGAAAATTCGGATGTGGTTTGAGCGTTTGTACCGCACCGTTGACATATCCTCTCTCACTGAGAACGAGAACTCCACCAGGCTCACAAAGAGAGTTCAGTCGATCGAGGACGGAAGGATTGCAGAGATTCGCGCCATCCAGAACTACCCAATGGCCTCGCTTGATTGCTCGTACAAGTGGTCCATCGACCCATTCAAATTGGCCACCTGACGTCACCACGGACGATAACTGCCGAACGCGATGCAGTAAGGCCTGCGCTTCATCCGAAGAATCTTCATCACCAGCGAAGGTCGCTAGTACTTGTGCTGCAGAATGGAGGAGGGTGTTGGAGGATGGAGGAGGTGATGAATGCAATCTGAGAAGGAGTGAAAGGCGTGTCTGGTGCTCAGTGGTACAGCTGGACAGGCACCTGGAACAACTTTCTCCAAACGTGATAATGTCTTGAACGAGAGCAAGCACCCGAGTGCGGTGATCCATTTGTTCGAAACCTCCGAGAATGTCCATGGTATCGGTGGAACTGGTGATGGTTATCTCATGAAGGACATTCCCTGAAACATCAGCGACAGTACGGATGAGTTCTGACTTACCGCTGTCGTGTCGTCCCGTAACGATGACTAACCATGACCTGGAGAGGCATGCCCCAATAGCTTCTAGTGCAGCAAGGTGCGCTTGTAGTAGGCACCTAGGTCGGACGCCGAGGGTGTTACTGCTTCGTTTTACGAGGTAGTGCCCGACACGGAAGTGTGACGATGATATGAAAGGATACGGATTATGAAGGATGGTCGGGCTAGACAGAGAAAATATCTGATCGAACAATTGTTGGGCGCAGTCACGATCGGCGAGAGTCCTAAACCTGCTGAGGTAGATGACTCGCAAGAAGTCTCGAGGATGATGCGAAATTGGCGATGATTGCAATAGCTCTCCCCACCGGATGACATCGCGGAGGTTGAATTCCCAAGGACTGCCGTCGCGACCAAAGGTCCTTCTGTGCACAACTTCCTGGTTTAGGCGATTGTTGTATGTTATCATGGCACGTAGCACGTCCTCATCACAACCATTGAAACGTTCTCGGCAGACAAGAAGAAGGTCCTCGGGAGATAGCTCCTCGATATAAACCTTGGTGAACCGATCCAGAAACGACTTCGGAAGACCCTTGCGACCCCCTCCTTGTTGCAATGGATTTTGTGCCGCGAAGACACGGAAGGCGGGGTGCCGAACGAAGGATCTCCCGAGCTCGGGAATGTACACGGTACCGCGGTGGTCCAGTACAGCATTAAGGCCCTCGAGGATGGCTTGGGGTGCAAGATTCATCTCGTCGAGGAGAACCCAATGTCCTTCTTGCATGGCCGTTAAGAACTCGGCATCTTTCCAGGCGAACTCTCCAGGAGAGCCGTTCTCAACAGGAAGATCTGAACCGAAAAGATCCATGAGGTCCGTCTGGTCAGACAAGTTGATCCGACAGAGCTGATATCCCGAAAGCATGGCAAGAGTAGTGATTAAACTGGTTTTTCCGACGCCTGGACTGCCTTCCAGGAGGACCGGCTTGGAGACCTGACATGCCCTGACTACTCGCATTGCGTTATCACGAGCAGTCGGTGCCTGTAGATTGAAATCATGCAATACTGATCCTAACGGACCTCTGGGGATGGCAAAAGACCCAAGTTGCACGAAGTTCGACGCGTTAAAAGCGTACGACGTTTCGGTCTCCGTGAACGGTACGAGCGTCTGTAGCATTTTGATGGCATCATTCCTCAGTTGAGTGAGCGCGTCAGACGAATAAGAAGCTAGCTGTGGCAAGGATCCAAGACCGTCGAGGAAAGTCATGTGGGCTGCATGGTGCTAGGATGCCGTCAATAATCAAATTGTCTGATCACACGACCACTACGTACGAAGATTTCTGCCGGTAACATGGAAGTTTCCGCGCTGCCGGAATACGCAGCATTAGCGAATGTTACCCAAGCCTAGAGAATAATGATGAACACAAATGATCAAAATTGAGGGAAGGAAGACCTACCAATATATCTCGCAAGGAGCAAATAGCAGTGTCGCGAACTCTATCCCGAAGCCAGTTAGTAAACTGCAGAAGCAGATCCGTGAACGGTTTCATGGAGTCGTGCTTCCATGAGTGGTCGACAATCAACCGTAAATCCGCCTGACTGGTGACCGCTGGTACCCAAATCTCCGTGAAACGGTTCCGTAGAGCAGGAGAAAGCTCTTTCTTGCCATAATCACCGCCCGGATTCATGGTAGCGAGCAACTTGAACTCGTTGGAAGCATGAATGGCAGGATAATCGCCGTCAGTACCGCCACGTTCAGCAAGCACAATCGTGCGGCCAGGTTCCAGGACGCTGTTCAAACGTTCTAGAACAGAATCGTCGGCAAGGGAGATCTCGTCGAGAAGGAAAACGTCTCCTCCACGCATTGCGCGGACCAATGGCCCATCATGCCACTCGAACAAGCAGGAAATCCGGTTGAGATTCTCTTGAATATCGCGTAAGGGAGTGAGAAGCGACGGGTCCAAATCTTTGCCTGTCTTGAGGAGCGCATTGATTCGAGACAGCAGTTGTTGCGCATCAGAAGGTAGGTCGTCAATGCCAGCGCGTTCAAGAATGGTGTTAGCGTCACGAATGATATTAGCCTCGGTTGAGGCTCGGTTGCGAACAGGTCGCAAGCCACCGATGAGGTCCGCGGTCTCGGTGTTTTGGTGGCAGCTCAGCGTATACAAATGCTTGGAGATGACCTCCGCATACAGCTGACAGACAGACGTCTTGCCAGAACCTGTCTCTCCCACCAAAAGCACAGGTTCGTTGAATCGTAAAGCACGTGACACTAGGACGAACAGGCGCTGCATCGCACTGGTCCAGACGACCTGCGAGTCTTGCGGTATGGGGCATCCTAAAAAGCTCTGTGCATCCCCTAATGTGGAATGAAGGTCATAGATCGCCCGCTCGTCGATGCGAACCTTCATGATGGACTCTATGACCTCCTTCACCACGAGTTTGTCGTCCTCGCGTCGCGCACGTTCCGCAAGTAGCATGTACCCATTCTCCGCCAACTCTTGATAACCCACTGCATCACGACCAGCCCATCTAAAGAGATCACGAAGAGTAGCAAAACCTTGCTTGCTCTCGAAGACGCGACCTGACTGACGACGTTTCTGCAATTCACGGAACACACTGACGATTTTCTGGCCGTATGAAGGTGCGATGCGGCAACGCTGGCAGAGAATGGTTTCGAGCTCAGCCTGGGGCACATCTTGGAAGTGAACCTCGAGGAAACGGTTTCGGAAGGCACGGGACAAAACCTTCCTCCCTGCATATAGGCCAGGAGGATTCTGCGTTGCGAAGAGCATGAAGTGCGGATGTGGGCGAATGACCTCTTGTGTCTCCGGAACGACAAGTTCCCGATTGTCGTCGAGCAGTCGATTGAGAGCCTCTAATACGTCCGTAGGTGCAAGGTTCAGCTCGTCCAATACGATCCAATGCCCATGACGGAGAGCATGGACAAGGAGGCCATCTTTGAACACGAGCTTGCCGGTGGCAGGATCAGGAACGTATGAGCCGAGATATTCCTGCACGTCAGTGTGCTCATGGTTGTTGATACGGATGAAGCGGTGGCCGGTTCTGCGAGCAAGGTACTCTACTGCACTCGTCTTGCCTGCTGAGGTGGGTCCCTCAATCAGCACGGGAAAGCGTCGAGTCAACACGATTCTTGCGAGATCGACGAGTTTCTTCTCAACCGATGGCGTCATGATATATTCCTCCATGAGATCCTCGGGAAGCGGCCCCTTCTCTAGATGAAATGGTCCAAACTTGATGAATTCCTCTACCGAGTGGCCAGGAGGAAGATTCGGTTCCCTGGCAAGCAATGATCGGGGATTACGGACGCCAGCGAGGATATGCTTTTGTGCAAGGGCGGTCACTGTTTCTGCGCTTCTCCCGTCCAGCACCATAGTGAATGCCATCAGCATCCCCTCCCAAAGTGCACGTCGCAATCCGAACATCCCTGCAATCTCTGCAGCAAAGGTCAGGGCTCTCGCCAGCGTACGCATGCTGTAATGCGGCTTCTTGTTCGAGCCATCTGCGAGCTCTGCACCCTTGACAGAGATGTAGAATTCCGCAACGTCCATCACAGCACCTTTGTCACCAACCGCACTTGCCCCAATATACTGCGAAACAATGCTGAGGAGAGTCTCGCGATCTGCGTCGGGGGGAGGAACATCGATTTCTGTGAAGCGTGCACGGATGGTGGGCGGGAGGTCTTTTTTGCCAACGTCAGTAGCGGGGTTCATGCATGCGAAGAGACGAAAGTCAGGATGTCGTGGGACAGCAGACAGGGAGCCTTGCTCAGTAAGCGTTATTGAGGCTGTTGGACTGCGCAGGAGGCCTGTTATACACTCTAGCGTCTCGGAACTTGCTAGGTTGATCTCGTCAAGGAGGATCCTGGAGCTCGCATGAGAAGGGCAACTATGTATAGCTCAATTGCAACATACCAATCACCAGCGCGTAGAGCCTTCACCAGAGGACCCTCCACGAAATCAAACGTGAATTTGCCTTTCCCTTGTGCGTGTTGCAGATCAAATTCCTCCACATCCTTTTCAAATCGTTCCCAGTCTGCTTCGGAGACCCTCAACTCGGCCTCGACTTTCCTTCGTTTTCTCGGCGCATCTGGGTCGTTCTCCCTAAGAAATGCAGTCAGAAATGGAGCGGATCTTCGCCCCAAGCGTGATTCAACACATACCCTACATCTCCTTCAACCTTGCCTCGAATTCGCTCCCTTGCCATCTTCCCACTCTCCTTCCACATACCAACAGCCCTCTTCCACCGCCCTTCCCTCACAGCTTTCCTCAAACCGTCCTCAAAGCCCGCATTTCGTTTGCGGCTGAACGTTCCCCCGAACAACTCACTCCAATGTTCCATCAACTCGCTCCCCTTGACGCGTGCATCAACAGGACGAAAGCCCCCAAGGAGGTCTGATGCTTCTGTCTGGTGTGAGAGATTCAGCGAAATTAGTGGACGGCGTAGTAATGATGCAAGGTATGTCACTGCACTCGTCTTACCCGTACCGGTCTCGCCAGTAAGTAGAACGGGTTCAGATAGCGCGAGTGCAGTGCTGATGCGGGAGAGTAGCGACAGAGCAGGTTTGTGCAGAGCGAAGGGTCGTGAGGATGCGCCCGTGCTCATACCCTTCACGGGACGGGCGGGAAGACGTGTGCGCCCACAGCGTGCGGCCAGCACATCCCCGTTCACATCTTTCTCGATTTCAAAATCTGATGTGTGCCTCAAAAGCAACCATGCCTGCCGCTCTTCATCCAAATCCAAATGCGCACCGATAACGGAGGAAACCCGCGCAGAGTGTGCACGCGCAGACGCGGTGAGAGTTCCTGCGCCGAAAAAGACATCGCGGGCTTCGAGGAATATTTCTTCACGGAGACTCGGGTTGGGGAAGATGTTTGAGAGTGGTGACCGGGCGTCATTATCCATGTCCACATCCACTGTGTGGCTGGATGGCAGAAGGCGCTCAACCCGCTGGCAGAACTTCTGGAGTTCACGCAGCCCGACAGGGCGCGAAGATGATGTTGAGCCGAGGGCTTGCACATCAGCCCAGAGCCTTATGAAAGCGACAGTAGCTCCCAAAATCCTCGGAAACTTGCTTTCCATGATAGACCTGACCTCTTGCGCGTCTGGTGCGGTCACCATCACTTCGTGCCACTTATGCGAACCAAAGAATGTTGGCGGAGGTACATTTTTCCCGTGCCCGACAGCAAGGGATCGAGTGGCAAACAACGCAAAACCCTCACGAGCCTCGACGCGGCCTTTGCCAGGGACCTCTACACCTGCACGATGTCCGATCCAATTTCCAAGTCCCATACTCTCGACGAGTGGCTTCAGCAGAGCCAAAACTTCCATGCTAGCACGATCAATGTCAGAAAGCACAAGCCAGCGCCCCTCGCGCAGCGCGCGCACGAGTACACCATCCTTCCACTCAAAAGTGCCTAATTGTGTTGGTGAGGAAACGTATGAGCCAAGAAGGGCACGAGGGTCAAGGGAAGTGTCAGCTAGGTGAACGGTCACGATGAGCTCGCTGACTGGTGTAGTCGGGTGTAAGTCGGAAGCAAGGTGGGAGATGAAGAGTGATTTTCCTGAGGAAGGTGGGGAAGATAGGAGGACAGGCAAGCGAAGCGAGACGTGCGCTGTAATCTCACGGAGAGCAGAGATGGCGGAAGGTGTTGCGATGATGTGAGAAGGAGAAGGTAGGGTTGGAGATGACTTGAGCATCAATATGCCGTGGATGTTCGCGATCCAAGGACTAACAGAAGCATTAAGTTTAGGTTTTCAACGCTAAAGCAAGTGACGGACCTCAGGTCTGCCTCCGAAAGAGGCTGTACTACATCCTCTGCGTCGAGAGAATAAAAATCGGGTCCTTTGAGAATTGCATCGCGTGCGTCGTGGATGCGTCTGATCTCCAATGTAGGTACAAGCCAGCCGTCGGTCTCAACAACAGTTCCGTCAATATTCTGGCCATAGTTAATTGGACAATCGACGCCACAAAACTCGCCAAGGACATGGGTGATGAGCTTCTCGCGCTCAATTTCTGCCATACCGACATGCGATGCATAACAGCGGGCAGCTAATAACCGTATACCCGTATCGGGGTGCGGCGGGAAGAGTAACTTGGATAATAGTGACTCGTCCCAAAGAAGACGCTTGGGGAGGAGGCGGTTGGCACGGAGAAGGCGATAGTATGCAAGCAACATGCAGTGCAGGCGAGTGGTGTCAATGTCAGCAACAGAAGCAGCCGCAGCTATGAAAGCAAGCGGCCCCTCGGATAGACATTGTTTTTGTAAGAAAGCGTATAAGCATCTAGAACCAGACATAAGACCAAAAAAATAGATACAGTGATGAAACGCACGGATATAGTTCCTCATGAAACTCAATGAGGAGACAAAAGGCGATGAATCTGTCTTCGATATCGTCATCGTCGTGAAGCCATCTGGCGCATAAGTCAATCAAGAGAGGTCTGAATAAATCAGCGATGGTCAGAGTGAGAGCTGGAATAGCTAGCAGGCAAGATAGTGTGGACAGAGCATGAGCTGGTGTGTTCGCTTCTGTTATTTGTTGGATATGAATGGAACTGGAAGGCAGAAGAGCGAGGAGAGCGCGTTTTTGTTTTGCAAGATTGATACTGAGTGGATCGAATGCGCTTGTCGAGGTCATCATGACCGAATGATTTGGAAAGTAGTTTTTGGCTGTCGCATGCAATCTTTTGGTTAATTCTCGTCGTTGATAACCTCGGCGTGCTTGTGCTCGCCGTTGTGGTCGATCTGGAGCTATCTGAGGAGATTTCATTCATTCTCAAAAAACTGCCGTAGTCACGTGACTTGAGATAAGTTGCGCCTTCCATTTGGGGATGATCGACTTATCAAGTACTCGCGAACAAGGCTTAGCATAATCAATCGCTCATCGCTAACCATGGCGGCATCCAAAACGATTCTTGACATTCGCGGCAAACAACTAAAGCTTGAAACAGCTGCTGACGTTGCCCCCTTCATCGCTGGCGTAGACCCAGCCAAACTCACCTCCATCCATCTTGGAGGCAATTCCATCGGCGTGGAGGCTGCAAAAGAATTTGGTCGATTCCTTGAGACTGCGGACGTGGTTCAAGTGGGTCTTTTTATCTTTGATACCATGTATCATCTCCCACTGATTAGCGTGCAGCTTGCAGACTTTGGAGATATCTTCACGGGACGTACTATCGAGGAGATCCCTGCTGCTATACAAGCACTCCTTGATCCACTCTTACATAAGACCTCCCTTCGAGAGATAAACCTCAATGATAACGCATTCGGAGAGCGTGTTGTGCCATTCCTCACACCCTTCCTCGAAACTAATCATTCCATACGCGTCCTCCGCCTCAATAACAACGGCCTCGGGCCTGCGGGCGGCAAGAAAATCGCCGAAGCAGTCTGCAAGTCTGCACCAACAGACGGCTCACGATCGAATCTTCAGGTTGTCATCTGCGGCCGAAATCGGCTAGAGGATCCAGGAGCAACCGCCTGGGCCAAGGCGTTCGAGGCACACAAGACGCTTGTAGAGGTTCAAATGCCACAGAACGGCATTCGTATGGATGGTGCTGAGGCCCTTGCGCAGGGTCTTGCTGCGTGCTCTGAATTGCAGATTGTCAATTTCCAGGACAATGCATTCATAGATGTGGAGATGGATGAAGAAGGACGGAAAGCTGTTCGTGCATGGGGTGAGGCTGTCAAAACAAGCTGGCCAAAGCTACGCTTGCTAGACCTCTCTGACTGCATGCTCTCGAATGGAGAAGGGGAAGTGCCACCACTCCTGGAGGCTTTCAACGACCCGAATACGAAGAACCTTCAGAATCTCCAGGAGCTACGACTGCAGAACAACAACCTCGATGGCAAAAGTTACGAGGTCCTCGCCCAAGCCGTGACGAAATTGACGAAGCTCAAGCGGCTAGACCTGCAGGACAATGATGATGTGGAGGATAACGAACATCTAGATGACATCGCCGAACATCTGAAAGCACACGGCGGCAAGCTCATCCTTACAGAAGAAGACGAGGAGGAGGAGGAGGAGGAGGAGGAGGAGGAAGAAGAAGAAAAGGTCGAAGAGCCATCAGAGGAGGCCGAGGCTGAGGAAGTTCCTGCACCACCGGCAGCGGAGGGGAAACCAGCCTTCGAAATGATTGCAGACGCACTCGCCAATCTCATGAGCAAAGTACATGTCGGCTGAAACTCAAATACCAACGGAAGGGAAGTGTTTATAGAATTCTTGCTGTACTACAACTCCTGAGGATCGCAAGTCACCTTGTATACCAATTTCTATAGTATAATAGCAACGGATAAGTATTTGACTTTACGTAGTCCCTTTACACCTTCTTTCGGTGCAGGAGCTTGGGTAGTAAACACATCGCAGCTACTAGTACTAAGTATGGCATATGCGAAGCATCTGCAAGTGCAATAATTATTCGCGTACACAGGACCGATCACATACTTAAATAATTAGCATTACACTAATAGTGTCGCTTGTTGTCGTCCGCAGAAGGGGGGTTGCCAGTGCACGCCTGGCGTCAGTTGACATGGCTGAACGTCATGTAATCTGACTTGTTCCGTGCTCACTCGCCCTCAAAGCTGACTTGGGTGAACCGCAATGTGATGTATTCCAGTGTCCGATATTGATACACAGCAAATTATTTGCTAGTTACAGTAAACAGTACACGCCTGAAACTATTTACGGGGAAAGTATAAATCGCATAATGTACATATATAGTCCTGGAAACAAAAGAATTCTAGGTCAGAAAACGTGCGGGGAACCGTCATCAGTTGGTGACAGCATTAGTGTATGCCGTAGTCGCAACACCAAGCTGCTGCTTTCCGGTGTCATAAACGGTGTAAAAGCGCTGCAGCCAGCCAAATCCATCTGAAACACACAAATTTTGTAAGAACAAGCCGCCAGTACGATGGGATGAGACGTACTTATGAAGTCCAGCCCGCTCCCGAATGAAGAACCGAGGTCAGATACAATGAGATAAATTTGGCCATTGCTTCCTCCGAGGGTGCTGTTCAGAGCACGCGGCCAAATCTGAGCGTTAGGGGTAAACTCGTAGGTGACCTGTTCCGACAGATCAATATCAATTAAAGGTTCATCGTACGAGAGCACTGCTTACACCACCGATCTTGAAGTACAAGCTTTGGAGATTGCTATATTGTTGTGGCGTGATAGTCAGAAGACCAGTGGTCCTAATTTGCACATAAGAACAGAAACTATAGGTTCGTTGAGTTTGACTTACGAGTCTTGAGTGGCACCAGTTGCGCTTTGATAGGCCTGGAAGGCCTCTGAGCACTTGGGTGAGTGTCAAATATCACAGTGGATGCGTGTGCATACCAGTGGCAAGGAGGAGAAGGGTAGTGCCAGTGTCGACAATGCCGGAAGTCGTGTTCAAGATTGTGTTGCTAGTGCCGTACGATACCGATTGGTCGATACCCCAATACTGGATGATCGTCAGTGTTAGAAAACAGTACATGTCCCGTTGCAGCGCGATTTACCTTCGAGGCGGGAGAGGTGGTGGTAAGCGGAACAGAGTTGATTGAGCCAGTGTACCTGGCATAACATGTCAGACAAGTTGGAATCAGAAAGAATATGTATTCTAACTTGGTGTTATCAGTCCCACCGAACGAGATCTCTCCATTCGCTACGTTAGAAGTGGAGGACGGCTCGTAGAAGACGCCGAGTAAATCAGAAGGGATTGTCCCTTGAGCATATAAGTTGTCGGTAACCGTAGGCACATCCGACGTGTTAGACACAGTTCCTTGTGTAAGGTCTACGGGACCGACACTGCAAAGACATCAGTACTGTATATTGTTGCTTCTCAGACCAAAACCTACCCCAATATACCATCGACATCCTGGAACCCTTGCGCGGATGAAGCTACACCAACGCCTTGATTCTGGATAACCAACTTTGATCCCAAGGTCACGGTATCGGTGTCTGATCGACATTTAATCGGTGCGATTGTAGCTGAAAGAAGTAATCCTTACATTGCTTTCCGGACATAGTCCCCGAACCATAACTGACGTTCTAAGTCCCAGACCCGTTTGTCAAGAGTAGGGGAAGACTAGAATCAGTTAGCTCACTATGGTGTTACCAGTGTCGACACTGGAGCTTGAGGGATTGTATGGCGTGTTCGCACCAACCCACGTATTCGAGCTACCTGATATTGTTGACATAGAAGTAAGTGTCATGATCACGTCACCAGTATTTTACAGTATTTCACTGACCAGTGTCGATCAACAATGTATACTGGGTCGCTGGGTTTCCGACACCAACTTGCATTGTGTAAGTGACACCTGAATCAGTGACATCGATGGAGTTGGCACTGGCACTGCTGCTGCCTCCTGTACCAGAAGGAACTGTAGTGGAAGGAGCAGTGGCGGGAGCGGTGGCGGGAACGGTGGCGGTACCCTTATGGTGGTGACCGTGACGTTGTCTGAATTCCCCAACGGTAGCTGAGGGGCCATGGTGGGACTTGCCAGCCAGGAACTTCTGTGCGCGAGCGCGGTCGCGCTCAAGAAGCTCCTTGGCACCACCTTTGGCTGCGCGCAGCTGAGTCGCAAAGGGGATGGCGCGGATAACGATGTGAGACATAATTCGAGTGCTTTCAGGTGATGAATTCAAAGTGATGAACCATTGCGTTGAGCGATACTGTTTATATAGGAGTGGAGATTGGCACTAGATGCTAAGATAGGCTTCTTGTCGTCACTAATAGCCGGAGGGTGTAATGCACAGCAGAAAGAACCCTTTCAAGAGGAGAGCATCCCAGAAATACCCTTGTCCAGGTCATCATAGTACCCACCGTGCCCAAAGGAGCTACAATGACAACAACGCGAGAAAAGTTGGAATGAGTGCAGGCACCAACGCGGGGCATCCCAGATCCGAGGGAAGACCAAAGATGATACGCAGAAGTGTAAAAAATCCGAGGAGTGGGAAGCTATTGATAAATCATCAAAGCCCCAATCGCAGCGTCGCTCCCTGTACCATGTCATCTGTCAATGTCATTAAAGAGCCACTAGCGAGATACCATGCTTGCCTGCAAACGAACAGGCACTTGCAGAAGAATCATCCTGTGAGGGGGAAATGGTACTACCATACTTCCAGCACTTTTAGTGACCTAGTGCTCGCATAACCATCTCTGATAGTAGCCTGCGTATCATGTAACGTTAATGGTCCGAGCAAGACAGACAGAAGCTTGCCAATCCGAACCCGCTACAACGGCAATCTCTCATGGGATCATTCGGCTGAGAGCAGATTTTCACAGTCACGAGTCGTCTTGGTGGGAAGGCATGTGCACGCCCGAGTACGCTACCTGCCGCAGAGCAAAGTTTGCGGCCGATCGAGATCTGACATGGATCCGGCATTGGGAACATTGCTAATAAGTAAGTTTTTTTATATAACATCTCACAATCACAGCCTTTCGGCGATAGCTGGACTCCGTCCCGGCCATAGTCTAACTTTTGACTCTAATCTGGCCACCCATATGATCAACTTAATGTATATAGTCTGACCACTAGGGAAGACTAAAGTCCACTGCATTAAGTGCGCGTTCTCTGGACAGAGTTCGAAAGCAAATTATAAAACTATAGTACATACTGATACATAGTATGCCGAACACAACTATTTGTAGTAAATGCATCAGAACTTTTGTCCGACAGACTGCGCTCGAGCACTTGAGTCCGATTGGGTAGATAATGAAGTATGTTTGGGCCCACCAAAACACCTGGAGCCAGGAACTTAAACGTATTGTCTTCTAAGCTGTGTGAACCGCAGTGTAATGTATCCCTTTCTCCGGTATCGATAAAAAAAAGTTATTTACTAGCCACAACGAACAGTATATTAATACGCCTGATTCGAAACTATTTGCGAGCAAAGTGTAAATCGGGTGAGTAGCATAATGTACACATGCAGTCCTCGAAACAAAAGAAGTCGACTCGTCAAAAAACGGTGTGAACCGTCATTAGTTGGTATCAGCATCGGTGTATGCCGTAGTCGCAATACCAAGCTGCTTCTTTCCGGTGTCATAAACGGTGTAAAAGCGCTGAAGCCAGCCAAATCCGTCTGGAATGCACGAAGTTCGTAAGACCCGGCCGCCAGTAAGTAGGATGGTATGGGACTTACTTATGAAGTCCAGCCCGCTCCCGAATGAGGAACCGAGGTCAGATACAATGAGATAAATTTGACCGTCATTTCCTCCCAGGATACTGTTCAGAGCACGCGGCCAAATCTGAGCGTTAGGGGTGAACTCGTAGGTGACCTGTTCCGACAGATCCGTTGCAATCAATCTCAGAGGTTCATGGCACGAGAGCATTACTTACACCACCGATGTTGAAGTACAAGCTTTGAAGATTGTTGTATTGTTGTGGTGTGATGGTCAGAAGACCAGTGGTCCTGATTCGCATATAAGAACAAAAATTATAGGTTCGTTGAGTTTGACTCACGAGTCTTGAGTGGCACCAGTTGCGCTTTGATAGGCCTGGAAGGCCTCTGAGCACTTGGGTGAGTGTCAAATATCACAGTGGATGCGTGTGCATACCAGTGGCAAGGAGGAGAAGGGTAGTGCCAGTGTCGACAATGCCGGAAGTCGTGTTCAAGATTGTGTTGCTAGTGCCGTACGATACCGATTGGTCGATACCCCAATACTGGATGATCGTCAGTGTTAGAAAACAATACATGTCTCGTTGCAGCGCGATTTACATTTGAGGCGGGAGAGGTGGTGGTAAGCGGAACAGAGTTGATTGAGCCAGTGTACCTAGCACAGGATGTCACACAATGTCAGAATAAAAAGGAATGTGGCTTCTGACTTGGTAGTATCAGTCCCACCGAACGTGATCTCTCCATTCGCTACGTTAGCAGTAGAGGACGGCGCGTAGAAGACGCCGAGTAAATCAGAAGGGATTGTCCCTTGAGCGTATAAGTTGTCGGTAACCGTAGGCACCTCTGACGTGTTAGACACGGTTCCTTGTGTAAGGTCTACGGGACCGACACTGCAAAAGAGATCAGTGCTACATATTATTGCTTCTCCAAAACCTACCCCAATATACCATCGACGCCCTGGAACCCTTCCGCTAAGAACGCCACACCAATGCCTTGATTCTGGATGTCCAAATTCGGTCCCAAGGTCACGGCGTCGGTGTCTGATCGATATTTAATAGGTGCGATTGTAGCTGAAAGAAGCAGGCCTTACATTGCTTCCCGAACATATACCCCGAACCATAACTAACATTCTAAATTACAGACCAGTATGTCGATATCAGGAGAAGACTGAGAGCAGTAAGCTCACTATGATGTTACCAGTGTCGTGGCTAGAGCTTGTGGGACTGTATGGCGTGTTTGCCCCAACCCACGTATTCGAGCTACCTGAACTCGTTGACATATAAATAAGTGTCAATTATAATCATATCACCAGCATTCCACTGACCAGTGTCGATCAACAATGTGTACTGGGTCGCTGGGTTTCCGACACCAACTTGCATGGTGTAAGTGACGCCCGAATCAGTGACATCAATGGAGTCGGCGCTGGTGCTGCGTTCTGTGCCGGATGGGACTATGGTGGAGGGAACGATGGCGGTGCCCTTATAGTGGTGACCGTGACGTTGTTTGTATTCCCTAATAGTAGCTGAGGGGCCATGATGGGAATTTCCAGCCAGGAACTTCTGTGCGCGAGCGCGGTCGCGCTCAAGAAGTTCCTTGGCACCACCTTTAGCTGCGCGCAGCTGAGTCGCAAAGGGGATTGCGCGGATAACGACGCGAGACATAGTTCGAGTGGTTTCGGGAAGTTCGAGAATTCAAAGTGAAGAACCATTGCGCTGAGCGACACTGTTTATATAGGGCTAAGATATTGGCATTAGGTGCTAAGACAGGCTTCTTATCGTCACCAGAAGCGCTAGAACGCACAGTGGAAAGAAGAACCTTTCAAGAGGAGAGCGTCCCAGAAATAACGTTGTTCAGGTCATCAGAGTATCCATCGTGCCACAACGAGCCACAACGACGACAAGACGAGAACAACCGTCATTACAATGAGTGCAAGCACGAATGCAGGGCACTCCAGATTCGATAGACTCGACTGCAAAGGTGTAATGCAGTGCGCAGAAGTGTGGGATCCGAGGAGTGGAAACCTATTGATAATTCATCACATCAACAATCGTCCCCTGTATCATGGCACCTGTCACGAAAGAGCTGGCACTGGCAAGATGCTATGCCATATTGCCTGCCCGCAGACGAAGTGACTCGGTGACCATGAGCCTGGGAAATGGTAAAAGCGGTTTCGCGGTTTCGATGACCCGGAGGCTGCCAGGGGAGCTTTGCATAACCGTTTCTGATAGCTTTCGCATCACGCCAGTACTAGTGTAGCGTTGGATGTCTGAAGACCATGAGCAAGACAGATTAGGTTGCCAATCCGAGTTAGTAGTACAACAGCAATCGATTCCTCATTCGGTTAATGCCGAGAGCGGCCCGGCGGTTTTCAGTCGTACATAACTTATGAGACTTCCCTGGGAAGCCTTTCTTGGCCTACAGAGCTAAGTATGGAGTTTGAATTGATATACTTATCAGTAGAGCTCATCGGTACACGTCTTACTCCGCGCTCATTTATATTTCAAGAATCACATAGAAATGCTAGACGGCGTCACAGCTGTAGTCTATAGCTTGGGGGTAACTTTGTTCTTATTGCCTTGACGGCGATTGAGGTCCATAGACAAAGTAAGAGCCATTTGATCAACAACTGCAATGCAGTACTGCTTGTCCCTCCAACCAGCTTCTAAATTCCCCTGGCCAATTGCAGAGGGGGCGGTCCAAACTTCGACATGAGCATTGTGTCTTCCATGCGGATCGGTCAAGAAGCGTGATTCGCAGTATAACCCGACCGTTCGAGAAGCATAATCCTGCGATGAGGGAATACGAGCCTTGAATTCGACGGTCATGGTCACGGTCGGGAACCAACTAAGGAAGTGAGTTAACACTACACAAGTACAGTGAAGAACCGAACAAACCAGTCTGATGTTCCTCGACTAGCTGGCTCTGAATCAGGTAAAAGGACAGGGAGGTTGTGGAAAGTGTCCCCGAAAAATGGGATAGACGAAGGCTTGATTTCGTCGTCTGTTCTGGTTAGCTCACACCATGCACCCCATTCAACGCCACCTCCACCTATGATCTCAGTATCAGCTCGGGGCTGGCTGTGCATGACATTGCGCGCCAGGATTGTGCGGTCCATGGACCAACTCAGAAGTGAGTGGAAGTTCCAGATACGCCTCATCCTATCTCGGACGGCCGCAGAAGGATGGTCGAGGAGGGGTAGACGCCGAGCATAGGGGGATGGTGGCGCCAGACTGCGAGAAATTCCACCCGGCACGGGAGTGAGATCACCAAAAATAAGGTGGGATGTCAACTTGGTGTACCCCTGCGTACATGGTCAACCACACGGCAATCGCAGAGTGCAAACCTGTTACTCACCCCCTGAGCAAGGTCCGCTGTAAGATTGGTGAAGTTCTTCCCTATCTTCTGGACACTGAGGCGCACTTCCGCAGGCCCAACATTTGTCGCACGAAGAAAATGAGCGGTTACGTGGATGGGATCTTTATGTACTGTCTCCGACTGAAATTGAGTGCAAGCCTCCACAATCTGTCCCAATGCATAACCTGGCGGGATGCGTTATTGCCATGAAACGACCTTCAGAAGGGCATACACACATACCTCCTTGAGGAATTCTGAACGGTGGTTGTGGCTCGCCTTCGCAATGAGCACACAGCTAGATATAACCAAAAACTCACGACCCAATTGTCCAGCTACCGTGTAGCTCCGTGGCGTATGTAGCGCTTCCACTGCCGCATCGCGAGGTTTGCGAAACATCTAAAGCTCGCGTTAGCGTGACCATATAGTCTCAACGACTTGGAAAGTGGGTGAACGATACTACGAAGGTCTTCCCTCGCTAGACCTAAAGGAGGAAGAAAGGATGTTCAAGTTCTCACAGTGTACACAGATCTGGCGTAGGTGCCGGTGAACGTCAACGACAACGAGTAGTCATCGGTCGATTGCCAATTCATTGACAAAATTAATTAATATATCGTGATAAATTCCGTCGAGCTCTACTACTCGAGCTTCAAGTTAGCCTATGATATCTGCAAACATTGCTGGATCCGACATGCCCTTGCCTGACAGGGAGTTCGAAAGAGGTCAGCAGCAAAGCTCGTCTATCTTAATATTGATTCAGATTTGACAGCGTAGCCGTCCTATAACTTCTACCGCCACGTCATGCTACAATCCAGGGTTCTTCGGGAGTTCAACAATTTGATCGAATCCAGGATACTCGGGAAGATTCAACTTGAATTTCTCCTGCAATGCCCTGACAGCAAGTATGAATATTATTCTACTGATTGAACTCATCAACACTTACTTTGGCACAAAACGTCCTCCAAGGAAATGCCTTCCCATGAAGTATTTCACGCCCACTTTTGGTGCTGTCAAGCTGACCAGGAGGTCGGGATTCAGCCCAACGCCTTGTGCATTTCCACGTTCAACGTCCCACCCACTTGGGATATCTACCGAAACAATCGGGAGCCCGGATGCAGATATGAGTTTCAGAGCATCGTCGAACGGTGCCCGTACCGGTGGTTTAAACGAAAACCCGAAAATGGCATCCAGAATAACATTCGAGGACTGGAGAACGCGAGGCAACTCCTCGGCGGATGCTGAAGGTGAAATGATAGGGATGCCCATATTGATGCATTGTTTTTGCAGGCGCTATCGGTTCCGTTAAGATGCTGTTGCAAATGGAAAGACGCTGGTGGACTGACCTGGTAGATGTCTTTCGAGCCTGGCTGTTAGAGGCCACCCACATTTTGAGACCGTCACTTTGGTAGGCGGATACGATTTACCTTGGGCATGTATACTGTTGGCTCGTAACCAAACATTCCTGAATAAATCCAGCACTGGAGCAAGGCGTTGGTCACTCTGAGAGCATACCAAGATGTCTCGCTGCAACCAATCCATCTCCTCCCTGGTTTCCTGGTCCACAGCATACCAAGACTTTCGGATACTTTTCCTTGTTGTACACTGCAGCCAAAGTTTGAGCGCAGGCCAACCCAGCCAGCTCCATCAACTGCAACGCCGATCATGCTTGCCAGTGAGTCACATTGTCTGCCGATGAAGTACTGAAGCCCATGCCTGATCCAGACTGAACGCCCCAACTGCATTCATAAGCTCCTCGTCAATCTGTAATTTACTCAGATTAACTCGCAGCTAACAGGCAACGGTAATATTCCGATGTGCACCTGTTGGGCCAGCTGCGCTGTGAGGTAACGGATGGACATGGCTAGTTTCCAAGGGTGGGAACTTGGCATTTGTCCAGAGCCCAAATGATAAGTAATCGAGACGTCATATCAACCTAATTATGATAAGACGGACGGAGAAAGATAATAACTCCGTGCAGTAAAAATGCAGTAGACCACCACCGTAGTGCAACAAGAAGAATGTCTTGGGATCAAGGAAAAAAATAAGTTATGTCAGGTAGACGTCGACTTAGCGCAAACTCGGCGGTGCTCCTCCCAGTCCTTTCTCTGGTGTTCGGGAGAACAGTACTTCACCAACCGGCATTTGCTACACACAAGCCCGTTATTGATCGGGGTATCCCCACTGTCTGCGCTGCTTTGCGATCCTTCACTGCTCTCGGCGTACTGCGGCGTATCCTCGTTAAAGCAGATATTGCAGTCGATCCAATTGCACATCTCCCGAGATCTCACCCTCCTCCCGTTCCTACCACCACGCTTTATCGACAATACTGCTGCACCTTCGGCGCCACGGCGAGGGAATCGTATCATCTCGCAGTCGTCGTTACAGCATGGGTTGGGACAGCCACTAGGAAAGTCAAAGAATATTTCCTCTGATGGGACGTATAACGGATGCGTGAATAAAATTTGAGAATAGGAAGTCGTCTGATGAGAGAACAAGATGATGAAGGGCGGTCGCTTCTCGTACAGAATGGCTCGGAAAGCGATATCAATCTGCGGGAAACATGGTGTGCGTCGTTGTTTGAGGAGAGTCTGGTTCAGACGCATATCTAGACCCATTAAACAACGTCAACACGTGGACTGGCAACGGGTGGACGGTCACAAACGGTTGTACTGGATCTCGTTCTCCATGCTTGGTTTACACGTGCGCCCGAATGCATATCGACAGACGAGCTTAAAGTACTCTGTCACATCGTCCATTTCTTGGCGCTTCATGTCTGTGACAATGATATACACATCGTCGCAGCCAAGGTCATGCATCCCTCTAAGCATCATCAGCTCAGGAAGCTGGAAGTATCCTCAGTCACGATGACACTTTAGTCAGCTAAGTTCTTACCATGGTAAATACAACAGGCATCATGGATAGTTTTCGGTCTTGCATTGACCTGTGGTGATATACGTGTGTTGACCATGTGCGATCCAGAGGAATCAGACGGCCTGTGTCGACTGTACGACAGAAGATGTTTTCCGGAAGGAAATCTCCTTTATTCCAGACGAGGACTTGGCGTCTAAGAGAGTTGGCGGCGTGTTTTCGCTCCCTGACACCCTGAAACCATTCCCAGTACGCGTCATTGCGGTGCTCAAGCCACTTGTCAATTAACATGTCTGTGGCATCATGATCGAGCGTTTTGCATATCAGCTCGCTCATCGAGAGGGTGGGCTGTGACAAAGCCGAATAATGTCTATTTGCCATGCCTGAGCGTAGTAGAACCCTTGGTAATGTGGCTCGATTTTGGTTGGTGTAAGTAATAACAAGGCTAAGATAACTGGGATGATGATAGACTAAGTACGAGGGGCCTGCGAAAGAGATTGCTTACGGCAAGAACCACGATCATGCCGGCCCTAACCTATACCAAACTGGATGACTAAGACTTTGCACACCTTTAACGCTTCGCAGACATCTTGGGCCGTTCACAATATTCTCTGGCATTAAACACCTGCAATTACCAATCATATCTCGAAGACACATCGCATATACCCGTGCATGACGAGGAAAAATATATACCAGCACAACTCCTCCCATAAAATGGTCAACAGCTCTCGTTCCTAGTGACAAGCGGCTGCATGGCATGTTCCGGTATGTGTGCAGGCAGCATCTATGGTATCATATTAGCGAAAACATTGGCAATCCTGGCAACTGCGAATGTTACCTATCATGAGCCGCAGGGGCAAAGTTTCAGATAGACCCTCTCTTGCGGCAAGCAGAGCGTCAAGCGTCTCGTGTTCTTCTATCTTTCTTCCGCAAAGACCCTGCCATGTCACCACCGTCCTGAGTCGTGGCGGAAGAAATCCATGGCGGAAAATGTGGTTGGTGAGATGGGCTATCATTTCAAGCTTTGCCTCCTGGGCATGGCAGAATTTAACGCGCTGCGTCACGGCCGGCCCCGCATTCTTGTGAGTGTAAACGTAGCTGAACCACAAATGGGTTGGACGATCGGCTTCGCAAGGTCAGGACGATTTTCGCGTCGGAAAATGATTAATGATTACCCACCGATGACCAGCCTAAGAGCAGACTGAGGACATTTGCCTGCACCTTTTGTCAGCAGTTCTTCCACAGCGTGACTTGCATCAAGTCTTTGCCCGTCGTGGTTCTCCCAATATGACAGAGACCGATGCTGGGCCTCAATAAAACCCTGGCGGAACAAGTGCTCAAGCACATCCTCCAAGTCAGTTAACTTCTGATTCTGAAACTCAAGTTCGACCAGCTGAGCCGTTGCGGGCTTGTTATAGCGTGACGCTTGGTGATAGGTCAACCATAGCTCGTTATGGGTCATCATGAGCAAGCAGATAGAGAAGAAAAGAGGGAGGTGAAGGCTTAGAATACAACCCATTCGCTCTTATATAGCTTTCCTCAAGCGTGCTTAGTAAAGCTCTGAATGTAATTGTACTCCTTCCGCAAACCACCGACCATGAGTGCTCCGAGTCTACGGTAGTATGTACGTATTATATTATGTCAAAGAATGACCAGGCCAATCTACTCACTTAAGCTAACTTTTACGTTGACGCGTCACACTTGAAGCTTTCCTGACCACTGGGCTCGGAGGAACAGACTCCGTTGTGGACTAGAAATGGCATGCTCCTTGCATTCTAAGGTCGCTCAAAAGCTTTGAGAGGTCCTCAGCTGAACCAATAAAACCTATACGCGGCGGAGCGCGCTCAGCGTTGATCTGACTCTGATCAGGTGTGCGCGACGCACGTGAAAAATGGCCAGGCGCGACAGCTGGTATTCGTCACGTGGTTTGATTTTCGTTCGGTCTTTCTATGTTAGCACCGCCATCATCGTCATCCAGAAGCGCTGAAGCTCGAAGGCCTAGAATTCCGGAATGTTTTAAATGTTCAATGTTCAGTGAGAGTTCAGACACGCTCGCCTCTGAATCGGTGCTGGGAAAAGCCTCACGCGTGGACGTAAAGGTAGGAGCCTTGCGACGCTAACAACTACAGAGATACTCTTCTAAGCGCCGCGGAGACTGGATAAAAGTTGAACTTTTTTTTAGCATCAACCTGAAGCTCGAAGGTACATCAATCTGAACACTGCAAGATGTCTAGAGTACTTTGATTTTGAGCCGTTCGACAAGTTGTCTTTGTCTCCGGCTTGGCTTGGTGTGTGCCCCCCGTTCAACTTCATCCTAAGTTCCTGTCTCATTCAGTAGACTGCTATATCAACCGTCAGCAGCTCCAAAAGTCAGGCCTAATGATAGCATTCGTGTGATATTCGGACGCCATGCGTGGCAGCACCACATTGCCACCTTTGACAACGCTGGGGCTTTACCGAACCTGTGATATCCAGTGCGTATGCACCAGGTATGTATATACGATTTCCCTTGATGTTGACCCTCGTGATATTGACACCTGCCTCACTTGTGTTGCTAACAAACTCCCAATCACTTGGCCAAGATTTCTACCAGCTACCTCCGCTCATGTTTTATATCTTGGCGCAGATATTTTGCTCTGGCATGTTTACAGGTACAAAGGTGCCTTCTTGCTTTCACATTCACGCCTTCTTCTTCTTCTCCATCGCGATCGTGCACATGTATATATTCTGGATAACAACACTGCCGTCACCGTCACCCAACTCAATAACCCCGCAATGGCTCGTCTAGCGACAGGGACGCCCAACCGACTGGCTTATGTGCGATAGTCCGTGGTAGTCCGTGGTCATCTGTGGCTTTTTGAACTTTCGTACCCTCTGCAGATCGAGGCACGAAGCAACCGTGATCCCGTCCAATACCAGCATCGGTATGCCTTCGCACGTCGGTCCTGTTAAGCGAACGTACAAGTGACGAGGGCTGGTTGTTTCCCTCTTGCCTGCCATCACCTATGTCCTCTTTACAACTCAGATCTGAGCTGTTTGTGCTTGATACGCCTCCACGCCATGGTTTGCCTGGACTTAAGATGTCCGCCAAACGATACTCTACCCCCTTTTCAGACCCCCAAGGACTGACACTTCTGTTTGCGCATGGAGTAGGCGCGCGTCAGTAAATTGGTGTTCCCTCAAGTATACATGGCTGACTGCCATGGATCGTATAGACAAGGAGCAGTGGGAACCGATGCTTCGTCATCTGTTCTTCCACCAGAAATTGGAACAGCCGCACAGTCGTATACGTGAAGCCTGGTGTTTCGACTGGTTGAACCATGGAGATGCCGCTGTAATTAACAAGGCTGCACTCGAGCGCCGCTCGCCGGGGGATGTCTGTGAGTCCGATAACGGAGCCCCTCGTCGCTTTCCTCATATCTACACCAGCCGTAGCAGAATGGGCAGTCGCGATTGCGTCCTTTGTGAGGTCACCGTATGTTAGGGAACACAGACTGGTTGGCTTTGGACACTCGGCGGGTGCCAGTGCGATGTCGGTCACCATGTTCCCGCCGTCTTCGCTGAAGCTGACCTTTGCATTAGAATGCTCTCAACACGCGCGTTCCCCTTGCGAAATCAACCCTTCGTTGCTCTCTTTCTTATTGAACCTTCGATGCTTACGCGCGAATTGTGGATGTCTCACTTACTAGAAAGGGAGTCAAAAATGACAAGGAGCGTGAGCGCTGCTCTTCGTCGTTGTCATGTCTTTGACACTCGGGAAGAGGCAGCCAGTTATTTTCGAGAACGGAAGCCATGGAAAGGATTCCATTCTGATGTATTCGATGTCTTCATGGTGAGTGGTCTAAATATCTACGAATTCTGAATCATCAAGCCGTCGGCCATCTCTAGCAACACGGTTTTGTCATACATAACGGCAGCGTAGGGGACACGAAAGTCGCTCTCAAATGCGACATACATCATGAAGCGCTTGCTTATCAGGACATCGAAAACCATTTTGAAGCTACAGACCAGTATACCCGCCTTTGCCGCGCGGTTCCTGTACACATTGTGTTCGGAAGCATTCACGATTACGTGTAAGCAGGATTCAGCGTGGTTTACAGTTTCTCCTGATTCGCTCCCTCCTAACAGTCCATCTTATTTCCAAGACTGTATGACGGACGTCTCCCAGGGGAGATCTCCAGCTTCTGTGATAACGGTCCCTGGAGCTGGCCATAATGTAAGTCATTCAACTTTGATGGCTGGGCGAAAGTTCTCATCTATGAACAGATAGCTCAACAAACTCCCGAAGCCGTTGCGAGCGCAATATCTGTAGGCCTGAATTCAATTACAAGGGATTCGGCCGCGCATCTTCTGCATCGATTGTGACATTCGCGCATACCAATGATATCATGTTGGTCTACATTTTCAAATGTTCTTGTGTCTGTTTATTTCTTTCATTTGTTGTCCTCTAAGGCACACTATGTTGGTACTGGACGTATGTAGTCGGGACCCGCCCCGTCGTGCCTCGTATACGTAGTAAGACTACGGGAAAGTCGAACACATATGAACTCGTGTCTTCTCTTTTTCAAGGTTGCGTATTGCCTAGGTAAGCGTTCCTCCGTATGATGTACTCGGAACTTATGCCTCTGATGAGGCAAAGAGTTTACTTCCCAAGTCTCCACATGCCGTCTTTGACATTGACCAAGCCTTCTCTTCGAGCAGCTTCCATGAAACTCGCAAGTTGTTCCACAGTGCGATCGTAGCCAGGTGCAAACTTGAGCATCGATTGTATTCGATCCAGCGGCAGCGAACCCAGATTTGTAAGCATTCCCTCGATGAACTTTGCGCGTTTTGCTATAAGATCAACTATGACAAGTGCAAACGACGACAAAGCATACCTTCCAGTACATTTTCATTTGTTCTGCCTGTTGCTGCTGCACACTCATCACTGGCGGTAACTCCCCCGCTTCCGCTATTAATTGGATGAGCAACAAGATATACTAATTTGAAAGATGAACGAACCAGGCTTAGGTGCTTGTGGTCTGCTTCCTGGTGTAGGACCCTCTGCAACACTGAGGAGCCGGAACATACCCTCTGAGTCTTCTTTCAGAACATGCATGTCCACCCAAGTAGCAAGGGCTTTGACGGCTGCATTCCGGTTGACAGAGCCCACGCCGAGGATAAGTTCGTCTACTGTCCATATGTCTGTTACAGGGGATGAGTTAGTGCCCTCGTGCGGCTTTGAAGGCTCACTTACCCTTCTCAGAAAAGAGTTCAATGAATGCAGCTTCCAGGGGAGGCACGTCAGCGTCCAATGTCCTGTCTTCAAGCTCGAGCTGGAGATGAACCCGGCCAAGATGTGGTAACCAACGGAGGACCTTATCAGGTTTGAATACAGAGAACTCTTTGGCGTATTGCTCTTGCAAGCTATACTGGTTCAGAATCATGACCAGTTACAGGAAAAGGACGTACATCTGGAACTGCCCTGGCATGACCATGTCACTGGACTCGAGTGCGGGCCAGAAGTGTCGAGATATAATTGTGGGGTGCATGGAGCTCTATACTTCGAATGTGGTTATGTATCTTATTGTGCAAATAACAACCACTTACTGCTTTCTGTGATTGCACATGTTGGTCTATACGACGCGAGTCTGTCATATCTCGCAGCATGACTTCACAGACCTGCAACGCGGCTTCGCCAAATCGAATCTTCAATATCTCAACATTACGACGCTGCATGCACCTCCTTGAGCATATCTAGACCAGACTGAGCGGCGTTGACTAACCTCGCGGTCGAAGTTTCCATCCTTCACCGCCAGCAAGCGTTGTGCTAGCAGTACTTGGAGTTCCTTGACGAATAGGTCCTTTGTATCATATATGCTGACTATGGTGCTGATGACGTCGCTGGACTTGCTTGCACGAAAATCTGGCCCTGCATCAATGGGTTCGGGATTCCACTCAGGATCAGAGTAGTTCTCCATCTCGGGCTGCTGAAGGGGCTGAATGGGTTCGTTCTCGTCGACTAGCGAGTCCCCACTTTCTCCATCTCCAACCAAGCTTGCTACTATGCACCGTATGGTGTCAGGTCGATCTCTGACCAGACATGCAAATATCATCAGCTGTGACTCAGTCCAACGTTGCACGAACGTACCGGAGATACCTTCTTATGGGATCTGCTACTTTAAACAGAAGCACTCCAGGGGGATCGACAATTCTGAGACACTTGATCGTCGAGACATATTGAGTCAAGATATCTTTTGTATCTGCGCCCGGATGAAGTAGACGCTTATTGTTACTGAAAGCCACAATCAGAGGCATTCCTACAGTTGACAACAAGGAAGCACAACTTACGCTTGCCGCAGTGCTTGTACAAGGTCCGCGCGTTGATCGACACGCGCCAAGCACTCCTGGGTGTACAAAACAGGATTAAGAAATAAATTTTAACCACAAATACATACCAACCTTCAAGTCTTGGAGGGCGCCTGCGGATTCCGGGAAATCGACAATGATGTCGAATATTTCTTCAGTCCTGCAAATAAACTGGTCTGTGTACAACTTACGGCTAAGATGAGAGTTCTCACCTTAGGTTGCAAAGCGTCTTGTGCATGTGAAAGTCGAACCTTGACCCTACCCCTTGCATCATTGTTTTAGCCTCATCCGCTGAGTGAGTAGTGAGCCAGCAGCTGGGAGTTGTTGCACGACTGAACATGAATCACCATTGGTTGCTCCTCTTGCAAATGGATACAGCATCCATGGCACAATTTTGTCGATCATCCAGGCCCGAAGGGTCGCAAGCATGGGTTCTGACCACTTTTCGGCACATGTTTCTACTACATATGACTCGATGAACTCGTATCCTATACTTGCGATGAGAGTTTCATAGCGGTCGATGAGGCTTAGAGTATCAAAAGCTTGCCACAGGACACGGTCTTGAGGGTCCTGCGATTGGGATACCGTACGTTGCAGCGTGGCTGAAACAAGGGCCTTGATTCCCCGAGCAAAAGATGGAGGAAGAACAGAAAAAAGGTAAGTTTGGAAAGCAAGAGTGTAAGCGGATATCATCGTTGACCCCAGACTAAGATACATTGAACATATGTTAGCCTTGGCAAGGTACATGGTACGTACTCTGCGGTTGGTTTCCACGCGTTGTACCACTCGACCAGACGATATACAAGTGATCGTATTGCTTCTGGGTCGGAATTTTTCTGTTATGAAGCGTTGAGCCACACCACACGTTGCAGCGTGCAGAGACTTTAACCTCGTAAAGCGTCATATACACCTCAACTTCTCGGGTGATCAAGTGCTGGCTCTTTCGCATGTCCTCTTCATCCCTCAGGAAAAACGCAACATGATAAATAAATAGTCTCACCAAGGAACACCTCCATCATAACAGGTAACCTCCTACACTCGCCGACAACGCCAAATGCTACCCTCACTTGATTCAAGTCTGATCGAGGTTCAGTAATGATGCAGTGAAGCGCTTTGGAAGCGCTCGAATTTACCGACCATATTGCTTTCGTGGCGCAGGGTCGTTCAAATCTCGTGGTTTAAGAAACTCTATGGCCAGAGTCCACGCCTGAATGCGAAGTTGGAGCATATTCAAGGATGATAATTGAAATGATATACCTCACTGAAGGCCAGCAGACCAGATATTCCTGGCTCGCTGCGATTGAGGCGGTTGAATGACTCTTGCCATTTGGCTGCAACTTGAGCTCGCACAGCAGCTGATGCCATCAACGTTCAAGTAGTGTTTGTATTCGCTGATGGGCCCACTGACGGAAAGAGGTGAGATTACGGAACAAAGCTGAGTAAGCCTCGCTTCGGCTAGTTGCAAAATCCTCGATCGCTGAGTAGCTCACAATCGCCTATATCTTTCCATCCCAGATTTTTTACTGCATGCTTGTTGTATCCGCCCGTCGCAATCTTTATTTTGTTGGGCGAGTACATCACCGCATACAAGTATATACAGTACTGGTGCCCAGTCTTGATTGGACCCAGGACAGTTGTCTCGCTCTGGAATTAGATCTCGCTCCTCATCTACACTCCAGTACACTAGGACTCCTACTAGAACCACACAACTTTAGCACGTCCTGTTCATTTGGCAATGACTTTTCCATCTCGATGTCGCTTGCAATAATCTTGTTGTTTTCAGACAATGGTCCATACTCCCTCCTGCAAGTTTGCCCATACATCTCGCCAGTCATATCCATAGTAACTGTGTGTTACTCTCCAGGTCCCATAGTGAGCTGTCTAGCGAATATGTGATAATGCACCCTCCCCAAGGCCCTGGTCGGGGAAGACATGGTACTCTCGGCGTCTCAACCAGGGCAGATCATGGACTACGTAGGCAGAAGCAGCCACCAAGGATGTTGGAATAAGAACGAATCATCTGGCAAGGGAAAGGACGCGAATGAATACTAACACATTGGGGGTTTCAACATTTTGCCTCTTGCAAGATTTCAATCAAAAGCAGATCTAGACCTGGCTAGAGCATTCCAGACCTAGCCTAGAGCGTTTCAGAGCACTCTAGATTACCTTTCGAATGTAATTTCACTGGCGGCAAAAGGTGGTAAAATGTCAGTTTCCCCGCTGTGTAAGCAGTGCTTCAAGCTCTCCAAGTGATATCACGTAACAGCGGACCAATAGAAATCATTCATCATTCATTCTTTCAAGTTCACCGATGTTTCAGCGGCTCAGCCCGTGTATTAATCAGTTCGTTACTCATGGCCGCCCAGTGCTGATGTCCGCATGCCATTGCAGGAGGGGGATCGCAGGAGACAATTATCAAAAGAAACGACCGGCTTCCTTCTATATGGTCTGACTATGGGAGACACAGGATATAGGTCAGTACATAGACTCTGCCTCGATCTTGAACTTCGACAATATCTTTCTTCAGCTTCAAAGCGCCGAGGTGAGTGTCACATGTGCTATATTAACTGATCGTCACGTTCTATGCGTGTAATCCAACCTAACCTAACAGAGATATTAGTCTATTCTTGCACGGTGCTAGTAGAACTTGTACGTGCTTTATCATGACTCGCCTCTATTCTTGCTATGTCTGACAATGAAGCTCTCCCCTGCCATTCTGAGTGCTCTACAGGACCTCGACTACTCCCTAGGGTGTCACCAGTAGAACGTAAACCTGACCCGCGGTCATAAAAGTAGCGCTGCCAAGGTTGGCCAAACAAATTAGATCACACACTCGATTTAGACTAGGTCCTTGTTCTGAATGTAAAACGGGTACCGCGCTTTTGCCACAAATGTTGGCAAACCAGGCCATCATCGGTCATCGAGTGCCTACGCACCGCGCATCAGCACCGTGGAAAGTAAGTTCGTTCTTACAAGGCATTGATGGACGGAGGGGAACGTACCCGGCACGCAAAAGGGAAGTTAAATCAATGATCTAACATTCATCCAATGATTAACAAAGATACAGCTTATGATTTTTCGATAAAAGCTTACTCAATCTTGTAAAATCACGATCATTTCTCTTCCATGTCCATAACCCTCGACGACCGCGACTCCAGTTTCGCTTATGATGGTTCATGGTTTCATGGCGGTCAAGCCCAATTCGAATATGATAACACTACCACAGGAACGAATACGGCAGGTTCAATGGCCTTGTTGAATTTCACCGGTTGGTGCCAATTGTAGAGTTTGTGGGCTCCTTGTACTGACATGGACGCCATGTGCTAATAGGGGTCAGCGTTGGCGTCTTTGGTACCATTGGTCCCATAAATTATGGGGGCCAAGATGTGGGAGCCCCGATATCATCATACCAGGTTGATGATCAACCTGCGGTGACCTTTACAGCTCCTGCACAAGGGGGGACTCTATTTCACTACAACTTTTTTACTTCGCCAACATTGGGCAATGGTCCACACCAATTAATAATCACCAACCTCAACCAAAGCAGCTATCTTTGGCTAGACTATGTTCAGTATACCCCGTCGTCAGGTAAGATTTTCCATATCATGAAACATGAAACTTGGCATATCTGATCGTGCGGCGCTAGCGACATCATCTAGCTCGTCATCTCCTGCAAATACCAATAGCCAGCAACCCATTCCAACTTCGTCTTCGACTGCTCCCGAGGCTCAAAGCGTCCCAACGTCCATGTCCTCATCATGGATGCTAGCAACGTCATCTAGCTTGTCATCTCCAAATGGCCAGCAATCAAGTGCAACTTCGTCTTGGACTGTTCTCGGGACTCAAACTGAACCATCATCATCGTCCTCGCCAGTCCCTCAAACTTCAGTACAAAGCTCTAAGAACAATAATGCACTGATCATTGGAGGGGCGGTCGGAGGGGTAGCACTGGTTGTGGCTGGGCTAGCGCTGATTTTTTACCTACGGAGACGACGCAATACTCAAGCTCAAACACTAGTTGAAGTAAAAAGTTTGTTAATTTCCAAAAATGAAAGTTCCAATTTGATATTGATTTCGATCATGAATACAGATGTAGACAATGCCCGTCTCAGCCCAGGCGAAGCTTCCTCATCTGAGAGTCTCCGCAACCACAACTCCTCGGTTATGTCGAGCGCACCTTTTGTTGGACCCGATGACTGGCGCCGTTCAAACCGCCCCCAGTCTTTCGTTGACCCACCATCTGTCATGGGCATTAACAACGTGGAAGAATTGGAGGCCGACGAGGAACAAGAAGTCCGTCTATATGAAGACGGTGGTGTCCGTATCGCTGGTGGTTCGCTTCGCAGGCAGGTGGTGGACGTTCCTCCTGAGTATCGAGAGTATGACTGACTTGCGTAACTTGTTGTGATTTGTGGTGGGAATGGTTCGCTGTTATGCCAGAATTCACACACACCTTAACGCGCTGTCGTAATACAGAACCAGGGACCTTGGATTATTTTGCTGATACAGCTGAGGAGAGAAATACCATTAGCAAAGCGATGACAATGATGCTCAATATTAAATATCCATCTCGCTGGTGCTCCAGTCATTCGGTATTGAGGGTAACTAGACGGATGTACTTGGTTGACAGCAGGTTTCGTAATCACAGTCTTCAGGAGTTCCTGAAGGCCCCCGAATGAAGTTGCTGACGTCAATACACGTTCAAGTCGCAAAGGGCACATCTCATCAATCCATCGTTTCTCAAATTCGTTGGTGCCACCCGGACTCGAAGTCGCGAAAGCATCCGGATGTCCACCAGATACAAATCAACATATGAAAGGCCAATCTCAACGAGCATATCACTGAACTTTCCAAGCAGCAACCCGTGAGCGGTATGTGAGCATTGGCCTTGCAAACTTTGTTGAATAGCCTGCCGTGCTGTTCCAACAGCGTATTTAGTAGTAATACGAGTGAGGAAGACCGCTCTCCTTGATAGGCAGGCCCACATAGCTTTCTAGCTGATAACCTTTTCCCAGAGCGGAAGAAACACAAGGTTCTAATGATCGAAATTAAAAGTAAGATACCCTGCGCAGTGTCGATATGGGGGAATCTGTTCTCTATGGCCTGGCCTATTGGTCTCCCTTGTATAGACCAAGTGACAGAGGGGGAGGTTGGCGGGAAAAGGAAAGTACTCAGTAACCGTTGTGCTGACGAGGATCAAGAGCCGCTGGAGGCGTATTCCATTCATCCAAAGACTATGCTCTAAACCCCGCTCGTGTGTATGTGAGACTGACACCACAATAAAAACACACCCCCGAAAGAGATGATTGACACGAATCAGAAGGGCTACCTCTACGTTTGGTAACTCTACTGGATGTCTCCCGTACGACTCCAAAACATGAAAAACCTGACCAAGCCAAAAATAACCGCAAGGACCAGCCATACGAACAGCGATGGGACCCTTTGAAATTTGTGTTGCATGGCCAGCCTCGCGACCATCAGCTGGGATGGAGGGCCTTTAGCACCGGCTTCGTCAATGGCAGCGATTTCTTCAGCGGTAAGGGAGGCTGCATGACATAAATCAGAATAACATCGTGTTTCACGGTTTGACACATACGAAGATCTTCAACGGCGAGGTACTCTTGAAGGCGCTCCTTGGTCCGACTCGTCCTTCAGTCGCAAATACGATATAAGATATGAGAATTGTCTGCAAGATAGATAGACCTACGTGACGATTGCCACACCTTTGCTTCTGACCCAGGAGAAGATCACCTGATTAGGGGTTGCACCGATACGCTTAGCAGCCGCGTTGACAACTGCATCGACTGGTCCTCCAGGATTCTGCGTAATAGAGCTGTGCGAACAACGATTTAACATGAGCAGTATGAAAGAACAATCTGAAAACTCACTTCAAACTTCCATATGCTTCCACTATGATATTCTGCTTTGCGCAGTACACAAGCAGAGCTTTGTGTGAAGCATAGTTGTATGGATGGAATGGAATCTGCGAGATAAGGCTCGTTGATTGTATGTGGTGTCAGGTCGTAGAGAAACTTACTTGGTTAACAGCAGGTTTTGTAACCGCTGTCTTCAGGAGTTTCTGTAGGTCCTCCATGGTAAAATTGCTGACACCAATGCTCCTGATAACTATAAAGACCAGCGGACCACGTTTGAGTCGAAAAGGGCACACCTTGTTAACCCATCTTTCTTCATCTGTTCAAATTCTTGCCACCCAGACTCAAAGTCAGGCAAAGCACTCGTGAAGTGTACCAGATACAGATCAAGATAAGAAAGGCCAATCTCAATGACAACGAGCATATCATTAAGTGTTGCGCGCAGTAACTCGGCAGTGATGTGAGAACTGACCTTGTTTAGGCTTTGTTGAATAGCCTGCAGTGGCGTTCCAGTCCCGCTGTATTTAGTGGTGATATACAGACTCGAGCGAGGAAGACCGCTCTCCTTGATAGCCAGGCCCACATAGTTTTCTGTCTGATAAACTTTTCCAGACCAAAACATGAGGTTCTAAGGATTTTACAGCCACAAGTAACATACACTGAGCCGTGTCGATATGGGAGAACCCATTATCTATGGCCTGGCCCACGTAGTCTGTGACATCCTTAAATTTCATGGTGGATCCCGTGCCAAACGCTATCGTAGGGAACTGTTGGACACGCATCGGACATACTATCAGGTCTTGACACGGTGATACAAACTTTCATGAAACAGCGCTTACCTCGTTTCCATCGTTGAGAGTGACGGTACCAAATGGCATCGCAGAATACAAGTGAGACGGTGCTGAGAGAACTGTGATAAAAATCCGAAGACCTATGGCATGCTATGGCGGCCATAGATCACCGGCATGAGCGGTCCGTCACACTCCGTTACTGTAACGGTATCGTCCAACCCGAAGCCAAAGCTATAATAACAACTTCGGTGGTTTTAGTAGTTACCCGTCCACCAATGGGTACTAGTACTTTGTCTACTGCTCACTAGGCAACTGAAAGCCATCGCTCGACTATATCTTCTCCTCAACAAATGGAGAGCCCCGTTATACCATTCGTCCCGGTGGATGATTTCTCTCCAGAGCCAGACATGGTGATAGAAGACCAACGTCCGCAATCACCACTGCGAAAGCGAGCGCGTCGTAGCAGCACAGCATCCGAGTCTGGCCGATCTCGTGTCATGGTTTCAGAGGAATCGAAGGATCCCGTAAGGGATGATACGTACTACATGTCTGACGGGAGCTGCGTTCTTCGAGTGCAAAACACGTTATTCAATGTATGGCCTCACGTGAGGTTCATAACCATGAGCTGAATGATTTGTGATGCCACTAGGTCCATCGCACAATCTTGTCCAGGGACCAATCGTTCTTTGGGTCTCTGTTTACGCTACCGCAAGGCGAATTCAAAGAGGAGGGGACGTCGGATGATCATCCCATCGTTCTGCAGGGAGATACTGCGGAAGAGTTCCGGCATTTCCTCTGGGCAATCTATGCCCTGTGAGTGTTATCTAAGCGCCCAGTATGAAATTCGGCACTCTCATACTCGAGTCTCTTGACAGACCCTCTGAATTGATGATAGTCCGGTCTCCAAAAACCGATCTTAGTCGGCTAATAGACATTGCGAAGGTGTCCAGCAAGTACACCTTCAAGTCAACGGAAACATGGGCTTTGGACGCAATTCAAGAATATCTTGAACGGAACACGTCCCCGCTGTTCAGTGGCAACCCTCTAATACGCATATTCCCAACGTTAAGCACTCGTTCTTCCGCCCTTCTGGACAGTGAAGGACAAATTGCGCGCCTGATCAGACTTGCTCAGATGTGCTCGCACTCACGTCTGCTGGATACGATGATTCAACTGCTTCTAAAGCTAATGACAGATTCTTTGCACTATTCATATCTGGCTATGACCCTTGCGGATGAATTCAACATCCGGGACCTGCGAGGCGCAGCGTATCTTCAAGTCATGCAAACATCCGTCTTTGTCTGTCCTGGAGAGAGTAATGGTCACACATACGTGGAGGGTGACATTCAGGAAACAAGCGGGGGGCCGCAGCGACTGGTGGTTAGCCCGGTGCAGCAGCTCAGACTTCTGTCGGGATATCACCGCCTTGCCAAGGCATGGGAACGGTTGCGTGCCGTTCCTCCGCAGTTCGATCACGCGCCGTCCTGCGGAGCGACGTGGCACCAACATGGATGCACTCAGAGCTGGACAGATTTCTGGAAGGAGAAGACGAGGTCAGAAGGCGTACTATCCCTTGGCTCCGCAAATGTCCTTGGGAGATTGACGATTATTGTGAAGGAGTTTGACAAATGGGGTTCTGCAACATATATGCATCACGATTGCAAGTCTGCAGCGAGACGGTCCATCCACGAGAAGGTGAAGCAGATTCAGGAAGCGCTGTCAGACTATTTCTCAGAAGGTGGTGAATATTAATGTCCATCCGATTCGGTAGAGTACACTCCACTGCTAGATATTGTACACATTCTGCTGTCGAGTACGTTGAGTAAGCAGGTTCATTAATATATATTATAGGGAAGACGGTCACGACATGAATTAGTATTGCCCTAGTATTTGTTGCTCTTTCCCTGTAGTCCTCATACTGCTAGAAACCACATGGGCAGTGTTGCGCCTATTCCAAGGACCATCCTGTACGTGGCTTGCTCCGTTACCTATTGAGGTGCCCATCATGTTCTGTATCAAGGTGTCGACATTATCAGCTGAAGGCAGTTGCTCCATTCCAATTTGAGAGCCGTTTATGACTGTTTGTTGGAATATTTCATCCTCCTCCAGCTGCTGAACACGCTGTCGAAAGCCACGTAGTATTGCCTCGAACAGTACTACCTCGAGCGATCAGCATAGGAACTAGCAAAAACGAGAATGCCCAACGCACGTTTCTGTTCCCGTGGATCGCTGGGAGGGATGATTAAGACCTCATTCAAGTTATGGACTTCTTCATGTTTCGGCTCATCAAGCCTAAGGTGGGCGATCCACTTTCGCTCGAAAGCATCCTGAGTCAGTCCTGAGTCAGACAGAGACGTCTCGTCGGGCCCGTATGCGGTCCCCACAGAGCTTGCAGGAGAAGGAGGGCGAATAACAGGAGAGGCATATGCAGGGTCACCAGCGTGAATTTGTTGAGTATGTTGCATCACAAAACCTGGTTGCTGGTGCGAAAGAAGCTAGGATAAGACGAGCTATGAATAAGTCTGAGTCATATGATAAGCAGGAGATTAGATACCTTGAATGCATATGCTTGGTTTGAAAGAGAGATATGCAGTGGACACAAGCAAGCCAAAATAACGCGGTCGCGAATTTCTGTTGATTAGCGTGTCAGTGACAGTGACTTGGTGTGACAGTTATGCTAGAAACTCGCTATTTTCTGTCTTATTTCTCGCTTTTTTTCTGTCCACATGTGTGCCAGTCTGAACAGTTTAATGGCATAGTGCGAAACAGTGTGCATTTGCACTCCAAAGGGATGCGTTCAGTTCAGTTCTTAGTTGCTGAACGCGATGCGTGACGGGATATGAATCCTAATCTGGGTTGTTTGGCTGAGTAATGCACACGCCACTTAAATTCTTCACGACGCGTCTCTCCCCTTCCTTCATCTCGCCCACCACCATACCCACATCTCCTCCAGCTTGATCCATAGGAGTGGTCTACCATGGCTTTCGTTTTCAAAAGAGGTCAGTCGCCCCTAAGTGTAGTGTATAGCAGCTGATCTCAGTATTCCTCACAGATGGGTAAGCAAATGCACGCGTGAACATTCTTTTCACCATCTGACGCGTCATTCACGTGTAGCCGCAAAGAAGACGTGAAATTCGACAAGGTATGCGCCCACTAAACTATCTTGTGCATTGCTCACCGCGTCATAGATCACTGCAAGGATAAACAAGCTCTGTTACGGGCTCGATCTAAACTATGTCGAGCCAATCGAGTTAGTTGGCAACTTCACCACTCTCATTTATAACTAATTAGCACACCAGGGTTGCCAAAAAAGTTATTGCAGGTGTATACCAAGGTGTCACAACCGTTGAACTCGATGTAGGTGCTATGTGTTATTTTGCATCGTTCACCCATTCACCCGAGATAGAACCTTGCCGCTGAGACGGCAGCATACCTTACCACGAAGCACCCTGACTACGCTGTCCTCGCTGCGCGTATCGCGATATCGAATCTGCACAAGGAGACCAAGAAGAACTTCTCTACCGTCGTGAAAGACCTGCATGAATATAGTATGTGCCCTTTTTATTTCGGTGTTCGAGTTTTAATTGAATTTCTGTCAAGTCAATCCCAAGAATGGGAAGTCTGCTAGTATGATCGCAGATGATGTATATGAGATTATACAAAAGAACGCTGCTCGCCTTGATTCCGCAATCATTTACGATCGTGACTTCAGCTACAACTAGTAAGCAAAATCATCGAGATGTAGATCGTATTGTATTGATTCCCTTTCAGCTTCGGCTTCAAAACCCTCGAGCGGTCATACCTGCTCAGGATCAATGGCCGTGTTGCCGAACGTCCCCAACATATGATCATGCGTGTCGCAGTGGGCATCCACAAGAACGATATTGAGAGTATCATTGAGACATACAATCTTATGTCTGAACGTTTCTTCACGCACGCGTCGCCAACTCTGTTCAACGCCGGCACTCCTCACCCGCAACTTAGCTCATGCTTCTTGGTTTGCATGAAAGATGACTCCATAGAGGGTATCTACGACACACTCAAGAATTGCGCCATGATCAGCAAAACGGCAGGCGGAATTGGCTTGAGCATCCATTGTATTCGTGCTACTGGGTGCGTCCATTTAATTCATGACGTTGCTCAATTTGTAACATTCGGCCTTACAGCTCCTACATTGCTGGAACAAACGGCTACTCGAACGGCATCGTTCCTATGCTCCGCGCGTATGATGCCACGGCGCGATATGTCGATCAAGGCGGTAACAAGCGACCAGGAGCTTTCGCGATTTACCTTGAACCATGGCATCCTGATATATTTGATTTCCTCGACCTGAGGAAGAACCACGGTAAAGAGGAAGCACGTGCCCGTGACTTGTTCTATGCGCTGTGGATTTGCGACCTATTGTATGTGTTCTACCATATATTCTTGTCGTCAATCTTTAATTTGCCCTTGTCAGTATGAAACGTGTCGAGTCTAACGAAAACTGGTCGCTGTTCTGCCCCAACGAAGCGCCTGGTCTTCACGAGGTTCACGGGGAGGAATTCGAAGCCCTCTACGAGAAGTATGAGAAAGAGGGGCGCGCCCACAAGGTCATTCCAGCTCAAAAGCTGTGGTATGCTATCCTCGAAGCTCAGATTGAGACTGGTGGTCCGTTCATGACCTACAAAGATTCCGCTAACCGTACGTTGAGGTCATTCGTGGCATGTTCCCCGCTCACAGTTATATAGGCAAATCCAACCAAAAGAACTTGGGCACCATCAAGTCATCTAACTTGTGCACTGAAATCATCGAGTACTCATCGCCAGAGGAAACCGCTGTCTGTAACCTTGCCTCTCTCGCCCTCCCTACTTTCATTTCGAACGGCAAGTACGATTTCCAAAAGCTGCATGACGTTACAAAGGTTGTCACCCGCAACCTCAACCGTATCATCGATGTAAACTACTACCCCGTTCCGGAGGCTCGCACTTCCAACATGCGCCATCGCCCCATTGGTGTTGGTGTACAGGGTCTTGCGGATGCTTTCATGATTCTCCGTTTGCCATTTGACTCACCTGAGGCAAGGCAACTCAATCTCCAGATCTTCGAGACCATCTACCATGCCGCACTCGAGGCCAGCTGTGAGGAAGCTGAACGGGATGGACCATACGAGACTTTCAGGGGTAGTCCTGCTGATCTCGGTCAACTGCAGTATGATCTCTGGGGTATCACGCCCACTGACCTTTGGGACTGGACGAGTCTCAAGGAGAAGATCGCACAAACTGGATTGCGGAATTCGTTGCTGCTTGCACCCATGCCGACTGCATCAACCAGTCAGATTCTCGGTTTCAATGAATGTTTCGAGCCCTACACTAGGTACGTTTGACCTCCTCATCACCTTCTGCAAGCTGACGAGTCCGATCAGTAATATTTACACTCGTCGAGTCCTTGCCGGCGAATTCCAGGTCGTATGTCCCTGGCTGCTCAGGGACCTGGTTGACCGTGGGCTCTGGGATGATGACATGAAGAACATGATCATTGCTCATAACGGCTCCGTTGCCAACATCCCCAGCATACCCAATGACATCAAAGCCATTTACAAGACCGTCTGGGAGATCTCGCAGAAGAAGGTCATCGACCTCGCTGCCGACCGTGGAGCGTTCATCTGTCAGAGCCAGAGTCTGAACATTCACTTGCAGTCGCCTACCGTAGGCCAACTGACGAGTATGCACTTCTATGGGTGGAAGAAGGGCCTGAAGACTGGCATGTACTATTTGCGCACTCGTCCGGCAACGCAAGCCATCCAGTTCACTATCGACCAGAGCGTGCTTAAAGCAGCCAAGGTGCAACAGGGCGAGTCCGACAAGGCTGCCACTGGCATTCCTACCCCTTCCGCCTCTCCGTCCCCTCGTCGAGTCCCTCCACCATCCAGTTCGAATGACACTGCTGTCGCGTCGAGTTCGTCAGGCCCCACCGATGCCACCGATGTCGACCCCGAGTACGCCGCCGCCCTTCAGCGTCAAAAGGATCGGGAGCTCGAAGAGGCAAAAATGCTCTGCTCGTTGGAGAATAAGGAAGCCTGCCTCATGTGCTCTGGTTAATGGGAGGGGGTATATAGTTGGTGTGGTCTAGTCTTCATTTGCATCGTCGGAAGTTATTCAATCATGCACTCCTATTTTGTTTGTTACCCGCATTTGTTCTACGTTTCCCGGCACGATCTGTATACCAGCTATTGTATAATTGTAATGAAATGGATGGATTTCGATCTGTCAGTGCCAGCCTATAAACAGATCGCTGGGATGGGCGTAAGTAGTGAGAACAATAAGGCATATCCGTAATAGTGATCAAAACAAGTTTTAAACAACAGACATACGTTATAAATAATAGGGTAACATCCGATGTGCATGGCATGATACAACTCCTACACCTCATTGTCCAAACAAAGATCTACTGAATCTAAGACCCCTATAGTCGATGAACAGTCAGGATCGCAATGCGTCCATCTTGCGCAATAGCATGGTTAATTCCTAAACATTAAATGACAAGTCAAGGATGACCATACGGAGGCAAGTATGTTGCTGACCTTTGTATCCTGGTTCAAGAAGACCAGTCCGCCATTCCACATCAGCTTGCCACCACCTGCTATTCCAGTGGCTGACAGATGTAGCGGCTTCGACGAGCAAGTCACGACCGATGTTATATCCGTCCGGAATAATCATATGGTTCTTAGTGGAATCCTACCAGCGGTGTTTAATTGAACTTGGTTCTCAAGTACTACTTGCGTTCCGCTCACCATTTCCTTGGAGACACTGGGAGACGAGTTTCAGTGGCCATGGCTATAAATGAGGTGATGCTTACGCCAAAAACCACGCTCCAGTGTCGATTTCTGAGCCATTCTGCTTCCAGGCGCGAAAGTGGTTTCCTCCTGAACACCAAGTTATGAAAGACACGACGGAACGTAGAGGAAAGACGAACCTGCTATACTTTCCCAGCACGTTCCCCACTTAGGAAAGTAGTGTTGCCTTGCTAGAATGTGCTCGGATTTCTTGCTGTCGCCGTCGCCGAGATCTGCTTTGTGGACATGACCATAATGGAGCCCTAAGCACTCCTCGGAAAACCCAATGGACCTTTCGGAGCATATCAATGATAATTGAACATACAGACCAAAGTGGCTCACTTATAATACAGACGGAAGCCATCATCCGTCAAAATAAAGGGATCCGACTGGTTAGATATGATGACATTTAGCGGTTCGCCATATCTGGGAGTCGTGAACTGTAAAGAAACGTGACGAAGATCTTAAAACTTGGTGCACGATGTACTTACGTCTAGAAACCGTCCGCCATTGAGGCGTGGATCGGTCCAACCAATCTCAGGTTTAGGAATATCTAATGTAGTAGTCCCAAAGATGGATTGCAGGGTATCCATAAAACGCTGCGTGGGGAGTGCCAGGGCAGAGGCAGCCGCAGCAAGAAGGATGACAACGGGCTTGACCATGATGAAGAAGTCAAGAGAAGCAGGACAAGAAACCCGCTGGTCCTGGGTAACCGTGGTAAGCGCAGCTGATTCGCGGTGGACTGCCTTGATGCGAACGAATGGTGATAACCACGTGGGCGCGGTGCTGCTAGATGCTGAATGGGGCAACTTTTGAGCTCTCACAACTGTCTTCACGACGAATCACGTCGTCAATCGACATGTCCAGCACGGAAAGGACTGAATCAGACGGACACGTCGACACTGGTTTTGTTATAGACGATCACAGTGAACCCGAAGATTCGGATAATGACGAAAACGACGATGCCGATGCCGATACTGCTTCTCAGCGGTCAATTTCTCTTTCATCCCCTCCACGTTCGCCCGGACACGAACACAACACTGCTCTACACGCTCGGGATTTCTTTCCAAGACTTGGATCACAGGAAGACTCTCTAGAGATTGACTTTAACTCAGAAACTGACGATGTAAGCGACTCCTTCAGCGAGAGGAACGCTCGGCGAGCTAGCTCGATTACATCTGCGGCTCCGTCTGCAGCTCTGTTTGACGAACCGAAATACAATGGGGCACATACTGTGACTTATCCGCCAACTCCTTCGTCAGGCGCGACGGACGCAGATTCATTCACTTCGGCAGCTTCTTCATATTCAAAGAAAGCACGGCCGGAGTCTATGTTGCTACAACCCCCTGAAGGCCCATTAGTCTTGGGTATCGCACTTGTAGACTTCAATCATCTGGTATGATGGTTGAGCATACATCCATTATTTTGGAAGTTCATATGTAACGTAGGTTGGTCCGAAAATCGAGTTTTCCCATGGCGATATTTTCCAGGATGAGGAGATCGTCAAGATACTTCCTTTCTTGGCTCTTCCAGACGGCGCACATCTGGTAACCACAAACAAAGCTTATACAAAACTTGCTCTCATAAAATCCCCTACATAGTCTCTAGAAGATTACTCCTACTTTCATCTTGTTCCCAATGCCCCAATACCGACCACGATCTTTGGCATCTCGTGCGGATCATTCTATATCATTATATGCGTGTTGGACCCTAACTTTTTCCTCACAGATGCAATCGCCAAATACCAACTTCTGCATTACTTGTTAAAGACGTAGACGTGACGCGGTCAATCGTTCAAAAGGCTGTCGTAGTCCTGGCATCAAAACCGGTATTTGGCCCCATTCGGTTGGTCTGCAATGCTACACATATACCCTTTGACTATATGCTTTGTCAGGGATCGTTTAGGTGTCGTTACACGCGCATTGTTTGAGCAACGGTGAACTTGGACGTTGCCTCGATGAGCCAATCTAATGTTACCTCATTAAGGGACTTCTCGGACACCAGTATTCTGGTAGATTTTGGTGCTTCGCTAGAAATCTCCCTTCGCACACAGCTGACGGAAAGCGGTTTATACATTGGTGGGTCGGGAGAGCTCATCGCTACTACTTGTCATGTCTGATCTCCTTGTATTCATGCAGGTACAAGCATGTAAGTTGCGCAATACTGATAATGCTGAGAAGCTGACGAGGACAGCCGAGAGTTTGTTCACATCTTCCGCCATCGCACGCTTGTTCTACTAAAAGCCCTCATGTGTCAGAAAAAGGTTTGTTATAACCACCAGAAATGCGGGCCATGTTGAAAGTATCCTAGATTATGTTCTTTGGTCACCCAGTGGAACGACTGTGTACTTACCAGTACTCGCTCATATCACTAATTCCTGGTAATAATTCACGCCTTCTTCTTGTCCTTATCTCAAGTCAGTATACAGGCTTATTGCAAACATTGGAGGACTCTGGATCTCCGCCTCTTGCCGCACGTGCACCAACACTTTCGTGTCCACAGTCGTTACGAACGTCAGATCGCAAAAGTATGATGGCATACATGGGTCTACCACTAGATATTTTCGGAAAGGTATGACCTGCGCTGCACGATAGTATACAAGGCTGACCATGCGTTTCAGGATGCGTTTTTCCAACCGTACTTGCCCTTGCAACAGCTGGACCTTCTAAAGGATTCGCAAGGCTGGCTATGCGGGAGCACGAACAGCATAGTGACTCAACAGAAGGAGATTGATTTACTTATCAACGTTGGTCTTGAGATTCCACCGAAGAAGCTCGATGCTTACCTTTAATTCCCAGACTGAAACAGCGATACTAGAGTTTCGAAATCCCGGGTTAGAACGGCTGATGGGCCTAACAGCTGCTGACCGAAAATGGATGGATGAGATCGTTCGAGACGTCAACGATGCTTGGGACGATGCAGATCCAACCAAGCCTGCGATGCAGTATGTCGCCTTGTAGAGTTGCCTGGTTCCTGATCTAACATGATCAACAGCTTCAAAGGGAGCGATGATTACCTGCGAGCGAAGGTTGCGTTAGCTTATGCGTCAGATTCGCCTTGACTTACATTCATCTTTCAGTTCGAAGAGTATGTTTCCGCTGCACTTGCATCTGTTCGATATCGGGAGTTCCTTGCAAAAGGGAAGGTGAATAATGTGATCATTACTGGAACAGGTAAATATCGACCATGTACAGCAACCACTAATGCTTATGATGTTGGTGCAGGAGGAGATGATAACTCGATCGACGACTTCAATCCCCTTTGGATCGCTGAGTTCACCAAGACGAATGCATATGATGTGTGGCAGAGGTCTACAGACCCTATGCTCTTCGACATCGTCGAGCCACGGTCCGAAAACTTTTTCCAACGATTGTTTCAGACGCTTATTTTTGCTCCGATAGGCATCCATGCAATGAGAAACCTTCTGTTGTTGCAGACATCGGAATCCGGTTGTCCGAAGGACTTCAAGAACTGAAACTGGAGCAACTAGCTCCAACCCGAGAAGCCATCTCACGCACCATCACCGCTAGCTCAACGAACTTCTTCAAAGCGGTCGAAGGCGTCCGTGGGCGGTGGCAGCAACGCACCGCCAGCTCTACTTCGTTCAACTCTGATCTCACGAGCGGCACTTGTGAAACCCCGGTGGAGATCTCAAAATCTGAAGCGGAGCTGTCTTCGTCTGCCCTTTCTGAGGGAAGCAAGCTTACTTCAAATATCACTAGACAGACATCGAGAGACTCCGTACCCGGTACACCCACACGTCCCGTAAGCGTCGCTCAAGCCGCGTCGGACGCAAAGGTAGCGTTGGGAAACTGGGGTGCAGGTATCCAGTCTTTCTGGTCCGGTCGTGCATCCCGGTTTTCCATATCCCGCTCGAGCATTGCGAGTGTAGCATCCACAGATTCGTTATCTACTTCCGGCACGGGACAACTTCCAACATCACCAATGCCGTCATCACACTCGCACTCGCGCCCGAGTGTGGGCACAGTGGAGGAGGAATCGGAACATGATTTTGATCACACGGGATACGAGTCGCAAGAGCCAGGTGGGATCGCTCTTTGAACTGGTTTCGGACCTCGTCGCACCTAGTCCTACGCACTTTCATTGCATCGCAGATACAGTTTACGCAATGTTTGTAATTGACATAAAACAACCCAACCATGTATCACGAGGATGTGATTCCGTCTGACTCGACTGTGAAGATAGTAGACCTCGTTGTCCCAACCGAAGATGGCGTAAACAGAAACATCACGATGGTCCGCCGGGACGAGGATACTTTCTGGTGCCGATCCTTGATTGCTGATTCAGTTTGTCACAGCGACTTTTACAGGTATATTGTGTCAGGGGGCGGCCCAGCACATCGAGCCAGTATGTTTCAGAGAGGTTCGTAGAGGCCGAAAAGAGCACCTTCAGGCTCACGTACTCCTCAACCTGGGAGATTGATTAACCGTGCATGCCTGTCAGGAGTATAGAAAAAAAATTATGCGCGTCAAATGCGTCTGCATTCTGAGTCCGCAGTGACAAACGAGACGCGATAATATCTGTGACTCCAAAGGCTTTGGTTCCTTTCCTTACTGTATTGCAAGTGAGTTGAGACGGAACTCGATTCAAATGTATCATGATCGGTGCATCATTGAGCGATGACCTCAGGCTGTGTCCAGAATGCACCGGCCTGAATTGTATTTTGTCGCCTTCCCTTTTTGCTCCTGCGGATCTTTCCTATGTCCGCCTAAGCAGTGATCTTGCTGAGAGAGGTTGTGAGCAGTGTTAGGCTTTAGCTCCCCCGATATTAGGAGTTGGGGCGGCCCATTAATTCAAGTCTGGCTGGTGTCGATGGTATTTCACTCCAACGTGGCTCTCTAGCGCAAGGCGATATGTACTTTCTAGAGTATGGTGTCCTGCAGGACCATACACCGGTCAGCTTGTTATAGAATGGTAAAATGGTAATAAAAAAGGGGGGGATTACCGTGCCTACATAGAGAAATGTTGCACAGCTCAGGTCATGGCAATATCTCATGCAACCATGGAAGCGCATGGCCTCCGATTGCGTGTAAAACGCCTTCTAGTGTGAGTAAATCCCTAAATCCCTGACTTACCAAATCAGCTGCATAGAGTCCATCAAACGAAGCAAGTACCTTTGATGTGAAACCTTGTAAAGCATGCATCAAAAAGACAAGGTAGCAATCTAAGCAAAGAATCGAGGATATGAACGACGCGGGATAATGGGGTTGACAACGCAGCCCAGAACCAGATTTTCATCACACGTCGTCATGACTGGGCGTAAAAGTATACTCGAACAGTAAATGATCCAGACAACCGAGAGTTAGGCCTACTAGACGCATGGAGCGGTATAGCATACGTTGGGTAATTGAGATAGACGCTGAAGAACATTCTGACTCGTGCTACGCGGCGGTCAGATGATGGTCTCCAAAAAGAACGCCCCTATAAGATGTCTCAATGTCATGATCAACTTCTAAGAAATATGCTGCACGCTTACGACGATAATGCTCTGTATCCTGGGGACAAGGGATGATTCGGTCCTGACTTACGTGTCTGCTTTATCTGAAGAAAAATACAAGGCAGAAGCTCGTAGCAAAAGACACGCCGCGAGTTGGGATACGATTTATTCGTATCCGAGTCAGTACATGTCGTTTGAGAAAACTTACGACAGAAAGTAAATCATAAGGGGTCGTGCGTCTACACGAACTGACCGTATGGCCATAACGTTGAAAGGGGTGTTTCAATCAAGGTATTGTGATTTTCCAATGGCCCCCGCCAAGAAGTCATTAATGAAGCTTTGAATACTCGGCGGATATGCATGACATCAAGGCAGTGGATCATTGAATGATTGATGCAAAATGACATGTGGCTTATGTAATCACATGAGCTTCTATGCGTCGAGTTTTGTATGGAAGCCGATTGCTTGTGCTTAGCCTTGCAAGAGCTGCGGAAGCTGGCCTTGTTGATCAAGCGCTGACCCATGACTACACCAATTCGCAAGAAGCGCAATTTCAAGGCCTTGCAGCTTGATGTGCCCGCGAAACCGAAAGAACCAGAGCCAGTCCCCACAAGGGCTGCTCCCGTGACTACAGCGGCGAAGGGCAAGAAACGACCCCCGCCTATGACTCTCAATGCACCCAAACTTGGAGTCTCTAATGCCGTTCAGGATCCAGACGGAAATCCTGCGAATGTCGCAGGCGGGCCTACTACCGCTATTGCCACAGCTTCTGCAAATACTCGGAGAAACACATACCATACTACCCTTTCCAACACGCTAGCAAACCTTGATATGAATGCCGAGACACGCTACGATCTTCGCAACGAAGATCTGAAAGACCTTCAGGAGCTTGGCCAAGGCAATGGCGGAAGCGTGAAAAAGGTAGAACATACACCCACTAATACAATCATGGCCAAGAAGGCAAGTCTTTTAATCTCTCGTATCTATATTTTTTCAACTATGACTTGTAGATTGTTCTCATTGATGCAAAGCCTTCCGTGCGGAAGCAGATTCTCCGCGAACTTCACATTATGCACGATTGCCATTCGCCATACATTATCTCATTCTATGGCGCATTTCTTTCTGATCCAAATATCTGCATTTGCATGGAGTTCATGGACAAGGGATCTCTTGATGGAATTTACAAGAAAATCGGTGCCATCGACATCGAGGTCGTGTCCAAAGTTGCGCTGGCTGTACTCGAGGGCCTGACTTATCTATACGACGTGCACCGAATCATTCATCGTGGTGAGTTTAAACACGTGGATAGCCCTAGTTTTTTCGTCGAGGTTGATGGTCACGTCAGATATCAAGCCGTCGAATATCTTGTGCAACTCGCAAGGTCAAATCAAGATATGCGACTTCGGCGTTTCCGGTGAACTCATAAATTCTATCGCTGATACCTTCGTCGGAACCTCAACTTATATGAGCGTGCGTCTGTATTTCTTCTGCATCTTCGTTACCGAATCTATAAAATTATCTCAAATAGCCCGAGCGGATACAAGGCGCACAGTATACCGTCAAGTCCGATGTGTGGTCTTTGGGCATTTCTCTCATAGAACTTGCCCTAGGACGGTTCCCTTTCGCCGATTCAGATCCGGACGACTCTGACCTGTCCGACTTTGAAGGTACCCTGTCGCCTGGTTCCATCGGACTTCCACCGAAGAAAGAGAAAGATAAGACGTCGAAGAAGGACAAGCGGAAGAGCAGGGGCGTCAGCCTACAGGGAGGCGGAATGATGATGAGCATATTAGAACTGCTCCAGCATATTGTCAACGAGCCTGCCCCACGGCTGACACCAGAAGGTCGATTTCCTAATGAAGCAGAAGACTTCGTCGATAGTTGTCTGCTCAAGGATCCTGATGCGCGGAAGACTCCCAAGGATCTTCTGGTACTTTCTTCTAATTTGTTGTATTCGTCGTGTCCTGACCGTGTCATCCAGAAACATCCTTGGATAGACAGTGCCATAGCATCAAGGTTCGACCTCGAGGTTTGGGCAAATACATTTTGAGCTCGTTGCGTTGTTGGCCTTGTATATCTCATATACCCCCTTATTCGCCCTCCCACGTGATCTTAATTACTGCCTGCTGCCATTATTCTGATTGGACATTTCATCCTCGCGCGTCATCTGTATTTTAGAAAAACCTTGGAATCGTATTCCTCCGGATAACCCAGTCTTTCAAGTACATTTCATCTCTCTTGCGCCCAGTACGTTCTTTGATACAGTGTTTCATCGCTAACATTTCCGGACTGCGAAGACCCCTTATCTGCGCTGTGCGATGTTTTTCCATACCGCATATGCCACCCACATTCCTTCTTCTGCCAGTGTCTCCGTCAGTCATAACAACACCAGTATTCCACCGTCGTATTCCCATCTACGGTGCACGATCGGCGGGTTTCGAAGTGCGGGGCATCCGCTGGGCACTGCTCCCCACACCCTGACCAAGTTCCATTGCACCAGACAGTGTCGCTCGTCAGTGAGCCGGGCGTGGCTCGTGCGCTAAGAGGACTGACGGCTGTTACTAATGCTAGGAGACTGATCGTCAAGAAATTCATCTAGACCGTTGACTTCGTAAGCTGGAAGCACAGGTTGGTGGAGGACTCTTACTGTCAGAGGCCGCCTATAAGCAGTGTCAAGCAAAATCGCGGGCATGTTGTTCGCCAGTGCCGGCGCTCACAGTTGGCATGTTGCGTTTGTTATAGTTATAATAAACCTGGAAACAGCATTCGCGCCAGAACCATAAGAATGGAAGATCCGATCATTACTCTCGCTATGATGGACTGCGGTGATGAAAGAGACAAAAGGTACTAGCTTCTTGTTTTGGGGTTGAGAACCGCTTGCCGATAACACGACTATGCAGTCTTCTTGAAATAAAGTTTGCATTGAAGGATGGACAATTTGAGATGGAGCATACGGCATAAACGTTTGAACCATGAGGCACCCTACTAGTAGTGTCAAACATTATATTACGGTACACCTACTTCCTCTGCATTACTTGCTCTGGGTTGAAGGACTCACGGAGGGGTTCCCGATCCTGGTATATTCTCTCAAAGTTGCGGTGGCGTCCGGTCCAATAATATTATAACGCTACGCCACATCCATCGCAGCGCTACGGACGAATGTGTCTGATTGGTCAAACGTGCGATAGTATCTCCGGCGGAACTAGAGGCGATAACAGCATCGCCCGAGACTCGTAAGATGAGTTCATGGTACCTTGTTATCACTCGGACCCTTTGGGGCCTTCCTCGGTTCCTTCAATCCCTGAGGAAATAGGGTACGAACACGGAACCTTACGGATATCACAAAAGACCTCGACAACCGCAATAATCAATATGTAGCTCCCCACTTCCAATGTTGACTTTGACTTTTCAGATCAGTAATGTGCTCTTTTTCCTCGCGAGCTTGGTCCTAAATATTGTACATACCCACTCATTGGAATCTAGAGTACTCCTTATTCTCGATGAGTTATCATCCCGCACCGCCGGTGAGTTTTTATTAGCCGCTCGTCTTCCATATTTTTTAACTTCGAAATACTTAGGCACTAGTCTAGTCAACTTAACCCTCCGCTCGACACCTTTACGGCCACGAGTAGGCTTCGCCCCCCACCTCCCCTTAAGCTACCTTTTCTATCCTAGTCGTCTTTCCACTACACTTGTGTTGTTGCCAACGTTGCACTCGGTCTTTGGACGATTTTGTTTGTACGCGTTGTATTAGCTTTTCTACTCAGTGCAGACCATGTTTATTTTATATATGTATTGCAATAAATCCAGTGGACACTTATCCAAACAACCCTCGTGCTTTTTCACCACCGCAATCGACTCGGAAGTTCCAGTAAGCTCAATCTCTTTGCGAACAATACCCAAACAACACTCGCGCGTGACAGCCACACCCAATGGACACACTGGCCGTGCTTCGAGCAACACTCCCCGTTCAGCGCTGCAGCATTGGTGCATTCTCAGCGAGGTGCCGTCGGTTCCATATGTTCAACTTTGAAATATGCGCCACCCAAACCTCAATCAACTCAGCCTACAACAAGACCGTTTTACAGCCAGGAGCAGGCTTCGCGGTTGTGTGTTCGCGTTATCGCATATCTCTTTGCTTGTCCCGTTTTACAGCCATGAGTAGGCTTCGCGTTTTTAAGGAGTCAACTTGATGTATTCATCAATGTCACAACTACACGCTAGGATGCAAAATAACACAATGTCCGAAGATGATTAACTGCCACGTCAGCGACTGTGAACAGGAAACACCACGTCAGCAACGAGATCATTGGTAATGAAAATAATACGAAGTTGTAGGAGAGACATTAACGAAGGAAAGACAATGACAATATAAGTCACGGAGGGGCAAGCATCTGCGGAGGATATGTTGAGGTCGTTATATACCGCTCAATGATGGCTGCAACATTAAACTGAAGCGAACATGTCGAGTAGAGTCTGAGGGTGTTCGGACTTTGTGTGTTCAGGGTTTGAAGTTGTTAGAAGGAACCGAGGAAGGTCCGCCTGATAACAGGGTACCGGAAACCGTCGTAAGATGCCCTGTCAAAACACAGAAAACGGTATGGTACAACGTGATCTTGACGTGATCGTCATCATTACAATCATAAGGCGAGTTGTAAATAAGTCCCAACTCGTAAATAGTAAATACTAAGGTAAAGTTCGGGCAGAAAATGTAACGTAGACCCATCCTTCGGGGGACTCGGGATATTCGTGCTATGGATTCATAATAATAGTATATCATAGATAGGGATGCATCAAGGTAAGTCGTGTGAAGGTCCAATCATCGTCATCGTCACACAAAAATGACGTGTTCATGTCGGTATATCGCTCGTGGCTTGTAGTTCAAGGGTATATAGTCCATCCGTTCCTTGACGGATGAATGGAATTTGGGATGGTGGTGGGGAATAGCGCGACCTTTGCCCATATGGAACCTGCCATCCATAGTCAATCATAAAAGAAGTTCTTCGCAGTTACAAGTAGCTCACTTCCATGTCTTGTGCCATTTTCCACGTGCATCTTGCCAGGCGAATGGAAGGGGAATGATTTCAAGGAGCCACCAGGCCTTCTGCTGCTGCAGTTTGTTGAATAAAGGAGCAAGAGCATCACAGGTTTCTGGATTTGGCTGTGATGGTGTAGTGGGAGGATCAGTGGGAGGGCTAGAAGGGGCGGGTAAGGGTGCTTCTTCTACTAAAGTGTCGTTGGTTGCAGCACTGAGACCGGTCTTGTCTGTCATCGGTGGTGACTTGCCGGTCGGATTCTCAGTAGCAGGCGGCGTTTTCGAAATAGGAAGGCTCGATAATGGCATGCCGGCACGCTCAAGGGCCGCCTCATCGAAAACGATGCCGCACTGAGACAGGAGGACCTGTTCAACCATCCAGCGAAGAGTAGTTTGCGCCAACGAGACCTTGACAGAGTTCCCAACATTACCGCCGCCTATGTCTGCTCATATTTTGTTAAGAGAGAATTAGCGAAATGTATGTATGCTCACCGGTATGGCATCCTGGGAACCAGACTTCCAGAACATCTGATGGTGGTATTGGCTCTACGTCTGGACTATCAAGGACTTCCACACTCGTCTCTTCCTTGACGACGATAGTCTCCCCAGGCATCTCAGCGACGATCTCGTTTGTGCTTTGCTGGCGCTGAATTTTCTTGAAACCATACTTCAGTCCTTGAAACTTCGGCCTTTTCACGAGCTTCTTTCCGCGTTTCGCAGCTTGAAGGAGCTTATTCCGCAGTGAGGCATTTTTATCGGAAGCTCTATCTTCCAGTTCGGCAACAACTTCGGATAACTTTGACACCTCGGCAAATTCTGGATCAGCTGTATCTGACTGGGGTCGATGATATAAATTTGGCTGAAATATAACACGGTGCTATTGATGAGTGTCAGTATAGAGTAATGCAGGTAATGGGCCGAATAGACCTCGTCGAGAGCCAAAGCGTGTCGAAATGTCTTGATCAGGGTATTGGAGTTTGTGAATGGCAGGTTCCGGCTCAAGAGCACCCCGTTGCTTTGTACGGTGTCCCTAAAAAAAGGAACCGAAAAGTTAGTTTCAGGTAGCAGGACATAGGAAAAACTTACCAGACTCCTACGAACTCTACCCGGACGTCATGCGAAAATGTCTGCTTAAAGCCTGCAGCCAGCGCATCTGCTTGTGTGCCGGTCTGCTTGTAGGCCTGGTAGGCAAAGCCAATTTGCTGGACGTCGCATTTTGGAAGTAGCCCAACCTACGACGATGTCTTAGCACGAAAGATAACTTCTAATGATGACTAACAACAACTGACCTTGTGCAGCATTCCCGCTAACGCACGTGCAGTATATGCTCCTCGAGAGAAGCCTGCCTTGAGTTTAGTGGAATTTATTGTGCTTTCAATGCGAGGTTCTCACCGAAAAGACATATCTTATCACCAGGTCGGTAGTTGTCCATCAAGAATCTGTAGCCCTCCATGACATGAACGTCTAGGTACCTGCAAAAAATCAAGCAACGTAGAGCTTCATTTCAGCCTACCATACTCACCATGCAAAAGCCTCATCCAATATCTTGGCGAGCCAAGTGAACGTGGGGGACACCACTCCAGGAGAAAAATACGTCCCAATGCCAGCCTGTATAATAAGGGGGACTTGAGTACCCTTGTTACTGCAACGTGGGTGATCCGCGATCGGATAGTAAATTCGCTGGGGTACTGCACAGGCACATACCTGATAATAGGAGAGCTGGCTGTCCGTGTCTTTCTTCAATAAAGACACGAACTTAACAACATTCGAATTCTGTGACAAAACGATTTGAGTACCATTAGCTACTATATCTGTGTATGGTATTCGGAGGCTCACCGTCGCATTGTAAAAGCCTGCAGTACCGTCAAAGGTCGCAATGAGGACCTTCGGCTTCCTTGATACTCGGCTTTCGCCCGCGTTCGACATCGTATCGAGCAGTCACGAACGAGAGATGGAAATATGCGTCTGTGAAGGGTGACACAAGCGGACGCTTATGGTCGTAGAAATACTCTACTAAAATCTGCGTAGGGGTATTATTAGTTCGGAAGAAGTTTGGACTAAAACGAAATGAGATGGCTTGCGTTTTGTAGCTTGCAGGGGCACCGATATGGTGCTCGGTATTTGTCTGATTTGGACATCGCCGTCTGAGTTATTAGCACAGCGGTATCCGATGGCCTGAAAGCCAGCGCTCTGGCCTGGCTTTAGAGGGCTCGGACCTGGAAAAAACTCAGGGCCTGACTCGGGCTTGCCTCGGGCCTGGGCTTACAGGTTAAAAATGTGTCAAAACATTCATTTCACTACCAGAGGCAATTAGACTCGAGTCTAAAGGTGAAGTAGGGGCCTCTCGGAAGATCAAACCACGTTAATACATCATGCGAAGCACCTGAATCGCCTCCATCAGCAAACTACTAGTTTTGGATACAAGATTCCCACAGCATTACAACCGGCACAGAGCCACATAGCATGCACAGTGTTACAGTGTATTTGAGTATGTAAAATTGCTCAATATACACTCTAGCGTTCATATAACAAATGGGCGGGCGAAAATTCATTTGATTCAATGCTTCCGAAAGCCGTTGACATGAGCGTCCGAAAACTGAACGATACTCCGATAAGCTGATACGTTCAGCTTTCGGACGCTCATGTCAACGGCTTTCGGAAGCATTGAATCAAATGAATTTGCTATACTCCGATAAGCTGGGGCGAAAATTCATTTGATTCAATGCTTCTGAAAGCCGTTGACATGAGCGTCCGAAAGCTAAACATATCTTGCTATACTCCGATAAGCTGTTCCGAGAGGCGGCAACTGAGTGGCTCCTATTAGTAAGATAGATGTGATGTGATGTGATGTTCGTTACTAACTAGGGGGGAAATCGTATGCTGCAGTACTTCAGCGATTTCCGCAGCACTCAGCACTGACTTCAGAGGAATATCTACCTAAATAGATATGATACATCAGTAAACTACAATGGTCTGTACAGAGCTGTACAGTTCACCAGAGCCCTAGCTTGGTCCCCACTGGACAGACTGTCACAGACAGGCCCATCTCTGTACAGCTCTGTACAGAGGTTCCCAGAGCTCCACAGTAGCCCTCTAGTTACACAGATCCTTCCAAATATATTAGAAATCGCTTTTTTCAGTTTTATATTAACTCAAGTCAAACAGGTAAAATTAAATTAAAACAAATGGATTGCAAAATAAGCAACTACTCTATTAGACTCATCAATACAAACGGTAAGGGTGTGAGACAGTCAAAGTGCAAGAGTGTGAGAGAGAGTGCAAGTGCAAGGGAGTGCGAGAGAACGGGTTGTCATCATAGTCATAGTCATAGTTGTTCGTCATTGTCATGTGTCATGAATGTTACCAACTGCATCTAAATTTCGATTATCGAACCCTAAGTCACCTATCCGATAAGACTAGATTAGATAAGATCCCTGATAAGATAAGATGGATAACCGATTAACGATCACTATCTTTACATCACATCTATACTAAGTCGACATCATCCATCTATATCCGTAACCCTAGACATCCGAAGTCATCACATCCTTAGAAGTCCTATGATTAGGCAACCGGCTACATCATAAGCATCTACACGCCTCTATGATCGAACCATAACCGAGAGTCCCTTACAAGTAATCTCTAGAAGAGTCATCATCCTTTCACATCGCAGACCTTCACTTCCCACACATGACATGTTAAGAGTTACCTCTGTCATTCACCGAACCCCTTACATAAGAACCTGTTGCACAGTCACAGCTAGAACCCTGAACCCTATCACAGAAGCGCCACTCATAGAGAAGCATGCTCATTACCGAAGACCCTGGAGAACCCCCTAGATCCAATTGTACCCGATACATCTCCAGATCCTATCTCTTATCGAGATCCTTAAATCACCGCTCGAGACTTCTTGTCACAGAACTCTCTCACACCCTTCTTAATATCCGCTTACCCTGAATAGAAGCAGTACCCTGAGAACCCTGCTTAATCACCGATACCCTATGGACCCTTTTCCCTTCCTTGTAGTTGATTGGTTGATAAGACACCCTGAACCCTAGGCGCAATGTTATGATCTTATATAGATATATCACTACCTTTCATACTCAGATATCTCCGCTTAGAGAGTAGTATATAGTTTAGGTTGTAGTCAGTAGTACTCCTTAGACTTAACCTCTTCGTTCCTACCCAGTGTAGACTCAGACGTTCACTCTCAATATCATCTCTTTGCTCTTATCTTTGACGAGTCCTAGTGGTTGTGTTAGGCCTTTACCATTTGGTGAACGCTGATCATAACACATGTCATTGTCGTGTCGTGTCATTGAGTCACTGTTGTTGTTGTGATAGTGCTGTCGTATTCATTCATGGCGAGGGTAGCATCTCCGCTTGCACAAGTTGAGGGAGCAGGAGGAATACCAGAGAGCTCAAACTTGCCGAGGAGGTTGTTGTCCTTTGTGCAAGCATGCTCACCTTCGTACACCTGAATCAAGACAAGTTGTCAGTAATGTATATATAAATGAAAAAGAAAAAAAATGCACCTATTGTGCGCGCCACGAACAAATGAGTGCAAACATGAAACAAGCATGAAAATACTAGTAAGTAATGTACATACATACATAGATAAAAAAAACACACCTCCAAGTGGCGAGAAAGACAGGCAAGAGACGGGGCATGATGGGGCACTAGAGACAGGCGAGAGATGGGGCGAGAAGACAGGCGAGAGATGGGGCATGAGAGATGGATGAGAGAGACAGCATGTCGCATGGGGCGAGAGAGATGGGGTGAGAAATGGGCGAGAAATGGGGCATGGGAACATGAGAGACGGGGCATACGAGCACGAGAGATGGCACGAGAGGAGAGGGTGTGAGAGGCCCATCAGTGCTGGGGAAGATGGTGACTTGCACCACTGCCAGTCACGTTGTGTTCAACCTAGAATGAGTTTATGAGCACGTTAATAGAGTGAACAGATAGAATTAAAAAGAAAAAAAACTCAGCAAAAGTCACATACTCAAAGGCATAGCACAGGTACTATGTTACCGATAGAGAGGACTTGGAGCTTGTTGTGGTGGACATTGGAGCCGTATTTTGATGTGGGAGCAGCACTGGGATGAGGAAGGACATAGGTAGTACATACTAAATATTAAGAACTACTAGTACATGCAGAAATTAATGAAAATTTGTGAAGTTTGAAAGTACTAAATGTTGGAGCATGTGAAATTGCTCTGGTGCTCTGTGGGTACTGTGGTGGTCTGAGGCACTGGCTGGTGCTGGGGTGAGCTGTCACTTTAAGTGTTCACACTGTGGACTTCTGGGGGGAAAATTGTAGTTTGCTGATGTAAGCCATCCTATCTGCTTGTGTCACATTCCTCTAACACTAAATCAGATGACAGCACTACTTTCCTGAGCCCCCTTGTTGTTTCCCACAATGACTAAACCTTCATGGTCGTCATTGCACACAACAACCATGAAATATACCTCAAATCTCATTATTTTACAGTGCTCTTTTTTGGTCCCTTGTCCCTTCATCATCCTTGTGTCATATACCAGATCTGACCACTCCAATAATATTGATATCCACTCCGCTTGGCCCTACACCCTTTCCACTTTTCCCCCACCTCCGTCCCATCCATCCTCTGCTTGATCCAGCCAGCCTCTGCATCCACTTCTGCACTTCCACTTGACCGCCTCATCAGTTACCTTCCATATCGGTTCCATTCAACTGGAACCTCTTTCCCCATTTAGATATATACTTTCCCCTTTGGCATGTAACCCTTACTTCCCGGATCACCAGTATTTCCTATAATCACTTGATTACTGATCTGTCGTGTACATATTGATATCTGCTCCAACTTATGTTTTCACCTGTGGTAATACTTACAAATTGTACACTCAGCACATAGCCTCATACTATGAACTACTGATCACTGCCTCCTTACTTAGAAGTATATAAAACATATCATGTACTTAGCTACTTCCCTCAGTCTTAATATTACTTGTCTTCCTGCAGTTTCTACTAGTGGGAATTCTCTGTAGGACTTTGCTCTCTCTGGACACAAGTTTACCTTGTCGTCACCTCCGATCCTCCACTCTGACCTAGAGCCGTGCTCTAAGTCATCACTCTTACTTCTCTGCTCAATCAACCAATCCCCTTACTCCTCTCTGCCTCAACTCACTTCGCCTGCTTCACCCGCTCCACTTCTAGTTGGTCTGCCACTATTAGCCTTTACCTCCTGACCTGCAAAGCAGACCAAAGTGGTCTACCTGTCCTATCATTGGACATTGTTGATTCCACTCCAAATTTGGGGCACATACTCAGCTAGGGGTGTGGCACGGGAGCTGAAGCCAAGCCCCGACCCCTCCGCTTCTCCATCCAAGCACGGTACCTAACATCTTGCATACTTATTAGATATATTCTTTACTTCCATACAATCCACAAAATCTGACAAAATGATATGTTTGAATACCATTGCACTCACACAAAAATAAAAGATATAAAACTACTGTGTGCTACTAACAATCATCTGAGTTGCTAGAGCTTCCCTCACTAGAGCTTGAGCTTGAGCTTCCATCAGAGGACATAACCATGTCTGTGCCCCTGTGCTTTGAGGGGGCTGTATTCTTTCTCTTCCTTGCTACATAAACCAGCTCTCCTCTGGCCGCCTGCACCCTATTATCCTTCATTCACGCTGAGAGTTCTTGATCAGTTAACTTCACCCAGTGACAGCTTCCCTCATGAAGTGCCCTCAACAAATTTTCTACCCCAGATCTTCCACCAACCTTGGAGGGACTTTGAACTGGCCCAGCTAATGGCCAGCTGATGAGTGCGAAGCTGCAGTGTTCAACTATGTTTTGCTTGTAGTTAGTATAATTCATCTTGATAGAACTTTTGATGTTGTTTTCGAGGGCAATTGAATCTAATGAATAGAAAATGAGTGCATTTACAGTAATGAGTTGAGCCAAAAAAAAATGCACCAAGTTCTTCCTGAATGAAGGTGTGGCAATCACTGATCAGTTTGTTCAGAGGACATTGACGAGGAGCAGTATGTTGGTCTGCATGAGACATTAGCTTGAGGAATGACCAAACAAAAATAAAACTTACCGAGGCCACTCACAACAAAAGACTCGAGTTTCAAGCCTAGGTGATGTGGCTCCAGATTGAGGATGTCCTTCACAAACTTTTCAGCCTTCTGAGTGAAAAAACCTTGGGTTCTGAAAGATCTTCAATGCTACCTTGAACTGCTACATAGAAACCCTCTATGCCCATACAAGCACAAAGAGCCATCCACTATAAGGTAATGAAATTAGCTTGATAAATAGTCAAAGTGTGAAAACTTACTTCATGATCCATAGAAGCAAAGGTTGCATTGACATCATGACTACTAGTAGCCTTGGGATTCGCACATGCAATTTGATTTTTCTGCTGACAGGCTTCAAGGATTTGCATGTTGTAAGCTCTTTTTTCTGCAAAAGTAAGCCTTGAATGGGCATGGACAAGCTTGGTCTTGTTGTCTGCAATGAACTAAGTGAGCTTGATTTGTTCACCCTTTTTAAGGTCTAGATGTTGGTCAGTAATAGCTCAGTAGAAAATAAATAAACTTGTACTTTCATTTGCTTCTTTATGCTTGGCTCTAACAAATACATTCCAAGAATTGACTCCACATTGTTGATGTAGCATATGGCTCCTCAGAAACAATTGATTGCATGTCCATTTGAGAGATCTAAAAAAGAAAGTTAGTGTGAATAAACAAGAGAGAAAAAGAGAAATATGCACCATCCATGTGTCTCTGCAATGTGAGCGGCTTCCTGGGCATATGCTGACTTGGCAGTGTCAATAGCATCAGTTAACACTTCCTGCTGCCTGTGTTGTTCTTGTTTTTGTGCAGCCATGAGCTTTGCACATGAGCACTGATGCTGGCCTTGAAGTTGGACCATGGTGGAGGAACACAATGAACTCATAAAAACATTGTCTGTTAGGTACCATGCTTGGATGGAGAAGCGGAGGGGTTGGGGCTTGGCTTCAGCTCTTGCACTGTGCCCTTAGCCAAGTACGTGCCCCAAATGTGGAGCGGGACCAACATTGTCCGACAATAGAATGGGTGATCCACTTTGGTCCACTTTGAGGGTTGGGAGGTAAAGGCTACTAGCGGTGGGCCAACTAGAAGCAGAGCGGATGGAGCAGGAAAAGTGAGTTGGAGTGGAAGGGGACAAGGGGATTGGTTTCTTTGGACAGAGGGAAGTAAGAGTATTTAACTTAGAGCGCAGCTCTAAGTCAGAGTGGAGGAGTGGAGGCAATGACAAAATGAGACTTGTGTTCAGAGTGAGCAAAGTCCTATGGAGAATTCACACCAGTAGAAACTGAGGGAAGACAAGTAATATTAAGACTGAGGAAACTATAAGCTAAGTACAGGATATGTTTATATACTTCTAAGTGAGGAGGCAGTGATTAGTATTGCATAGCAGAAAGCTATGTGCTGAGTATACAGTATGTAAGTAAGTTTACTGAGGAAAACATATGTGTTGGAGCAGTCGGATCTGGTATATGACATTGTCTTAAGTCATATAAACGGGAGAATCAGGGAAGTCACAAAATTAAGTTCAGTTAGGGTCAGTGATTGAAAAATACATGGCAAATTTCAATGGAATTACAAACAAAATAGTAATGTGCAACTATTCAATGAAGAGAGATATTGTTAGCAGTAGCCACACTAAAAAATGTGATGTAAAACACATACCAAGTTGGCGAGCATTTGTTGCATGTGCCATCACACAAAGCAGTGGGCTGACCCGATCCTCCAGAATCTCTGACTTCATAAGGATAGCCTGCCAGCACAAGGGATGATAGCCATCAACTTGGCAAATGCACCTCCATATCTCATCCATCGCAGTGTGATGAAGAGGCATGTTCTGAAGGATTCTTGTGATGTTGTCAGAAATTTGAATAGCTCCTGTATCACAGGGAATTGGAAGGTGAATTTCAGCTGTCATCAAATAGATATTGTTAGTAATTGAGATGTTGTCTTCCCCCCCTTTCAATGATGTCTGGATCTGCATGGGATTTGAGTGGTGTTTTTTTGCATTAAGTCCCTAATCCCAATTAGTATAGCATAAGAAAAAAACAGGCATGACTCACAGGGTCACTAGATGGTAATTGGGGATCCAAAGAACCATCAACTCCACATGGTGTGCTAGGCAATATTTGGAAATCAGGAGGTAGTACTCTGGACGGCACAGACACAGCCTTGAATTCCAGAACAGAGTGGCCTGAAGACATTTTTTTTCTTCAAAGGAGACAGGCATTGTGGAGAGTGTGATATAAGTGATGGCTGAGGACCCAAAGATGAAGGATATTTCAATGGAGGTGAGTTGGGTGAGATTATGAACAGTGGAGGGCTGGGAAGCCTCAATGGAATTTTGTCTTGCTGAGATGAGGGAGTGGGTGAGATAGGCACTGGTGGAAGATGCGAAGACACAGTATATTTCAATGGAGGTGAGCAGGGTGAGATTATGAATGGTGGAGGGCTAGGGAGCCTTGGTGGAAGAGTGGGTGAGATAACCAACAGTGGGGGCTCTGCTGCTTTTCCCAACACTCTGTCTTTTAAGGGATACTTGTGCTGAGTAGGGCCAGTGAGTGGTGCAGGGCTAGGGATGTGAACCTGTGACTTGATAGGGTTTAGAATGTGGATGTTGCATGTGTTGCATGCAACTGGCTCAGATAAAAGAGTGAACTCAGTGGTGTGGCTATTGTTGTTGTCATTGTCATTGTCAGAGAGTGAATGTAAAGAAGAATGAGTAGTGCTAGCAAATGACATGGTAGAGAGACATGTCGTGTTGACAGGCCATCAGAGGTGATGGAATCACACCAATCTTCATACTGGGTGGAGAGATGCACAGAAGAGTCATTAGAGTTGTGAGAACTGCGCCAGTCCATATCAAGTGCAGTGTTGGCTGTAGCACTTTACATATTCACAGTAGAGTTCGAAGGATCAGGGAAGATATATGAGGAGTTGGCCAGGTCTTCAGCTGAGGGCTTGTCAATGAATTTAATTTTATCTAAAGCTGCATTGTGTACTGTCATTAGCATACAATGAAGAAAATTGATGGCCTTACATTCAAGCATGGACTTGGGAAGATGCACCATCTCCCACTTAAACCTGCACTGATGAACCATGTGCACAAAGGACTCTGAGAATACGGAATATATTGCTTTGATGACTTGTTTCTTGTCCTTGTTCTTGATAAGCTCTGATACGTTGAGTGCAGTTGTGAAAGTAGGAGTTAGATTGAACTTGCCAGGACATCTAACAAACTTGAATCCAGCTGTCATTTTGATTTCCACAAAATTGTTCTGGAGGCGAGGCATTAGTGATTTTCAGCGTGCATGCAAACCATCTTACAGCTTGCATGTGCAAGTCCAAGTAGTCGAGATGAGTGATATCATTGAGAAATTCTGATCATGCCATTCTTTGATACAAGAGCAACACATTTGAGAGCTCAATGCAATGCCAAAGAAAAATGAGTTTAAGACATTTGAAACAGAGGGTGTAGAAATGATTAGAATGTAGTAAGTGATTGCAACTTCATTATGCACAGCAATTATGAGACCCTGCACTAAATCACTGAGTATAAGTGCAATGTTAGCAGTGAGCACCAGACTTTCAGTAGGTTCTTGAGTGATTTTGAAAATGAGATTTGGTGAAAGACACAATAAATACAATTCCATGGATCAAGCCAATGATTGTAGCACAAGTGATATCAAAGTCATGTCACAGTGCAATTTTGATCCAATGCATGGCAAGTCCATTCTTCTGCACAACAGATACATCAATGGTCCCTACACTATGATACAAGCCACAGCATCTGCAAGTCTTGTAGCCTCTTTATGCACCTCATCACTACACTCCTCTTCCTCTTCTTCCTCTTCTGGCTCTGTCAACTCCTGCAATAAATGTAGTGCATCAGTATAACCATCCAACAGACAGATTTTTCATAGGTGAGTACAGTGAATATTGTTAACATGGTGCCATGCAGCATATTGCCTCTGCAACTCAGATGCTAGGATGGGCAAGGCTTTGTTGTTTAGTGCAGCTATTGCAGAGACCATGCTTTTCTCCCCAAACTCCATCCAAGCATGAAGTCTCCCTATCTCAATGTTCAAGCGTGTGATCTCTTCATGCAAGTGTAGGACTTTAAAAAACTTTGCTGACATCTTGCAATTCTCTGGTATAGCCCATGGTTTCATAAGTAGATCATGATGTGAATGCTTCAGGAGTGTGAATTCTCCTAAGGCCGCATACCATACGACTTTAGTATACTCAAGGATTGGTTGAGGTGGGACTTGCAGAGGTGCCAGCTTGTTATATCTGTCAAGTGCCATACAAATTGCAGAAGATCGTTGCACAGTTGCTTTTGATATGTACTTGTGCATCTTGTACCCTGATGACAGGTCATGAGTTTGAATCTAATTAGAAAATTTATCATACCTGTGCCAGAAAGATTTGCCTTTGACAACTTAAACAAGCATTAAACAACTAATGCTTCTAGTTCCTTAACTACATGAATGAAGTGCTGTTGGCCAGAGTATTCTAGTGCTTGCACATAATGAGGGTCTGATGGCATTCAGCACTCGCTGATTCCATGACGGTGCTCAAAGTCTTTGATAACATTCATTTGCAATTGAAGTCATTGTAATGTCGAGGTCTGCTCAGCTTCTGTGGCCTTAGAATGTTCCTGTGTTGACACATTGAGGCCAGATGGCGCCGTAAAGTTTGCTGGGGTGTATATAAGGAAAGGGACACTTGTAATGCTACCATACTTTGCCCTAGAATCAGGTAGCACATTAGCAAGAATGCAAGTAAGTGAATTGAAAAAAATGAACTTGATAGATTGGAGTTTTTCAAGTTCTTCCACATATGTAACCACAAACATGTCAGCTGGTGGCTCACAGGAAAGGTTAGCAAGGAACTCCAACTCCTCATGCTTCCATTGGACAAAATCTTCATCTGTTAATTATTGGCGTAATTTGAAGTCATCCAGTAGTGGGGTGAAATCATTGATCATATGAAGTGCTTGAATATAGTTATTATGCAGGAAATGACCTAAATTCCAAGCCAGAAGAAAGAGGCATTCAGACAAGAAAAACATACTTAGCTCCAGGTACTAGTCCTTATCCCACTGGTCAAAGTGAAGATTGAGGAATTGGACCCAATGGAAATATAATGTGTGGCTGTTAGGTACCGTGCTTGGACGGAGAAGCGGAGGGGTCGGGGCTTGGCTTCAGCTCTTGCGCTGCGCCCTTAGCTGAGTATGTGCCCCAAATTTGGAGTGGAATCAACAATGTCTAATGATAGGACAGGTAGACCACTTTGGTCTGCTTTGCAGGTCAGGAGGTAAAGGCTAATAGTGGCAGACCAACTAGAAGTGGAGCGGGTGAAGCAGGCGAAGTGAGTTGAGGCAGAGAGGAGTAAGGGGATTGGTTGATTGAGCAGAGAAGTAAGAGTGATGACTTAGAGCATGGCTCTAGGTCAGAGTGGAGGATCGGAGGTGACGACAAGGTAAACTTGTGTCCAGAGAGAGCAAAGTCCTACAGAGAATTCCCACTAGTAGAAACTGCAGGAAGACAAGTAATATTAAGACTGAGGGAAGTAGCTAAGTACATGATATGTTTTATATACTTCTAAGTAAGGAGGCAGTGATCAGTAGTTCATAGTATGAGGCTATGTGCTGAGTGTACAATTTGTAAGTATTACCACAGGTGAAAACATAAGTTGGAGCAGATATCAATATGTACATGACAGATCAGTAATCAAGTGATTATAGGAAGTACTGGTGATCTGGGAAGTAAGGGTTATGTGCCAAAGGGGAAAGTATATACCTAAATGGGGAAAGAGGTTCCAGTTGAATGGAACCAATATGGAAGGTAACTGATGAGACGGTCGAGTGGAAGTGCAGAAGCAGATGTGGAGGCTGGCTGGATCAAGCAGAGGGTGGATGGGGCAGAGGTGGGGGAAAAGTGGAAAGGGTGTAGGGTTGAGTGGAGCAGATATCAATATTATTGGAGTGGTTGGATCTGGTATATGTGTCATATACCGGATCCAAGTACCCCCAGTACCACCTATAAGCATCCCACCCCTGGTCTGACCCCCTGTTTCCCCGTCCGCTCCATTCCTCCTTCCCCGACAATGCATGAAGTGCATCTCAGCAGGATTAGCCCTGCTACCTCCGCCCGACCCCATTCTGCCTTTCCGACATTACTCCTATGTCCCCCAACCCCTTACCCCTTCCATCCGACCCTATCTGGGGTTCCGCTCCTCCGCCCTAACGGTCCACCCAATCCTACTCCTACTCCCTCTGCTTTTCCGACCCACAGGGGTCCTGCAGTTCCGCTCGTATTCCCCCACCCGACTGTTAGTCCGTCCAACCGCCTCACTGGTCCACTCCTAGACTAGGAAGCACTCAACTGGTCCTATCCCCGTTTAGTATCATAGTTCTGCTTTTCGGATCACCGGTAATCCCTATACCCTAGCAATTCTGATCCGTCGCGTACATACTGTTCCCTGAGCCTTATTCTTGTATGTCTCAGTCATCCTATTGTAATCCTGTACACTCAGCACATAGCCCTCTGCTATGCTATGCTCATCACTTAGAGTATATAAACATATGTACATTTGTCTGTAGATACTCAGTCTGAATATTACCTTTTCTAAGCCCTGCTCTTCTGTTCTTTGACTTGGGCCTGATCCTAGTCAACTCCTGTTAGCTGGCCTAGGGGATTGACTCCCTAGGCCAGCCACCCTCCAATCCTCCAATCCTCCAATCCTCCAATCCCCCGACCCTCCATTCCCCCATTCCCCCATTTCCCCGTTCCTCCATCCCTCCGCTCCTCCAACTCCCCATGTGTCGGAACTAGACCCTGCACTCTCGCATCCGTCCCCTCCGTTCCGCTCTGCTTCGGACTTCATCCAAGCAGTTCCCTCCACTCCGCTTCTACTGTTGGTTCTGACCGCAGTAGTTTCCCGCTTCCTTCCTGTCAGGTGGAACAACCCCTGCCCGACTTTCCCGCGCTCACCTAGTAGTCCGTCGGTCCTCCTTCAGAGGACCCCATTTCAACGTCCTGTCAGAACCCATAGAACTTGTTTGGACTACGTTCCGAAATTAGGGGCATGTACTCAGGTAAGGGGCACAGCATACGAGCTGAAGCCGAGCCCCTCAGACTCCGCTTTACCCCTGAGCACAGTCTTAACAATATGACAGTGGCAGATGAGTGAAGCAGCACTGTTGGAACTCGAAAAAATCTGTTCGCAGGTCTCTAAGTCCTTGATCCCAAAGCTATCCAGATACAATGGATGATTTGCGGGCTGACATGGACGGTTGTGAGCATACCCATGTAATGCATTGACTGCAATGATAAGGCTGTGCTTGTCTGCCTTGGCACCAATGGAACTAGCAGCAACTGTCTTGTATGACAAACAGCCAATGTCATGGACAAGAGCTTGGTCTTTCCCACAGATGTCAAACATCCAATTGATCACAGCAAGGCCATACTTTGTGCTGACATGATGTTTCATTAAATTAAAAAATGGCCTGAAAACACAATTACTTACAGCTCGCTACTGCACTTCATTTCAATGATACATTCCACAAAACCGTGGCAACAGGCCATGAGAAATATACCAATTTGCTTGAACACAGAAATCTTGTCCTCTTCATGAGTCTTTGCAGCAGTCCAGTTGTCTGTGTAGCTGGAATTTGGATTGGCACTTCATTCACCAGGGCGGTTCCTAATGTCATCCCTGAATTGTTCAACCATGTCATCAGGAATGAAATAATTGCTCTGAAAAATTCAGGGATCAGTTGAGCCAGAGCTATCAATGTGTTTTGCAGAGTGATTCCTGTCTGTGCTATGTAATCGCCATGGGACAAGGTTTGGTTCATTTGGTTGCTGAGAACAATCAGCACATGAAAGAATGTTGCAAGGCATATGTGCCTTGAATGCTATGGTAAACTAACTCTGAAATGTAGGGCTATATGTTACCTACAGGTAGCTGTAAATGACGTAAAAAAATCATATGATTGGCTTACATTGTGAAGCATACACAAAACTCTTGTGATGGACTGGATGCTAAGTGAGGACTGGTGCTGGTGAATTTGATGGTAGAGCTCCAAACACTTAAGGCATATTGCAACTGTTGGTTGGATGGGCGAACAACCAAGGAGACCATGGTGCAGGAGTGCAGCATTCCCTGGTTCATCGAGCTGTTGGTGAATCATTACATTGTGTAAAAAATCTGAGGGCAGGCATCTGCTCTATCATGCATTATGGGCATGGAGATTGCACTGTGTTTGTGTTGCTTGTTGTGTTGTTGGGGGTCAGTAGCCCCTCTAGTACAAAGGCAACAAGAGAGTGCACAAAAACATTTGTTCAGACATACCTTTGTGCAGTGCAAGTACAATAAAATTTGGAGAACAACGACCCACTGATAGTATCCTCTTTGGTTGCCTTAGCATCCATGCTGTCATCCTCAAAATCAAACTCATACTGCATGTTGTCATGGTGGTCTAGTCCAACCTCAATCTGGGCCTCAACTAAGAGTGCACGTGCTTGTTGGGTATTTTCTTTAGTGGTGTAAGGATAAATACAAAAGAAAGAAAATGAAATCAACTCACATCTTATGGATTCTGCTCGCCATCATTCCTTATCCAGTTGGTTACATCAAATTTGAGTCAAGGAAGCAGTAGTTGTATGAATGGAATGTGAGTTGTTGAGGACTGACATCCTCACCCTGGAGGACATCATCATTTGTTTACCAGAGCGTCTCATGGCACTTCTGCAAGGTGTCAAAGAGAGGGCTCAGGGTACATTTGCTTACATGTTTGGCTCCCTGGTATCAATCTCCACTCAGATAAGCTTGTTGCACAAGTAAGTGGGGTAGGTAGACATCATGCCACCCTCACTAAGTTTTTGTATTAGTAGCAGCAGAAAAAAGAATTCTACATTACCAGGTCACTTAAGATGAATGAAGGGATAAGGGACCAAAAAAGAGTGCTGTAAAATAATGAAATTTGAGGTATATTTTGTGGTCATTGTGGGAAACAAAAAGGGGGCTTGGGAAAGTAGTGCCATCACCTGATTTAGCATTAGAGGAATGTGACATAAGCAGATAGGATGGCTTATCATATCTACTGATTGGATCATATCTATTTAGGTAGATATTTCTCTGAAGTCAGTGCTGAGTGCTGTGGAAATTGCTGAAGTACTGCAGCATATGATTTCCCCCCCTAGTTAGTAACAAACATCACATCACATCTATCTTACTAATAGGGGATGTTTATGGTGACACACAGGTGCACAGATCAGGTTCATCATTTAAATTATGTACATTTTGAATGTGTTATCTCAGTCACAGCAATTAGCCAATACAAGCACTCAACCATCCTTACTTCCACAAATTGATTGATGTGGCATCAAGGGCTCCGAATGCATGAAAATTTCAGATTGTAAAGTCATGTGGGCCAAGATCATTGATGTGTTTCAAAAACAGATGAAACACCTTTGCGCATGACTGGATGTAGGTTTCATATTTTTATTTGAACTATATGTACATCATGATCACTATTTGAAGAGTGACACCATGAAAGGTGAGTGTTAGGTACCGTGCCAGCTCAAGAGGCAGAGGGGTCAGGGCTTGGCTTCAGCTCTTGCGCTGCGCCCTTAGCCGAGTATGTGCCCCGAATTTGGAGCAGGTCCAACGTTGTCCGACAATAGGACAAGTGGTCCGCTTTGGTCCACTTTGAGGGTCGGGGAGTAAGAGCTGCTAGTGGCGGGCCAACTAGGAGCGGAGCAGAGAAGATGGGGGTTGATGCGGAGGGTGAGTGGGAGCAGGGGGAATGTTTGGCAGAGGTGGAGAAGGTGGGGGATGATGCAGAGGGACAAGGGAGAATATTGGATAGGGGCGGAGTATATGGAAAAGACTTTAGAGCACGGCTCTAAGTCGGAGCGGAGGATCGGAGGGTCGGAGGTGACGACAAGTTGAGACTTGTGTCCAGAGGAGGCAAGGTCCTACTGAGAATTCTCACAAGATGTAACTGCGAGAAGACAAGTAATATTAAGACTAAGGAAAAGTATCTAAGTACAGGATATGTTATGTACTTCTATGTGAGGCAGTGATCAGGATAACTATATAGTAAAGCTATGTACCAAGGATATAGTTTGTAAGTACTTTACATAGGCAAAGACATAAGTTGGAGCGGATATCAATATGTACACGTCGGATCAGCGATCGGGCGGTAATAGGAATTACCAGTGATCCAGAAGTAAGAGTCTATGTACCGAAGGGGAAAGTATATGTCTAAAAGGGGAAAGGGATCCAGTTGAATGGAGAGGTTTATGGAAGGGGACCGGTTAAGCGGTAGCGTAGGGTGGAATGCAGGTTTTGTGATAGAGCGGAGCGGAGGATGGATGGGGTGGAGGGGGTCGGAAAGCAGGGTGGATATCAGTATCAGAGCGGTTGGATCTGGTATATGACAGTGAGGTTAGCAATACATGCAATGCATGGCAAGCCTCCAATGTTGACAGGTACTTTGCTGCCTCTGACCACTGGGTCGAAGAACTATCACCCAGAGTATGGGAGCTTGAAAGTGAGTTACTTGGCTTCTGCGGGAACTTAGTGATGATGACATGGAAGATGATGATAATGACATTTCAGCTCCATCTGCAGCAGCATTGTCAATCAACCCATGGAAACCTTGGCTTCAGGACTTCAACTACTACATGAATACATTTGACCAGCTTGCTGAAAAGTAGACAATTGTACAGTGGTGGGGGGTAAGTCATTCTTATACCCTGATTCAATTACTCAATGAAGATACTGAATTTATTTGTAGTTAAATGCAACTGGATATGGGCCAGTCTAGACGGCCATTGCTCAAGACTTTTTAGGAATCATGGCCTCATTGGTCGTGAGTGAGCAGGCATTTTCATCAGCTGTGTTAATAATTACAAAGCCCAAGAGGGCAATGAATTCATGAATGTGGATTAAGAATAGAGCAAATAAAACAGAGCAGTGCATGATAGTTGATATATTTTGCTACCCACAATTCATAGAGGACACTTGTCTGGGCAAAAGACTCTAGATCTAAGAGATCCAAAATTTTGAGAACATTTTCTGTCACATCTTGGGGAAGGCCATTGACTGAAGGCATTTGAACTCAGGGCAAAGTAAAAGTGGGAGTGCTGACTGAAGAGCAGCTCCTTGTACTGAGAGCTGGCAGTGAATATATACCAGACCTAAATTTCAATAATCAGCTATTGAAAAGCTAAATAAGTATGAACTGCCTGCCACCATCAAAATGATGTCATTCACCAATACATCAACATGGTACCTCACCCTGACTCATGAGAAGCCATGGCACCTCAAACATGACCAGCAGACAGATAATTTAATATATCTCATTCGCATAATGTACTTCTATAATGAACTAACAAATCTTATTCCCCCCCTGCTTATTGCCACATCTGCAACATGCTGTCTATGCTAAATCAACAACCTCCTGGGTTTGCATGACCAGGACAACCCACAAAACTCTAAACCAAACAACAACATGGTGAGTATTAGCACCAAGAAACAAAGAAGCTGATCAACTTATTCATTGATTGCCTTCACAACAGCCATAAAGTCCCTTCTATGAAGATCAACAACTTGTAAATGGACAAGTTTGAAGATGAGGTAAGGGCAGCAATTAGAACCATTGCAGTGCAAATCTCTGTCATATAAAACCAACAACTTGATAAATGAGAGTGTGCCAGGGCATTCATGCACAAATGTGATGTGTTTATCAATGTGTAATGCTGAATTGAAGTAATGATCAGGAGTGAGGATGACATAACTGTCAGTTCCCAACACCATTGAAACAGTGACATTTTCATAACCATTGGGGCACAACCAAGAACATAGGCAAGTGATGACTGTTTCGGTGATAGGCATGGTGGTCATGATGATGGTGAACAACAGATCTGTTGGCTGCTGAGATATCCAATAATACAAAATTGTAGTGTGAGGTCACACTACAAGCTCCTGAAGGTATGCAACCTTGCCTTGCAGATGACAAAACCAAAAAAAAGACTCCTAAACTTTCAAAGCCAGATCCATGCATGCTCCTATTCATAATTGCTGGTATGATTTAAACTGCTGCAAATTAGAACATAGCTTGTATTCACCCACACCACCCACCACTATCACAAAAGACATACCACTGCTATTACCTCAACTTCTGCTCAACACCTACTGCTCAGATGAACGTCAACTCCCCAAGCTATGCTCACCACATGGATGATGGGGTATATGACAGTGTTGTCCGCCAACTCATGGAGCTCTCAACAGGAGTGTACCTAGGAGATGCAATGTACAGGTACAACTTCAAATGAGACATCAATGCACACACTGGCAATTACTCCTACAAGTGCAGGGACAGCACCATAGAGTATGAGACTGTCCTCATATGTGAAATCCTCCCTTGACCATGTGGCACAAAATTTTCTGCTATCAGCAATCACTACATCAGAGCAGGCACAACCGTAAGTGATAGGACCTATGACTAAATAAAAAACTACTGACATGAGACAGCCTAACATCATTAACAACAAGGCACACATGAAAGGCATCTTCACACTTAGAAAGCCTTCGCAAGCAACCAAAATGATGTATATCACATTTGAGAATCAAGTGGCTACCTTAGATGACATCATCTAGACCAACCTCAAAGAACTAAGAAAGAAGGAGAAAGAGGTAATAATCAAAGAGTGGACCATGCATACTGGGACTGACACCTTGGGTATACCTGAATACATTATGATTCACATGGGGCAACTATATGCAGTGAGTACCGCCACCAGACTATAATAGCACACTTTAAAGTTTCAAAGATTCCGAAAGGTGCCCAATAAACCACACAAGGCAAACAAGGCAAGATAGCCAAGAAGAGCCTCATTGAATCTGGTGAGGATGGTGAAGGAAAATATACAGAGAGCCCAGCAACCCCAAACACAAATGAGGTCACTATCACCACCAACTCTTTCTATGAGCTGAACATTCTCCCAGACTACCATGGGGATCTGTTCCAACACAAAAACACAAAACTCCATCAGCTCAACATCAGAAATATTGACAATGAGTTGGTTGCGCCACAGGACTGGTATAGCAAGCTTCAGCAGGGTACCTTAGTAATGGTCAGGGCGACACTTCATGCATTCAATTATGAAAACTGGAGAGTAAGTCAGAAACCTGTTCTAATTCAGACTAGACTCACAGATTGGACAGGTCTATCAGCTGAATGCTCACACCATCTGCATCTTGGATCGCTCCAAGATGTTGGCAGAGCCTTTATGCAATCCATACAAGGAAAATAAGCTTGATGGACCCTCTGAAAAGTCAGTCACATCAGCTGCAATGAAAGGAGTGAAACTAGGAAAGAGAGTGAGAAAGGATTGAAAGGGACAAGAGTCTTTGATACAGGCAAACAATTGTAAGATACAGTGAATTTTGGTGAACTTGTACAGTATTCAACTTACCAATGAATGTAAAACATATTGTTTAAACTCAGTGTTAGTGGGCTGTACCACATTAGCTGGCCCTACAACTTATCACATGTTGTGTTTGTTGTAGTTGCTACTATGTACAGGTGCCAAGTAATATAGCCTGCTATAATGTCTCGGCACTATACATCCAGCTGAGCAATCATGCTATTTGCTTCTGTAACTGTTTTTCTCTCCTCCATGACAACAAGTTTGTCATACCTTGTACATCCTCACCTCAATTCATACCTACAGTCTTTCTTTATAGTCTTCTAGTTATGCACCAACACCTTGGTATTGTGCTCAATGAAGGGCCAAATGCTCCCATTACCCCTTCATCCACAATGTCACTGCTTCTGGTTCTGGTTTGAATGCTCAGCCATCATTATTAGCAATGCCAGCTCCCCCAAGCAGCAGAGATCCTGCTGCTCCCAGGTTGGATCATCTCAGCTGCTAGCTTTGCAGAATGCCCAACAATTGGCACCTCAGCAAGCTTGACCTCCTTCTACCCACACTGCTCAACCCACAGCACCTAATCCAGCACCCAGTGCCACACAGCCAGCAGCAGCAGTACATCCAGCAGCTGCTCAGCCTCAGAATATTCCTGCACCTGCAGATTAAATCACTGTGTTAAGGGTGCGAATCGCCAAGCTCGAATGTGGGAATGCTCACGGCAACCATCCACTGGCCAGAGCCCCCGCTCCTCAACAAGCTTTGGTAGTGAACCCTGGAGACATCAACCACATACAAGCAAATTTGGCAGGCGCTAAAGACGAGCCTAAATGACTCATCTTACCTGTGCTCCAACCAGGGCACAAAGTCAGTGCCTTGAGCCTGCATGAGTTTTTTCACTACCACTGTATCTATTGGTTTTAGCCATCCTGCACATATTGAACTTGTGTCAGTGTCTACCAGCAGTAGTTCACTGATGACATCAGACTGAGCTATCAGCCTAGTAGATGATTATGCTGTTCATTCATGAAGTTTTTCACCACACTATTTCTGTGTATCCGCCACACTGTTCTTCATATTAACTGTTCTGTCCTTTGTATTCACTGCACTGTTTAAATTTGAATTCTAACATGCTCTGACATAGCCATACCCCTCAAAGTAGAGGAAGCATTTAAGCAATACCACTATGTCCCTTACACAGCTCTCACACATGCAGCTCACTCTAAAGCTTTCCTGTGTGGGGAAGACTCATCTTTCATTTTCACACAAGATGGGCTTACAGCCAAAGGTCTTGACTGCATAAAGAAGCTCTCAATCATGACAGTTGACTGGATAGTGGCAGTGAAGGCTGCAGAGGATAGAATCTTGCACTACTGGGGGGAGGCTTGGGCATCAGCCCTCATATTGCATCATCTTATAGTTCTCAATATCGGCCATACACATGGCTGGTCTGTGGCAATGCACTATGATGTGCAGCAAAGAGAATTGGCTAACACCAACCACGAGCATAATCTTGCTGGCCTCAATGTAGCAGTACTTACCATAGCCAATAATAAGATACCCCCTGTCATACCACAATTTACTCCATTCAACTCCCTGTTAGACTCTGAACAATCCAAGATGGTTGAGGAGAGAGTGACAGGTGGTCTGAGCCCAAGCCAAAAAGGACATTGACAAGTGATGTGTTGATGTCGGCTCATGTCCTGCAATATGTTACTCATATGTTTGATATATTTTTCATTTCCATCTAGCTTACTATAAGAACACCACCAGTAGCACCAGTACATCTCAGCTTCTTTCAAGAGACTAAGATGTGAGTTAATAGTCTCAATGTATCAATTAGAACAGAACTGACGAGTCCCTAGTATACTTGTTCATTAGGTACATAACTCATTAGACGAGCTTCTTTCAAGAGACTGAGATTATACTTGGTCATTAGATCATCCCCAAAGGCCCACAACTCATTACTCACCACACTCCACATCTAAGTAGGCTGCCCCAAGCAACTTTCCAGCTTCCCCTTATAAAAAGTCACATATGCTTGCATTAAGCCATTGTTTTTGTTGTGGAGCAAGTGGCCACTTGCCTACTGATTGTACCGCTGATACAACCACCACCAGAAAACCTGTTGCAGCCCTTGCCACCAATGCTAGGAGCAAGCATGCACTTGCTACCTCGAGTGGAAAGCATTACTGCTTTAATTGGGCCAATGGCTCCAACTGCACCTTTAGTCCCAACTGCAGAAATGTCTACTCCTGCAGCATCTGTGGAGATTTGTCACATGGGGCCAGCAGCTGCAAAGCTTGCAGGTGACCCATGTGCTGTAATCACCCTGCTCAACCACCTTTGGGTGGAAGAGATTCTTTGTAAATATGGTATATTTGAGGATTGGTATCATATTGTTGACAGTATACATAACAGTTTAAATGTTGGTGTCACAGATTCACCATCCACCACTCATTTATTTTGAGAATCATTCATCCTCATTACCCAATCCCTCCATAATCAATGTGTACATACTCTCAGAACAGGCCATAGGCAGATACTCTATAGGGTTCAGCCCCACAGACCTCAAACAATTAATTGGATGATTTTGTACATCTCCTCTGGGCTTAGTGCCAAAGCCCTATTCCAACAAATTCCGCATAGTATAGGACCTATCCTACCCATATGGTTCCATAGATATCCAATCTGTAAATGCTGTAATCAGCATGGACAATTTTCCTAATGTCTGGGGAACATTCAACAAAACTACTGCCCTCATCCTCACGCTTCCCCCTGGTTGTGTTGCAGCAACCTTCAACATTTCTTCAGCCTACTGTACAATCCCTGTCACACCCTGGCAACAAAACACTCTCTGCATCTTCTGGAAAGGAATCATGTATGTGGACTGAGCCTTCATGCTTGGCCATACATTAAGTGCTAGCGTGTTTGGCTCTGTCACTAACATGCTCGTAGCCATTTACTATTGGCTACCACAACTTCAGACAACTACTCATTCAGACAGTCACACAATGTAACAGAGTAGTAACACATGTCACATCTGCCAAAAACAAGCTCCACTTAGCATCCAGTAGCTGGCACAGGCAGCATTTACATGGGGTGTTGTGGCTTTGTAACATTCATTATTATTTTTAAAAGCAATTAAAAGTGATTTATTGAATATGTATCATCAACTGGTACAAAATTATAAGGGGCTGTAGGTACTGTTTAGATGACTTGTATATGGTACAAATGAGTAAGTAGGTCGGCAGAACTGAAACTCTGCTACGGCAGACTCAGCTTGGTGACAGGCAGACATGATTTTTGGCTCTGTCACACCTCAACAAGGATCTCAATCATTTCTTGACCAATTTCAAAGATTCAGCTTCACAATAGTATATTACAAGTGTATAATGATATGTGGTCAAGCAGAATATGATTTGAAGTAGAGTTGAGTGAGATATTGCAAAGTGTCTGAACCAGTGGTTGTCCGAAGTTGTGGTAACTGATAGTATGGCAAAGCCGGCTTCGAACTTATTCAAAATGGTAGACAACTTTCTGGTCATCCAACTCCCTCACCAATCATGGACTGAAGCAGATTTCATATCCATAACAGCCTACTGTGGGGTTCCATGGAGCCTCAAGAAGCTTTGGCTCTTTGCTTCTATACATCAATACATTGGTTTCAATTGGGACTTGAACCTCAAGTGAGTTTCATTACCAGAGGACAAGCTCTGCAAGGTGCAGGAGATGGTTGTATGCTGGCTGCTCCACGGGCCTCATTTACTGCGAAAGAAGCCACCAGTTTGCACAGAAAATTAGTGCATGTGGTGTGCATTTTCCCTCTGATCCATCCTGCACTTGATAGCAGCATTTGCAGCCAGTTTCTGCTCTCTGCATGCACATCTCCATCTGTCACCAGCTGTTCTCACAGACCTGCCCTGGGTTCATTCTCTACTGTCACACCTCCCAAACTTGGTACCCATCACAGACCCATCTCTAGTAGACATTGGGTGGTGGGGCAATGCAAGCACTTCCTTTGGGATTGGAGTGGTTATACAGAAGCACTGGCCGTCTGGCACAGGGTGACAGGCTTCAAGGTTGGCCCAAAATGAAACTTTGATATAGGCTGGGCAGAGGCTACTGCAATAGAACTTGGGCTCTGATTAGCCCTTCGCTTGGGTATCATAGCACATCACAGATCATCAGAGAATATTACCTATTTGGTGTGCTCAGACAATACTGGAGTGGTGGCAGTAACCAACAAGGGCCGTTCCCACAACACCCACAAATGCAGTTCTAAAGCATGTGTATCAACTGCAAGCAGAAAATGGCTTTTGTCTGCACACAATCTATGTGCCCACTTGCACCAATATCTCAGATGCCTTATCATGCAGTGACATCAAGGCTTTCTTAGCTGGTTTCCCTGGAGCAGCAAGTCCAGTTTCCATGCCCCTACCACCACATTTATCAGACAAACTCGTCCAATTATTGTAAGAGCACTGCATCATATAAGGTAGACCTTGCGCTGTTTCAGCAAACATCACATGATAAAGCATGATAAAGCATTACAAAAGTATTGATCATGTATACAAAGGGTAATGGGACTAGTTTGAAAAAATCAGAGACGGATATGTTGTAGAGGGTAGCTCTAGCTACAAATAATCCGTCGCCGATTGTTTGTTCACGCCATGTTTAGAGAGAAGATGTGTATTTTTTAGTCTACAGAGGTAATCAGAGTTCCACTGAGTTCAAATTTGCTGCTGCACATGCCGTTAGCGATGTCCGGAGGGACACTTCCACCCTCTTCACTGCCGGAATGCCCAAACGCTCATCAAAGGTGCGCTCGGCCCTTGAAAACCTTGGGCAGCATGCAAAGAAGAGGAAGTTTTCAGCACAAGCAGACAAGGAGAACAAGGTGAATATTGAACATACTCAAATATTCTGCGTCACTGACAATTAATGCCTTCTTTTTTCAGTGCCCTACAGTAGACACGACTATTCCTGTATTAGCCTCGCATCACAAATATAGACCAGACATTCAGTTGCCTGTTGTCACTAAGGAAGCTCTGGACATACCCATGGATGATCAATCAGACTCGAGCTCAGACTCATCAGACTCGGATTTGGACCATGACTTGAATTCCAACTGCAACGACTTGGAGTTAAATTGGGATGCTGAGGTGTGCATTGAGATTGAGCATGGACCGAGTGAGGGCTATGAGATGTTTGAGGAAGCTGTGCATGAGTTCTTGGCTGCTAACACAGAGAATTTTGGGCATGGGGACATGGCTCACATTAGTCCTCTGCCGAAGGAAAGTCTAGGAGAGAAGGAATTTATCTTCCCATGGCATTCTATTGATGCACGCACTCCACCCAGCCTCGACTCAGCAAGACTTGCTCTAAGCAATCTCGAAAACCTTCTTCACCCCCCTCGCAATAAGGGACATTGACCAAAAGTGACTGGACTCACCTCCATTCTCGAAAAGCGCTTGTCATGGATGGAATATTTCCTCTGTGCATTCACAAAGGGTGTGGCATGGTCTGCTGCAGCACTGCAAACTGCACAGTTCATCGGGAAGGGGCCATACATGTCTAGAAAGGTGCAGGAGTGGTCAAAGGCCTACATCCAGGACTGTGGGAACCTACCAATATCCAGGAGCAGCTGAGAGCAGAGTAATTCATGGATTGAGGATGAGGATTTGAAGGATGAGTTACTCGTCCACCTCCAATCACTTGGCAAATATGTCACAGCCTCGGCAATCGTCGAACATCTTGCAAAACCAGACGTACAACACCGATACAGTCTGTCAAAGACAGTTTCATTAGCGACGGCTCAGTGCTGGATGAAGACTTGTGGTTTTTGCTGGACTACTGCCAAAAATGGGCAATACGTCGACAGTCACGAACGAGAGGATGTTGTCAACTACTGACAGAACATATTTCTACCTGCATGGTATACACTGGAATCAAAAATGCGAAAATGGTCGCCTGTAGATCCTGTGAAGCTTGACAAGGGACAGTCAATGTCAGAAAGACGTACTGTGGTATGGTTCCATGACGAGTCCACGTTCTATGCACACGACCACCGCCAAAAGCAATGGGTACACAAAGATGAAAAAAGCACACCACAGCCCAAAGGACAGGGAGCGTCTCTCATGGCAGTAGACTTTGTATCCACAGATTACAGCTGGTTACGATTGCATGATGGAACACAATCAGCACGCATCCTCTTCCATGCTGGAAAAGCAAGAGATGGGTATTTTACCAATGATGAAATTATTTGGCATGCCAAAAAAGTGATGATGATCCTGGAAAAAAGATTATCCCGATGATGACCATGTCTTTATTTTTGATAATGCTTCAACTCACCTGAAAAGAGCTGATGATGCAATATCCGGTCGTCAGATGCCAAAAGGTTGCAGACGCTGGGGGGTTGACACACCAGTATGGGACACACAAGGAAAACCGATCTGTGGCCCTGATGGGAAGCCAACAAAGCAGAAAGTTCGCATGGCCGACGGTTTTCATGATGGAGCACCCCAGGAGTTTTATTGGCCAGAGGGGCATGAGAAGTCAGGCCTGTTCAAAGGCATGGCAGTGATTTTGATGGAACGTGGTTTTGATGTCGAAAAGCTAAAGGCCCAGTGTAGAAACTTTGAGTGTGCAGCTGGAGCAATGGATTGTTGCTGCCGTCGTATTCTCTATTGTCAGCCTGATTTCAAAAACGTCAAGTCACTCTTGGAGACCACTTGCAAGGCTAGGTGGTTTCAGGTCATGTTTCTGCCAAAGTTCCATTGTGAGTTGAACTTTATTGAGCAATGTTGGGGTTTTGCGAAACAGATTTATTTCACCTACCCCATGTCAACGAAGGACAGCAATCTGGAGATTAATGTGGTTAAGGTGCTGGATTCTGTTCCTATCGCCAGCATGCGGAGGTAAGCCATCACACAATTTGAAAGATGAGTCATTTTCTGATTTGGACTTACTGCGCAGATTTGCGATCAGATCACAGCACTTTATGGATGTGTATCACAAAGGCCTAAATGGGAGCCAAGCTGCTTGGGCAGCAAAGAAATATCGCGGACACCGTGTTCTCCCTGGTTCAATCTTCACCGAGCTCAATGCAGCACATATAATCTAGGTAAATTTTGTTTATTATACTACAATACATACACATCTACATTATCATCAAACTACACTACTTACTCACCAGTACAGTACTTACTCAAAGTCCGTAGTTTATCTATGCTGTCCATAATAGGAATTTTGACCGAACTTTTCAGTCACCAAAGGATTACCCATCCAGCCAATGTACACGTCACAATTTGGTCACAGCACATGACTTTTGCTGAAACAGCGCAAGGTCTACCTTATCTCTGATTATTAATTACCCACCCTCCTCACCTGCGGTGTTGAGTGCGGACCCTTTGTACCTCCACCCACAGTGTCAAGTTTCAGAATGGCTCTTCCTGTGGCAAGGCATGAATTCCCTGCCTTCATCAACTATCAATAACCCGATCATTCACCATATAGCCATTTTAGCCAACCAGGCATCTCTACACAGCACAGCCAGCTACAGTGCCAGGTTGCAAAAGTTCCATGTATTCTGCAACATTTTTTTGATCCCTGAGTCTGACTGCCTCCTGGTGTCATTTGAATTGCTACACTCCTTTGCTTTACATCAGGAAAAACATCCCCTGCTAATGTTGTCTAATGTTGTCTAATCATAAGTAATTCTTGATAATTAACTACAATTAGCATTTTTAGGAGATTAGATGGATTATGTTACCTCCCTGATAATCCTTCAATAATTGTGGATAATTCCTATAATTCAAAGGTATTTGACCAATATGTTTCAGTTTACCATGGGCTTGGATCACAATCACACTGGGTGTTACAAGTGTTACAGGAAAAACAATTAAGCTTTTGAATAAATTAGGGTATCTAATCAGGTAATATAACTGAGCAAATGCAAAAAAAGACCGAGGAGATCAAGCAATAAGTAGTATATTAACAGCAATGAGAATGCCGAGTGCCATGCTAGTTGTTATCCATCCCATCCAGGTTGAGCAGTTTAAGGGCTGCATCTTGCTCCGCAGTAGTATGCTCTGCATCACCAGCACACTTCAACACCTGTAAGTCCAAATCAACATCATGCAATGACAAACAACTTCAATTGAAGTAAAACTCACTGTACAGCCTCATAGATGTATTGGCCCAGGTTGGAGTCTGAATCAGTATTAAGTTAGCATAACTAATGTGATTGAAAGCAAGTTCATTCTAACCTCCATTGCTTGTTTGTGGTCATGTGCCATCTTTTGCTGATGGTACTGACTTGGAGGGAATGGGACCTCATCAGATAACAGCTTTTCAATTACCTCTGGTGTCTCATCTTCTCTTTCACTGATGTCTGAACCATCCTCCATGTCGCATGGGATTGTATTGAAGTCAATGTCATCTGCAGAATCCTTTCCATCACTGCCACTAGGAGCACCCGAGTCAGCGCCTTGCTGCAGTGGCCAGGCTAGCACATTATGATATTCAAAGCAGGTGAGTCATTTTATTATTCTGCTTACGATGTACTAACCTTTCTTTCAAACCAAGGTGTCTTCAAATTTGTCACTGCACTCCAGGTCCTCTGAGTCTTGTGAGGTCATGGTATGTCGCCACTCTAGTCAAACCATGTCAGTGACAATTCCCTTGTAAAAATGATCAATAGCTTTTGCTACTAGATGATGACATTGTGGCAGTTGGTTTCATTTTCTGTGCAGGTCAACTTGTCTTTTTTGCAGCCTTTGAGTCAGCCTTTGAATGATCCTTCACCAATGGCATGTCCTTCATCTTTTTCACAGTGGGAGGTTTGCTTCTATTTCATTTACTACCCTGATTCCAGACTCACAAAAAGGTGAGTATGTATGTCAACAATTAGAGGCAAATGTTTGCACACTTACTGGCTTTTTCCAAGGCTGTTTTCTTTGCCTCCCGTTGAACATCAATGTGACTATAAGGACTTCATTCAAGATTTCATGTAGACTTACTGTGGGCACTGCTAGGTGCAGACATCTTGCAGTTTTATTATTAGAATGAATGACAGTGGTATTGACATTCAAAGAGACAGAAAATGCAAAGGAATGTGAGTGAGGTACTGTGACAGAGGTTAGTTGATGTGAACAGCTCAAATATTTGGGGGCTCTTTTATGGTCTGCTAAATTTAACAAGTATGGTAAGTCAGTACACTACCCTGAGCTCTAGTATTAAATAGTTCGAGTGAAGACTTAGTGCCTCAGGTTCAATAAGAGAGCCTCTGAGGTGTTTCAGGCTCAATAACTGAACCTCTGAGGCATTTCAGGCTTAAGTCACTCGAGTGTGTACAGAAGTTTCTGTGTTCCTGTCTTGCTCAAGTCTGCACTGCCCCGCTCTCACCAAATATGCATACCTGTCTGGCTTGCAGATGTGATGACCTTACTTTTACTGGTCTTGGCCAACACCTAGCGAAAAGTCGTAATCTGTGCTGTCAAGCACTCTACAGTCAATCATGTGGACTGACAGGGAACAAAGACTCCCACATGGATGACAGGGACTCTCAAGAGATCATCAATAACAACTACTTTGCAGATGAGACTTATGGTGAGGCCCAGGGTGAGGTGGACTGTGAGATGGAATGGTGCGATGAGGTAGATATCAATGTTCAGGCTGATAGTGACTTGGATGATTCCATAGATATCAAATCTGAATGGGAGCCTCCCATCCAGGATCCCGAAGGAGATTGGCCGCAAGCCCAGGAAGACAAAGTTGCCAATGAAGATCATGGCCGTTGTGGGTACAACAAGTGCAGCAGCAAGAAATTGATCTACTACACAGTTGGGTCTTTGCTGTCTGCTGCCTCACTTGAGAACAAGCATGTTCGACCCTTAAGGGGATTGCTACTGGGGACTACTAGTCTCTGTTTAAACGACCCTAATCAACCCTACCACAAGTAGGATGAGGATCCGCAAAAATGCGGAACAAGTGGAACAAGCGGAACCCGAGCGGAACTCAAGCGGAATGGAAAAGAATGAAACGGAACTCAAACGAATAAAGCGCAGAACATACTGATTCGTCGGAACTCGCAGGAGAAGTCGAAGGAAGTATATCACGAGGTTAGATTGATAGTGGGCATAAGTCAAAGCGGTCCTCTAGTAAGGTGAAGGGAAAGTGGGAAGGTAAAAGATGGGATTCAATAATAAACACCCAAGCCCTGAGTACCACTACTTAAAGGGAATATTATTTTCAAGGAACACTGAGGTACAGGTAGTAAGTTTCTCAGGAAGCAGAAGTGAAGGCAGGCAGTGCACATGGGCGCAATACTCCGGAATAGGGGTCCGTGCCATAAGGGCATGTGTCAGTGTGATCCAGATAACGTTAGGAACAACGGGAAGAGAGATACAGCGTACCAATGGACCTGGAAGGATGGGGACAGGACATGCGAAGGTTGTCCGACGATGCGCGGGAATATTGGATAGTGCAGGCAGGTTCTGAAGGATGCGTGGGAATGCAGAACCCATCGGACGATGCGCAGGAAACGCGGAACATGCGGAATACGCAGAACTGATGTGAGACGATGTGGAAAGGACGGGGTTTTACACCTACAGTGGGGGAATTCCCCACACTGTGATGCTTGCCTACATGTTCAAGAGCAGGTGCAGGGGCAGCATGGCTGTATAGTTGTCCTATATCCAGATAGATGAGCAGGCCAAGAGATAAATCAACATGCTGATGATGATGCCGCCAATGCCAGATACAATTCTGAGCTCGATGATAAGAACAACTCATATTTTCCCTTTTTTTTGCAGACTGAATGGGGGATTGCAAGGTGGAAAAAACTTCGTCTCTAGGTAAGAGAGTTGGTGGGGCTCTCCTTCAAGAATGCGAAGGAACTAAATGCAATCAT